TAGAGCCTTCCGAGGGTTCGGTGATATCTTCCCCGAGGCCAAGGGAGTCATTGTGTTGTATGTCATTGGTTCGATCCACATCCCTGCACATAATCGAGAGTTCTCCGAGTCTCCCCCGGATCCCCAGTTGCCCGTGAATATCCGTCACAGCATGAATAGACGAAGAAAAAGATCAAATAGAGTCTCCCGAAGGCCCGAGGTTGACATGCGGAAAGACTTACCTAAAGAACCCGATGGGCTGGGGAAGTTATCGTGGAGGTATGAGATCATCGGGACTTATAAGAGAGCCTAGGAAAGTCAGTCCTCTTGGAATTCTATTAGCCGATTTGATTATTCCAGTATTCAGTGATATTCTATTATTCTATTATTCTATTACTCATTCCATTACTTCCATCTGAATTCTGGTTTCCCGGTGTACCGGTGAGCCCGTAAGTACCTGTTACCTCATTCCTGGAGTCAACTTGCTCCCCCGGAAAGTATCTGTGACACGCAGATCGCGCCTGTGATTCCCCTCTTTATCTGCCCCTCCGCCCTTTTTTTTTTTTCTTCCCTTTCCTTTTCCTTCTTGTTAGCTCATTTCCCACTTTATTCCCCTGATACTTAATTCCCTTCGACATCTCTGACCTCTTTTCCCAAGCAATTGCACCGTGATCTGCCGAGATCGGCCTGGCATTAGATCCGGAGAGAGCTCCCCATATAGTGAGTCACCGCCTTCCCCCAGCTATATAGGTTCCCCCCCCCACACTCACCTCCCATCTAGTACTCTAAACCCCCTCTATCCTCCATCTCTCACAATGGCTTCCCACCGCCAGCCTGAGGATGCTATCGATGACTCGGAGTTCATCGAGGACCACGCGGAACACCACCAGGATTCCGTCCACCGTCGTCTCCGTGCCAACTCCACTATCATGCACTTCCAAAAGATCCTAGTCGCCAACCGTGGTGAAATTCCCATCCGTATTTTCCGTACCGCACACGAACTTTCTCTCCAGACAGTAGCGGTCTTTTCCCATGAGGACCGTCTCTCAATGCACAGACAGAAGGCCGATGAGGCCTACATGATTGGTACCCGCGGCCAGTACACTCCCGTCGGTGCTTATCTTGCCGGTGATGAGATCATCAAGATTGCCAAGGAGCACGGCGTGCACCTGATTCACCCTGGTTATGGTTTCTTGTCAGAGAATGCCGAGTTCGCCCGTAATGTCGAGAAGGCTGGCATTGTCTTCGTCGGCCCCAGCCCTGATACCATTGACGCCCTCGGCGATAAGGTGTCTGCCCGTCGCGCTGCTATCAAGTGCAACGTCCCTGTTGTTCCCGGTACCGAAGGCCCCGTGGAGCGTTACGAGGAGGTCAAGTCTTTCACCGATACCTACGGCTTCCCCATCATCATCAAGGCCGCCTTCGGTGGTGGTGGTCGTGGTATGCGTGTCGTGCGTAACCAGTCCGAGCTGCGGGACTCCTTCGAGCGTGCCACATCCGAGGCCCGCACTGCCTTTGGTAACGGCACCGTCTTTGTCGAGCGCTTCTTGGACAAGCCCAAGCACATTGAGGTTCAGTTGCTTGGTGATAACCAGGGTAACGTTGTCCACCTGTTCGAGCGTGACTGCTCCGTTCAGCGTCGTCACCAGAAGGTTGTCGAGATTGCTCCTGCAAAGGATCTGCCCGTCGATGTCCGTGATAAGATCCTCGCGGATGCCGTTCGCTTGGCCAAGTCGGTCAACTACCGCAATGCTGGTACTGCCGAGTTCTTGGTTGACCAGGAGAACCGCTACTACTTCATTGAGATCAACCCTCGTATCCAGGTTGAGCACACTATCACCGAAGAGATTACTGGAATTGATCTCGTCGCCGCACAGATCCAGATTGCCGCTGGTGCTACATTGGAGCAGCTCGGTCTGACCCAGGACCGCATTTCTACTCGCGGTTTCGCTATTCAGTGCCGTATCACCACCGAGGACCCTGCTAAGGGCTTCTCTCCCGACACTGGTAAGATCGAGGTATACCGGTCTGCCGGTGGTAACGGTGTTCGTCTGGATGGTGGTAACGGTTTTGCTGGTGCCATCATTACTCCTCACTACGACTCTATGTTGGTCAAGTGCAGTTGCCGTGGCTCCACCTACGAGATTGTCCGCCGCAAGATGCTGCGTGCGCTGGTTGAGTTCCGTATCCGTGGTGTCAAGACCAACATTCCTTTCCTGGCCTCTTTGCTGAGCCACCCTACCTTCATCGATGGCACTTGCTGGACTACCTTCATTGATGATACCCCAGAGCTGTTTGCCCTCGTTGGCAGCCAGAACCGTGCCCAGAAGCTGCTCGCTTACCTGGGTGACGTTGCTGTCAACGGCAGCAGCATCAAGGGCCAGATTGGTGAGCCCAAGTTCAAGGGCGAAATCATCAAGCCTATCCTCAAGGATGCTGCTGGCAAGCCTCTGGATGTTTCTGCTCCCTGCACCAAGGGATGGAAGCAGATTTTGGACAGCCAGGGCCCCGAGGCCTTCGCTCGTGCTGTGCGCGCCAACAAGGGCTGCTTGATCATGGATACCACCTGGCGTGATGCCCACCAGTCTTTGCTCGCTACCCGTGTGCGTACCATTGATTTCTTGAACATTGCCCATGAGACCAGCCACGCCTTGAGCAACGCATACTCGCTCGAGTGCTGGGGTGGTGCTACATTCGATGTGGCCATGCGTTTCCTGTACGAGGACCCCTGGGACCGTCTCCGCAAGATGCGCAAGGCTGTTCCCAACATTCCTTTCCAGATGCTGCTGCGTGGTGCCAACGGCGTCGCCTACTCTTCCCTCCCTGACAACGCCATCTACCACTTCTGTAAACAAGCCAAGAAGTACGGTGTCGACATTTTCCGTGTCTTCGATGCTCTTAACGACCTCGACCAGCTCGAGGTTGGTGTCAAGGCTGTCCACGAGGCTGGTGGTGTTGTTGAGGCCACCATGTGCTACAGTGGTGACATGTTGAACCCCAAGAAGAAGTACAGCTTGGAGTACTACATGGGATTGGTTGAGAAGATTGTCGCCATGCGCCCCCACGTCCTTGGTATCAAGGATATGGCCGGTGTGCTGAAGCCCCAGGCTGCCCGTCTTCTGGTTGGCTCCATTCGCGCCAAGTACCCCGATCTTCCCATCCACGTCCACACCCACGACTCCGCCGGTACTGGTGTCGCTTCCATGATTGCCTGTGCTGAGGCCGGTGCTGATGCTGTCGATGCCGCTACCGACAGCATGTCTGGTATGACCTCGCAGCCCAGCATTGGTGCCCTGCTTGCTTCTCTCCAGGGCACTGAGAACGACCCCAAGCTGGACCTGAACAATGTCCGCGCTCTGGACGCCTACTGGGCTCAGCTCCGTCTGCTCTACTCTCCCTTCGAGGCTGGTCTGACCGGTCCCGATCCTGAGGTCTACGAGCACGAGATCCCCGGTGGTCAGTTGACCAACCTGATCTTCCAGGCCAGCCAGTTGGGTCTTGGCCAGCAGTGGGCCGAAACCAAGAAGGCCTACGAGGTGGCCAACGAGTTGCTGGGCGATATCGTCAAGGTCACTCCCTCCTCCAAGGTCTGCGGAGACTTTGCCTCTTGGATTGTCAGCAACAAGTTCACCGCCGAGGATATTCTCGAGCGTGCCGATCAGCTCGACTTCCCCGGCTCTGTCCTTGAATTCTTCGAGGGTCTGATGGGCCAGCCGTACGGTGGCTTCCCCGAGCCCCTGCGCACCAAGGCCCTCCGCGGCCGCCGCAAGCTCGACAAGCGCCCCGGTCTGTACCTGGAGCCCATGGACCTCGCCAAGATCAGAGGCGATCTCCGCGAGAAGTTCGGCGCCGCCACCGAGTGCGACGTTGCTTCTTACGCCATGTACCCCAAGGTCTTCGAGGACTACCGCAAGTTCATCGCCAAGTTCGGTGATCTCTCCGTCCTGCCCACTCGCTACTTCTTGGCTCGCCCCGAGCTCGGCGAGGAGTTCCACGTTGAGCTCGAGAAGGGTAAGGTGCTGATCCTGAAGTTGCTCGCCATCGGTCCTCTCTCCGAGCAGACCGGCCAGCGCGAGGTCTTCTACGAGGTCAACGGTGAAGTCCGCCAGGTCAGTGTCGACGACAACAACGCTTCCATCGACAACATTGCCCGCCCCAAGGCCGATGCCTCGGACAGCAGCCAAGTCGGCGCTCCCATGAGCGGTGTCGTGGTTGAGATCCGCATCCACGACGGCCACGAGGTCAAGAAGGGTGACCCCATTGCGGTGCTGAGCGCCATGAAGATGGTAAGTTATCCTCAATCGCTTTCTCAATTGAATTCCTTACTAACACTTATTAGGAAATGGTCATCTCCGCCCCTCACAGCGGAAAGGTTTCCAGCCTCCAGGTCAAGGAGGGAGACTCCGTCGATGGCCAGGATCTGGTTTGCAAGATCAGCAAGGCGTAAAAGTCTATGTAACAAGACCTTGAGCACGACTTTTGATGCGTGATGCGATTTGAATGATTTCCTAGCGTTTTTGTTTTTGGGCTTGATGGATTTAGGTCAATGCTATCAGAATATTATTTCCATTTTACATTTCACATTTTACAATTACCACCGACCTTACGCACGGAGTGTATATGTAATTCCCCTCATGCACATGCACAGACTCACGATATACTTGGCAATGTTTGAGACTCGTATGGAGACCCCATGATACTTCCCTCGGAGCCCAGATCTAGCGCCTAGCGGTCCCACATCTCCCCGCAAAGCATTATCTCCCCCTCATACTCCCGTTACAACTTCACCCAATTGAAGACTGCCAATTGCCGATGAGCTCTCCTATCTCGGCTACAAGGACGGAACGAACGGAATCCAGCACAGATAAGAACCGCCATTGTTGGTGTTCTTATCCATGTCGGTTCCTGTTCCTGTTCCTGTTTCAAGCCTGGCGATTGCGGGATTTGAGCATTGCTCCCAAGAAGTCACAGCAACTACACAACACAGCTAGCTATCCATAAAACCAAATTCAAAGATCAAGATGACAACACCCCGCAAAACAACAAAATCCCTCGGTCACAGGGGAACAATCCAAGGCTTGACCATCTCAAATGACCAAAATCAAGATCTATGCACTTACTACGGGAGCGTCCGATATGCACTTCCACCGTCTGAACGTGAGAATTCCATACATGCCCTACGAAGAACACCATGGAGTATTGCAAGAATTGAAATCAACTGACTGTTTTCTTCACACAGGCTGGCGCCGCGCTAAGCCCTTACCACAGACATACACCTACGGCACAACCGACAACCCAGCGGATTGCACCACCGGCGCGGGTCTATGTCCCCAACCCGGATTTCTGAATCTGTCACCTGAAACTCCAGATCTATGGGACGAAGATTGTTTCCAGTGCAATGTTTGGGTTCCCCTTGGGGAGGTGCCTGAGGGCGGTTGGCCTGTGTTTGTTTTCCTCCGTAAGTGTCACTTTACCTGCCAATGATCTATATCCCATCAGAATGATCGAATGCTAAGGCTGGATGTATGATTTAGATGGTGGTTGGCTGCAGTTTGGAACTCCCAATTCATTCAATGCTGCTGCGTTGATTGGCGAGACGGAGTTCAAGTGTGTGGTTGTTATGCCTGCGTACCGAGTGAATCTCTTTGGATTCTTGTACTCGGCTGAGCTGGAGGCTGATGCCGCTGAGGTTGGGGAGTCTGTTGGTAACCATGGATTCTGGGATCAGCGATTGGCGCTTGAATGGACTCGTGAGAATGTCGGTTTGTTTGGGGGTGATTCGAGGAATATAACTATTAGTGGGTATAGTGCTGGTGAGTATAACCCCCCTTCTCTTTATATAGATCAAGTTATATCAACTAACATCTCCCATTACAGGAGCCAACTCTGTCTTCCACCAACTAGCCTACGACCTCCGCCAACCACCCTCAACCGCCCTCATCCGCCAAGTATGCATCTGGTCCAACAGCCCAGCAGTGCAACCCAAACAACCCAGCGAAACCCAAGACCAATTCAACGAGCTCCTTACAGCCCTCCAAATCCCGCTTACCCTCCCGCCAAGCGAGAAACTCGCCCTCCTCCGCTCCACGCCCGCCAAAACCCTCATCGCCACCACCAAAACCCTCACACTCTCCCAATTCCGGCCCACAACCGACGGAGCCTTCATAGACCCAGCCCTCTTCACGACCCTCGACAACGGCACCTTCGCCTCCACCCTCCTATCCCGCAAAACAAGAATCATCATCGGCGAATGCGCCGACGAACACTTCCTCTACAGCACCTGGTTCCGGCCGCACGCCAACACCCTCTCCGCCCTGCGCACCCGCCTCATCGCCGACTACCCCGAACACATCGTCGACGCCCTCATCCGCACCTACTACCCGGCCGGCGCGCTCCCGGCCAACTGCAAGAACTGGGACGTGGACGCGTGGGGACGCTGCTATGCCGATATGCAGGTGCATAAGATCCAGCGTGGGTTCTTGTATGCGCTGACGAGTAATTCGGCGGGAGTGGATGCGTCGGCTTTGCTGTTTCGGTATCGCATTGAGTGGAGGGCCAAGTGTGTGGATTTGGGGATTCCGGTTGAATGGGGGGTTACGCATTCGTCGGATTATCCGGTTTGGTTCTATGGGAATGGGAAGGGGTTGGAGGGGGGTGAGAAAGAGGTTGTGAATGGGGCTTTTGTTCGGCCTTTGAGTTTGTTTGTTAGGGGGGATGGAGGTGATGGGGACTTTGGATGGGGAGCTGTTGGGGCTCGGAGGGTCAGGACGTTGAAAGGGGATGGGACGGTTGTTGTTGTGGATGATGAGGGATGGGAGGATGGTGTGAGGGTTTGGAAGAGGTTGAGAGATGCCGATACGGGCAAGGCGGTGCTATGAGCTTGATTTTGCGTGAATACCTTCACGTTGGTTTGTAGGTGAAATGATCGCCGTTAAGCTTTCCCCGCATTTCAACTACGTCAAGATGTTCACATCAGGATTCGAGGGGGAGTCAGGAATCAGGATAAATTCTTAGGGTTGTGTCTCACATAGAATAGACAGGCCTGGAATAAGTTCTCTAACGTCTACTCCGTTCAACTGGGCCACTTAGTCAAGTTCGTGATATCCGGGGTATTTACTGCCCTTATAATACGACTTCCCCTCTTCTCTCTCTCCTCTCTCCTCTCTTCTCTTTCTTTTCTAATTCATCTCATATTCATCTTCACATCTCTCATTCCATCAAGTCCAATCACAAAAGGTAATCCAAAATTGGCCACCCAACACTAATGACGTCGACGACTCCCAACTGTATCTTCACTACTCCGTAACTCCCAGACATCTCACACTTCCAACCCCTACTTCTAGCTCGTCTTCGCATATTATCACTATCAACTAATCCTTTCAAAGGACCCTACATCATCCCCAATTTCAACCACGGATTTCGCCCCGCTAGACATAATCATCATGTCTGACGACAGCACTCGTCGCCACTGGCATGGAATCCCAGGCAACCGTCACGAGCAGTGAGTTATGAATCCCGAGTCTAGTCTGAACTACAAAGCTAATGAGATGCAATCTAGCCTTAATGTTTGGATGAACGTGAGTATACGTCAATGTGGAACATAACTGTTAACTGCTATAAACAAATACTAACTAAACATTCCCAGGGCGGCGCAAAGGCTCCCAGCTCCCGTGCTGCTTGGGCTATGCCTGAGGGAACTCCTTCTGATAGAAGGGTATGTCATACTCTCTTTTTCCTGCTTTTGCACTCTTATGCATACTTATAAATCAACCTCCTGCCCTTCCCTCCTACCTTTTCATACATACTACACTACACTATACTATACCACACCACACCATCCATTACATTAACCTCTAACACCAAAATGAAGGACTCCACCACCTCAACATCCTCAAACAACAACAACACAAGCGGCTCCCCACCCATCCCAAGCCTCAGCGAACGACGTCGCTCCAGCGCCAGCTCCTCTGGCGGCCTCTTCTCAAACCTGCAATCCCAGAAGCGGGAGTCCAACACAAGTGCCGACATGGCTACCCGTCGTGCGAGCTGGAACGAGCAGTCTGCCAAGGGTGGTGCGTTCGCTAAGTGGTGGGAGGGATATACGCGCGGTAACAAGTGATCTCTGGGTTTTGCGTTGTGCGTATTTTCATAGTGGGTGAGGGTGGATGGGAGTTAAAACATGAAAACAATATGTGAAAACATTTATAGTAGTGGTGGTGGTGGTGGTGGTGAGATGGTGATCTTTTAGGGCTAACGCTATGTGCTATGTGCTATGTGCTATGTGCTATGTGCTATGTTTGGATTTACTTGGGTGGCGTGTTGGGGTTTTTGATTATCTTAGTATGAATGAAATGAAATATGATATTGAAAGTGAAAGTGAAATGGACATTGTGTATCGGTAGACAGCTGTGGTGTATGTCTGTTGCAATTGAGAATATAAGCGTGTGTACAATGCTTACTTCACTGTTGTTGATGTACTGAGCTTTTTCAGTACATCGGTAACATTATATTTTCTCTAGCCGCTGCCACCAATTAAGTCATCATTGCAGGCTCTGACTCTATTGACCGATCAAGAATTCTTATTTAGAGTGTTGTTGGAACACTGAACGAGTAAGACTCCCTGGAGCTACCAGCATGGCCTGCAAACCGTGAACAGCTAGGGGTAGAGCCCATTCGGAAAACTCAGCCCCTTGCAAGAAACTAAAAATTAAATATACCTCACTGTGATCCCGGCAAAAACAAGAATAGCTAAAAAAACAGACCCCTTCCAAGGTTGGAACATTCCATTTCCTTAGGAATGCTGACTTATCGTCCCAATCCAGCAGGTGGTCACACGATGCCCCTTTGCGTTTTCAGCTTGCTGATATAGCTTGACAGAATCAAATCAAGGGTCAAGATGTTGAAATTCGAATAAGTCGATGAACAAGTCGGTAATTTAGGAGGCGAGATTCTCAAAGAAACCAAGACAATGAGATAGGCTTGGCTTGGCTTCATTGAGGACCCTTTTCCTTTCCAGTTCTCATTCTTTGAAACCGCAAATCTGCAGGGGTCTGTGTGTAGACCTCATATAATGAAGCCGCTTTCGGGGTATCCTCAAGTCCACCGCATCTGCAATAGCATGGAAGTCGTAGACAAAGATGCAGGTGGCCAGCTCTTTGAATTTCTCACTAGATCATACCCGAACTCCCAATTTCTAGAGACATGGCATTGGATCTCTTCTTTCCAGTATGATTATGACACGCCAATCATCGATCCGTCAGCTCATTTTGTCCCTTCTCGTTGTATCAGTTGGGCTGTCCAAAGGACTCCATTTGCTTCAGCATATCTCCTCTATTCCCGGACCTACTTTTGCTCTGTACTTTCCAACCTTTCTCATTCTAGAAACCTTGCTGTGTATCAGTGCTTGGATTTTTCTGTTTAAATGCAATGGCGTGAAAGCGGTTATTGGGATTGTTGTGGCTGCGGCCATCTCGTGAGTTGAATGAACCCTTTGCAGATAAAGACGGATTTTGACCGCCACAGATCCCTGAGTCTTGTTCTCTGTGCATCTCAAATTGCCTTTTACCTAGTCACTGGTAATGAGATTCGATGGGAAGCTGCAGCGGCGACAGGAAGTGACCCCGAGGGTGCTCGACTGCTCTTGTCTGGAACCAAGTCTTTCATGGGCGCTGCAAGTGTCATATTCATTCTTTCCTGGCTGTTCAAGAATGGCATATATTGTGCAATGAACTTTTGGTTCTGCGCATTATTTACCAGTCCGTCGACTGAGAAAGGAGACAAGGAGGCTCTTCTGCCAGGCTCTCAAGATAAGCCTTCAGTCTCAAGTCCCATTCGACTCTGGACTATCATGGCTGTGATCACAACGGCTACTCTGCGTCTAACTCGCCCCCAAGTACCGTATAACCATATGTCTGGTGCGATACCGTTTACCCTTTTCCAAGCACTGAGACCATCCCCTACTAAGGGTCATGGGGATCAGGAATTCCCACTCGCAAGCCTGATCGGAGAGGAATATTGGGAAGGCCCTCATGGGCACTTCAAAGGCTGGGCTCCGGGAATGACAGAAGAGAACCACACTGTCGGGCATTACAATGCCGTGGATGATCCTTTGCGGATCACCAACCTCGACCATGACATGATTGAGCCTTTGACTCGCGCTCTCAAGGATCACGATATCCCAATAACGCATGTTGTTCTTGTGCTGATGGAAAGTGCTCGGAAAGACATATTCCCTTTCAAAGCAGGATCTCATTTGCACGAAGAGATCTTGTCCTCTTGGAACAGCCAAGACCCTCAAGTACTCCAGAGTGTCAATGAAAGGTTGTCAAATCTCACGCCAGTCGCCGAAAAGCTAACCGGTCAATTTGGTGGGTTCATGAAGTCCCAAAATGACTCCCAAACTCGTGAATCTCAGTGGGAAGATACCGCTGCGTCCGGGATGGGTGGAATCAATATTGATGGTATTCTGACTGGCAGCACTCTGTCTTTCAAGAGTGCTATCATGAACTACTGTGGTATGGGGCCACTACCGGTGGACTTTATGGATGAAGTCAAGGCGAAGGCCTATCAGCCTTGCATCATGCAGGTCTTTGACTTGTTTAATCAACTCAAGCAGAATGAGACGGCCAAAGATCAAAATTTGCACAAACCCCATGGTCAGCTCGATTCCATACATCTTCGCAATTGGACGTCTGTGTTCTTGCAGTCCATGTGAGTTGCTTGTCTCCCATTTTTGGTTTCGCATGTATTGCTGACTTTGACATTTTTACTATTCTCAGAACAGGACTGTATGATGATCAGGATCAGCTTAATGAGAAAATGGGATTTAAGAAATCCATTTATCGCGAGCAAATAGAAGAAGAAGACGCCAAACACTTCCATCCCGGAATGGAAGAGATCAACTATTTCGGGTATGTATCTGCCCATAACTACTGCGTCTTGTCATAAACTAACCTACATCAGATACCCCGAGCATGAGATATTACCATATCTACGCGATGTGGTCAACAATACACTTGAGAACAACGAACGACTCTTCCTTTCTCATTTCACATCAACGACTCATCATCCATGGGGCACACCCAAAGACTATCCAACCGAGACATACTTCTCCGAAGAAGGACTCATGGCGAAACACGAAGAAATGAACCAATATCTGAACGCCGTCCGATACGTAGACACCTGGCTCGGAGACATGATGAAAGTTCTGGAAGAATTCGAGATTGCAAACGAGACACTAGTCGTCTTCGTCGGGGACCAGTAAGCCCGCACCCCAAACCTCAACCGAACGACCACCCAAGTCCCCCACTAACACCAAGCAGTGGCCAAGCATTCGACGAAGATGCCCCAGTATCTGGCACCTACGAGAACGGCCATATCAGCAACTTCCGCATCCCACTTCTATTCCGACACCCCCTGCTCCCAAAGCTCCAGATCACAGCCAATGCAACCTCGATGTCCGTCGTGCCCACAATCCTCGATCTACTCGTGCAGACAGGCTCCCTGAACAAGATGGATTCCAGCACAGCCCTCGACCTCATGAACGAATACGAGGGCCAGTCGCTCATCCGTCCCTACCAGGCTACTCATAATGGCCGACAGGCTTGGAATTTCGGTATCATTAACCCTGGAGGAACAATGCTTAGTGTTGGGTCTGCGGCTGTTCCGTATCGTTTTGTATTGCCGCTGAGCCCGGACTTTGAATACATCTTCTCTGATTTGGATACTGACCCGAATGAGCTGGCTCCATTGCGGGGGTGGTCACTAGAGGAGTTGATTGTTCGTGTGAGGAAATTGCATGGAGATCATGCTGGGAATTGGCTTATAGATGCGGAGAAGGTGAGTTCTATCAGAATTGTTCTAACTCAGTATTGCAAGGATGATCTAACCTTTGATAGGTGGGCAAGTATTGGGTGGAAGAGCAAAAGCGACGTTGGGATTACCAATGATATCATTTGTACTATATATAGTTCTAATCGAAATTTGCATAATATGAAAAAGAAGAGAGAATACTTGATTGAATATGTAGAGAAATTGGTAATTAGATTGCTTTGACTACCCGTATCCATATATTGAACTGAAGACAAGAAGTAGGCGCAAAGTAAGGCCAAAGTAGAGTTCAGAAAACACGAGAGAATACGTACTCGCTTGAAAGGTTATATTTCCACTGAGACTATCCTAATTGAAGCTAACAATCGAACAATACTAAGAGAAACGAGAAAGCGAAATCTGTATTGTTCGTAGTTTCTTTGTTCACGCCTGAGGCATCACGCCCCCACCTCCGCCTGATTCACGTTTTATATCCACCTCTCACGCACTCTGGTCTCTCAACAGTCTGTTCTACATTAAACTTCGTTTGGTCATCAGACATAATATCTTAACAGGACCCAAGACCCTAGAAATAAGTTCCGACCATCCCCGGGATATTCGTCTCCCAACACCCCGCATCCGCGGCGATCATCTCTTGACCCTGAATTCTCCAAGTTCCTTCTTTCAGCATACAAAATGGAAGGAGACTATTCCACGGACCCTGAATGGGCCGATATCACTCCAATTGAACTGGATGATGGCTCCAAGTCTGGTATTATGCCGCTGGCCACTATTGCCTACCCACCCGAGTACCTCGAGGCAACCTCATATCTGCGTGCCGTGATGGCTGGCAATGAGATGTCCGAGCGGGCATTGAAGTTGACCGAAGATATTATCTCGATGAATCCAGCGCATTATACTGTATGGTAAGCAAAACCAGTCTTGCACAACCAGTACCATTGACAACCAATACACCACCATGACATCTAACATTCCACCCAGGATCTACCGAGCGAAAATTCTCTTCGCCCTGGAAAAAGACCTCAATAAAGAGCTAGAATGGCTCAATGAAGTCTCATTGAAATATCTCAAAAATTACCAAATCTGGTACATCAACCTCCCCAAACCCCAAATCCAAACCCAACCCCAAACTCACGCGTAACAGGCACCACCGCCAAGTGCTCCTCTCATCACGAGAGCACTTCCCCACACTCCCAGCCAAAGAAGCCGACTTCCTCATGGAAATGTTCGCGCAAGACTCCAAAAACTACCACGTATGGACCTACCGCCACTGGCTCGTGCGCCACTTCCAGCAATGGGACGAGCCGCGCGAACTGCAAGACGTAGAAGCGCTCCTGAAAGCCGACGTGCGCAACAACTCCGCCTGGAACCACCGCTACATGCTGCGGTTCGGACCGCGGGATACGAGCGCCGCCGACGCGGGCATGATCAACGCGGGCGACATGACCACGGGGCCCGGCGAGAAGGGCCGCTTACCGGTTGTGGATGAGGATCTGGTGGATGGCGAGCTGGAGTTTGCTCAGCGGGCGATTTTGCGCGCGCCGGAGAATCGGAGTGCGTGGTGGTATGCGCGGGGTGTTTTTAGGGCTGCTGGGAGGGGGCTTGGGGAGTGGGAGGAGTTTTCCGGGACGTTTGTTGGGGAGGCGGGTGTTAAGAGTACTCATGCGCTTGAGTGGTTGGCTGATGTTTATGCTGATGGGAGGGAGGGGTTGGCTGTTGGGATGTTAACGAGGCTTAAGGAGGAGTTTGATCCTATTCGGGAGAATTATTGGGATTATCGGATTCGGAAGTTGGGGGTTTCTGAGGCTGAGGTTGTTGTTCGGTAGAGGGAGTGGTTTATTGAGCTGTGAGCTTTTTATGTTTGGATAGGAGCATTTGGGATATTGATTGCATTGATTAAAACTTCTTTTTGTATGGTGACCGCTGGGTAATGTATGTACTGTAAGAGAAGAAAAGAAAACAAATGCGAGCCTCTATTTAATGACAGGCCAGGAAACAAAACAGAAGAAAAGAAACAAGAAATATAGAAGTCGTTTGTAACATCGCAAAAACGCCAATGACAAATAAGGTATCAAAGAAAGAATGGAACATATCATGCCCATCCCTCATCCAGCATCTTGCGCCACTCACTGGCCATGTCGATAGTAACATTGCTACCACCACAAACAATGATAACAACACGACTGCGCTCATTAAGATCGGGCACCAGCTGCTTAAGCTTAGAGTTAAGCTTGTTACCAGTGACCTCAACCTCGCCCTCGAGATCGAATTCCGTAGAGGATCGGTCGTCGCCGTATCCCTCGTCACGATACGAGACAGCCGTCTCATCTGAGCCACGCTTCCGCTTCTTGATGCTCTGAGCACCCCCAGAAGCGGATGGAGAAACTGCAGTGGCGGCATCGCCAATAGCAGCCTCAATGCAAACTCCGCAGGCAAGCTCGACGAGGAGGCGCTCGTCATTGGCTAGGCGGAGAACACCGCGGGCGGCATCTGCGTCTGAGAGAACGGTGCTGTGGACTTTGACTCCTGGGGGCGGGGAGACAGCATAGTTGAAAGTCTTTTCCGAGACGCGGATGGCGCCGAGGGAGGTAGCTTGAGAGGTGATCTTGGGGAGGGAGACGAGGGCGTTCTGAGCGACTGCCGCAGCCAGGGAATCGGTACCGGCCGTTTCGATGGCGAGGAAGTGGATAGGGTTGGGGGAGGAGGTGGTCTGCTTTTGGCGGCGGCGCTTTTCGATGCCCATGATCATGCCGTTGATGAGACCGCCGCCGCCGACGCTGCAGAGGATGGCGTCTAGGGGGATGGCGCGGTCACTGTATGCTTTTGTGTCTTCGGGACTTGTTGCTGGGGGAAGTTGGGTCTCGAGTTCGTCGATGATGGTGCCGTTTCCTTCCCAGATGGGTTCGTTGTCGAAGGGGTGGAGGGCGATCTTGACGATATCATCGTCTTCGCCGCTGGTGCTCTTCATGATGGTTTCCCGCATGTATTCTCCTGCTTCGGAGAAGGTCTCACCATGTCGGATGACATCTGCTGCTCCTGCTGCTCGGATCTTGTCCAACATCAGAGGCTTGGTGGCCATTGGGACAACCACTGTGCATGGATAGCCCAGGCTTTTGGCTGCGCAGACGGCGGCCAGTCCGGCGTTTCCTCCGGACGAAGCGTAGAAGTGAACTTTGCGGCCCACGTTTGATGGGTTGCGGAGGTGAGAAAGGATCTGATTGCCCATGGCACGGGACTTGAAAGAGCCACTGGGCTGGACGTTCTCCAGCTTCAGGAAGATCCTACATCCAGCTGCCCGGGAAAGGCAGGCGGACTCGACCAACGGTGTCTCAATCCATGGCGTCTTGAAGTTCTGCGGTTGACTGCAGGCGGCCAGGTCGATGCTCCCCATTTTGATGTGTTGAACAAATGGAAGAGTAAGGAGGTGTGTTGAGGTCGTGCTCGGAGCAGACTGGTAAGATATGAACTATAAGATGATAGTTCCCAAAATAGAGAATGTCTCAAGAAGTTACACAGATGATGTCCAAAATAGAATAGAAAGATAAGACTCAGATGAGAGAGAAAACAGAATACCAAACACCAAACCCTAGTATACAAATATTCAGACATGTTTTGATATACACCTACCCGCAGGGTAGAGTTTCCCGACGGAAAACGACTTTCCCGAGAGATAGGACTTGCGCGCCGTTCTGAAAGTTTCCCGACAAGGCCAATCACGGTGGATCGGACGTGACATATCGATTCGTTTTGGAGTCAAACCTGACAACTCAGCTTGGACCTGGTGGAGGAGCCGGGAAACCACCTTGGACGCTGGCGCACATCGGCGGAGATGATGTAAATCCTTATTCAGACGGACTGTTCGGTCGCTCCCCATTGGCCCCGAGTCGATTATTCTTATCAAATGGAAAGTCGAGAGTTACTCCTCCGTGAGCAGTGGAGGGAACAGCATACCCTTCTTAATGCCCTCACCGTAATCTGCATCCGAACCGTATGCCGTGGCCGCGAATGCCCGCTTCGAGGGGTCCGAGGTGTCTACACGGAGCAATTCTAGAAGGTCATGAGACTTGCCGGGCATAAACGGTTGTAATAGAATGCCTGCAATGCGAAGCGATTCGGCCACGTTGTAAAGCACTCGCTCAGGGTTGGGGTTTTTCCACGGCTCCGCCGCATGGAAGTATTTGTTGGTCTAGAACAGGTTAATACCAACGATACCGTGCGGGGATAGTCTTCTCATACCTGCTCAATAATGATCATCGTTTCCTGTAACGCGGCTCGCGGGTTGAGCTTCTCCATATGCCAAGCTACCTTGGTAGGTGTCTGTTGTAGGAGCGTCTGGTGTTCCACATCTTCAGGAGTCGCAGCTGGAAGCTTGCCCGACGCCGCGTCGATAATATGGGAGCGCAAATTGCCACGCGCACAGCCAATTGTGCGCTGCGCAAGGTTTCCGATACCACCTTGGAGTAATTTCTTGTAATCCCGGATGATGAAAGAGTTATCGAAATCCGCATCATCCGCTAGGCTGCCCCGATAAGCTAGGAAAAATCGCATACCATCCACTCCGAACCGTTCAATGGCGAAGAACGGGTTCACGACATTGCCAGTGGACTTGGACATCTTCTCGCGATTCATTGTCCAATGTCCGTGCACTAGCACGTTCCGAGGCAGGGGTAGATCAAGCGCCATGAGGAATGCAGGCCAATAAACGCAGTGGAATCTGCCGATGTTGGGCTTTAGATTAGCCAATCGCTCTAGATAAGTGTATCGGGAAAACTCGCAAACTTACCGAACAATATCTTTTCCAACTACGTGCAAATCTGCAGGCCAAATGGACTTGCCTTCTTCGCCGGGCGGGAAAGGATACCCGGCTTTGGTCAGGTAGTTGACCAGCGCATCCAACCACACGTAAATCGTCTGCGAATCATCGCCGGGAACTGGGATACCCCATGTCAAACGTTCCACGGGCCGAGAAATGGAGAGGTCCTGTAACCCCGAGGAGACTGCATTGACCAAAGCAGGTGTGTACGTTGAAGGAGAGATGAACGGGTCTTCTCTTTTGTACAACTCAAGCAGACGATCCTTGAAAGCCGAGAGGCGGAAGTGGTAGTTGGTTTCTGAGGACCATTCTACTTCCTTGCCCGTCTCAATTGAAACCTAGCAGAGTGAGTAATTGCATCTGGTCAGCTAGTGGAGAGCTTACCATTCGCTTCCTCCCGGTTGTTGGGTCGAGGGAATTCTGCACTTGTGTTTGAGGATAGAAAGTCTCATCGCTGACGGAGTACCAGCCTTCGTGCTTGGAAGTGTAGATGTACCCTCGATGTTGCAACATTTCCTATATATTATCAGTATGCGCCATGTGTCGAGATCGGGATCGCATACCCAGAAATACTGGACAGCATCTCGATGTGCTGCATCAGTGGTACGAATAAAATGGTCGTTATCGAGGTTCGCTGCCTCAGCGAGGTCCTACGCCTTCATATTAGACATGCGCTGGGCGAGGAGTCGAGGAATCATACCTTGAAGGTTTGACAGTTCATGTCGCAAAACGCCTGTGTATCCATGCCTGCTTTCAAGGCAGCTTGTTGGATCTGCTGATATCAGCCCAGTTATCCGTCTTGAAGAAATAAGGGGTAGTACCTTCATCCCATGCTCATCGGTTCCGGTCAATAGTTGAGCATCTTCATTTCCAAGCAAGACTTGCCAGCGTTTCATAATATCCGCAATGACCATTGTGTATAAGTGACCGACATGAGGGGCTAAAAAGAGCACAAGTAATTAGCCAATAGATCATTTGTTTGAATTGCTTCACTCACCGGCGTTGACATAGAAAATTGGAGTCGTTATATAGTAAGGCTTGTTGGGTCTTTGCGCAGTTGCCAGCCCACGCCGAGGAGTTGCCCATCCATGCCTGGATGCTGTGCAGGTCCACACGCGCCTCGAGCTTAATATCCGAGGCGCTCTCAATAATGAGCGAAGCGGCGTCCTTGTGGTAGCCATTGATGTGTGCTAAAGGGAAAACCGATGTTGCATGTTATTCCGGCGCGGCGATCTCGGGTGGTCCGTGCCCTCCGACAGTTTTTGATCATCTTTCGCGACACAGCGCAATCTCACCTTTGGTTTGACTTCATTAAACATCTGCATTGGACCGCTTGATCTTCTGTTTGGGCCCCCCAATCGCTCTATTCCAAAGATCAGACCAGCCTATCATCATGCCTTCCAGCGAGGATACATTGACCAAGGTGTCGACCGAAGGTAAAGCCGATCTCTCGTCGCGACCTGTTCAATCCTAAGATATAACCTAATATTCTTCGTTAATTCAGCGGCGACCCAATTTGTCTCATCTTTCTACCCAGCAATCAATTCGAACCGTGAATCCATCAGCTCCTACTACGCTCCAGCACCCTCACCAGTCCTGTTCAATGGCAACCCTGTCGCGGACGGCGCCGCCGTGCAAGAAATTTTCGTCCACCAAATGCCCGCAGCTGCATACGATGTCCAATCCTATGACTGCCAAATCATCAATCCCGCATACCCCACAATCACACCAACCGGTCCAAAGCCCCAGTCCGAAATGGGTGTCAAGGACATGTCGATCCTCATTCTCGTCAGTGGCTATGTGCGCTATGGAGAGGATCCCGATGCACCCCAGCGCGGATTCAGCGAGACCTTTGTCTTGGTGCCGAACCCATCATCTGACAAGGCCCGGGGTCGCAAAGAGTGGCTCATTCAAAGCCAGAACTTCCGCCTGGTTGTATGAGAAATAAACGGTACAAAAATGAAAATCAAGAACAAATAACCTTGAGTTACCGGAGGCGATCCCTCCGTCATGTTTTATGACGACAACGAAATGAACAAAAGTCCAGCGATCCCACCATTAATAGACGAAAGCGCGAGGATATGATTTGAAAGAAATCGAGTGGCATTGGGTATTATCTGCATATACCATGAGTCCTTCCAACGTTCTTCCTCTGTACTGTTTACATGATCAGCCCGAGGCACTTCAAAAGTGCGACAAATAGAGGCCAACAATTACACTTGCTTTGAGGCTTTCGCGTACGATGTATAACATCACCAGTGGCACTTTTGGCATAGCATGATTGTCTCAACAACAAAGCCTCCTTTTTTCCATCCATGCCACTGCTGAAACGAACGAAAAATAAGCACTATAGAGTGTTCGAATGACTCCTTTGGACATGTTTCCTCTATGGAGATTATTGTTGATCATCGGCTGTATAGCTAATCTGGAGGAGATATAAAGAAAAGAAGAATCCTAGATGCAAGATATCATTTTGTATCATCGACTACAGAGCATGAAATGAATAAGAAGAAAATTGTAAACATAAACAGGTGAGAGCTCACAGGCTAAAGTATGATTGTTCTGATTAGACGTCTATATTGAGATCTTTAAGTATTTGTCTGTTGCCAGGATCTGCTTCGTCTGCCTTCTCCGATAGACTTTATCGCCCTTGGACCTTCGTCGTCTCATTCTCTCTTTCTATCAGCTGATTATATGTATTAATTACCGCGCATCAAGATACTCGGGAATAGAAGATATAGGGGAAAAGTTGCCAAAATAGCAGTTGACTAGGTTGTATTATAAACTAAAGCTGGGGGTTTGATGATAGACAGTAAAAGGACAAAAGTCAAGGCAGAAACAGGCGAAAACAAGATATGAAAATCAGGGATCAGCCGCCGATTTACGCGGGATACGAAGATTCGCCTTCACTCTCTCTAGTAGCTCCTCGCGTGTGGCTTGCTTATTTGGTAGGAGTCCTCTCTGAAAAGCAGGGTCAGCGGTATTCAACTTGTATACGATGCCAACATACCGCACGCAACCATCTCGTGATTTCATCCAACGTCCAGTTCTCTGGATCTAGATGTTGTTAGCTACTGTATTCTACAAAGACCACTTTGTACAAACCTCCGGTTGGATCAGCTTGCGCGGGGAGAACATCACCGCCCCAAATGGAAATAGCTGCCACCGCGGTGACCATTCCTGCAAAGCCTGTTTGACAATTAGATGAAATCAGCTAGCTTGGCAGATGTTATTTACCAAGGAACAAATTCTACCAAATGTCAGAAGTCAAACTTTTAATGGACCACATGCATATAGGTTGTCATACCTTTGAGTTAAGAGCCCGATCTAAGGGGGTCGGCATCTTGAAGAAGGATATAACACAACCGAGGCGCGCGTAAAGAGTTGATCGGGTGGATATCAAATTACTGAGTTTTGAAACCGAATTCAAGGATATTTAAGGTCTTGAGAGGACACGATGCAGAAGACAAGTATCCAGTATCAGCAACTTCGATGTATGCGGGTGCACCGCCACCCACGCCACCCGTTGCTGCCTCATCACGAACTATATGCTCTTTCCACCATCAACTTCAATAAAAGTAAACAAAATGAATTTGGAACTTGCGCCAGCTGTCTCGGTTTCTTCCCACTATCCTAATCCTGCTTCATCATATCTATATCCTTATTCTGTTATTGATCAATGCCCTGGAGACGGTCATGATTGACGAAATGGAAGCTGTGATCTTCTTGACCTCTGTCACCTTCATCATTGCGGTGGGAAGTTCCATCATACAAGGGTACAGTTGGTCTTATATGCGGCGCAATGGTAGGGATTGACATGTTGTGTACAGGATTGCCTTCTGGAAGCGTTATAGAGTACGCCTGCATGTTATGACCAAAGCAGTAACTCCAGTTGCTCACAGCGTGGACGAGAGCTCCGACATCGAGGCAAATATGCCAATTCAAGGACCGAGGCCATTGTATCATTCACGTTTTGGGAGTCGAGCACCACGACGATGGACCGGTTACACGGACCGACGATTTCAGCCAGTCCATGTCGACAAATACATGTCTGACTATCCCTTTGCGTCCTACCAGATCCCCGAGACTACAGCACTCGGAACAATCAATCACATGCCTCCGCTCCCCGTCCCGCAACACCCAGCCACAAACATTCCAGCCACACCACTCGCCACCGCCTTCACACCTGAGGCACCACGTGACTAAGCTAGGGCTTTCTCCGCACGAAACCCTAAAGTGATCCGCACAATTCACCGGTCTAGGTCGACAGTGAGCTTCTTCCTCTGTACCTTGCAACCATACACCAACCGTCATCATGCCTGCCGAAGTTTCCGATATCAAGCAGTTCATTGAGATCTGCCGCCGCAAGGATGCCTCCTGTACGTGTTGGAGTTCTGGAGAATGTCGGGGAAGCTGGTGAAGTTCGATGCTGACTGTTCTATGTTTAGCTGCGCGCATCAAGAAGAACCGCAAGAACCAGCAGACCAAGTTCAAGGTTCGCTGCCAGAAGAACCTCTACACCCTTGTCCTGAAGGACTCCGACAAGGCCGACAAGCTCAAGCAGAGCCTTCCCCCTGGTACGTTGCGATCGCATCCCGCCGATTGAGATGTGGAGGGATTCGGCTCCACATTTCTGAAGGATTGGACTTGGTTCAGCATAGGTTCCATGCTGACAGTTATTTTACAGCCCTCAAGGTCGTCGATGTCACCAACGGCACCAAGAAGACCAACTAAATTGGTTGACCATGGAATGAATGGAGGATCGGAGTGCGGCGCGATTGGTTGATGCATGCAAGACCAACTGTTGGAAGGATACATGGAATGGACATGGTCCTTCTGCGAGCCGACACGGGGATCACTTTGTGGCGTGGGGCACGACTTTCGCGCCGGAGGTTTCTTTGCGTCTTTCAAGACCGGCTGCAGTTTCTCACCGGTTAGACGACTCGCATTTTCTGGGCGCACTCGAGGAATGCTTTTGTCGGAGCATCCAGTCCCTACACATCAATGAAAAAAACAGTTGAAATATCATTACCGGGTTTCTCGCTATCAGTCGAGACTTCCTAATCCATTATTCTCTTCTTGGATGACTTCCACTATGAGCTATTTGCGCAATGCAACAAGTAGATGTATTTTTGCCCTAGTAAGACAAGCAACTGTTCATGTCAGACTCGCAACCGCTCTGCTGGAATACATGGATTTTGTTTTGATCTTTCCTTTGAAGCTGACTGATTGCAGTTCTATTGTCATGACATGTCTGGGTTTCAAGCCTCCGGCTTGCTTGCTGTTTTACTTGTTGATTGCCAAGACCTATTTAGTCCGCTTTTACTCAAAGGATTCATCATGCTGAAAGACCTTTTTATCTCTCTATCCCCGATGCATCGTTCAATTTACGTTGCAGAACGTACACAGGCACACCCGTCGGAGCATTTCTGCCCTGGAATCGGCATTTGCAATGGTTCTTCGTCGCTCTGAAAGACCGTTGTTCAACTGGATTGTTTTCGTTTTATCACAAAGCCATTGTTCAAAGACAAAGAACCATATACGTTCTACAACATGTTCATTTAAAACCCAGAAACTAGGAACTCTTTCGGCATGTCTCGCCTCACCTATATGAGAATCATGTGTACCTTCGGGGTATACAGTCCTTCGTCGTCATCTCCACCCGAATTCAAATATTCAGCTTTCCAAATCAAACCCCTTGCAAACAACGACTGAGAGATCAAGGATATGGCATCTGGACGAAGCGGAGGCCACCTCGGTGAGCTCGGCAGACTCCCAAACGAGCTGCTCTGGCAAATACTCGACCATATGATCCTAGACGATTCCAAAATCACCCATGAAGGTATCTGCGGACTCTGGTCTCTTATGAGGACCAACCAGGCCAACACTGAACTTATCAAAGAGGGTTATTTGATCGGCACTCGGTTGGAGCGCCTAAAGGCCGAAATCGGCTCTGTGACGCTATATATCGATATCGACACCGCTACGGACGCCATTGGCCATGCGCCACCTGACATGGTCGGGGGCACTCCTGGTGAGGAGCGCGATCTACTTACGAGCATCATCAAGGCAGATTGTGTAGAGTGCTACCACGGCATTCGCGCTCTCGTTCCGGAGTTTTCTTTGATGTGCCACAACGAGAAAGGTTGGTCACTCTTTGCCGTGGCTGTTGAAGCCAACGCAAGGAAGATCATTCACCGGTTTATGACTTCTGACCCCCCGGCTGATATCGCGCGGTTTCTCTTTAATAGGCCTCATCCTGGGTCCGCGTGGAACATGTCTAATCTCGGGTTCACTATCCTTTATCAAGATGCCTACACGTTTGTTGCTCTTTTTCGATACCTGCAGGCTACTGTGCCTCTGATTACACTCAAGCAGATTTTCGAGTCAAAACTGACTGATAGAATACGACGGGACCTGATTCAACTCATGGATCCTGATCTTGAGCGGATGTTCGAACAAGGTAGTATTGTCATCCGCCGCTGGGGTCTGATTTACTACTAGTAGAATATTAACGATGGACTTTGGCCTATATCTGATTACAAAAAAAGACAATAGAGCTGAATAACATGATGGAATTCTTTAGATTCGATAGAAACTTTTGGTTACGATAGATTTTATGAATACGGCGGACTGAACACAAGAACTTCCACTGCAATCAAAGTGTAGAGCAAAATTATTGAAATTGTAGTATGTATTGAATTTCCAGGTAAATCTGTAGAATTCCAAGGGTTTTTTGTCTGATATTAAGATAGGCTGCCGAAAAGTACCATCGATAAACAGACACAGTTATGAGTTTGTTATATTTATGCGTTTGGCTCTTTATTCCCTTTGGCACCTTTGTGTTCTTTTAATCTTCATTTCATTTATGATACCGAAGGATTACAATCCGCTTTGTGCTAACCCTTCTATAGACTTAATCCCATCGCACATACACAATGCATTGTCGATCTTTTGTCTCTTCTCGGTTCTTTTATGCCATTTCCTCATTTTATTCAATGTTCACTCTCGAAAGGTCCACGAAACAACATGACCAGACCAGAAATATATAAATGCTTCCCCCACGGAAGAAGCCACCATCAAAACTGACCACGTTGATCTTTTTGATTCTTGAAACAACGCTTTCTCACAGAAAGCACTAAGCTGTCAACACCAAACATGGCTTCCCGCGCGCTGGCCCTTGGTGATCTTGGTACAAAATTTCCCTTGGAGCTTGTTGAAATGATACTCCGTAGTGTCGGAGACAAGCCCAACAGGTTAACGCACAAACAAATCCATGACCTCAATGCCCTGCGAAGAACTAACAAAGCTACTAACGAATTCATTGAGGGCTGGATTATCATGCAGGTTAAAAGGATTAAGACATTTTCTAGTGCAACAGCAGCACTAGAAGTCATGAGCGATGCTCAAATCAAAGCGATTGAGGTTCCAGGTAGCCCAAGGTTTGTGCCCAATGATGCCCTCACCGAAGCAGTCATTGAAGATTGCTCCTCCTGCGTCGACGGTATTTGCAATATTCTGGAGATCCCTGGGCCTGACCGGCCCAACCTGTGCAATCAGCAAGGTTGGTCTCTCCTTTCTTTGTCCATTGACTCTGCCGAGACCTATCGCAGTTTGTGTTTGATAAATTGCGGTCTTTTTGGAGATATTCTATGAAAAGGTACAAGCGAGCCCAGAAAAAAAAAGCAAAAGGCAAAAGTTAAAGAAAATACAATTTCTTTGAAAAGCAGGACATTGACACTGCTTTCAAAATAATTAATCGAAAATGATAAACAATTTAATTTTGTAAATATCTCATATTCCTATGTATAAATCTTAAAATTAGATCGTAACCACCAGTAGATCGTTACTCTTCTGGCCACGGGCTTGTAGAGTCCTATACCTCTGACATAGACCATTCCCTTTTACTTGGCGTGTCGCATCAAGCCTTGGCATAAGACTTACCCCAGGATTCTACCAGCGTGACAAAGGTTATATAGTGTTTCGTATTCCCACCGGGCCGATTACCCCGGATCTTCATGTATACTGCCCCTCTTTGCTGCAAAAAGGCAGCCATGGAGAGTGTCTAGGAGACTTGGATGGGCTTGTAGATCCTATATAGGTGACGGTCTGACCTCCGTTCCTCGTAGCGAAAGACTTGAATTGGATGGAACTTGATATCAAGCCCAGTTGTTGATAGAGAAATATTATATCTTCTGCCTGGCTCAAATGAGGAGGCCAAGGATACTTACTGCTTAGGCTGAAAGCTCTTTATAATATGGAAGTAGCAACATAGTCATGTGCAGCCAAACCGGGCACTGTATACATAGGATCGAATGTATATGTTCCCGTCCCGAAGCGAGCATAACGTTTTGTGCATTCTGTCTGTCTTACTTTAGCCTCAATCATTTCAATCGTATAAAGAGCATAAAGGTCGCGCGGGAGAGGTACGGCGGAAATTTCTAGCGTATAGTTGTGTTGCTATACTCCAATGCGTAGAGTATTTCCACTGCTGTAAATTGCCATAGATGACTCCTGTCAAAGCAAAGTGGCGTAAACGCATGACTCTTCGCTATACGTGCAACCGGCTATATAGAATGCAGGGACCCCTCCAAGTGCCCATTAGAGAAAGGGGATTGCTGCATAGTCACTGTATACTCAATATCCACCAACTGGAAAAACAGTGAACAAAGGTATAGTGAAGCAAGCTAAGATGTCTGTTTGAGACTATTCCTATATCAAAGCGGACCTCCTTTCGAAAAGGAATCTTCGGATAATGTCAATTCTACGTAAACAGAAGGCCACAACACGTATAAAGATGCTGAAGTCCCTGCGGTACTAGATATTCATGAGAACGAGAAACCAGACTTGATACCAACAGACAATCTTAAGACAATGGCACCCTCCCAACTACCCACCATCGCAACGATTCTTGGCCTAGCAGCCTCTGTTGCAGCCCATGGCTATATTTCCAGCATCCTGGCCAACGGCCAAAAGTATGCCCAACCCGAAAACCGTATTCCATCTCTTACCCATGTAACAACCTAACCGTCCACCAGCTACACCGGATACATAGTCGACAAATACCCATACATGACCTCACCGCCGCAAAGTATCGGCTGGGCTACAACAGCAACAGATCTCGGCTTCGAAGCCCCAACAGAATACCAAGAGCCAAACATAATCTGCCACCGAAATGGGGTAAACGCCGCTCTCAGCGCCCCAGTAACTGCCGGCTCGGACATCGAACTACAATGGACGACCTGGCCGGACTCACACCATGGACCTGTGATCACCTACCTGGCAGCTTGTACCAACGGGGACTGCAGCACAGTCGACAAAGCCACGCTGAAATTCTTCAAGATAGCCGAACGGGGTCTCGTGGACGATTCAATTGTCCCTGGGACCTGGGCCACTGATGAATTGATCGCTGCTGGGAACCGATGGACTGTGACGATTCCTTCGACTATCGCTTCTGGCAACTATGTTCTGCGAAATGAGATCATTGCGCTTCATTCGGCTGGAAACTTGGACGGGGCGCAGAACTATCCGCAGTGCATCAATTTGCAGGTGACTGGTGGTGGCAGTGAAGTGCCTGCTGGTACGCTTGGTGAGGCACTGTACACCGACACTGATCCTGGGATCTTGATTAGTATTTATCAGACGCTGAGTTCGTATATCATTCCTGGTCCGGCTTTGTACTCTGCTTGAGAAGCTTTAGGATACCAGGGAGTGGGATCTGTCATTACAGGCTGTGATTATGATTGATAGTCCTTTCAGAGTATCTGATTGCTATTTACATACTTTCCATGAACATCTATTCAGTCCTCTCATAAGGCAGAGCCACAAAGTCCATAACCGCAGCCTTCTTAAGGGCACCATCAACACCACCAAGACTCAAATCCTTGCGTCTCAACTCAAATTCTCCAAAGAAGTTAGGCTCGGAGTCAACCTTCTCAAACTCCAAGCCCTCAAACAAAGCCAAGCTCCGCGCATTCTCCTTCCCAATTTTCACACTTAGACACTCAAACTCCAGCGTCGAAGCCGTCGCCGACTCAGTGTCGTTCGTCTCAACCTCAACTCCAGTTCTCAATGCCCGGACAGTCTTAACATCGACTCCGCCCCCAGAAACAAACTCCTCCAGAATAGCTCCCTGATACTGAACGATATACCGCATAAACATCAACAATGCCGCTCTCCCAAATCCACGACGCTGATTGTTTTTCTCAGCAATCATGAGCTCTACTTCGCCGACAATTTTCGGTGGGGAGTCCCCTTCTTCGCCATCATCAACACGAAGGAACAGCTACAGACGAATTAGTACATAGTTCTCTCTCTTTCAAAACGAGCATTTGGAATGTGAGATAGGATATTATGTTGAATTCCACGGCGGAACAACTTCATCCCATGACATACATTGATATCTCCAACCATATTCGGCGGTCCATCACTCTCAGTTTGAAGTTGGTATTGGCTAGTTTCTTCTCCTGTACCGGCCGTCGAGAGCGGCCGGCAGACGATAAAGGTCAGTTTGTCTGCATCTTGTCTCCAACTAGATTGCATGGCGTATTCTTCTTCTATAGTGAGAGGTTCAGATGCGGTTGCTTCTTGGATTTCCTACGGTCTGGTTAGTATTCTGACTTGACGGTATGTGGTTGGTATGTAGAGTTGCTTACTGGGTCTTTCATCCATTCGTGGTACTGGGGAACGTGCCATGATGAGTATGGGACTAGCAGGGCTTTGGAAGATGAGAGCGCTATTTGAAATTGGATTAATTAGTATACTCGTTTTATGCATTATGCATGTTTTCTGCGTGGGTATAGATGTGGATAACTTTGGAGGTGGAGGGTGCGGTACCAATGTTGGCGTTTAGCAGCATTATGGCGGAGGTTTGCTATTTTCTGTATAGACCAATGTGATCGGGTTTTACCCTGGGTGTATGTCTCACTCGGAAAACTTGCTCTGATGTCTATCTGGCTCAACAGGATATTTGAGGTCGGAAGTTGGTGGGATTGATTTCTTTCCTATGTGGGGCTCGGCGGGCCAACGAGCTGTCGCAACTCAATCTATACAATCTCTTGGATATTTCGAACAACGGTGTGAAAATGTAATCAATACCATATGTTGTGGTTTAATGGGTATTTCTATCTGTTTACTTTTGTTCTTCTTGTCCCTTGAATACACCAAATTTGACCACCTCGACCTCCAATGTCTCGGTGTCGACTAGAATCAGCTCACCCGTCTCGTTGAATTTGGGAACGGCAAGCAGTCGGACACGGGGGACATCCGGTTTATCGTTGGTATCCATCATTTCAGTGTCCCCATCTAATCGGAGAGGGGAATCGCCTTCAATGGTGGCAGTCTTGAATGATGGCTGATTACCAGCGAAGAAGATGTGCGGGCAGGTTTTCAGAACAAACGGGTCATCCGTCTGGAATGGATATGACCCTAATTGGATTGTTAGTATTCAGGTTTGTTTTCTTGATCAGCGGTCAAACATACAGATTGTGTCAGGCGCAGTCGGAACGCCGCATCGCCAGCGAAGCATGGCTTCCATGACTCGAACCCGGGACTCAGAGTCGTCTGTCTCCCCGTCGAGGCTGAGCTCAGTGCCCTCAAAGTTGAGGTATCGGAGAACATCGTCAACGTTCTGTCCACTGCACCCCCATACTCGCCATCCCTCAACATCGCCTTCCCAAGGGTTGGTGACACTGTCAAACCAGCCTGCTTCAGGCTCGTCTTCACCACGAACCGGAGGCGCAGAGTATGCCCTAGCCTGGGGGAACATGGCGCGATGGATTCCCTGCTGAGGGAGAGAAAAGTTTGCGGGGTCCTTATCACCCGGCATGAGAGTCACGGGAATACTGGGCAGGATCTCTGCTAGGAAATTGTCAAGTTGTGTGATGGGCGACGGGTTGTACGCGGAGGCGTCATATCCGTACTTTTTCGGCGCGGTCTTCTTTGCAATGGCGCTCTGGTCAGAGTCAGCCGCGGCATTAACAGTCACACTGGCGCCGAGTGAGTTGCCTGCAATAATCAGGCGAGTGATCTTTGATGGACTTGTCAATGGGCTGTCAGCACCCGAGAAACCGCTGTAGCCCAGAAGGTAATCCGTCAATAGCTCCAAAGTCAGTGTGTCGCTCGATGTTCCTGTAATTCCCAATCCACTGATGAAAGCAATCTTGCCACTTTGCTTCTCGGCATCTGGTCCATTTAGTGAGGTGCCCTCCCATCGCTGAGGCTGCGGTGCCAGATCTGGCAGCTTGACATCGATAACTTCAAAGTCGCCATTGGCGTTCTCCGTACCCAAAGCGGCAATGATAGCACCTGTAGCGAACTGCGTTGTCCGTAAGAAGTTGCCCGTAAGCATCAGTCGACCCGACTCATCCTCCAACATAATTTGGGTCGAAGAGGGATCAAGAGGGTCAGTGTATGTGCGGCGAGGAGGGGGAGCGGAGGTAAAGTTCTATGATGATCAGTCAGAATACCCCCGTAGCAGATGACATTTAGGAACAAAACCAACCTCTTTCGTAAGGTCGTCCAGAATGTTCGGCTTCATTGGCAGATCCATGTACACCGTACCGGCCACCCAGCACAGCTCTCCCTGTCGCACATCAAGCACTCGATCAACGCGTCGAACCTTCTCTCCAGCAATCTAGAGTCCCATAGCAGTCAGAGATGTCGCTCACATGAAGCTCTCGCAGTGTTGAGAGTTCTCACAATAAGTCCCTCCCAAGCGTCCGTCGCAACTTGTTCAACCGTGGGCTTCAACTTGGCCAGTCGCAAAAAGTACATGTCGCCATATTGTTGCTTATAGTGCCTTCCTTGGCCGGCGGGAAGACGGAAAGTGTGAAGAGGGTTGTAATGAGAGGGTACGCGGTAGACTGGTTCCTGATCTTGTTCCTCCTTGCTATTTGGAGGGCGTTCGCGGTCAGCCGGAGCTTTGATTTGGGAATATTTCACATTGTAAGTAAGAGAGAGATGAGCGCAATTACCTTGGAGGACACAGGAAACCGTAGTCGTTGTCCGATTTCATTTTCGCAAGATGTGCGGAGTTGAGGAGGGTTGACGCGTGATCGCGTCAATTGGCGCGTTCAATTACATTCCGCTTTGGGTCGACCCAACTGAGACAACCTCTATAAAAGTGACATTGTATGGGATTTTGATCTTTTGTGATTTTTGTATTTGATATTTCATGGCAATAGTAAGATAGAGTCAATCAGGGAGCTCATCAAATCGCATAGAAGTGATAAAAAGCTATAACCAGTGCAGTAACTATACTTTAAGAGGTATGAATTGTAGAAATAGCAAATTGACTTACAGTCTAAGCCTGCAAATAGGGTATAATTCACATATGCAGTTCATAAAGCACAATGCGTAGATCGCCCATGCTGCCTCGGTCCGTCTCAATAGCTTCGAGCTATCCGAGGAAAGTGCAGTTTCCCCTCTTTGAACATGCCAACAGCATCTATATCATGCAAGCGATCTACTCTCAGCGTGTCAACAAACACCTCTGACCAAATCTGCCCAAACCAGAAATACCCCACACTTTACTTCTCAACCCTCAAATCTCCAGTCTTCCACAACCAGTCAAATTATACAAGACACAATATCGAAAATGTCACTCCAAACACCCCTCTGCAAGCTCCTTAAAATCGAACACCCAGTCCTTTTAGCAGGGATGGCGCGGGCTTCAGGCGCCCCCTTAGCTGCAGCAGTATCCAACGCCGGTGGTCTGGGAACAGTAGGTGGACTAGGCTACACGCCCGAGCAGCTCAGTGAGATGCTTACAGAGCTGAAATCTCTATTGCGCGATCCATCTCTACCCTTCGGTGTAGATCTCGCTCTACCACAAGTTGGGGGATCTGCGCGTGCTACAAATCACGACTACACCCACGGTCAGCTGGATGAGTTGGTCGAGGTTGCCATTCGGCACGGCGCAAAACTCTTCGTTTCGGCTGTTGGTGTGCCACCTGAAAAGACTATCAAGCGGCTACATGAGGCCGGTATCTTGATCATGAATATGGTTGGCGCACCGAAACATGCCGAGAAGGCGCTCAAGCTTGGCGTTGATATTGTTTGTGCACAGGGTGGAGAAGGTGGCGGGCATACTGGTGATGTGCCATTCTCTGTTCTTGTGCCTGCTGTTGTTGATGTTGCCAAGCGGTATAAGAGTCCGTTGACCGGCCAGCCGGCGTTGGTTGTTGCAGCCGGTGGCGTGAACGATGGACGCAGTTTGGCGGCGTCGTTGATGTTGGGTGCTGCTGGTGTTTGGGTAGGCACGCGCTTCGTTGCTTCGGAGGAGAGTGGTGCTAGTCGGTTGCATAAGGAGGCTGTTGTTGGGGCTAGGTATGGTGAGACCAAAAGGACTTTGGTTGTTAGTGGTCGACCGTTGCGCATGTTGCCTAATGATTATGTGAAGGAGTGGGAGGCCAGGCCTGGCGATATTGCTAAGTTAACCGCCAAGGGTGTTGTGCCTATGATGGATGATTTGGAAAATGAGAAGGATATTGATATGCCTTTCCTGATGGGTGATGTGTCTGCCAGTGTTACGGCTATCAAGCCGGCTGGGGTTATTGTCAAGGAAATGGTGGAGCAGGCGGTTGATATGCTGAAGATTGGTGGCTCATTCATTACCACGGGGGCTGTTAGCAAGTTATAAAGATTTGACATGTCTATTTATTGTGGATAATAATGTTACTTGTACAAAAAAAAAAAAACATGAACATCAACGTGCAGTGCGGAAAGACATTGAAAATATGTCTATGGATTGAGTGAAGATCGTATGAAGTAGCGGGAAACAGACGTACAAGCCTCTTTCTTGATACAGCTAACGAATCAAGAGGACATGTCTTTGCACCCAAGCAGACTCGCCGAGACTAAAGAACAAATGTATCCCTGCAAGGGTAACCAATTGAGCTCATAAATCACATCAGACCAATCTTTACAATGCATATTCGAGAAGTTTAATGACAGCCATTAACCACCGCATTTCCGTTTGCTCGAGCCTCTAGCAGGTTGGGAGGCGGAGTTGGGCCAAAGACGGGCTTCTCTGGGGGTTGGTCAACTCGAGGTGGTTCGAGGTCGTCCTCATCGCTCATGTCCTCTTCATCGTCTTCGTAATCATCATCGTACTCGCTTTCAGTCCCTTCGTCATCGCCTTCCAAGTGATCATCGCCTTCGGCGAGAGCTAGGCCCTCGCCACGGCCCTGGGCTTGCATGCGTCGACAAAGGGCTTCCAGGTGGTGGCACTTGCGTCTCCATCTTTCCAGCTCCTCATGATTCCGAGTTCGTTCCTCTGCCATTTCGAGAATGTTGCGGTTGGTTTGCTCGTGCTTGCGGTTGAGGGTATGATTCTCCTTCTCCAAGCGCTTAGTCTTCTTGGACATTTCTTCCATTTCTTTGCGGAACGTTAGGAAAAGGTCGTTGCTATTGTTCAAAGTATCCTCGACCTGCAGTGGTCAGTGAAAATACTACCAACATATAATGCATCAAATACCTGTTTGAACTTCTCCACATAGATGTTGAGTTGACTGCGTAACTCGGCTTCAGTGTGAGAAAAAGTTGAGACCTGCGAGGTCAGAGCCCGACATCGGTTGTTCTCGACCTCACTGACCCGGCGCTGATCTTCAAACTTGGAGGCCAGACTTGAAATCTCGGAATCCTTGCTACGCAGAAGACCCCTGTAATGCATATCGCGGGTGTCAAACTGCTCACTAATAGTCTTGAGCTTAGCACGGAGACTGAGCGTTCGTCAGTATGTTGTAGTCCCAAAAGAGGATAGTGGAACCATACGCTTCGTCCAAATCAACATCGACCTTCTCGCTACGAGGGTTTCCTTTGGCTGCCATGACATCTTGAATATCGTAGAGAAGCGAATCAAGTCGTTCATTGACGATCAAACGAGCTCGCTTCTCATTATCTTCCAGTTTCTTATTTTCATCCTGCCGACAGGTTCAGCCTACAGTTCGGGGCGTGGCAGTATTGCACAATCATCTGCCGCAGTGACGGACTCACCTTGATTTTCTTGTTTTCCTTTGTAAGCTCCCGACACAACTTCTCCAGTTTGTCTTTCATAGTCACGGATTTGCTGAGATCGGATTTTCCCTTGTCCTGCTCCTTCTGCAGTTGGTCCGCTCGCTTCTTGCTCTTGGAGTAATCGCGATCCAACTTCTTCATATCCGACAACAATTCGGCGTATTTTCTCTGAACAGCCTCCAGGCGACTCATCGGCGATTCCATGGTGCTCAGCAGTGAATGAAGATCCCGCGTGGCTTTCTTGACTTCGCGCTCTGTATATCAGACCCATGTTAGTGACTCAAACTCCACACGGACTATCTCCGCAGTCCAGCGGTATCATGCAAGCCGTGAAATGTCATGAAGTCGCATAAAGCAAAGGGAGTCACGCACCAATTTCCGCCTCTTGATCCTTCTCGCCGGCGGCATCTTGCTCCAACTGCGAGATTTTGGCGGCCAAAAGTTTGGACGTTTCGTTGGGATCGGCCGCCTTCTTTCCCTTATTCTTCTTCGCCATAGCGGTGGACGACATGCTCGCGGGTCTGCGGAGGTCGCAAGTTCACGTATTCGGTGGGCTGTTCGATCGATATTTCCGGAAAGAGCGCAGAGTGGAAGACCGGGGGAAGAATCAGATGCGTCAACAGTGACGTCCAATCCCAGAGACAAGTTTTCCGCAAAGGTTACAGGGCTCCGGGATGTCGAAGAAGTCGCGGAAGTTGAATCTCGAGTAGGAGTGACCGTGGACCGGAGATCGAGGGGTATTGGTCATCTATGTCTCGAAGACCGGGGGTAGTCCTCAAGACACGAGATCTAGAGAAATCAGCAGAATCCTGGTGGTTTTGGTTAATTGAGCGTCCGTCTCGAAGTTCCCTCCAGTCAACGTCAAGGTTCTCGCTGTTCAGTCACGGGTGATGAGTAAGCTGTACATTCGACGGGGAGGCTCGGCCTTCTTACTTAATCTACGTCCTTCCGCATATTTAGTTCTGCTTTCTTCTGATCTTTACTGCTTCGACTGTTTCAAACCCTCCTTTTACGTTCTGCATCTTGCCTGGATTGAAATGCTCATTTAATATCCTCACGATTAATACACAGCATGTTGCGCTCATCGATGCGCCTCGGCACGGCGCGAGTGCCTGCCGCTCGTCAGCCTCTCAGTACTCGTACACTGAAAGCCACCACGATCCTTCCACGTCACACTTGGGCAAGAGCCGCCTCAACAGTAACCAACTTGGAGAACTTCCCCAAGGTTGGTGAGAAGCTCCATGGCTTTACCATCCAAGAGAAGAAGCATGTGCCGGAGCTTCATCTAACTGCGGTCTGGTTGAAGCACGACAAGACCAATGCGGACTACATGCATGTGGCACGAGACGACAAAAACAATGTATTTGGAATTGGATTCAAGACAAACCCACCGGATGCTACTGGTGTACCTCACATTTTGGAGCACACCACACTTTGTGGAAGTGAAAAGTAGGTGACATGGCAGAACGTGAACACTTGGAAAAGTTAGCTGACTCAATGTTCTTAGATTCCCGATTCGAGACCCCTTCTTTAAGATGCTTCCTCGTTCGCTGTCCAACTTCATGAATGCCTTTACAGCCTCCGATCACACCACCTACCCCTTTGCTACAACCAACCAGCAGGACTTCCAGAATCTTCTGTCTGTCTACCTCGATGCGACATTACACCCTCTTCTTAAAGAATCAGACTTCCGCCAAGAAGGATGGCGCCTGGGTCCTGAGGATCCCCGCGCCGCGGAGGCTGAGAAGAAGGCTCAACTGGAAGACATTGTTTTCAAGGGTGTTGTGTACAACGAGATGAAGGGCCAAATCTCAGACGCAAACTACCTTTACTACATTCGGTTCAAGGAGAGTATCGTTCCTTCGCTGAACAACTCTGGTGGAGACCCCGAATACATCACAGATCTCACCCATAAACAGTTGACCGATTTCTCGAAGCGTAACTACCATCCCAGCAACTCCAAAATTCTCACGTATGGTGATATGCCACTTGCGGATCACCTGAAACAGGTTGGCGCTGTGCTGGATGGCTTCGAGAAAGGCCAGGCCGATACTGATGTCAAGAAGCCCTTGGATCTCAGCCAAGGCCCGAGAAGTGTCACTGTTTCCGGACCTATTGATACATTCGCCGCCGAAGACAAGCAACACAAAACCTCTACTTCTTGGTACATGGGTGATACTACTGATATTGTGGAAACATTTTCCGTTGGCATTGTTTCCTCGCTTCTGCTTGATGGTTATGGCTCGCCTATGTATCGGGCTCTTATTGAGAGCGGTCTTGGCTCTTCATTCACACCAAACACTGGTCTTGACCCGTCAGGCAGAACCCCCATATTCTCGGTTGGTCTCAACGGCGTGAGTGAAGCGGAAGCCCCGACGGTCAAGGACGTTGTCCAGAAGGTCTTCCAGGAGACTGTTTCGGCTGGCTTCAGTGATGAGAAGGTCCGTGGATTCCTCCATCAATTAGAGCTTTCTCTGCGCCACAAGACCGCCAACTTTGGAATTGGCGTCATGGAGAAGACTATCTCATCGTGGCTCAACGGCTCGAACCCAATGAAAGAGCTTGCGTGGAACGACGTTATTGAGGAGTTCAAGGCCAGATACGCGCAACCTGGTTACCTCGAATCTTTAGTGCAAAAGTATCTCATCAACGACCAATGCATGACCTTCACTATGGTTGGCACACCCACCTTTAACAAGGAGTTGGACGACAAGGAAGTTGTCCGAAAGGACAAGAAGCTTGCGCAGCTCATTGAGCAGCATGGATCTGTTGAAAAAGCCGTGGCTCACCTTGGAGCAGAGGAGTTGGAACTCCTTAAAATCCAGGAAGATGCTCACAATGCCGATTTGAGCTGTCTCCCGTCTGTGAGAGTGAAGGATATCTCGCGCGAGAAGGAACGCAAGCCTCTCCGTGAGTCAAAGATCGATAGTGCCGACGTTGTCTGGCGTGAGGCCCCCACGAATGGCCTGACCTACTTCCAAGCCTTGAACGATTTCGTCGATCTCCCCGACGATCTTCGCCTGCTTATGCCTCTCTTTAACGACTGTGTCATGCGTTTGGGAACTGCCAACCGGTCTATGGAGCAATGGGAGGACTTGATCAAGCTCAAGACTGGCGGTATTTCGACTTCATCCTTCCTTGTCTCTTCGCCAAACCACCTGGATCAATTTAAGGAGGGTATGCAATTCTCTGGCTTCGCTCTTGATCAGAATATTCCCGAGATGCTGGAAATGCTCTCTGTGCTGGTCACTGAGACTGACTTCACGAGCCCTGCTGCACCCGCCATGATCCAGGAGCTGTTGCGAATGACCACCAACGGAGCCCTGGATTCTATTGCCGGAACTGGCCACCGTTTCGCAGTCAATGCGGCGGCAGCCAGCCTCTCACCTACCTTCTGGATCCAGGAGCAACAATCTGGTCTGGAGCAGTTGCAAGCCACTGCCAATCTCCTTCGCGATGCTGAGTCCTCTCCCGAGCGTCTACAGGAGTTGATTGAAAAGCTTTGCCTGATCCAGTCCTTCGCCATCTCTTCTTCCAACCTTCGTGTTCGTATGGTTTGCGAAAAGGAAAGCGCCAGCAGCAATGAGTCTATCTTGCAGAGGTGGATCTCTGGACTTCCCCAGTCCCGCTCTCCGGCCTCCACCCCGGGAAGCTCGACCTTCCGTCCAGTAAACAAAGCCTTCTATGACATGCCATACAAGGTATACTACTCCGGCCAAACTAGCCAAACTGTGCCGTTCGTCGACCCCTCCAGTGCTCCTCTCAGCGTCATGTCACAGCTTCTCACCCACAACTACCTCCATCCCGAGATCCGCGAGAAGGGAGGTGCTTATGGTGCCGGTGCTAGCAATGGTCCCTTGAAGGGTCTCTTCACCTTCATGAGTTACCGTGACCCGAACCCTCTGAACACTCTGAAGGTGTTTAAGAACAGCGGTATCTTTGCCAGAGACCGTGCTTGGTCCGAGCGTGAGATTGAAGAGGCCAAGCTTGGTATATTCCAAGGCCTTGATGCCCCCGTCAGTGTCGATGATGAAGGTAGCCGCTACTTCATGAGTGGTGTCACCCACGAAATGGACCAGCGCTGGAGAGAACAGGTCTTGGATGTCACTGCCAAGGATGTCAACGAGGCGGCTGATAAGTTCCTGGTGAACGGATCTCGTCAAACGACTTGCATTCTTGGTGAGAAGAAGGACTGGGCTGACGCCGAATGGGATGTTCGCAAGCTTTCCATGGATGGACAGAACGGTGCCGCTACCTCTGCATAAGTGACGACTGCCTATTCTGCCGCTTTCTATCCTGTGAAGTATGATCTTCATGATGCCGATGTATCATGAGGATACTTGTAACACTACTCAGCCTCCCGTGTACTTTTATGTCTGCCTCTGAACACCTATCTTGTACATATGTTCCTATATCCGAGTTGTATAGATCTACTCTTCTCTTTCTTCTGCTCATCCCATCGAACCCCCCTTCTCTTGCACCATCCCACCCGCGCTGATGATCTATACGTGCTTCGGCACAGAGCTTATCACATCTACAACCGGCTTCTCCTTTGGTTGCGAGATGTCGCATCATTTCCCTCGTGGAATATGCAAGCGCCAGAACAAAATGAACGTGAGCCCCTCGGCACACTTCGCATCTCCGTTTTCGGAACCGCCCTGGACCTAAGTCTACACAGGACGGACTAAAATCGGGAGAACATTTGTAAATTAGTATAGATTCCTAGAAATCCAAAACCGCGTTCCTGAAGCCTCAAATGGCACAGTTGTCATTGGGGAGCTCAGAGCGGAGAAAGTCTAATCTCACCCCTCACGTGGCCCTGATAAGCTCAACATCTCTTCTGCTTCCAAGATTCGCTCTGCCATTGACCTGGGTAATCTACTGTTTTACGTCTGGCAAGTCATGTAGAATCCTCCTTTTTCAAAATGAAGAGATCGAGCACTGCGGTGACGGTGGGCCCACGGCCGACCAAGGCATGTATAAATTGCCGACGATTGAAGGCATGTATACAAACAATGTTCCAAACCGGACATATCAGATCGACCAAAGCTAACAGTTTCATAGATGAAATGTGAAGTATCTGGATCTCCTCCTTGTCGCCGATGCAAACAGAATCAGGTACAGTGCGTATTCAAGCCACGGGCCAATGTAAGAACGTGATTCATGCAGATGCTGAGCGTATACTTATGTTTTATTCAGGCATCTGCTATACATGGCTTGATTGAGCTACAACAAGATGCAAACCTTGCATTTTTACCTGGAATCGCCGAGCATCAGTCAATTCTGAACCGATTGGCGAGAGTCGAGGCTGCACTGGGCATCAGCGAGAGAGAAGATGATGAGGTAGCGTCGTCCCATGGGAAAAGCCCCGAGGAGGAAGTGGACTCGGCCCCTTTGCAGGGGGTCTGGAAAGCCGTTGCTCAATTACGGATCATGACTCGTTCCTCTTCAGATGAAAGTGTCTGGTCCCAGCCTATTGTCAAGCAACTTTGGAGCTCGTATGTATCTTTCATTTGCTTGATCTACAAAAGTGCATTGCTAAGAGACATAAGATTTTTGAATAACTTGCCTCTTCTTCACTTCCTTAAAAGTCGTGATGTCTTTGCACGTCCAACGCCTCTCTTGCTTGCCTCGGTCTTGTATATCTCTGCGCTGCACCACCCATCTTTAGACCTGGCATCATTGGAAAAAACGTACTTTGCGGCAACTTGCCGTGCTATTGCAGAGCTTGTTGCTCCATCTTTGCAACCTTTTTCATCACAGACGACTCTGCACGAGGATGATCAACATGATATTTCTTCGCAATCGAAAACCCAGACCGCATTTCACAATATCCTTGGTTTGATCATGGCAAGTCTGAGCTCTGAAGCATATATTGATGCCACTGGGATGTGGATTTCCATGGCTTATCGCATCTGGTTGGATCATTGTCCCGCGGAAATGAACGCTACAATGCATGATTGGCGTGGTTTGTTTTCAGGTCTTCAGGTAAGCAAATAAAGAGCCAAGCCGTTGATATTTCACTCAGCTGAACTGTCAATAGGTCATTGACATCGAACATGCATCAATGCACATGTCCTACCCCCTGGTACCACGACATGCCCCTGCACCCGGAATTCAAAGGCTAGATAGCCACCAGGGCAATGCATTTCAGGGCCTCGCAGAAATGATGCATTACGGTCTAAGCCATTTTGTCGGCCGAGGATTGCCAACTATTTGGGCCTCCATCAATACGAATGAGACTGATATCATCACTGCCGTTCGAACTCCTTTTACTGAAAATGACTCTCAAGTGATCAGAGTCTGGGCACGGAAGCTGGATGACTGGCTGGTGCGATATAATGGCTCGTCTCGTGAGTGTCGTCCTCGGCATGGTTTTGATCTTTGAGTGTCTTGCTTACTATGGAAATATTTTAGAACCTACTCCATCTGACAGACAGGGCATTCTCATATTACTGCAATATCACCTACATAAGCTATACGTGCTATCAATTTATCATCCCGCGCGTGGATTCGATCTCAGCTCAACGGACATCAGCTCTGTGGAGAGACACGAACTACTTGTGTCGGCTCGAGCTGTATTAAGATTAAGAGAAGACGATGCAAGTATATGGTCGAACTGGGATCTGGTGGTAAGTCAACTCGAAATCGAATTATTTCCCTATACGGTCTGACCGTACAGATGATCACCTGGGCCGCCATACTCCTCCTTCGAGGCGTTGAAGACGGCATGACCCACCAGGACGGTATGTATAATTCCAAGAAAACACCAACGAACCAAATTTAATCTTGCGACAGACCTTCACTTGATCCAATCCCATCTTCAAAGCCTCGAACGCACAAACCAATCCGCAGCAAGCATTCACACAGTTCTTTTCCGTCGTCTTGAGTCCAGCATGCAGGCTATGCATACACCGCCAGATACCAGCGCGGCATTAGCACTTCCCGGACCTATTGCAAATGAGTCCTGGACCATATTTGACCAGGAAATTATGGCCCTTGCAAATCCACCGTGGTTATTTGATGAGAATTCCGTGCAGTATGATTTTACGCCGCAGGCTCAATGGGACTGTGCTGAGCAGGATGCCGGAGCCTTGCCGTCTACTTTGAACCGAATCTTTGGTGCCGATGAAAATGGTCAAAATGGTAGTTCTTCAATTTGATCCTTTTGAAGATATCGTGTTGAAACAAACGTGGGGATCATTATAGAGAGGAGGCAGTGGTTGTCTGGTCTGCTCTACAACATCACTTTCGCAATGATGGGGGTGTTGTCAAGCTGATTAGGACCTATCAGATGGGTGGGTGTTTTGATCGATCTTAGTTGAATATGAAGTAGTAGATCTCAAAGCAGTGACTCTCTGGATATTGATGCTGAGTTGCTTGAGCTGGTAATATGTGTGCTTAAGACTGAGGTCGATTGATTTAGACTCATAGTAACTGCGGTGGGTGCATTAATCCTTGCACTTGCATAACGTTATATGGACCCCCTTGGGTCATATTGGGAGCATTGAACTATGGGAAACTTCTTTTGGAATACCAATAATAATCGGAGCATCCCAAATCCAGGAAATTTATCAAGTCCATGGGACACAAATACCCCATTTAATAAAGAAGAATATGCAAGTTGAAACTTTCATTCGCGCGGATCAGCTCCCACATAACGCATTTTCCCTCGACTTGGGGAAGTAAAAGCCAACGTACGCTGGGTTCATAAGTGGCTCCTCTTTCGTGCATCCATACATGTCTATTGGCCAGACTAAGTCATGTCTGTCCAATCCAGAGGCTACATCTGTTAGACTGATGAATTTCCCGAGAAGCGGAACTTCAAGGAAACCTCTGGAGGGGCAAGTTGACACATTTAATTTTTATGTGATCGCACGGATAATTGCGATAAATTGGTCATTTACGCAGGACGAAAGCCAAGCTATTAGCACAAGCAGCCATGTCTCCTCTACCCAAGGACTATCAATTCACACACCCAGAGCTGAGCTATGAAGCCAAACCAAACTTTCAAACAGCGATTAAGGTCTCGGTGTTTTTCCGCAAGCTCGAGGGAATATCATACGACGACTTTTTCGCACACTGGCAGACAGTTCATGCAGATCTAACTGTTGCGACTCAAGCCTTCCAGGATCACATTCTTCGATATGTTCAGGTATGAAACTGTTTAGCACGATGCTTCGAACGAAAAGCTATGATACTGGGAAATCCTTCTACATAGCTATCTAACACTCGTTAATAGCATCACCAAACCCCCGAGATGAAAGCTCGACTTGCAAGTATCGGGGGCAATATGCTCGATTTTGACGCATGCGCGCACCTATGGGTGAAAGACTGGGATAGCTGGCTGGTCTTTTATAACAGCCCTGAATATGCCGCCGCACTTCTTGAGGATTGTGATCGGTTTATACAGATGCCAATTAGCTACATGGTTGGATCGGAGAACTTGATTGTTGGCAAGGCTTTTGAGCCGCTTGGCAACACGGATGGACTGTCTACGAATGCTAGTGGATGAAGTAGAAACAAGGAGCTACTCTCGGTCATCTTCAGCTTGCATAGAATACTGGCTGGATTGTGGAGATAGCTTCATTTGTCAATTTGTGGTGGGACTGCATCAATGGATCGGATACAAAGTACATAATGAGCAGACTCCGATTGGAACACACATTCTCAAATCCTGCGCAAAGTAAACCTCAACTTGAACGCCTCCAAACCTCCATTGAATGTCTTCTCCATAGAACCAGCCCCATCCCACTTCTCCATCCAAGCCTCAACCTCCCACTCCGTCCCCGTTTCTGCCCCGACCTGTTCCCAAAGTTTCTTCCAGGTGGAGGGATCATGGCGATAACGGTAACCAGCCTCATTCTTCTTCTCCGGAGGAGGCGGATCAACACGGCCAACTTGTCTTCCAACCAAGAGAGACCCAGGCTGGTCGTGCAACAGCCCGATGAGACGCTTTGCGATGGTGACTTGCCTGTCCCAGTCAAAGAGGTGGAAGAATGAAGCGGCATTGACGATATTAATTCCGTTGCTTAGGGCTTTTACCAGGTCTGAGTTGTCGTCGAAAATGTCTGCCATTATGAATTGAGACTTTAGGCTATCGTGATCATTAAATAGATCATAGCCAATATCAAAAAAGTCTTGACGGAGATCCGAAGCGTAGAGATTCTCTGATGGAACGCCGTCGAAGACCTTTTAGTTTGTCAGTCCAGTTCACTCCATACAGGTTGGTATGAATATGAAGGATTCTTACCAGTTGTCTCAGTTCCTGTCCGACTGCACAGCCAACATCTAGTAGCTTTTCACCGGATTTCAGACGATGGAGAATCTCAGCATACACCGGTGATTGGACTACAGACATATCCAAAAAACGAAACGCTCCTATGCATGGATATGGAAACTAGACGTTGGTCAGTAAAATAGTTTCGAAAGATCCACCAAAAATAAGTATTGATGGTATTGGCAGGAGATGCTGACCACGGCAAAAGCTCTATCTCCCTGCAATTGACAAGAATCATCAGCACCAATCAGAAGGTCGATACCAGGAAGGAAGGGACTTTACCACTTTCTTTACATGCTCAAGCACTTCCGCAGGGGGGATTTTACTCTCGAGAATCTTCTTCGCTGGTTGTGGAATCTCAGAAAGATCATGTTCATACCATGGGAGTTCTTTAGGGTCAAATTTTCCATCTAAGATGGACTTGAGGTTCTGTTCAGCTCTAGCCATGATGCAGCTAGGGCGAGATGGCCGACGACTGCCGTATTGTGTATGATTGCCGTATACAAAAGTATATGTGAAGCGGTAGAATTTTAAGATGGCACCTCTTTCAAATCATACTGGATTTTCGGAGCGTGATATAATCACACTGGCCGGTACAGGAATGCCTTGCACTAACTTGCTGAGGCCGTGCGTATCCCCGAACTTGTGGAGATAACGACATCCCGGTCCCGGCTTGTCTTAGTATTCTAGTTTCTTTGCATCACTTTCACGGTTATGAGCTTCAAGTATTACAAAGCTACCACAAAACCGCATGTGGGAAAGAGATAAGAGAAGCACGCAGTTCAAAATATTTAGGACTCTTCATTTCGTATCAGGGGGTATAATGTACAACAAAGTCGCTCGTAATATCATACAGGAAAGTGATCGGTGGTCAAAGACCTCGAGCACCACCTAGGGCAAAATAAAAATAAAAATAAAGGATGAGCATGGTAAGATATGTTCCAGTGCTGATTAGTCGAGGGCACTCGTATCATCGGGTTCATGGGGGGAGAGGGGCCTCGGTGAGGCTTTGGAAAGGTCTTGAGACTCCAGTACCATAGAAGAAGGCGATAGTGAGAGAGCAGGGAAAGGTTCAGTTTGGTTGGAGGATACTTCTTGTCCAGAGGAATCACTGAATCTTCGCAATGGGGACGTGGATTGTCTAGCCGCGTCTTGTGGCAGGAGATTTGTGTTGGTGGGCTTTGTAGCGGGCTGAATCTGTGACTTGGTCAGTGTAAGTTAAATTTGACCGTGAAAAATGTGATGTATCCTACCTTGTCACCTGCTCCTGATTCAAAACCCCGACTCAAGGCTAATTCTTGTGCAGCGAGTCTTCTCCTCTCAATGGCTGCTTCTTCCTCCAATGCAGCCCGCTGATCTTCTGTTTTGAGATCCGCCATGGATGGTGTATCAACCGGTTTAGTAATTTGAGCGTCAGTTGTGCTCGATAATCTCTTCGTGCGGCGTTTATTCTTTCGTTTGTTCTTTTTAGACGATGCACCACCCAAGCTAGATGCAGAACCAGACTTGGTCAACTCAGATTTTGTCCCAGATTGATCATCCGATTCCAATCCCGTTCCTCGCCGTGTAAATGTAAGTGCAAACTCATCGTCAAGGGGTACCGCATCTTCCTCCTCGTCGCTAGGAAATAGATCACCGCGCGAACTGAGTGAATTGGATGTCCCACGGGACGATTGAGTCGCACTGCGATTCCTCCCAACGGGGGTAGGAGATAACTGAGTGTCATCATCCATATCTTCCATCAAGGGTTCATCCTCATGTGCATAGCGCCGGGTGCCCGGGTGTTCCTGGAGATCAGCGGCGGAAGGCCGATACTTCACTCCGCGGGCACCGAATCTCCATGGAAAGCGCTCAAGGAACCCAATGAAAGATGAACTTGGAATCACAGTTGGGTCTGTATGAGAATCCGGAATATGCACTGTGCTCCGTCGCCGCGTGTTCCGAGTTCCATAGCTCATCCTCCTCGGCCGGCGCGGCTGTTCTGCATTCCCGCGCGCCAGGCCACTACCAGCAAGAAGCCTGTCGAGCTCACCGGTCCCCCATCCAAGTAAGCTATCCTCTTCTTCCTCGTTCTCCCAATCATCGTAGAAATCAAAGTTAGCCTCGGCTCGTCCGCGTCGTCTCCGCCTCAGGTGGTCTTCCCGGCTCGGCAGGCAAGGGGCTGTGCATGCATTGACACAGCTTCCAATCGACGCAAAGCATGGCGAGATATAGTTGTGGGAGAATGCGTAGAGACCTTCTTGTGCTGTTTCGTTGGCGGACTCGAGGTTATGCGAGATCTGGTTGATCCGTTGCCGGAAGCGAGGGTCGCGCGGTCGCATCATGTTGGGCAAGTGGATGGAGGAACGGTGATTTGATCAAAGTTCAGTTCACTCCACCGGCTGTCGCCGGCGACATTAACAAAGTCGAGGGTGAAGTGAAGTTGGACGCAACCGATGTCATCTCCTGTTAGTCAGCCGACACGTGAGATACCGATCCGGGGTAATTTTGGATGATCGCAAGATGCGCAAAGAGTGAGGGAAAAGAGGCATTGGGGGTATTTGGCCATGGTCTACTACATTCAATTTTTGAAGACCCCGAGGGTTCAGCAGAAGAAAGGCTCCCTTTTCATCACCGCGCTTATTTGCATCACCACAGACCTGGGGGATGATTTCCTCGCCGAAGATGTCGAATTGATTGTGTCTTCAATTCAGAAGCCTCCTGGATTTGAACAAAAAGTTACATGGAAAGCTGGAAATCGGGAACTAGCCATTAACTTGGGACCTCTTCCTTCGGCTTTGGTTCAGCAGTCCATGCAGCTGAGCGTCAAACTTCAACCCGAGGCCACTGAGGATAAATCCTTAGTGCCATTAGTTATGGCTGCCACCAGTGCACCATTTGGGCTCAAGTTGCCTGCAGAAAAGCTGGTTCGTAGAGATGGACCACACGAAGGCTTGAATATTTGGGAAGAAACTGGTAATAGCATTGCCCGGCACATATGGTAAGCTATGTATTTCTATGGATTGTTTGTGTTCCGGTTGCTAAACAAGGATTTTCCCAGGGACGCGGGCCTCGCTTCAGTGATATACTTGCAGAGGACCCTGGACGAAATAAAAGCTACGACTGGCAGACCAAAACACAAACAAGCAGACTCAACAATACCCGCCTTGACTCGGCTTTTATCAACTGTTCGCAGCTCACCTCTCCAAGTGGTCGAATTAGGGGCAGGATGCGGGATAGTAGGCATTGCCTTGGCAAATATGCTGCCCAACTGCTCAGTCCTACTCACGGACCTCCCTGAGGTCGAGTCGATAATAACACGGAACATTGAAGAGGCTAAGACAGCGCCACAGTCCAATATTGAATACCAAAACCTCGACTGGGACAACCCCCCGGATGACCTCTGCAGCCGGCCCATTGAGTTAATACTGGTATCGGATTGCACCTACAACGCAGATAGCTTGCCCGCACTAGTCAATGTGCTGGACCGATTGGTTCGGACATCACCGGACGCAATTATCCTGGTGGCTCTGAAAAGACGACACGACAGCGAGACCGTCTTTTTTGATCTGATGGGATCTGCCGGGTTTACAGCTGTGAAGGACAGTATGCAGCTCCCTTCACAACATGATCAGGTAGATGAGATTCAGTTTTATTGCTATAGTCGCACATAAAAAGGCAAGGAATAGACACACACGGGGCATATATAGAGTGAAGTATAACTTAACTTATAACGTTATATGACTATCGCAACAAAGCTGAGAGGCCGATCCCTTCCTGGCCCGTGCACAGGCCCAGAACCCCCCACGTGAATGCGGGCTAAATCGCTGCCTAAGTGTGTCCAGTTATGCTAAGTATGTTTCATGTCCAAGGTGTATGTAGAACATAGCTACTTCTACTTGGACATACATGTGCAGGAGGCGTTTATGTGACTCAACTACTCAACTATATAGCTCATACTATAAATTCCTGACCAGCCACACCGAGGCCCAGGTGCATACATCACTCAACGTGTATCATGACGCTAAGCACTTAGTCGCGTCACAGGAACGAGCAAAGATAATCCGAAGTCGCTCACACCGCATGTTGGCAATTGAATTCAGCATTGCCGGCCAAGCGGGATCTGCTCAGCGCCTCATGCATCATATACATTTAGCGACGTATAGGAGAGCTGCACTAGTAAGAAAAATGGATCGAGTAGCAGTAAGGTCCCAAAAATAACGCATTTGATGGGTTCGCTGTCAAGTTTTTTTTTTCCCTGAGAACTAAGACCCTTCGGGGGTGATGCCGTAAGCAACTACTTTTCCCCCACAGAGTCGTCATCCCTCCTCTCTTCTTCCCATCTCCCTTATTTTGGGTCCTCAACTCGTTTACCAGGTGAGTCTCTTTTTTTGTTGATTGTTACAGGGTGGTGTTGGTGCATGACTTTTGCGGCATTTTTCATTCCATTGGTCGTGTGCCCTATCTTCTCTCGCTGCGCCCCTCCAAAAATTCTCCAATTTTTAAAAACTCTGAACCCTCGGACTTCCTCCCACACGTCCACTTTTCTCCCTCTTATATAATATACCGCCGGGATTCCTCTGACCAGCTGTGCTAACTGGTCTCTTTTTCCCTCTCAGATTTGGTCCCTTTTTTTAGCTCGACCCTGCCTTTGGAACTACCAAAGGCAACCGGTCATCACGGCTCCAACCTCTCGTCAGCTTCTTAGCCAAATTGTCTCCACTCGACGTCAACGCGACACTCTTAACAACATTCCACCTCCTGCTTGCGGTCTCTAAGTTCTCGTCCGGTGCGCCTTTTTTCGTCCCGTTGACGCCCCACGAGATTATTCCCTCGTTCTTTGAGCTGCCGCATAGGACTTCTTCGAAGGTTCTTCCTCTTGAGGGGGAAGGGTCTAGGAGGCTTGGTCCAGTCAACTTCGGTTGCGACACATTTCGTCCTCCCTAACGCGCAGTCGTCTGCCAGTTTAAATACTTTCTATTTTCTATCTTTTTTATCTGATCAATCGTGCTGTGTCGCAGCTGTACGATGATGGCACCGACTGCGTGTGTATCGACTGCTGAAATATGCACTATCAAGAAAGACTATACCAATGGTCTGGACCTGCAGGGTTCCATCAGCAGTCATGGAGAGGACCATCTGTTGCAATCTTCCTTGACTGCCAAGGAACTTGTTCTAGATGTGTTGAAGAAGCGGGCTACCGAGGTGGATGTGGACCACTGTGGCCCTGGTGAGGAGGACGCTTTCTATGTGGCGGACATGGGGGAGGTCTACCGCCAGCATATGCGCTGGAAGATGAACTTGGGCCGTATCAAGCCCTTTTATGGTGAGTTCACCTCGAAGGAACCCTAGACCTTGAGCTTTGCTAATAATGTTTTCAGCTGTCAAGTGCAACCCTGACCCAGAGGTTCTGCGCCTCATGGCTCAGCTTGGAAACGGTTTCGACTGTGCCTCCAAGTCGGAGATCGATCTGGCCCTTCAGACGGGCATCGATCCTAGCCGCATTATATATGCGCAGCCTTGCAAGACCAAGTCGTACTTGCGTTATGCTGCCGAGGTTGGCGTCAAGCAGATGACTTTTGACAATGCCGATGAGCTCTATAAGATCAAGGCCACTTTCCCGGATGCGGAGCTGTACCTGCGTATCCTGACCGACGACTCGACCAGCCTGTGCCGGTTGAGTATGAAGTTCGGAGCGTCCATGGATATGGCTCGTCCGCTGCTCGAGCTGGCCTACCAGCTAGAGCTCAAGGTCGTCGGTGTGAGCTTCCACGTCGGTTCCGGCGCCGAAGATCCCTCCGCATTCCTCAAGGCCGTCCAGGATGCGCGCATGGTCTTTGACCAAGCGGGAGAAGTGGGCCACGAGCTCCACACTTTGGATGTTGGTGGTGGATTCTGCCAGGACAGCTTCGAGAAGTTCGCGGGCATTCTCGGTGAAGCCGTGGACACCTACTTCCCGCCGCACATCCGTATCATCGCCGAGCCGGGCCGCTACTATGTAGCCACCGCTTATACGCTGGCCGCCAACGTCATCGCACGACGCGACATTCCGGACCCCACGGATCCATCCCGCGATGCATACATGCTGTACCTGAACGATGGTGTCTACGGCAACTTCTCGAACATCATCTTCGATCACCAGCATCCCATTGCCCAGGTTCTGACTTGCGCCTCAGAGCCCAGCACTCCGAACTCTGCGACTTCGGAGAAGATCACTTACTCCATCTGGGGCCCGACCTGTGACGGCATCGATGTCATCAGCGAAAAGATTGAGCTCCCTGGTCTGCTGAACACTGGTGACTGGCTCTATTTCGAGGATATGGGTGCCTACACTAAGTGCAGCGCTACTCGCTTCAATGGATTCTCCGACAACCACGAGGTGATCTACATCTCGAGCGAGAATGGCGCTTCGGCCCTGCTCAACTACTAGTTTGGATCTATTTGTTTTGCTCAACATTGTGCATTTTGTCTTTTTTTGTTTGAATATATCATCGGAATCACTCTGCCCAGTGGTAAAGGTCATATAGTTTAATCGTGCGTTCTGCAGCATACTTCATTTCCCCCCTTCTCTAGATTTTAACATAGAATAGAGCTGCCTTCTCGCGTTGTGTCAATTGTCATGATGGTGTTCCAATATGTGACGTGTCTGAATTGTCACTGATTACAATCTGCTCTCCACAGTGAAATGGGCAGGTGTGAATGAAGGGGGCTATCTTATATCCTCCCACTAAAACGTCAGTTCCTACTAAACTGTTCATTACTGTAATGGCACCTTCTTGGCCTTCTTTGCGCATACAGTTGTGTTTCAAGTAGACCGCCTTTGAATGCCGCTTTTTCTACCGCTTCCTCTACCGCCTTTTCTACCGCCTTTATCCGATGATACACTGAGCGTAAAGTAGGTCACAACGCCCTAGGCACTATATATAAAGGGTCTATCGCTAAATATGTATATTATTTCTTAGACCGCTTTTGTGTCCTACAACAATGGGCATTCTTGCAGTTAGAAAACTGCATCGGATATGATTATTTCTGCCACACTCTGCCGGCAGAATAGCGAGGCAAAACCAATATTCTCAATGCCCCTCACCGTCCAGACTTCATCCCCGCCAACCCTCCGAGGAGCATAAGAAAATAACATATCCAAAATGGCGATCCCGATCACAATCATTACAGGCTTCCTAGGCTCAGGAAAAACCGTACGCAATCCACCACCCCACCAACAACAGCCAACAGCCAACAGCCAACTGACCAACCCCAAACCAGACAATCCTGCTCAACCTAATCCCCCAACTCCCCAGCACCTACCGACTAGCACTCCTCAAGAACGAATTCGGCGATGTAGCCGTCGACAGCCAACTAGCCTCCACAAGCAGCATCAGCGGCGTGAAAGAAATGCTCAACGGCTGCATATGCTGCAACATGGTCGGCTCACTAGGCGACGCGCTAACGCAGCTCCGCAACGAAGTGAAACCAGACCGAATCGTCATCGAGACCAGCGGCAGTGCGTTCCCGGCCACGCTGGCGATGGAGGTGAACCGGCTGGCGCGCGAGGAGGGCGGCCATTTCGCGCTGGATGGCGTCGTGAGCGTTATCGATGTGGAGAACTGGGAGGGGTACGAGGATACGTCGTTTACGGCGAAGTTGCAGGCCAAGTATACTGATTTGATTATTTTCAATAAGTGGGAGAATGTACCCGAGGGTCGTTTTGATGTTTGTCTTGATCGTGTTGGGGATTTGGAGGTCCAGACGCCTTGGGTTAAGTCTGTTAAGGGGAGGGTTGATCAGGATGTTTTGTTGGGGATTGATGGGGCTTTGTTTAGGGGGTTGACTGAGGCTGCGGATGGGGATCATGGGCATGACCATGACCATGAACATGAACATAAGCATGATCATCAGTCTGAGGTCGAGGTGCTTTCTGTTTGTTTGAAGGCTGCTTCTGAGGGGGGCACTGTTGATGTGACTGCTTTGGAGCAGTTCCTTTCTTCTGCGCCGAGGGATGAGATTTATCGCATTAAGGGTATTCTGCGGTGTTCGAAGCAGGATTTGCCGGCTGAGACTTCGGATGATCTTGCGTCTAAGCCGAAGGTTGGGGAGGTTGGTGTGCAATACTACATTCTCAACTGGGCGTTTGGTCGATGGACTTGCACGCCTTCATCTATTGTTGCGGAGGGCGCTGATGAGACTGTTGTCGGCCGCATTACTTTGATCTTGGCTCGATATGAGTCTGCCAAGTGGAAGAAGAAGCTGGATGCTGGCGGCCTGGTCCAGGCTAATGAAGGAGATGGTGTGGAGCTGACTGTGGAGCGTTTGGCTTAGATGAAGAGCTGTTTTCTTGTATAGATGTAATGTGGTTTTGTGATACCTGATGAATGATAGAACATGATAGATTCCAAACATTGAGATGCAATTTCTTTCTGAATTATTCAAATAGCTTCCATTTCATTTTCTAGTAAGCTCCACAGGGACCATCTTAGAACGAGTCAGGCTTTAACGTTATATGTATCAATTCCACGACTCAAAACTTTAGACTTAGTTGTAGATAGCAGCTTGCAAACCGGGAATAATCTCAAGGTCTTTAGGCTTGTAGGTATATTTCCCTTCGGTAGAAATCTTCACATCACGGTTACGGCGTTGCTGCTGAGTCTGTCGCACCTGAACCCACTGTTCAGTAGTGAGATGCTGGCCCAGTTCAGTGAACGCATTAGTCGTCAATCCAAGTCTCTGAAGCACTGGGCTATTCTGGATTGGGTCCAGAACAATGTGATTGTTGGGACTGTATCAATTAGCACCAATACCAAAACGAAATCAGCTGTCCACCATTGCAAGATAACTCACCGAGCAAAGTAAAGAACACCCAGTCGGTCAATATGGGCTTGATCAGAGGGAGGAGCATGTACACGGTGAACACTGCTCTTGATCAAGCCACCCGTGAGAGCAGTCAGACTATCACAGGTATTGACCGTCAATGTGGCATTCTGAGGTTTGACATATTTCCATTGGCCCTCAGAGTTGAGGATTTGGAGACCTGACACTGGCTGACGGAACAGCAGCGTGACGGTTCCGAGATCTGTATGGCCGGGGCTGTATAATTCGCCCACCTTTTTGTCTGTAAATCAGTTGGGGTTAGCCTGATGAAAATGGTAACGGTGGACTCTTGAACACGTACTGTCCTCTACGCTTCGAGCTGCATAGTGCATGTAGCGTAAGTGATCCTCGCCCTTGACGTCGTATTGGTGGTCTCGCACGAGCTGGTCCTCGTCGGGAAGCTCAAGCAGAATTGCAAAGAGGCGGAGGAGCTTTTCTACAACCTCAGTGTGACATTTCTGGTTTTGTTAGTAGGAGAGAAGGTATTGGACCTGATTGACTATGCTTACCCGGCTAAAGGCCTCGATTTCTGCGATGTTTTCAGCCAGAACTGCAGGCTGCTGTCGTTGGTGGTGACCATCGAACTTGGGGATATTGTATACTTGGACATTGTCTTTGATACCATTTCCGAGGCTGATTGAGGGTCAATTAGCCCCCCGTGGTTTAACTCAAGATCGACCAACAAGAAGACCCTTACATTCTGTGCCCAGCTGGCCGGTATCCATTGTACTCGCCTCTCACAAGATCGTCGGCGTTATGGAATTTGAGCTTTTCCTCGAGTGGCAGCGCATAAAATTCGCGCCCAAAGGCAAATTGGCGATCTACCTCTTCCTGACTGATGTTGAAGTTCTTCACGTAAAAGAAGCCTATTGACAGATGATTGTTCAGCAATCCATCCAGCGATAGATACAGAGGTCACTGAAACCAAGCGCCTTGGGGTTATGCATGCCGCATCCGTGAGGCGTATTTTAGCGCAAAGATTGACTCACCAACATTTCTAACCGCATGGTCTAGCTGCTTCACAAGCTCTTCCTTTCCACCTGGCTGCTCATAGCGCTCCAAATCAAGGGTGATCAGCTCCGCGTAGTCAACTAAGACGGAAGAATATATTAGCAACCCTAATACGAAGCAGCAGAAGAGAATGACTGACGGTTCTCCTTTGTCTCTGGGACATGGTCATAGTTTTCAATGAATTTTCCAGGCATTTTGCAGATATTGTGAATTCCCTAGAGGTGATTTGATGGATGAAGTGGTTGTCTATAACCTTTACTATCTAGTACGTAACCCCCTCTCCGGGAAACAAATAGTATATAAGCCGTTGTTACGCACCATCTACTCCGAAGTAAACCCCGCATCAACACGCCGAAAAAGGCCTAGAAGCACGTCATAAAGCTGCTTGATGAGCCGAAGATAACGAGTCAGGGATATGCGCACGCCATTATGCGTCAGCATTGCGTCCCTGGTTCCGTGGCCGTCGAATTGATCGACGGTTGATCCAAGATTCTCTGTTGATGCAGAATTAACTGGGGCTATAAACTTCCGAGACGGCTGATGGTGAAAGCGGATGGATTAATGTGCTAATATGGTCGCTGTCTTTTTCTCTTTTAATATACGGTAGGGCTAGTTTGCTATCAGACACTAGAATCTAGGCTTTAGACTGGACTATTTAAGATAAAATCCGAAAATCCTCTCTCTCGGAATATTATTTCAGAACTAAGGTGCGTAGGGACCTTGTTCAGGCTTTGTCATGTCCGACGTGAAGCCAAAGCCCGGCAGGTTATCCCTGTTCGGACTAATTAAAGAGGTATTCAACTGGTATCCTTCACACTATCCAGCAGAAGAGAGAAAGTGAGTCAAATAAGCTCTAAGAATTGAGGTACATTGCTGACAATCCTAGATTACTCTTCAAGTTGGATCTTTCAATCCTGGTATTTGCCTGTCTATGTTGTAAGTATAGCCAAACTGTGCACGAAACATTGACATCTACTGATACAGAAAGATAGTCTTTGTCAAATACTTAGGTGAGTCTTGACTTCCCCTTAAGCTTTTTTGCATAAAACAAGACTGGATACTGACTACCAAGCTCTACAGACCAAACAAACATCAGCAATGCCTACGTGAGCGGTTTGAAGGAAGACTTCGGTCTTTACGGCAACGAACTTAACTATTTCAATATCTGCTACTACACATCATATGTTGTGTTCCAAATCCCCGGTCTACTCTTGATGTCGCGCCCGCAATTGTGAGTTCAGCAATTCTCCGCCGTGTGCTGAAAGGCCGCTAACAAGGATATAGGGCCCGATGGCTACTCCCCACCCTCGAAGTTCTATGGGGTATTTGCACATTTGCTCAAAGCCGAGTCACCAATGTCCATCAGATGTACGCACTTCGTGTTTTGGTAGGAATGCTTGAGGCGCCTGTGTTTGCTGGCACACACTTCGTTCTTGGTCAGTCCAATCTCATTCGATTAAAAGTCAAAGGCTGACGGTGAATACTCCTGATAGGCTCATGGTACTCGGGCCCAGAGCTCTTCAAGCGAGCAGGAACTTGGTTCATCATGAACCCCGCGGGTTCAGCTATTAGCGGGTATCTACAAGCAGCAGCGTACACCAACCTCTCCGGCGTTGGTGGCATGCCCGGATGGAGATGGCTGTTCATCATTGATGGTGTTTTTACTATTCCGGTCGCCCTCATCGGGTTCATTATTTTCCCTGGTATCCCTGGATCGCCAAAGCCGTTCTTTTTGACAGATAGGGACATTGTCCTAGCCAGAGAGAGGACAGAAAGGGCCAAGATTCGCAGACCTGGAAAGATGAGTCTTGATGTTTTCAAGAGAACTTTCAAGCGATGGCATATTTGGCTCTTTGTTGGCTGCTATATGTGAGTCAAGTCTCGAGAACTATGTTTGTCTTTGATATTTTGCTGATCAGTTTTCCAGTTGCATGATTGTTTGTTCATATCCAGCTGGTTACATGAACCTGTGGCTTAAAGCCGAGGGATATACCGTAAAACAAATCAACCAGCTCCCAACTGTCACCTATGGTGTCCAGATTGTTGCTTCCTGGCTGGGAACCACATTAGCGGCGATATACCCGGCGTGGATTATCTTCACTATTGCGTCTGCATTCTGCTTGTTTTCGACTATCATCATGATAGTTTGGAGCGTGCCCACTGGACTAAAGTCAGTTAATCATGGTGCGACATTTCCTGGTGAAACTTTACTGACATTCTTAGATTCGCGGCATGGTACTTCATGGGGGCTGCGGGATGTTTGAGTCCTATATTGTATTCAACGATCAATACAATTGTCAAGGATGACTCTGAAGAACGAGCACTTATCATGGTTTGTCCTTATCATGGACCCAATGATTACATGAGAATCAATACTTACCACGGTATCTTGTTAAATAGGGCGCTATGATGTCGGTGGGCTATTCGTTCAATATCTGGGTTCCGCTATTAGCATTCCCAACAGCCGGTCCGAACGGCGCACCAAGATGGCGACATGGATGGCCGGTATCCTTCGTTTTCTACTTCCTTTTATGGGCTGGTTTTGTTCTCGCTGTTTTGATTCACCGAAGGTACGTTATTTCTTCTTCCAGACTTCGACTGGAACTAATGTTGCAATTTAGACAACAAAAGAAGGGAAATTCGGAATTGTCTCAAGAAAGCAGTGATGAAGAACGGGAAACAGTCGTAGTTGATGCATCATCAACTGTCAAGACTTAGCCTGGCAATGTACATTTCTGCATATATCATCATATCAAAAATCACTATAAGTTAACATTTAACATGAATGTACACTTGTTGAACAAAATCTGGTATACGTATTCCCTCGTGAAGCTGTAGAATACAGATCTTTATGTCTTTATGCCGATAGCATGGACACAGTGCTCTATCTCCGTTCTGAGAAGAGTAAAGAGTAGTACTCCCAAGGACTATAGATAGTCTATTGATTCTTCCAACTTTCAATCTTGGCGCAAGTCTCCTCCTTCTGATTCACCCAAATATCAATCTTCCTAGTCAACCGAACCAACTGCGGATCCACGAATTGCGCATACAATTCGGCCACTAGGAATACCACAGATCCACAAAGCACACCGGATATGACCAAAGCTATCAAGAGCGAATCAAAGCTCTCAGCCGCCTTCGAATTACCAGGGTATTCTCGCTTCTCCAAAAGCCACCACACATGATCCCGCAATGGCCTCCGTATAACCTGATAAACCAACACATGACAAAGATATATCGGGAAAGACAATCGGCCAAGATACTGGAATAACCTCAAGGAGAGAAACCTCTGAGTCCGGGAGCTCTGCATGCAGACTGAAAAGAGAAGGACTGCTCCAATAGCATTCCAGGTCTGTCGCGCCTCTACCCAGCCCCAACGAGACCAGACCGTAGGCTGTATCGATCCCAGAAACCCATAATCCGCTGGATACGTATCCGCTTCGCCAGATAGACAGAACAAATAAACTCCCAGCGCCAGGCGCAGCACAAAGCTCACAGATCCCCCAAGGAATCGTCGGTAATCTCCGGTGCGGTCGTGAATAGTGTTGATCTCGGCAAGACCGAGCCCAGCCAGAAAGCAGAAGATATCCCATCGGCCGTATCGGAGAAAGTAGAGGACCGTCATACCCAAGCTGTATACTCGCACGTAGGGGCTCCATGCGGCCTGGACGAATATCATGAAGTACACCACGTAAGATCCGCGAAGATCAAGCGGTATTGTCCAGGTCTGCGCATTCACTCCTAGATTCCATTGTAATTGAACAATTTCCAAATTATCAGCCATGTATGCGCAGACGTAGAGCACGTGATGCCATGGAGATGTCCATGGCTGGACCCATGCGGTGAAGTCCTCTGTCAATGCTCCTTTGAAAAGATCACAGTAAAAGGCTACTTGACTGGGTACAGCTATTGCAAGGACGGGTAAGAGAAGGCGGAACGGGCGGCGACAAATTGAGGACCGTAGACGATCTGTGAGCTGCTCTGGCCGGTTGTCCCTAGTCTCCAGGAGAGATCTAGATGCTGAATAGCCGGATATCACCATGAATAAAAGTACCATTGCTTTCATGGACCATAGAAACTTGATTGGAGGAAGTTGGATGAGCCGTTGGTTTTCTTCAGGGGGCTCTGTGCCGTACGTGCGAAATGGCATCGGAAACTCGCTGCAGAAGTAGTGGTTGAATGCCACGACAAATGCGGCAATTCCTCGAAGACCGTCAATCCATTTGATGCGGTTCGTAATAGGAGATTGGGTTGTGTTTGGTGGGGTTGGAGACATTTTGCGCTCACGATGCTTCGAGGTGATGGTCGGAGAAAGATGATGAGACATACGAACAAAGCAAATATAATCAATTGACACGTGTTAGTCGTAGAGAAGCGCTCATGCTATAAATTACAAGTCACCAGGTTTGAATACGTATGGAATTCTGCATGGTACCACTATTGGCGTGGGCATGCTCATCAGGCAGATGCTGGGTTTAATGAAGAGGAAAGCCGGCGGTACCCATGTGTCGATACTTACAGCATATGTAATTTAAAGTGCTATCAGTCCATCTATTTGATTATAATATTCCAATCATCATTTTGCTGCTTCCAAGTGTGGTCACCGAGCATCCAGCCTGTTCTCACTTCTTCTTGATCACATCAAATCCCGTAGGAGGCGACACAACTGTAGTCATAAAGATCACAATGTGCACAAAATTCACCAAAGGCCACAGAGCAATAGACATCATGACATGGGATACGATAGAAATCCACGACATATCAGTGACAGCGAGATCCTGCAGAACACAGGCGGAAATGAGAACATGCAAACAAGACGCATCATTAAAGAATATGACATCTCTGTACCAAGCAGGAACCGCCGATTTATATCCAATAGCGCCCATAATAGGACTATAAGAATGATCAGCATATACTCCACATCAGACTACAAATTCACTCACTATATCAGCGAGCCGAGTCCGGCCAAGATCCCGCAGCTCAGTACAAGGCCTGCAACAGGCTTTTCGAAAAAGAATATTCCTGTAAACCAGCGGCGTCGCTGCTTGCACATATCTTTGAAAGTGCATGGTGGTTGCTCGCGAAATATGGCGTGGAGCCATTCGGATTTGTAGCCACGAGCGGCGGCCTGGAATTGATGTCAGCGCACAGCACAGCCCTTGATATCATCTGCTTTGATGTTTCTCACATGGTATCCAAACCAATAATCCTCGCACACATTGTCGGTGTCCCAGCCAATTGCATTTTCGACAGCGCCGTTGATAAGAAGCCATGACCTGTTTTTTGTTAGGACTAAGTCTTTCTCAGGGCATTTGTCCAAGGGCATTCTGACCCATGCGTCCAGCCCAAAAAGGGACGGTTGAAGAGTAGCAAGGGTAGTTGGAATCTTCCAAAGTCCTCAGTCACCCTTCCCACCTCTGCCGCGGAAAGAAACATGTTTTTCCAGTGGTTGGCAGAGGTATAGAAGATTGTACCCTAGAAATACTAGATCAGCGATGCCTTACAGCTGCTGAGGGAAATTTTACCATTCCCAGGTCTGCCGTGCCTCGCTCAATGAAATCCAACGTCGTCTGTAGGGCACGGTCATCCATCTCCGACTCCTCGTCCAAATGCAACACCCAGTCCTCTTTCGAGAACTTGTATTTAATTCGGAAGTACTCTTGTGCCCGGGCCTTATACTTGGCCTTTTTGAAAGGGACGTCATTCGGCACTTGGTCAACTTTGATGTACAAAGGGAGTTGAGAAAATGAATCGGAATTCTCGCTATCGACAAGAACATGGAACTTGACTGAGGGGTGATCTCGAAGCTTGAGACTGTCCCAGTATTTGGTGGTATTGATTGCAGTTTGTACATTTGTGCCCTTCGTCACAAGACAAACATACAGTGTTCCCAGGCGTCGTGTCTTCGGTCGACGCGCGAACTTGTTTGGTCGCATAGGCAAACACAAGCCCAGTAGATTTCCATGGGGTGGCATTTGCAACAGCTGGAACATTCCAGATAGAACAACGTGAGTGATCGCCGATTTTGTCCAGCCATCTTCTGATACATCGACATAGTAACCGAACCGGTTGGTGATATGTTTTAGGGCTGGGTTGAATTTACGTCAGTACCTTTTCTGTTTAGTTGGGATTTCAGAAATGGGCATGGTCGAGGAAACCCTACCGTAGAAGGTGACAATGAACGTAAGGGGAAAGACTATGTAGTTGTATTCCAGAATGTTGTAGATTCGATTAGTGTGTCTCCATTGGGAACTCGGTCCATTGGAAATGCCATTAATGGCAACAGTCATACTGGGAGAGAAGAAGAAGTTATTTACAAGACTCCAATGGGTACCCTCGACGATCATATAGTACAAAAAGAGCCCTTGCGGAACCTTACTGCATACTGTATAACGCTACATGTATCTCGGGCGGTCATTGGTCCACTCAATCTTACAAGTGAGCTGGGATTCAGGCAAAGTGAGCGTGAAAGCTTCACAAAGTGCTTTTTTTCAGCTAGCTGAACTCTCCTCGATTCGATAGTTCCTACGCCATGTAGATCATTTCTAATCTGTCAGTGTTTTCCGTCGATCTTATGTCTATTCATGTTGATCTGACCCATCACGTGTATGCACGTTTATACATTTACTGTAGCTCGATGGTCGCTTAAAGTGGGGGAAACTGTCGATGTTTGAGCTTGCGATCCGATCAGGAAAATGGGATGTCCAGGTCTCTGGCTTTATTACTTATGTCGAGAGATATAACTTCGCTGATCGAAACATGGACATGGATTTGAGGTGCTCGGATCTAACACCAGCGCTGTGATTCTCGGATAGCGGAAGACGTATCTGAAATTCTGTCTCCGATCCAAATCCAAGAGACCGATCTCCTTGAACTACTTCTTTAAATATTGACTAGGTCCAGGAATACGGGCTCCACGACCAATGGCTGTCGTTACTTGCTTCCGAAGGGTGGAACGAGGATCGGGTTGGTGCCCCTCCAGGGCTCGTTTGGCTGCTTACTGCATAGGAATATATCGGTCACACTGCAGTATCGCGCGGGCATCAGCCACCAGATTTGGTTCATTCAGTTCTACGGTAAGGATGCCCTGACTCTTGTCACTCCAGGTATTGAGATGTGCTCAGGTAACCCTGGTCAAATCTCGGAGCTGGCTCAATAAATATGGCACAGGGCAATGCCCAACTAAGTAAATCATAAAACATTTGCGATGTATATTAAGGACTCTGGCTTTTGTAGCCACAAATTAATGGCCTTTCAACAGCCCGGCCGGGCTAGCTCAATCGGTAGAGCGTAAGACTCTTAATCTTAAGGCTGCGGGTTCGACCCCCGCGTTCGGCTATTCCTAAAACACCGTCCTCGAGTGAGCGTTTCTTTTTTTGCTTTTCTTTTTTTTCTTCCAAGACTTTCCTCTAGATGATTGATAAGTTAAGTTACACGATACATACATAAGCAGTGACAATTCATACAAGCTCATTATTGCAAATCTTTTTTTGGCCCAGTACTTTACTTTCTGTTATCGAGAGTGTGTGGTGTATTTTTCACCTTCAAGCGGATTTGAGCTGCTGAGAAATCAGTAAGTGGATCAAAAAGGGACACAAGAACTGTACAGTACTTTGTTGTTGACTTATTTCTAGATGAACGATTAGACCAAGGATATAGAGGACCACGGAAAGCGATAGAAGAATCTTTGGTGCTCTACTGAGGCGTGAATAGGACTCGCTTATTTCAGAAAAGAATCCTCCTGAACATTCATCCTTCGAGTATGTTACGGCTATTAGAGTCAGTAGCTGGATCCAAAAGGGAGACAATCACTGAACCTCGCCATAAAAGACTTGCCACAAAGAGGCATACGCTAACAAGATAGAGGACCACAGAAACTGAGGAAACTATCTCCTGTCCTCTACTGAAGCCTGTCATGAACTTTCGCGAATTCCAGATTGTTCGTCCTCCAATCACTAGCAATGTGATTGCGATACAGTCGGTTAGATCGAACATATCGTGAAAGGTAGCCTTCCAACCGTGGATACACCGAGCTTATTCATAGTTAGATACCCAAGCGATAACTTAGATCTCAAGTGACAAGAGGGAGAGGAGGAAAACTCGTTCTTGTTAGCGTACCATTAAGATTTTTTTAAGTTGTTTAGGCCGACGAACCCTAGTAGGTATCACGCTCGATTGAACGACCAATCCAGTGCGCAGGGGATCTCAGCAATTTTTCAGCTCAACTTGGTGAAGGCAGTAGCACCGTCTTATCTATGTCTCTCGAGTGCCAGTCAAGTGGGCCCTTACGCGTAAGCAAAATGTCTCCCGAGCACCAGGCGTCGGGAGCTTCGTTGTCTCATTCACATATCCCTTCTATAAATCTACATAGACAGGATCTCGTCTGGTGATCTTTAGCTTTCCAATTGCGTTTCAATGCTCGCCCTTCGCCGCTTTAATTTCAGATAGCAGTATCTATACCGGTAGCAAACATTTATATTACTTTTCAACCCTCCTGCCCCAGGGCTAAAGAACTAAAGAGCTAAAGAATTGAAGTGGTGGGGACACTTCGCAAAATTCGTATCATCGATACAGTTTTGTTCACTAAACCTTTGACGCGCGGCGTCCAAACAGATACCACAGTAGAAACTTAGGGACATTGGGAATTTTACCACCCATCTGTATAAATATCCATTGCCATATTTCCAGATTCATCTTAAATGTATTGTCGATCTTTTCTTGCACGTCGTATTTGATGTAGGCGGTTATCGATGAAAAATGCCCCGTCACAATTACCAACGCTATAACTATCTACAGTACAGTAGCAGCTCGTCGACCAATGAGAGATTCAATACCATGGGATCATATCATAGTAAAATAGTGTGGTTATGACTGCTCTGTCTCGTTACGCGCCCCCACGGTTCTCGCCCAGGTTCCCCCCGAGATAACGAAGGCTCCGCAACTGATCCACGCTTGCGCCGAGTTGACATACTGGCAAGACTGGGTGAGCATTGGAGGTTCATACTTGCAGGGAATTGCGAGGTTAGGAGTTGCCGCAGCTGAAATCATAGCTGCTAAGTCTAGCGCTGTAAGTTGCGCGACGTCGGTGTATATACTTAAGAAATCCAGCTCCAAGCGCTCAAACGAGCTGCGAAGCAGAGTAAAATGACGTTTATTGATCCTTTATGTTGTCATTCAATTCTCTAGAGTATGAGTCGCTGTGTACTCATGGGCTGAGACCTGGATTAACTTATATAATCAGGGTATCTATACCAGCCATTGACGACCTGGATATGATCAACAAATTGACATCATACACACGATGAACACAGACTGTACTTTCAGATTTGGCGCGTTGTTTTTGCCGCTTGATCCAACTTTCAAGCTAGGAAACATATAGTCTTTTGACGTGGTATAAATCATTGAAGGTAAGTATCTGGATTGGTTGGCTTGGATTCAATACTTGTCAAAATTTCAAGACTCAAAGCATTTCGCATTTCGCAAAGGTGAAGGACTGCAGCTCAGTCTCATAATATGTCTTCATTGTGCGTGTACAAGACAATCTAATCCGGCTGAAGTATGTTGCGAAATCTAGTCATACATTTGGAATGAAAAAAAGAGGATCCTGTCCCCTAATATATGAAAGTGAGCAACATCAAGGTCGCAAACGGACCGGCTCATCTTCCTTCTCCAGTCAATGAAGAAGAACTCCTAACGCCAAAAATGAAGGTTGTAAACGTCTAATTCGTCTTTCGTGGTCGCGTTGTACTCATATGTTTCTCTCTCAGAAAGTCGCAGATCCGCTCGTTGTCCATCTTGTTGATGCATTCGTGCTCCTCGGATGTCAAAGTAAGCTCTAGTATAACCATATGGTGTCAATATCCACTCATATTCAGTCTCGTCAAAAGCCAGTGCGAACCTTCCGATGCCGACTCCTCGTTCTCGTTCTTTCCGTTCGTAAGCGCCTGGAACTGCTCCTCCACAGTTTGCCAGGCCTCCTGTGCCCGAGGAAGAGCATCCTCTATCATCACCTCCTTCATTGTGGCAATGTTTTCGGAGGCGACAATACTGGCCGAGGTCGCAAACTGTGAAATCGAATTTCCAACATTCATCGAGTTATGTTGATGTTTCATGCCTGCAGAAACACGCTGCTCGGAATGTTGGACCGCAGCGTCAGCCTCAACCTGGGCTTCAACTCTTTGCTCGCACGAGGCCATTGAACTATTATGCGAAGAGACAGAGTCACTGGCCGAGGTCATGCTGAAGTATTGCGGATGTTTGGAGTTGGGGTAATTCGAGGAATTCGGGAGAGACATTCGGAAACGGTAGGGCTGAGGCTGACGTAGGGCTGATTTAGCAAGTTGCGAGGGACTGTACCCTGAGGGGCTATGACATTGACAAGTGGAGAGATCGACAGCTATCTCAGCAGGCAGCAAGCATTTTCGAGTAATCTCCGGTCCTGTTTCGCTGGTTTCCACGTCGGCCAAGATACTGCAGGTTTGCTATTTGTTCGATCGTGGGAATGACGTCGGTGGGTTCCACTTGGGGGACGAAGTTGGTGATGATTGTCTGGCGATTGACGACCAAATGGATTCGGTTTCCTAGCGGAGTTGGATCCTCGAGAAAGATGAATCGAGGTCTTACTTTTCGTCGAATTGACTTTGGTCTTAGTTTCCATTGAAAGGTGAGGGAGTACATCTTACCGCGTTGGGATCTCCACTATAAACCTCCACGCCAACGGAGATTCCCGATCTTAGCTGTTGTTTATCGGCTTAGATTCAATAGTCTCCCTGAATATGCACCTCGAATGGTCCAGCTTCTCTGTCCCTCTTTCAATTTCTTTGTTCCTTCACTTTTTGCCTTTGCGCTCACAATGAAGTCAATCTAATGTCGGGGGCAACAATGCTGTCGCCTCCGCGCAGTATAAGAGGGGGAAGAGTTTGCTGTCCAGATCTTCTAGATTTAACAACATAATTATCTCCTATTCACGCAACTCTTCCATTCGACATTGAACATAAACATGCGCTCCCGATCCACTAGCATGTCTCGGTCCTCAAAGGACCTCCAGTTTAGCAGTGATGCCGAGTCCGACCCAGATTACAACACTGAGGATCACTCCAAAGTAACAAATCGCGGAGCTCCAGCTCGTCATAGTCGCCGCCAACGATCGGAGGTAAGTTATCATTGTTTTTCGATACTCTGCACAACTTGATGAGAATCAGAACTAAGCCCGCACCCTCTAGTATCGATCTTGGAATCGGTCTAGCAACATCCCACATACTTCGACTACTGGTTCAAAGGGTCGCTCGACATCTAGACATTAACTTATCCGAATAAATGTATGTTTTGATGTATCAACATTTGATTAAATATGTGAATAGAGCAAGTCAATCAATAATTCATATCTGTTGCTTTTAAAATCTAGCATAGAAAGGAAAATTAACCTAAGCTATGCGTTACGTATGCAAGATAGACTACCTTATGATATTTCAATGGATTCTAAACAGTTACTCAAATTTTGACCAATAATGCACCGGAAATTTGTAACGCAGCATTTTTCATAATTAGATTAGTGAGGGAGCGACATGACTATATATACAAATATAGTCTGTAGTAGTTTCCACATAGTGATTAATAGATACTTGAAAGCAAAGTGAAAATTGGAAAAAAAAAAGAAAAAGACCAAAGAGCGTAAGACTAGCCAGCGAAAGGTTCGCTAAGAACCTGGATCAAGCCCGAACCTGGCAATTTACCCCGAGATTTGCTCCGCCTAGGGGCATTGAGGAGGGTTGACCTCTGGAACATGAGTTAGGAAATGTTATCAGCTTTATTCAAGAGTACTCACCGCAACGGAAAGGCTTGTTCTCTTGCAAAACCCACCAACCCTTGGAGTTCTTGTACCAGTTCCTTGGACGATTCATTAGGTCAACGTTCTCCTTCGATTGTGTCAAATACTTACTGGTACTTGCAGACAGGCTGGAACTTATCCCCAACCTTGGACTCGCCAACCTTGTCACTCGACACACAGGGATACTTGTAGTACGAGTATGTCCTGCGAACAACACAAGGGTCACGGTCATGGTCACGGTCGTGGTCACGATCTCCCCTATGACCATCATGGCCACCAAAGTTACCATTGCCTCTCTCCTCAAGCGAGCCATCAAATGCTTCCGCTGTTGGGGCTGCCACTGCAACCTGCACAGCAATGGGGAGCAAAGCTGTCAAGATAAACATTGGGGACTTCATTGTGGAGCTTGGGTTGTTCCTTGAGGAAGCGTTGAAATTTGATAATGAAGATGATTGTTATGATTCTATTTCTTGCTGATGAACTTGATTTCAGCAGAGCATTCACGGCCTTTATATAATGGCTTCGTAGCTTCCATTACGTCTTTCAATTCACTTAGAAGGCGTAATTGACTGAGCCCAGATTGGAAGGAACTCTTCGAAGGCACCCTGTGATGTTTACAAAAGCGGCCTTGCTTCGTATTCCGACATATGGTATCACGTTCCATAGATGATGGCCTTAGAGCAGAGAGGCTGAGCTACCTCGAACCAATGAAATAGACCAGGTATGAACCATGGCATAAGTTTTCCCGACCTCAAGGAAAAAAGAGCAGAAATAACAGAAGCTCTAGTACTAATCATTGGATGTGCACTAAATCGGTAGAGCTCAATTGACAAGTTTAGACCAAGACATGTTATTTGACTTTGATTCTGATACGAACTGTGGATCTGATACCATCAAATCGGTATAAACCATCGGACTAGTCATGATCTCCCACTGGATCTTGGCAATCTATAATTAATCGGAGCTACCTCATTCGCAGTGACGACCACGGAAGCTTCAACCGTCTCTGTCATAGAAAGTCTAGATGTCCGGCGGTAGATGCCAAGACCAATACATGATTTAGCGTCCGCTCCGGAAACACTTGGCACTACGTCAATCATCTTAGCAGCCAGATTGTTAATGACCCAGCACTCTGTTTTCCCAGCGGGTACCTATTTACTTTATTGTAAAGATACGTCAAAAGAGGGTTGGAGTCAGTATCTAACAATCTGGAACGTCTAGCAAATAGCAAAGTAACAAGTCAAGGTGTGAAGTATGCCCACGTCGGTACTATGTTTGGAACATTGCCATGCCCTTCCTTCCAGCGGAATAAAAAACAGCTTGCTTTTCGCACTGCCTCTTCCTCCGTACCATGTCTGTGTCCGCCAAGAAGCTCCGCAAAGAAGTTCCGCAAAGTGGCAATCCTAACTTATATCGAGCGAGAGCGAAACCGAAAAGCTCAAGATCTAGGCGTATTGCGGATCGATCCGTGACTTCCATGTCAACGGGAAAAGCCTGTTCGTTGATGCAAAGTAAATGGAAGTTCCATATAGGGGCCATCTAATTAGCGAGATGGAAATAAGCGTCCCTAGCGGACGCGGAAAATTGAAGACAGAAAGGGTTGCACAAGATGATGCCCACGAGACTCAACATTATGTCTAAACAAGCATTCAATTAATAAGTTCCAGTAACTGCTATATATGACAGGATTAGTATAGCCCATCGTATTTTTGAGGGTTATTCGATCTGCCAAGACATCCACCCCGCGGTCCTGGGTCCGGACATCTTGAGTCAGTCGAGGGCAACCTGTGTCACTTGCCACTAGGTTCTACGATCGATTACCGGGAGGACGCTCCTCTGGCTGTCTGAAATTTTCAAGTTATAGGATGATGACATGCCTCACTTTATTGTGCGTACTTCCGGCTAAGGGAGGTAGCATACAAGACAAAGTTGGCCTTGTCTTCCTGATGTCTGCCTGTCACTAGTGTCGAACACATCGTCGTAATAAGTTAGAGTTCTCATTTAAAACTACCTACACTCCCAGCACGTTTACCGATCTTCTCGAAGTTGAAGAGAACAAGGTTTGAAGTAGCACAAATAGCGGCGCATGTCTAATCTCATACACCAGTGAAGTCTTCGTGAGCTACAGCACGATTGAAGCAGAATCAACGTTCCTCCTTCACAGGAGAACCCGTCAGATATCCTGATTCGGCTGGACTTGTGTTCCTACTTTCAGTAAGCATCTGAGACTGAGTCTTTGGAAGAGGTCAGAAAGAGAACTGGTGATACATAGGCTCAATTGGACTTGCTAGAGGCACTTTGCCCGTGGTATGAGTGACAAAGCTATTGATTTTGTCAAGTTCAACGTTTGATCTGTGTCTGGAGACTCAATTTCTCTGATAAAATTGAACTGTAGAATCTCTCCGCCTGGAGGCCTCTCGAAACACATATTCCTGTCCAAATAGGGGGGTTTCACATTCAAAAGTTTAATTACAGAAGCAATCGAGAAACAACCGAGATGACAAGAAAATAATTTCGTTCTAGATTGGGCATTGTTTATTCTCACGGATCTTTCCAGCATTTCAGGAGTAATATTACCCCTCAAACGCCCGCAGTACAGCAAGACCAGCCACTGAGAATGATGCGACACGGTTATGACCTAAAAAGCACGAAAGAGAAGCTAATGTTAGTCTGATAAAAGTAATCAGAGTTTTCTTGAACATACCGCCGTGACTGACCCGCTCCCACCTGACTGTCTTCGTAACTTCACTGCCAGGTGAACTCTTCCACACCTTAAGTTCGCTTGGGCCATTGCTTTCAGATTTGTGATATATCAAGTTACCAGGAGCGCCGGGAATGTTTTCACCAGTGGCAGCTTGCCAAACACGACGTCCTTCATACCAAGGAATTTCGACATCGTCCATTGCATGGACAATTGTGAGATCGAGACTTTTGTCTGTATACTTGACACCAGAAGCGTCCGCCTCTGCTGGCTCGACGCCAGTGAGCCGGGCCACTCTTCCAATTGTATCCCAGTGGTCCGCAATATGGCTCAGCACCCATCTCTGGAAGCGAGGGTATCCCATGAGAGGGGATAACATTGGAGGCGTGATACCCTTCAGGCTGTAATTTTCAATGACGCTGGTCAAGCGACCAAATGACGCCAGAAGAACAACACCTGCAAAAGGCTCAGCATTCTTAATGGCTGGCTGGATAGCATGAGGGTCAGGAGATCCAAATGCAAAGCGTTCAGCGACTGCAGCTGTAACAGCAGTTCCAAGACTCTGGCCTGTAAGAACAATGCGAGAAGTTGGAATGTTCAATGGACCGGCCGTAAGGAAGTTGATTAGAGACACAGCATCTGTGATGAGACCTTCTTCTGTGGGGCTGCCAGTGCTCACACCAAATCCACGATAGTCAATGGAAAAGACATGAACTGGATTGGAAGGAGTAGAAAGGCTGAGCATTGTATTGTACGTGGCAGGACGCTGGGCAGATCCCAGATGCGCTGCATTGCCATGGACTAAAGTTAAATGTCAGCATCTTGGCTTCTTCGGTCGCTAGCTGCGTGCTACCTACAATTCACAACAACTCGTGCGTTGGGGTCGTTGGCAAGGAGTTTAAATGCAGTGGTCTTGGTATAGTCCTCCACGGGACCCGTTGCAGCATTGTTCATCAGTACCTCTTCATGCTCCCGGCAAAGATGCAACGGAATTAAGTGCCATCCATAGATGGTTTCGTTATCAGGAGTCACCAGATTGAAAGGCTGGACTTGGGTTCCTGTGGTGCATTAGCAAGGAACAGCCCGAGGTAGTCGGCGTCATACTTAAGAACCCAAATTGCTCGACAAGGTTTACATCCTGCCATAGAGTTGGATTGATCTTATTGGCATAGAGGCAACTAAATCATTTGGTTAGCTCAGCCTTTGCGTGCTGGGGAACTACATACAAACGTTGAACCTGCGGGAAAGTCAAAGCGCAAACAAATAGCACGTAGATCAGACCGCCAGCTACCAAAGACCAGTAGGCCTTTCTGAAAATGGGCTTAAGCTCAACCATTTTGAGGTGATGTTGTTGACATGCGGAGGTGAGCGGAGGAGAGATTAGACACACGGCCGATAAGCTTCTTTATCGCGTCGCTTTTCTCCCTTCCACTTCTTCTCCACACTCCTCACCTTGCTCTCATCCCCCTTTTCTCCTCTGTTATGATTACTATCCTACTGTCACCACTGGCGCATTTATCTCATTGAACCCCTGATGGCTGAAAAGCGCAGACTCCCGCCGCGTGACCGACGGGAATCGGCGGCCAAAAGACGTGTCTCCGAAGCCGCGCCTCAGTCTACCAAGAAAAAAGCGCCAACTCCTCGCGCCCCATCTCCACTAGAATTCGTTGACGCGCCTTTGCCCACCAATCTCAAGGATGTCGAGGGTTTACCTGTTCTTCGCGCGCGACAACCACTGACCTTATCCGACAAGGAATACCAATCAATCGCCGAAAGGTTCGAGCTCCCTATCCACATTAGTTTGAGAAACGACTGACAGTGTACGTTATCAACCTATAGCGCAGTGCTCCTCGCTGCACTTGAACGGTCTAAGAAGAAATGGCTCAGCGATGGCATCCTTGTGCGATATTTCACGAAGCCCAAGAAGACGAAGCGGGAGCAAATCGAACGGAACAACCCGCCAAAGGACAGCATGACCAAAGTCGGTCCTTGCGATATCACAATCGGTCCTCATTTCTTTGATGCCATGATCTACACTGTCAAAGATCCCAATGCGCCACCATCTCTACAATATGCGTCCCCGCAACGACCGATGGTGCACTATGGTCACCCCAACAACTTCCAACAATACCGCCCCTACCCTTCCCCATCCAATCCTCAGCGCCCAAACCAATATTCGCCCGCCCCTGCAGGCCGTCCTGGTTACTCTGGAAGTCATCCTCCGGCCCAGCAACCTCGTGGCCCGAACCAAAGCAATGCTCCGTCCCCTCAAGGCGGGCAAAGGCCACAACCGGGGCAAAAGGGACCTAATGGCCAGCCTGCTAAGCCAAGCCCGGACCCTGTGATCCAAATGCTGGCTACAAGAGCGGCAGCAGATCCAGAGCTCAAGGCTTTGATGCGTGTGGTTGCCTCCAGCCAAGCATCCCAAGAGCAACTTCGAGCTTTCCAGGCACACATTGACGAACTGAACGCCATTATTAAATCAAGGGAACAACAAGAGCAACGCCAGCAGGCTTCTGCGACAGCTCAACCACAACAAACTCCGACTCCACAACCCCAATCCACCCCGCAACCCCAGCCTCAGCCAAAACAGGATGGCGCAAAGCCAGCCTCCAAGGAGCAGCCTGCAACTCAGACAAAATCACCGGCCAAGCTACCGCCTACCCAGGCGGGTGCCTCTCACCCCCCTGCTGCCTCGACAGAAAAGCCGGCTAATCCTCAAAACTCCGCTGGGACGGCGACAATCAAGCAAGAGCCAACAGCTGTGCCCAACAAAGACTCCCAGGCTACGCCAACTTCATCTACAGCTAGTGTCAATGCCAGCACTCGAGCTCCTGTCTCCACCCCCGGTCCGCAGCAGACCCCTACAGCAAATCTCACTTCAACGCCAGCCGGTCGGCCGCAGTCGGCAGCAAGGCCAGGACCAGGACCCCCATACCCTCCATACCCACAACCAGCTTATGGGTCGCAAACTCCAATCCAATCCCGCCCACCGCAATACGCCACACCTAATTCCTTCTACCGTTCACCAGTGGCTCCGCTCGCTCCCCCGCGTGTAGGCTACAAATCTGTGGTTTTCGAGTTCACGTCTCCCTTAACACCATACGGAAATGCTACTTCTGGTCACGCTGGCTCAGGCGACCGTTATTTGTTCCCTGAAAACACAATTCTCGAATGGCTTCCAGACGAAAACACGGTCATTGCATCATTCCTGGTAGTACGAAAAGTTGACGCAAACGCAACGTTCCCTCTTGAGACACCCACAGAGGCCGCCAACTCCAAAGGCAAAGGAAAGAGCGCATCAAAATCCAAGAAGGGCGAGCCGAAGGGCAAGGCCGAAAAGGGAGCAGACCCAGCCGGTCCTCAAACCCCCGCTCAACCAGGCGGAACACCACATAAGCAAGAACCAAGTGATTCTCCAATGCCCGACGCATCGGCTGCCCCTATTAACGAGGCAAACCTCAAGGAATACTGGCAACCAGTCACATTCCGCATCCACTCACCAAGCACAACAATTCTCGAACCACTCGCCCGAGTCGTCAAGCCAGCAGATGAAGTCCGCAAATACATGAATGAAGTCATGGACCGCGCTGAGCGTGCGCCGGATGGCTTCCTGGCCATGCGTCTCCCTCGCGAGGAATCGCACGAGCCATTTGATCCAGAGGGAACACCCGCCTCAAACGTTGGAACACGCAGCCGTCTTTCTCGTGTCCAGCTTGCGGATGAAGAGTCCGAGGTCGAGACGTCTGCATTCGAATTCGAGGAGGAAGATGAAGATGATTTGAAGGACTTTTATGATGCGCCATATGGATTACCGCCGTTGAAGACGTGATGTTGTTATAGTTTTGTATTCATTCAGAACATCTGAGGATGCGCCGAGTTATCGCCGGATTCTCGCCTGCCTTGCGCGGTCTTCTTGTACTTTGATATGTTGCAAAAGCAATGTATACAAGCAGACCGCCCATAGCAGGCCAAGATCCGGCGAGAACTGACCCGTCTTATCAATGAAGATGCTGGAGGTTCAGTACTCGGCTGTAAACCCCGAGTGTGTCCTGGGTTGACTAACTTTGTATAATATGGCAGCATCTTCCTGTCTCGCTTGTCACATGTATGAATATTGAATGTCGAAGCTGTTGCATCTAAAATATGTGCAAATGCTCTATTCCAATATCTCCCCTTTGACCTAAAATCCTCAGGGAAGTTAATTGTATTAATTGCATGCTAAACCACTGCCAACACATAAGAATCACACCAGCAACACCAATAACACCAGTAACACCAATACGCAGAAGCTACATCAAAAAGACTCGATCCAATCAAGCCTAGCAAGATAGAAATGAACTCCGAGAGGCAAATAATCAAACGCTCCCACCAGAATGTCTCCCCTGATCCCCAACAATACCAGCAGCCTCAAGTAACCACCTAGCACTCTCAGCAGCAGAATCGCCAGCCCCAGCCTTCAGATTAATGTTCCTCCTCCGCTCCGCCTCTCTCGCCTCGAACTCCCACTTAGCACGCTGCATCTCCACAGCACTAGACCCAGGCTCAGTAGAAAATGCATCTTCGGGATTGGGAACAATGCCCCAGATTTCAAGGGTCCACAGATCTAGTTTAAGCGTCCTCGGTGCGTCTTGTGTGAACGCATTTGATGATGGTGGTGGAAGGAAGACGCCATCGTGACCGACAGGCTCAGTGTGGAAGGTTGCTGTTTCCATATTTGAGTCTATGAGGAGAGAACCTGCGCCGTGGGGCTTGGGGTCTGCTTTGTTGCTCCGGGATGGAGGGGGGATTTGGCAGCCCAGGGCTATTCCGGTTTGGGTGGAGAAGTAGGCTATTGGGGTGTTTTGGGTTGTTTGGGCTTGGGATGGGTTTCCCGGGAGGAGGGTGTGCTTTGGGGAGAGTTGGAAGAGGCAGGGCAGGGCGTCGGCTTTTGTGCTGGAGGATTGGGATGTGCTTGAGGATGGAGATTTCCAAGTTTGGGGGATGTAGGCGCCTAGTGTTATTGGGTTTTCGTCTGAGGATCCTTCTTTGTTTCCTTGGAGGATGAGGAGGGTTGCGGATTGCCAGGTCATGACGTGGTGGGAGAAGGAGGTTAAAGATGAACCGTGAGCGTTCGTTGAGAAGACGGGGTGTAGTTTTATACCGCTGCGGAAGAGGTTCAGACTTGCTGATGTTGTCGGCAGGAAGAATGAGAGATGGGATACAACAGTTGGGTTCAGGATTGCTGACTCGAAGCTGCCGGGGAGTGTGATTGAGGCTGGTGGAGGGAGTGGCTCGTCGTGCTTCTCGATATCCTCTTGCTCTGTCTCGACAGCAAGGCCCCTCTGTCGGCGTTGAGAGAGATCCAAGTTCTTGCTAAAAAGCATATGCTCAAACAGTGCAGTCAGTGGATCGAAGAGATATGGCAGAGATAGTGATATCGTTCTAGCGAAAGATTTGTATGATATACCAACATCTCGTTCCTCGGGTGAAAAAGCCGCAATGATGTGGTCTGCCTCTTTTCGAATGGCTTCCATACGCCCACCATCAAAGTCAGATGTATAGATCTTGACAGACTCGAGCGGGTTGAGCGGTGCAATGACAAGCAACAGCATAAGCAACCGGCGGAAGGTATCAATAGAAATTCCAGTTTCATAAACTGTCTTATCGACCCGGTGATCATGTTTGAAAACCTCAATGGCATCGAGAGACTCCAATGCCGCAAGAGCAAGATCATCATCCTCGTCTTCATCATATTCATCGTTCACGGGTTCATCTATCGAGAAACCCAACGAATGAGATTGGACAGGAGCCGATTGAGCATCCTCAGTTGTGGTGTCTCCATGAGTATCATCCTCCTTGGAAGCAGCAGAAACAGGCGTTCGTCTTGCAACATCAGCCAAAGAACCAAAAATCAACTTGATGCGGTCTTTCCGACCCCGCTTAAGCACTTTCCCGTAACGCTCCGTGAGAAGCACAACCACCTTAACCATAGCCTCGAACGTCAGAACAGTAGGCGCAAGAGTATTCTGAAATGGAAAACTGCCTAGGTATGACAGCATACGGAAGATAACTGGGCCTGGATCTAAGAATAAATCTTGGGAATCTGGGATGGCCAAGAAGGCGGACAGAGTCTGTTCATTCCAGTATCGCAGACCACCTTGTTCAGCGGCACGGGAGAAGAAGTTATCTTTGAAATGCGTGAGTTCTAATGGTGTGAAGCATTTCATAGCGAAGCGCTCGGCGAGCACGTAGCTTAATTCCTCTATTTTGGTTAGTATGTACGTTTGTTGGTAAATATTGGTGGTAGCAAGGTCCCTATGGAGTCAGGGAGACCATGGCAATTTCGTCTCAAAGAATACATAGAGCTCGCAATGTTTGACTTTCTTGTATACTGGGTACTGAATGGAAAGGCAAGGCTCACCTGGTGTGGATGCACCATGCTCATTGGACTGAGCCGCTCCCATTGTTGCAGTGTGGGGAGTACCCCAGTATTACCGATAACTGACTTGAATCCGAGTGAATATCGGAAATTTGTGATGTGGAAGATATCAAAATCCAAAGTTCACGACAGGTCGAAGTGTCAAAGTCAACATGGAGTAGAAGTGGAGAGTGGAGCATGTGACGACAGCTGTGCCTGAGGCCAGATTCTAGACTCTTTCGGCCTCACACTTGAGTATAGAGAACGTTATATCATAGGCTATAGTACTTGGCTACAACTATGTACTTTATACATGCGTTTTGATTGTGGTAATCGCTAGCAAGATATATAAGGAAATTCGTCAGGGTATCCATTCAGATCCACTAGCCAAAAGCCTCAGCCACTACAGCATGACAATACCAACGCCGCCCATCTTTGACTCGTCGGGCAGGTTCTTTTGGTTGATTCCACCGCCAATTGGTGCAGCACGGTAGTTGTACAGATAGAAGTGGAGTTGGCCATCGCCGGCGCCGAACTTCAGCTTTTCGAGGAAGAGAGGGTTGTCGTGCGATGTAAGTGCGTTGAAGACATCGAATTTGGCCTGAGAATGAAGGTTAGTGTGTGAATTCAAGCGTGATAGGTAGGGGGAAACGTACATTCTTCGCGCAAATCAGTGCATCGTTCATCAACAACTGCAGGCGGTCCTTTAATGCCTCCTTGTCGTCGGAGAAGGCAGTTTCGGTCGCGTAGTAGTACAAGTATGCGGCATGGACTGCATCGTGTTTAGGGTGGTCGATGACAGTAGACTCGAGGTTATAGAAAGAGACGAAGTCGGTGATCTTGTGTGTCTCGGCATCTTCAACGACGTAGGACCAGATAACCTGCTCCATACCAGGCTTCTTCTTGTAGACCAACCAGTGATCAATTTCCTCACGAGTGAAAGCCTGGTTCAAGTCAAAGCGGCGCATATAACGCTCCAGCAGATCGTGAACGGCGTCAATATCCTTAGATTCCATAGGACGCAGACCGGGGGTCGATGTGTTGCTAGGGAGGTGGTTCTTGGTAACCATGCGGGACTTGGTCGATCCATGAGGAAGAGGAGAGAAGCCAACATCGTAAAGCTTCAACCAGTTGAGCGCACGATGATAGTACCGGCAGGAGCTAACGGGGGTGGGGAGGATGATACCGCCAGTGTAAATAGCCTGGAAGATACCATCAACGTAGCAGCGACGGGTAATCTCCTTGATCAGAACCGGTGTCAGGCGCTTGGAACGCAACTTCTTGTGGATGCACAGGAAGTTGATCTCCGTCACCTTGATGCGCTCTCCGCGGACGCGGAGCTCGGTCGGAACACCACAGATCGAGGCGACCAGCTTGCGCGACTTGGTCGCGCGAACGCCGACGTGCCATTCCTTTTTCCATCCTGGGGACATCAGAGCCCAGTGCAGGAAGGACTGTGAGTAACTGAAGCGGAACATGGCGTTGTCGTCTTCCACATAGTGGTTGTTCAGCAGCTCATACAACTCCTTCAATTCCTCCTCGTTTGTCAAGTCCAGAGTGCACCATTCAAAGCCTTCTACAAGCGGGTCGGGGGTCTTCGACACTTTCTCCGGGTCGATCTGCTTGATTTGGCCCTGGGCAGTCTGCTTACTGGCCTCGTTGAAAGAGGGGACAGGCTGTGTCTGCCAGAATTTGTACGAGGCCATATCCTTCTGGTTCTTTCCGCCCACTGACAGTCCAGTCAACAGCTGCGAGAGGTCCATGTTGGCAAGCATGGCTGCGGCCTGGTCTTTATCCATGTTGGCGATCTCATTCTTGAGGGCGGGGTTCTGGTCCAAGAGGGCGGCGACGAGCTTGGGGTCGACTTTCTTTCCTGCTTCGGGTTCTGCAGAATATCAGTAGCTGTATACCTGGCTTCATACGCAAACCTACTGTCATTTGCAGGGGCCTTGCCCTTATTTGTGTCCGACATGGCTGTATGGGTAGTTGGGGAGGGAGGAATTGATTCGGGCGCCCCACGTTGACGCCGGTGGGCTGCTTTAATAATGGGCTGACGCGAACATTGAAGCTATATTCTGACCATATTTATATGTGTGAGACTGGCAATTGCTAGTCCATATTAGGTCATTTAATTGGCTTATGTCTCTTCTGCTAACCCTGCCAGATCCCGGTCTCCGTCGCCTACGCCGTAAGCCTCGGCAGCACTATGGAGACTATGTATTATGTGCCTTCGTATCATACTGGCGACATTGAAACAACTTTAAAACGGGTAAAAATATGCATTGGGAATCGAAGAATTGTTGAAAATCCCCAAACACCTCTATGTCCACTTGCTAAAGCATGTCTCAAGTGTTGATACAAGAATGAAAAACTTGGAGCACCGGGCTACCAATCATAAGGAAATTAGGCCTCATTGGGGGGGCTTGGTCTCAATCACATCAAGGAAGCCTCCAACCAGATGGATACTGCCAGTGACAAAGGTCATGACAGGTGGTTCATCCTTCTGCAGATCCTTACGTCCCTGGCCAGCAATCTCCCGGGCGAAGTCAACTGCCTCTTCAATAGTACCAAAGACATGTGTTTGGGCCTTCGGGTCGATGGAATTCCACGCCGTTGCGAGGGATTTCTGGACGCGAAGGAGCTCAAGGTCGTCGGCATTTGTGTTCATGCTGACCAAGTCGGGCCGGAAGCCAGCCGATTTATATGTCACATTAGTACAGAAAATGGCATGAGTGAATGGGGTATCATATTCAAGGGCAGCAGCGAGAGTTTCGTGCAAGGCACGGGCCAAAGCAGTGCTGTCGCGAGTTTGTTGGTTGAAAATCAGGATCCGGGTCTTCTTAGCAGCGAGTTCCTTGGAGGATGAGTCGGCCTGAATTCGCGAGGCGAACCACTGTCCAGCCAGCCGGATACTATCCAAAGTGTGTCCACCATCGATGTACCATGCAACGTCCTTCTCGTACCGGGTCTCACACCGGCCACCTAGACGAGTCTGCTCAAGGCCGGTTTTGAACTTCGCCGGAAGGGGTGAATTCATGATATCCTCGGGAATATCGGCCACACCAACCTTGCGCAAGTATTCTGCGGCACTTGCGACGGCCAATGAGGCATTTGTGTACTGGAAGTCTCCAGCTAATCCAAGCGTCACCTGGCTGGTCTCAGGACGCAATTCAGGATGACCGCGCACAATGTCCAGTTGAGTGCCCGCCTCTTCAGCACGTTGAGTTAAAACCTCCTCCGCGCTGGTGGGTTGCGGGGCCGAGAAACCTCTGGTGCCCCGCTTGATAATACCACCCTTATGCCATGCGATTTGCTCAATGGTATTTCCCAACATGGCAGTATGGTCGATACCAAGACTAGTGATGGCAGTCACCTTGGGCTGCTCAATCACATTGGTGCAATCATACTGGCCACCAATACCACACTCGATCACCGCAGCATCGACGCCCTCACTTATGTATGTATGGAATGCCATCAGTGTTAAGTAGCGAAAGTATTGAGGCTTCGTTCCAGGCGCATTTGGTTCCTTGCCTGCCACCTTTGCAGCTTCTTCGAGTCGATCCCATATTTCAAAGAAATAACGTGCGAAGGTTTCCTCGGATATCGGGTCATTGTCGATCTGGATGCGCTCGCGCGCGAACCGGAGGTGAGGGGAGGTGAAGAGGCCGATCTTAGTGACCTTGGGTGCGGGTTGATTGGGTTCCTCTTTCGTGTATTGAGAGAGGATTGTGGAGATGAATGCAGAGGTCGAGCCTTTGCCTTTCGTTCCAGCAACGTGGATTGCGTTCAATTGGTTGAGATCAGATGTCTAGTGGCGTTGTCAGATCGTAGATATTCACAAATTCCGGTCTCCCTTGTATTTACACACCTTGTATCCAATGCAACGAAGCCATTCAACTGTCTCCGGGAGGGAGAGCTCATTCAAGGCCTTCCCCGATTTGCGAACCTGCTCTACAATCGCATGGTTGGACTGTAAAGAGTTGAGAGACGAGATTGCAGCCTGATATGGTTTAATATTAGTACTTGATACATTCCAATGGCAAATACATCCTTGTGCAAGCAGTGGGGAGCTTGGAAGCATACCTCGTAGGTGCGAGCCATAGCGGGCGAGCGAGTCGAGACTAAGCGCTGAGCGCAAAACTGGAAGCGAATAGAGGCCCGGAACGCTCTCATATGCAATTAAAGCCCGTGCCTGCAATTTCAAAGGAGCAGGCGGGGTGTAGCAAGAATCCCCGGAAGCTCTAAAGATTGTCTTTCTATGGTCGTTCCTCTCCTCGGGAAACCGCTGATGCCGGCATCGGGAAGATCACGTGCTTCTTATCTCTAGGCTACTGCTCGGAGTATAGATCCAATTCGGATACTTTGGTATTGGCTATTCTGGCTAGATATGATATCTACCTAAGATGCTAAGCACTTGTATGATGGAACTGATTTCGGAACACGGTGCCGGCAGCATATATATGCTGAAAAGTGCCTCCGAATCGACATAAGAAATGTATCAGAAGATGTGATAAAGAATTAGAAGGGTGAAAAGTCAAAGAAAAAGATCTGAATGGTCAGTGGTGATGAAAAAAAGTAATAAGACATGCAGCCATGATGTGGATAGAATATGAAAATAGGAGGATGAAAAGGCAATCGAGAGTTCACTCAATTCTGGTCTTGCCCTCCTCAAGGAAGACCAGACGGGCATTGCTGATACCACGCTGGTGCCGTCTAGAGGGGAGCCATTGGCCAACAAGGGGATCGGACTTCGCTTTGATGAGGGCATCCTGATAACCTTCAGCACCAGCAACAGGCGTGTTGAGCTTGGGCCAATTGACCTGATACCTGTTAGTCGGATTTTGATGCTGAATTGAGTGAGAAACTTACATAAAGCATGCCGTGCCCGTGGACAAAGCGGAAGCAGTAGGCTGCGACAATGAACCAGAACAGCATGAACAGGCGAAGAGGCCAGGCAGCAGTATCAGGCGATCGTCTGGTGAAAAGAGCAACTAAGACCATGAACACACTGGCAGCGAGGATATACGGAATAGCCTGGATGACAAGAGGTCTCTGATCAATGAACAGCTGAATGTTGGCAAAGGTTGAATCTGAGGGGAGGTAGGTGCCCAAAAATACGTCAAAGCCATCTTGTCGAGGGCCATCCATGAAGTTATTGCGGACGTATCGCGTGATAGAATTATTCAAATCTTGCAACATGCCAGCACGAGTACGCTTGCCAGTTCGTGTGAAATCGGTCTTCAAAGCACCAGTTCCGGAATAAGATTTGGAGACCACATCAGCATTGTCTGCCCAGATGTTGCGGAACAAATCCTCGAATTCTCGGTCATCGTTTGCAGTCTCTCCTGTGCGAAGAACACCTGCGTCAATAAGTTGGCGTGTAATTGCCCAGCGTCCGAGCATGCTCTGCACAACGTTGGTGCGGTCAAGACAGTCCATGCAGTTTGTCCGAACAACGCTGGTTTGAGTAGAACGAGTGTCCAGTTGTCCGCCAGGCGCACCGGGGCTCTCTACTCCCCGGAAGTAACCACCCTGGACCAAGCCATCATTCAAGCGACCCATCAGCAGCTCTGCGCGATGCCACTTGAGTCCCTTAGTCTCGTTATGGAAATCAAAATACACGTAGTGTAAACGATCCATGTCTTTCTGTTTAGAGCCTGATTCTAATGTATGAATCTTCTCGGGAGTTCTCTGATCAGCCGTGGTGCTTTCAGAAGTAGTAGTGACTAGTGTGCGAACCAGCTGTTCATATGCCCGCTTAACGCGCTCCTCCCGGCCTTTCTGGTTGACGAGATTGACCATGTAGTTCTCGCCATAAATGCGAATCTGTTCGGCGAAATGCTTCCGAGCAGCTTCAACGGCAGTTTCCACCCCCGGACTTGGAGCTTTGGTGTATATTTCAAGTCGTTGACCTCGGCCCAGAACACAGGCACGCTTCCTCTGGTTTGCACGAAAGAGTAGACCTGGAGGTCCTGTCCAGATTTACCGTTGGTCATTGATTGACCACCAGCGAATCCGGAAAGCCCACCTGCCGAGTCGTTCAAGATAACAATCTGTTCTGTCTCATTGTAATTTGAGACATGGCCCTCTTCGTCGATTCCACGGGAGAAGTATCTAGTTCCGGCTTTGTGTCTGGATCGTCGGGTGATGAGGGCAAAGGTGAAGGATGTTCCCTTGACTTGGGCTGCAGTAATGCGCATCATACCAAACATCACCGGCAAGATGTATGGATCAGCCCCTGGCTGGGGGCCATAACGAATCCCGCTCTTGTCGTTCTCGCCTAGACTGAAATCGATCAGGTCGGTCTGAATGAAACGATTCCAGAAGAATCGGTCATCTGCGCCTTTCCACATGGGAATGTTGGGCGCAGTCTGCGACTGTCGCTGGAAGTTGTTTGTGAGATCTAGCGAGTATGAGAAGTACATAGGTCCAGTTCGCAGGAGGTCCTTGACCAATGTGAGGTAGGCATCTTCGTCGGTATCGTGGAGCGGGCGTTCGCGCATAGGAAGGAATTCTGTTCCTGCGACCTTGTAGACCATGTGGCCGCGCAAGCGGCCCATGGGCTGTGCTTTGGTGATGACAATGATGTATTTGTCTGTCACTGTTAGCGCAACCTCGACTTAGATGATATCGCACTTACCGAGCTTCAACTTCAGAATTCCTAGAATTCCCGCGATGCTAGAAATGCGCTTGGCGCCTGATAGAGGACCATCGTTCAAGCGCAAATCACCGGTTGGTCTGTCAACAACAAGAGTGGGTGCCTGGGGCGACGATGGGGAAGTGAAGGCATAATGAGAGGGCGACGCATGGAGGTTGATATCCCTAAATGGTAGAATAGGAGGCGCCATCTCGAAATGAATAACAACCAAGAAGAAGAAGAAGAAGAAGAAGAGAATAGGAGAAACCCATGAAGCCGAAGCAGGTACAGGGCCACTCTGGTCAAGTCAGCCACACCGCCCCGCTGCTCCTGTGGCTGGGTCTTCCGTCATCTATTTCCTGTCTGCCTTAAGCCCTCGGCCTTATTTCCATCTTCTCTTCTTGAGTCCTTGAATTCCTAAGTTCTGATATATCAGACCTTAGATATCGCCCACTCCTGTCTTTGTGACTCGCTCCACCTTACCCCGGACTCCATCCTCCCCCTGATCAGCATGGCTTCCAGACAACCAGCTGCCCGCCCGGGCGCCCGGTTCGCCCAGTTTAAGCTCGTCCTTCTCGGTAGGTCTATTGCTGCTTTTCTCGTGAGAGTGTTTTCAGTTTGCTGACCTTCTTATGTAGGAGAATCTGCCGTCGGAAAGGTTTGAGATACCTCTCGCGATCCTCTCTATCAGCCGCTAACTTGACCGCTACCCTTCAGAGTTCGCTAGTCCTGAGATTTGTTAAAGTGAGACCTCAATAATCGTCCTATCACCTCCAGTGGCGACCCGAGAGTGCATGGAGCGCTTCGATGCTAACCGTTACATTAGGACCAATTCGATGATTACCGCGAGTCGACAATCGGAGCCGCTTTCCTGACACAGACCATTTCCCTCGATGAGAGCACCACAGTCAAGTTTGAAATCTGGGATACCGCCGGCCAGGAGCGCTATAAGTCGTTGGCTCCCATGTACTACCGGAATGCCAACTGTGCTGTCGTCGTCTATGACATCACCCAAGCTGTATGGCCCTTAACACTTTCGATTCCCCGCATTGAAGCTGATCATTAAAATTCACAGTCATCGCTAGACAAGGCCAAGTCGTGGGTGAAAGAGCTTCAGCGCCAAGCAAATGAGAACATTGTGATTGCCCTGGCAGGTAACAAGTTGGATCTTGTCACCGAGAGCCCCGATAAGCGGGCCATCCAAACAGCCGATGCAGAGGCCTACGCCCGTGAAGCAGGTCTGCTCTTCTTTGAAACATCCGCCAAGTCTTCGACCAACGTCAAGGAACTGTTCACCGCCATCGCGAAGAAGTTGCCTTTGGACCAGGCCGGCCCTCGGAACCTTCGGACAACTCCTCGGCCTGGTGTCGATTTACGCCCTGAGGCTCCTGGGACCCAGGGTGCAGGTGCTTGCAATTGTTAAACCGACCCCCGGGCAATATGCTTGACCAGCCCATCGTATGAGGCGTTGGATGATACCCACCTCAGCATCGTCCAATGGTGGCATATCTCTGTGATTTTTATGAATTCGCCTATCTCATTCAATCAGGCTCTGGCGTGATTCTCTACCCGATATGGAGCCGTGAGCTAGACACTTGATTCATTCTCTCGGCTCCTTCTATGATTCTTTCTCTCCTTGTTGGGCCTGTTTCAACTGAGGCTGTCAGGTCCGTCACTGACAGAGGGATTTGATTCCACGGATGCCTGTGGAAATTTGGCTTTAGACATGCTACGGCAGGATTTTTCTGTGCTTGACGGTGCTGTTCCCCTGTAATCCTGTTTTTTTCCAACCCGGCGTCTGCATCTGCTTTTCTCTCCTATGTCTCCTTGGGTTCAATTTCCTGCTATTCCCGTTACCCTTTCTTTGTCTCCCAGGATTCTTAGTATGTTATGCTCAAATAATACAGTACATGTTCGCAATATGTATACGTGAAAGACCGCAATTCATCGACTTGGTAAACGCATATTCTACTCTGTATATTGACACGTATTCCAGCCTGGTCAAGTCAATATATAAGTTAGATATCTGGTTCGATTACATCGCTGAGTACAAATAAGGTCAAGATATATGTTGTTCGGTATAGTTCCTACTTCGAAGCTGCTGAACTGATTTGGGGATGTACGCATATTTTGCATGATCTATCATCTGACACTTAATTCCCACTAATATTACAACATTTAATAAAATATTAAACCAGATATAGGGCCAATGCAACTCACAGTTGAAGTGGGCTCGAGGTGCGCGCACACCCTGACCGCCCGCAGGATCATCGGAGCGGATCGCAACTTGAGCATCCAAGTTCCCGTTTTCCCTACCATCCACCTTTCTGATCACTTCTAGCCACTCTTTTTGGCGATTGTGTGGCTCGTCATGCTGCGCTCTTCGATTGCTCCGGGTCGGCAATTGCTGTCGAACCCCATTCGCCAACGGATTCCGTCGCAATGGCTGTCCAGAGCCGGTGCTAGCAACCGACTCGCCGGTCAGGTAGGAAGACCATACACGTGCCAACAATTTCACCTCTAACTGCCTTTATTACGCGCAGCGATTCTTCGCCGATGCTAAGCCTCCTACCACCGGTGGCCCTACCCCAGTTTCCCCTTCATCCGAGTCTATTGTCCCTCCCGAGACTGTTGTGAAGGCTGCTGAAGGTATGACGACCCTTCCTATATCGGCATTGTCATCTCATTTTTAATTCTAACCACTGCTACCACAGAGCCTAAGCTTCCTCCCCCGTCTGCTCCCCGCAAGACCGGCCGTTTCCGTCGTTTCTTGATCTACCTGATCCTCACCTCCGGTCTTACCTACGGCGGCAGCATCTTCCTCGCCCTGAAGTCCGATAACTTCCACGACTTTTTCACGGAGTACATCCCCTACGGCGAGCAATGTGTTCTCTACTTCGAGGAGCGTGACTTCTACCGCCGCTTCCCTAATGCTTCGAGACACCAGAACCGTCTCCAGGTTGCCCCCAGAGAGGAAGGAAATGCCGTCACAATCCCCAGCAAGAGTGGATTGTCTTGGAAGGTTGCTAGCGAAGAAAAGGCCGACAAGAAGGCTCAGTCAGATGCCAGTGCCCACGAAGCTCAGACCAAGTCCGCAGTTGCCAGGCCCGAAGAGCGCACGGCTGCGGTCCAAAAGGCCAAGGATGACAAGGCTTCCAAGACCGCCCCTAAGGAAGAGACTAAGCCCGAGGAAAAGAAGCCTGTCTCCCTTGAGGAGCCTAGACAACCAGCAGTTGCTGCTAGCACCATTGAATTGATCCAGATGCAGGATGGTGACGACTCCGTTGTTCAGGACTTGGTCAAGACATTCAATGATATTGTCACAGTGATCAGCGCCGATGAGAACTCCAGCAAGTACTCTGCACCTGTCGCCAAGGCCAAGGGTGAGCTGCAGAAAATTGGCGAGAAGATCGCTGCTATCCGTAGCGAGGTTCGCAGCACCGCCCAGGAGGAGATCAACAAGGCCCACGCCACCTTTGACGAGTCCGCACGTGAATTGATCCGTCAGTTTGAGGAGGTCCGCTCCACCGATCTTGCCTCCTTCCGTGAGGAGTTCGAGGCTGAGCGTGAGAAGCTCGCTCAGGCATACCAACAAAAGGTCTCTACCGAGCTCCGTCATGCCCAGGAGCTTGCCGAGCAGCGTCTTCAGAATGAGCTTGTTGAGCAGGCCATCGAGCTGAACCGCAAGTACATCCACGAGGTCCAGAGCCTCGTCGAGCGTGAGCGCGAGGGCCGTCTCAGCAAGCTGAACGAACTTACTTCCGACATTAAGGAACTCGAGTCCTTGACTGCTGGATGGAGCAGCGTTATCGACACTAACCTCAAGACCCAGCAGCTCCAGGTTGCCCTTGATGCTGTTCGCACCGTGGTCGAGCGTTCTGAGACTCCTCGTCCCTTCATCCGTGAGCTCGTGGCCGTGAAGGAATTGGCCTCAGATGACCCCGTTGTCGAGGCTGCCATTGCTTCCATCAACCCCACTGCTTACCAGCGCGGTATTCCTTCCCCTACCCAGATCTTTGACCGCTTCCGCCGAGTTGCTAGCGAAGTCCGCAAGGCTAGCTTATTGCCCGAGGATGCTGGTGTGGCCAGTCACGCTGCCAGCCTTGTGCTGAGCAAGGTCATGTTCAAGAAGGATGCCGTTTCTGAGGGTGACGATGTGGAGAGCATCCTGGTCCGGACTGAGAGTTTGTTGCAGCAGGGCGACATTGACGCCGCCGCTCGCGAGATGAACACTCTCCAGGGCTGGGCCAAGATTCTCAGCAAGGACTGGCTGGGTGATGTCCGCCGGGTTCTCGAAGTCAAGCAGGCTCTCGAGGTGAGTAGTCTTTCTTTGTTCATCCTTTTTTTGAATATGATCCACTAACAGTCTTTACAGGTGATCGAGGCTGAGGCCCGTCTCCAGTGCCTGCGTGTTGAGTAAGCGCATGCTTTGAGCGAAGTCGATTTCAATTTACCCTGTATATCCTCGTCTTCTACAGGAACTGTACCTTTAGATGTACTTGTGCTTTAGACCCCAATGCTAGATATTTCCTATGTCCTTTGGTCCAATAGGGACACAGGCTAGCCTAAAGTAATCCAGTATTTTCTGTGTTCGAATTCTCTTTAGACTGTTTGAGGTCATCCTTTCCGTTTACTTCCACCTGGGCAGCCCTGGAGGCCTCCCAGGCTGGGGTCAACCCGCTTACATAAACCAGCTGACGCGCATGCGATCTACATCGGAGCGTTACGTCTCGCAAGTGAATCATGCAACCTTGCGTTTAATTCGACTGGCATTAGAATATTTGCCAATCTGGCCGACCGCATCCATGCTTGTGTCTGGTCAAACAAGGTCCGCTGTCTCTTAATCGAGCGTGGCCATCTAGCACCGTTGCCCTCCTGCGGCAATGTCGCAACGACCGAACGAACCCGCGACACGATCTTCAATGCCTCCTAACAATGAACGACCGCGAGACTCACCCGATGGACACTCCTCCCCTTCAAGACGATACGATGGTGACTCATTTCGCCAAAGTACTCCGCATATGAACGATGCAAGAGCTAGCGGGGAGTTGGAGGGTAGTACACTGGGCAGCAGCTCCCGAGAAGGAGAAAGAAAGACGCCAGGCCAGCGGAGGACACAAAGCTCCAGCGGATTCTTACTTGACTCCTTCCCTCGATCGAAAAACACAAGAGTGAGCTTGCACCGCCCTCGACCATCGGAGCCTCCTGCGGATAAGCGTAGCGTCCCCGAACCCGAGATCGTGGTCCCTAAGAAACGTTCACGTTTCCCTTGGAATCGACATAAACATCATGCATCAGAATCAGTTGCAGTGGAAAATATCCCAACACCAGATAATGCTCGCCAAGCTTCTACTCCTGATAGACAGCCTTCTGGAGGCTCGTCGCCACCCGAGACACAAAGGAGCAGCATGGATCAATCGACACTTGGGCTAGATAGAGATTCAATCCAGATTGTGAATTTGGCTTTGAACTTGAATGAATCTAGGAGAAGGACGGCTTCTGGTATTCCACCAGGCACAGGAGCTCGAAGACCGATATCTGTGTCTCAACCTGCTATGCCGCAAGGAGATAGCTATGGGCAGTCTCCACATGCACGAAACTTTCATCGTGATTCGGCATTTCGAAATTATACCCAACTTCCCGGTGATCGACTGTCACAAGGGACGTTGCCCAGTGTTGAGCAGTCCTCTGTTGTGAATTTGTTACCTCCATCTGCGGTCGATGACCACCGAGCCTATGAATTCTCCGAAAGCACTTTGGTCCGTGCTGAAAGAGCTCGAACTCATTTCGATTTATTCCATGAATATGTCCGGCTGCTTCCTTTGTTGCCTCCTCTTCGGAATGCCGGAAGAGATAGCCAGACAGAGTCGACAAAAGTCGAACAACCCCACCGAGACTACAACCCTCTTCAAATGATTCGAAACCGTAAGGTTAGATATCGTGAAAAATGTTCTATCGACGCGGACGCAGAAGGATGGCACGACGTGGAGCGAGTCCATCAATGGATCAGCAATGTTGAACAAAAATACAGCTCGAGGAATCATGACCAGCTAGTATCTTTGAGATTGCCCCCATTCCCGCAAGGTCACCGCAATGTACAGCATGGAGACCAGGATGATATAGATATGATGGCTACCTCTCCTCCATCAAGTCTGCGACGTGTCAGTCGAACGAGCAGCATGAAAGCTCGTCGGCCACGCATTGATTGGAAATTATCGCCTGCGGAGCTTCTGGCTGATGCCGCTTGGCTTGAAGAAGGCACCAATAAGACTAAGGTTGTCAACAAGGATGGGTATAAGCTATACCCCGACTCGACACAACTGATAGTAATAAACTCTCACACTGATCATGCTGCGCATAAACAGCGATTATCTGTTGATGTGGAGGAGCCTGGCGACACACACTCGTCACCTCGTACATCTATGTCTAGTGCGCATCCTGCATTGAGCCAAGAATTCAAGAGCATCGGTCGTGGGCGACATAGACACAGGTTCCGGAGCCATTCGCACAGCATACGAAGTCGCAGTGCCTCAAGCGTCCAGAAACCTTCGAAATGGAATAAAGTCAAGATGCGTTCTGGCAGTGTTTCGAGCTCTTCAAGCACAGATTCCAACCCTTCCATTTACGGAAAGCATCGCATCTCTCGTGAAAATACTCGAGAACAATTTCACAAACTGGTTGACAAATCGACACGAAACTTATCTTCAAATCGAGCATCCCGTGCAAATCTCCCTGCTGTTCAACCTGCCGACATTGATCGGGGCAGGACACCTCAGCCTTCTGAGCCCCTGCAAATCAACACAAAAGAGAAACAAAGGCGCAAAAGGCGGTCCATTTCATCAGCAGGCAGTTTTGACAATGGAGTTGATCATAGAATGTCTCTTGAAGGGATGGATAGCACTGCGCCTAATTCCCCTGCACACGCTGGATACTTCCCGAGCATCACAGTCAATTTATCCCCTCCTTCGAGTCGATCTCCCTCCCCCGCAAAGAAGGGTCTTCGGCACAAGATTGTCTCCCGCCACGAACGCAGCAAAAGCAAGCAACGAGATCTATTGCGCGAAGATGAGAATCTGGAAAGCGAAGCCTCACGTCAGCATAGTAGTTTGGCATCGCCCGAGCGCACAGAAACTGCTTCAAAGCTTGAGCCAAGTCCTTTTCCTGATATTGTGTCTTCGTCTTATACCGAAGATCCAGGCACATCTGAAGGGAGTAAGATGGATGGACACAAGTCTCGCAAGGGGGCGCATCTTCCTGAGTCAAAACTTCGAGGGATTTTCAAGGGACCTGGCCGAATAGCAGAGCTCGTGGGAAATGAAGTCTCCAAGGTTGGGGACCTCATCCTCAAGAAAGAGGCAGATCCGGAATCACGGAAATCATCATCCGCAACTACTTTTATGTCTGACAATAGCGATTCCGATGAGGAGAGTAAGGTGGACAAGAAGTCCGGCTCTAAAAAACTCTTGGAGCGTCTCCCAACATTTTCTGAGGAACCGGGGCGTTTACCTCGCAAAGAGTTTGAAAAAGTCTCATCCCGAAGTTTTATTCCATCTCTTCCAAATTTCACATCTCCATTGCGACAAAATGAACGAATCCAGGACCCAGAAGCTACCGACTTCGGCAGTTCTCGTGAACGGGTGACCTCTCCTCGGAAGCAAGAAACCAATGACTCCAAGAACTTTGCTCTTCCACGCAGTAAAACTTTGGATTTCGCCCCTTCTCTACACACCGGACGAGTTAAACATGCGATCAAGGATCCATCCGTTCCTTTCAGTCTCACACGACCTCCTGTTACTGGTCTCGCCAATGCGCGTGCCTCCCCAGGTCTATCCCCAGATGGGAGACGCGCAGGGCTTTCAGGCTCTAGTCGTGCCTGGAGTATCTCTGGACGAAGTCTTCGCACCCTGAACGATACAGGTGTGCCCGGAAAACCTGAAATTGAGCGCACACGAGCCCTCCTGCTATCATCCGGCATCAAAGCCCGCGAAATTACTCGTCGAGCCCATGAAGTACGCGAAACAGCACCACACTGGCTCCAGGCTTCTCTGGACCCTACAGCACTATCATCTGCATCCATACCAAGAGTTACGCGTATTGGCGAATTTGATCTAGCGGCTCAAAACCTTCTGCAGCGCTTCGAAAAGACCCAATACTCATTCCAACATTCTATGCATCAATTCTCTACAAATACATCCTCCCCTCTTCGTGATCAACTCAAGAGCCTGGAAGACCTGATCAACCAATCCCTCACTCCCCGTGTCCGATCCACAGCAAACGATGCCGAGGACATGTGTGTCCAGCTTAATACCACCTGCACACTCGCCGTGAAGCAGCTCAGCGATGCCCTAGACATGGGTATTCGCAAGCGGCGGCGTCGACTACGATGGATTCGTCGAACCGGCTTCATGGTCCTGGAATGGGCCCTCGTTGCTATGCTGTGGTGGGTATGGCTGATTGTCATGGCATTCAAGCTTGTACGTGGAGTTTTCCGGGGTGCCTTCTCTGGTGTACGATGGATCTTGTGGCTTTGATCATTGACTGCAACATACACTCTTATTTTGTTACCATACTCCCTTTTCTCTTCTTGTCTCCAAATTTCTGGCGACTTCCCTCTTTTATTATTTTTTAACTTCCTCGCCTGTTGGCGCGCCTATACCCATCGTGCAGTTTGAGGCTCGCGTTTCTCTTTTTATTCCACCACATGTGACTTGATGGATCGTTGTCTTATTATCGACTCCACTCATAGCTTGATTTTATTCAATGTACATAAGTTTGTTTAATGCTGCATTTTCCATTTGATACATGGGAATTTGAACCATACCTATCTGCTTCTAATCTGTTATGAGAGAAAAATAAAAACCATTAATTATCAGAAAAGAAGAGATCCGCCTCGATGAGCCAAAATAAGTCAAACAAAGCGTTGGGTGTCATCTTTAGAAGCTACTAAGCTATTCATTTACGGACCAACAAATTTTTTTTTTCGTAAGTCTAAGAGGTGCAAGGTATCATTGACTGTCTTTGATCAACTCTTAGACGAAAAAGCCTCATTCTTTGTTGCTTTGTTCTTGTCTAAAGTAATGAACACCGCCTCTGCATGGCAACTGCCAACCAGATATAAAAACCAGCCCGTCGCCAAGTTCCGGTTTGTGCCCGGTATCTGCATAGATTTCCACAAGCTTCTACAACTACCCTCAAGCAGAAACTTCATATAATCAATCGTCTCACGAACTATCAACACTAAACTCAAAAACTGCCAATACTTACCAAAACCCCCAAACAAACAAGATGAACAAAGGTAAGCAACCTGCAAGAAGAACACTTGGTTCCTCCAACCCCGCCAGTCCATGGCACACTCTGCGACCCCTTATAGTATCTTTCATGCAGACAACCGACCCGGCCATAGTCATCGCCATCGAGACAGGTGAGAGCTACATAGTCTGGGACCTCAAAGCTGTTTGCCACCTGATGCGACTTCTCAAGCTATGGGCTCTAAACAAGGTCCCTGGCCACATCATCGGCGCATTTCTCAAATTAATCTTATACGGACGCGACTACCACCTGAACGAGATCCTTACCAAGATGGTAACAGAAGGCAAGTCAAATGTATACATCGCGCGGGAAGTAATGGCCTTCTACCAGATCTGGGATGACAACTATCGTTTCCCTTTGTGGACAACGCTGGTCGATGATGACGGAGCTGACGAGATAGAATACAGACCTCAACCACCACTAAAGAAGGCAGAGAAGACACAGCCCCTGGCGGAGGTGGATTTTGCAACTACCACCGCTAGAGCGGTAGAGAGTACTCAGCGCGCCAAAGTGAAGCTGATCCGGACGGGATGGCCTGCATTTCTCTCAGACCTCACCGATACACAGATCGACGAGCTTACTGTGCATGTTGAGAACGGCGAGAAGGGAATCTATGGCCCCTCACTGCCTGTGCCCCGGAACCCACAGGTTATTGAGGAACTGCGCAGCTTGGACCGACATAAGAAGGATACCCGTGAGGATCTCGAGCCTATTCAGTTCAATAGCGCTGAGTATTCTTTGACGAATTCTGCGCCACAGAGAGCTGTCTGGGATCTGAACAAGCCGTTGCCTCTTCCTCTTGGTGGTAGTAGAGATGCAGGTGTGCAAACATTCACGAGGGATGGATCGCGTTGGCTTTAGGCATCGCACTCGATGTAGATGTCATCAAGAGACAGACAGACATGGGATTCATCGACCTCGATGACGTTACTTGGAGAAAATGATCGATATGTTGCTTGTATGAGGATCTGGTGATCTGGATGTAAGTTTGCAGCTGGACGATCTCCTATCCTTATTTACAGTGTCTTTTCTCCTTTGGCTAGGTTCATACTATATCATGTTTCATTCTGATGGGATGGATTCATGAAGAACTTCTTCATTTTTCTCTTGTTTTTGAATTTACGATGTATTTTCTTGATATCATGATGATTAAAACGACAATACTAGTGAAGTGGTATCATTGTCCATGGAAGGCCAATATAGTTATTAGGGCTATCGCCAAAGCTAAGTAGACAAATTAGATTTTTCTATATTTCGAAAGGTAAGATGATTTGTACTAGCCAACAATTTGTTGGAAATGGCTTACTATATCATTGACGCACCCCAGGTGTTTTAAAACTGCCACCGGATTATCTCCTTATGTTAAGAAGATAGCAATAGCCCCTATACGCTTAGCTTAGTCCGTAAACTGAACTCTTTTGTATCTCCTGTAATGATAGTATATTTCCAATTTTAAAATTGACTTGATATAGACATGATCAGAGGAAGCGGTTTAATCGAAGGTGTTCCCTCTGATTCTTAGGCCGATTGGACAACTATTCCGGGGGAATCGGGGGAATTTTTGATAATTGGTTCAAGATGTGAACTAACTTGTTCAATAGAAGTGCAAACACTGAGTCTTTCCAATTAGAGACTATATTCATAGAGCCGGATTCTTTCCTTACAATAGAAAGTAACATACATGTACGTGTGTTCAATTTCTTTCTTTCTAAAATTAGAGCTACTAGGTTGAGCTTCTTGACATGATTCATGATGTAAAGAATTCATACCGAAGAGAGAATGTTATAACAGCCCTTTGTACACTGAGCAGAGGTCTTGACAGACTAAGCCAGGGTCAACAATGAGATTAACAAGTTCGGAGAATGAAATCATCACTAAAAGAGAACAGAACAGAACAATGCATTATTAAGAGCACAAAGACCAAAAGACTTGGAAAAACATAAAGACAATTCTTTGCACTTCTTGTGCCCTTAATCAGAAAAGCATTGAGAGTCACAATATGCTCGAAGTCACCAAGGTATAAGTACTTCGAGGCTAGCGGACATTATCCTCTTCACCACACATCACATTTTCACAATCAAACAAGATACTTTACCATCAGACCCACAATTCCTTGACAAAAATCAAATAAAAGACAAAAAAATAACAACAATATCATGGCACCAGGAAAGAAAGTCACATTCCTAGACGAACCCGAGGAGTCCAAGGCTGCCCGCGTTGGCCATCGCGCCCTATCAACCTCAGTATACGACCCTACATACCTCATTGAAAAGGAAACAGAGCAAGATAGGCGTTCGCCACACGACTTTAGCCGACAGAGCCCAAGAGTGCGATGGAATCTCTCAGCCCTAATTGTGTCCTTCCTTCACGACGAAGATCCGGAGGAGGTTGCCGGTGTCATTGATGGCACAGTTATGATTGACTGGACCTCAGAGTCCCTTGCTCATCTAGATGAAATGCTATTATTATGGATTCAGGCCAAGGTACCTGGCGACGCAATCGGCGTCTTCCTCATCTTTACGCTATACGACAGGGATTCTCACATCGAAAACATGCTGACCAACATGGTCAATGAAGGCTTCACTAACTTTGACGTCGCTTGGAATGTTACATATGCGCATTGCAGCGAGGAGGTAGCGAGCCAGATGATCATGTACGACGAAACATGTATCATTGACCCACCTATGGGCCATGTAGAGGAGGAGACTGAGGCACCGCAGGAAGAAGAAGTCTGTACTTCAGGTAACTGTGAAGACGAGCTTCCAGCTCCATTCGAAGGTATCGGAATTCCCTTTTTGGATATGAACGAGCTGACTGATGACAAGGTTGGAGGCCTCTTATCGCAACAGACACCCATGGAGCGAGCATTGTTCGAGGGCTATCCGATCCCCAAAATCGTGCTGTCGACCATCCGGGCCACTAAGATTCCCAGTTCTGCCTCAGGGGAGGATCTGCTTATGTCCGAGACAGAGACATCAGCTGGAGGGAGCGATTGCTCAGCGCACACAGACGCTGGTGATGAGCAGACATGGTCTGATATTCTCAACGACCCCACGGTTTTCCAGCCTGCGAGGACAAACGAGCGTAAACCAGAAGTGACCCGGCTCTCCAACATTGAGGCAATCAAAGTTGACGTTCTGCAAGCTGATGACCTGCCCGGTCCGTCTACTAAGAATGGCAAATCTATCCCAGGGGCTTTTTTATACCGCAAGGTTCGTACTCGTCTTGCTTCCACGGGACTGAGGAGACGGGGTGGTAACGATGATCTGCGCAAGGAATTTATGAAAGGAGAGAAAGAGTGAAGTATTCTCATACTGTAAGTCTCACCCTGGATCTTTCATGCTAACCTTCGCAGTATTACTTTCCCCTTGTTATGGGCCCTTTGTTTGTATCATCCTTTGTCTAGATTGGCCCTATCATTCCATTGTTATTTTTTTTTTGCATATATATTCAAGCTTATCCAATCAATAAATCAAAATTGATGTTTGACAAAAAAGTTCCTTGTAATTCGATAATCCAAAATATATCTGAGGCAGGGTATCCCTATGGCGTCAGGGGACAATTCTTGCTCCACGCACTAGTACATTTGCCAGGCTATAGCTTTTAAATGTATATTGTTCAGATAGGAGATGCAACAAATTGCCATGCAACTCAATAAGAGAGAGGTATATAGACGAACCTGGCACACAGGGAAAAGTGTACCTCCAAAATATACAAAAAGTTACCTGCAAACGCAAGCCACAGATAAACCATAGTATAAAACGATAATCTATTTTTTAGACAGGAGAGTAGAAAGTAGACTTAAATCTTCAAATACAGGTCAAGAAATGCACAAAAGTGATATAGTGCCAATGCCATAAATAGTACAGGGGGGAGAGTTCAGCAAGATCCAACGTCCAATGCCAGGCGCTGCCCAGATTGGATGAATTTGCCGAGAGAGAGGTTTGGAGGAATATTACATGTTAGTTTGTCGTTTATTTCTTGTGTCTGTCGGCCAGGGCCTTCAGGTGCTTGGCGATGAGTTCCTTCCTGGAAGAGAAAAATTAATTAGTATTTGCAATACGTAGGAGGGGGAGTTTAAGGGTAAAACATACTGCATATGAGGGGGAGCCTTCTCATAGTGGCTGAACTCCATGGTGTATTCACCCTTGCCCTGAGTGGCAGCGCGCAGGTTAGTACTGAAGCCGAACATGCCGTTCAGACTGCAGTCCGCGTAGATAGTGAACTCGTCGACACCAGTCTCGGTGTCGTTGATGGTGGCACCACGCTTGTTCAGCAGTCCAATAACGTCACCCTGGAACTCGGTAGGGGCGGTAACGACCGTCTTCATGAGAGGCTCCAGGACGGAGGGCTGGGATTCAGCGAATGCCTTGCGGAACGCCTGCTGTGTGGCGTTCTTGAAGGACATTTCGGAGGAATCAGTCATGTGAGTAGCACCATCGTTGATGACCATGCGAGTACCAAGGACCTTGTGGCCGATAAGAGGACCCTTTTCACAAGACAGGTTGAATCCCTTCTCGCAAGCGTAGAGGAACTTTTCGGAAATGGAACCTCCGACAACTTGCTGCTCGAATTTGTTGTCCTCGAGAACGCCAGTGGGTTCCATCCATCCCATGACACGGGCGTATTCACCTGGTCCACCGGACTGCTTCTTGAGCAAGTGGTCGAATTCGACACGGTGGCCGATAGTCTCACGGTAGGCGACCTGAGGCTGACCAGTCTCGCAGTCGACACGGTACTCACGGCGCATACGCTCGACGTAGATGTCCAAGTGAAGTTCACCCATACCGGAGATAATGGTCTGGTCACTCTCGCTGTCGTAGGTAACACGGAAAGTAGGATCCTCACGCTGGAAACGGGCCATGGCCTTGGAGAAGTTGGCGCCATCCTTGCTCTGCTTGGGCTTGATGGAGAGCGAGATGACAGGTTCAGGAACGAACATGGACGACATACTGTAGCCGAGCGTTCCGTCGGTGAAGGTATCACCGGAAGCACACTCAATACCGAAGACGGCACAGATCTCACCAGCACCGATCTCGCTGACTTCCTCCATCTCGTTGGAGTGCATGCGGACGATACGGGGGACCTTGACCTTCTTGCTATTACGAGCGTTGAAAACGTTAGAGCCCTTGCGGAGAGTACCTTGGTACACCCGAATGTAGGTCAATTGACCGAAGTTGCTCTCTTCCAACTTGAAGGCAAGACCGACAAAGGGAAGTGAGTTATAGGGCACAAGCTTAACTGAAGCTTCGTCACGCTTCTGGTCAAGAGCCAAGTTCTCGACCTCTGCGGGGTTGGGAAGGAAATCGATAACACCATCCAGCATAGGCTGAACGGACTTGTTGGCAAGAGCGGAACCCATGAAGACAGGAGTGAACTTCAGTCCAATAGTGGAACGGCGAATAGCAGCTCTGATCTGATCCTCGGAGGGAACAATCTCGTCCAAGAACATCTCAGCAATCTCATCGTCGACATCGGCAAGAGTCTCAATGAGCATGCTGCGGCGCTCCTCAGCCATAGCCTTGACCTTCTCAGGGATCTCATCCTTCACCATGATCTCCTCACCACTTTCGCCAACATTGTAAAGAGCCTTCATACGGATCAGATCCACGACACCCTCGAATTCGTCTTCGGTACCAATAGGAACCTGAACAGCAGCCGCAGGAATCTTCAGCTTAGTGTTGATCTGGTCAACCGCTTTGAAGGGGTTGGCACCCATACGGTCCATCTTGTTGACGAAAGAGATACGGGGAACGTTGTAACGGCGCATCTGGCGATCGACGGTAATGGTTTGGGACTGGACACCGGAGACAGCACAGAGAATCATGACAGCACCGTCCAGAACGCGCAGCGCTCTCTCAACCTCAATAGTGAAATCGATATGGCCAGGGGTATCGATCAAGTTGAGGTGGTACTTGTGCTCAACGCCCTCCTTGTCCTTCTTGACCCAGTCACAGAAGGTAGCGGCGGACTGAATGGTGATACCCTTCTCACGTTCCAAGTCCATGGAATCCATCTTAGCGCCGACACTGTCACGTCCGCGGACCTCGTGGATAGCCTTGATACGACCAGTGTAGAAAAGGACTCGCTCGGTACAGGTGGTCTTGCCGCTATCGATATGGGCCTGCGTAACGACAATGATTAGACAAGTTCGAAGTGCGACTTGAGAGCAATTGAGGTATGATTTACCGCGATACCGATGTTACGGCACTTGTCAAGACGAGCGGCCTCGACCGGGTCAAGGTTGTCAATAATCGCGGCTTGAGACAAGCCATCGGGGTTGACCTTGGCAGCCTCGAGACTATAGAGAGAACGTTAGACGTAGAATAAGGATATCAAACAGATAAACTCACACTGCGGATGCAGTAGCAGAAGCATTGCGGCGCTGGTCCCATTGTCCAAACTTCGATTGATAAGCCGGCGCAACAGCGGCGGACCGGAACGCGGCTGTGGAAGCGTATCGCTGGCGCAGGAGAGTCTGAGGTTGGAAACGGGCCGATCTGCTCAAGCCAGATACCGCACGGGATTGTAACCGGGCAAGAGATGGAGACCGCATCTTGATGATCCACTCACACCGAAATTGATATGAACAACGCGGATTGAATGTTCTGTTGTCTCTCCGAAAAAAAAGTTCGGGGAAGCCAGGAACGCATCACGTGATGATTTACATCGGCCCGTCAGAGTCGATAGATTACGATTCTACAGAGTATAGAGGATTAACAAGGATATTGGGTTTATGCATGCGATCAGAGGTTATAGAAAAGTAAATTTATACATAGATGCGCTGTGAAGAAGAAACTTGGCCCATCAAAAGCGTGTAAAAGTCAATGAAGCAGGAGTCTACTGTAGACTGGGGATCACTTAATTGGAAATAGAGGAGTCGATATTCCTGGTTGTAACACTAATATACAAGAAAACACAAAGGCGCCGTGATATCCAACCAGTGTCTGGTTTTGAAACAAGAATGCAAGAGCATGCAGCCAATCCCAAGTTCCGAGGCAAACAACCGTGTATGTGTATGCAGTCAGAGGACAATCGCCCAGTAAGAGCGATTCTAAATGCTCTAGTCTTTTGCCGATATCTCAAGGTTGTCGATCAAAAGCATCTGCGGAAGGCAGAGGCGACGCATGGTTATGGGACAAACGCAATAAGGAAGTCGATCTATTTTCCTTGCCGTTGCTTGTGCTTGGGGTTCTTTGAGCTAGAAGAGGCAATCACATATTAGTTCACAGAACTCTCGAACATATCGCGCAATTGCGCAGGGTAGGTACTCACCAAATGATAAAGACACGACCCTTACGGTGAACGGGCTATTGAACGTCGTTAGTACCAGTCAATTCAGACACAAGATTCCATCCCAGATCGTTCCAGAACAGCATAAAATGCAGGTTTAATCCATACCTTGCAGCCATCACAGAGTCTCTTCACGGAGGAACGAGTCTTCATCCCGCGGACCTGCTCAATCTGACGAGCAGACGCAACCCCCACGGCGACAGCATTGCTAGCCTGTGCTTGTCCACGAAGTTTTGTCAAGCCATTACGGATCATGTGCGAGAATGGCCGTAATGAAGCGGTTCTGTAGGATACCGAGGGGAGAATTTGGCGGAGGGCACCGGAGGAGGCACCGATGGCGGCGCGGAGGGAGAACATGGCGGTGTTGGGAAACTCCGGAAGAGGCAAGTAATTCAAAAACGTGCCTCAATTCTCCTGGAGCAGAAGGGGGTTATCAAGATGGGGCGATTGTCGATGTTTTGGCTCCAAAGATCTTGCCGTGATCGCAAAGGTTGGCCGGAGGTTCTGTATTGCCGATCAGCCGAGACGTGTGATTGGTGGGACTGAACTAAATGGAACTACAGTACAAGAACATAAGAAAAGGCGATCGGAATTATTGAATAAGTTAAATGAAATAATAGACATGTTTTTTTTGTTAAACAAAATTGTACGTCTGTGAAAAATGTAACAACCGAAAAAACAATGTGACCTATGATACAGAGGGTCTATCGCATTTACCAAACGCCAAACATCATGGACCTCGAATCCGCTGAAACCAATAAGAATTTATGCACATGCATGTTTTCGTTACTCACATTGCATACTTTGAAGACACTTCAACTTATGACGCACTTATTGGGCTCGCAGGAAGGTCTTATAGGTAGGGGAGTCGGTTTGTTCACTGAAGGGGTAACCCAGCTCGTGAAGGAAATGTTCGAGGTCATCCTTCTCGGCGGGAGGACACTGGATACCAGCAAGAACCTTGCCAACATCGCCACCATAGTTGCGGTAGTGGAATAGGGAGATATTTTGGTTGGGGCGAAGGGTACGGAGGAACTTGGCCAAAGCACCTGGGCGCTCAGGGAACTCAAACATGAAGAGGCGCTCATGGGCGACTTCAGAGCGGCCGCCAACAAGGAAGCGCAAGTGACGCTTAGCAAGCTCGTCATCGCTCAGATCACGGCAGCTCATGCCGTATCTCTCCAGCTCCTCCATAATCTTGGCGAGGTCTTCGCGACCAGTGGAGGCAGAGAGAGAAATACCCATCAGCACATCGGCGGAGTCTTCACGGGCATAGCGGTAGTTGAAAGCAGTCACGGCGTGGGGCAAAACAACCTCAACAAGCTTGGCAAAAGCGCCAGGCTGCTCGGGGATCTTGACGCTCAAAAGAGCCTCCTTCTTCTCGCCAAGAGCGGCGCGCTCAGCAACGAAGCGCAGACGATCAAAGTCCATGTTGGCACCGGATGTAATGGCAATCAGCTCGCGGTTGGGGTCGGGGCTGGGGTTCTTGGCGATATATTTCTTGAGACCGGCGAGGGCAAGAGCACCGGCAGGCTCGACAATAGAGCGAGTGTCCTCGAAAGCGTCCTTGATTGCTGCGCAAGTCTCATCGGTGCTCACCTGAATGATATCGTCGATGACCTCACGGCTGAGACGCCAAGTCTCCTCACCAACAGACTTCACAGCGGCGCCGTCCGCAAACAAACCGACTTCCTTGAGGAAAACACGGTTACCGGCGTCCAGAGACTGAGCCATGGCGTTGGCATCGTAAGCCTCAACACCGATGACCTTGACCTGGGGAGCAATGCGCTTGAGATAAACACCAATGCCAGCAATGAGACCACCTCCACCGACAGCACAGAATACGGCTTCCAATTTGTCCAGGTTAGCCTGGCGCAAAAGTTCCATACCGATAGTACCCTGACCAGCAATGACATAGGGGTCATCGAAAGGAGGGATGTTAGTAAGACCATGCTGCTTTTCCAACCGATGAGCCTCATCCTTGGCGGCATCGAAGTCATTTCCGTGAAGAACGACGCTTCCTCCCATACGGGCAACGTTTAAATGCTTAATGGCGGGGGTACCGGAAGGCATGACAATAGTAGCGGGGATTCTCAGCTTGCGGGCCGAGAACGCAACACCCTGCGCATGGTTTCCTATGGCAAGTCAGCAGATGCCCATTGGTAATAGTCATCAATTGAACGTGAACTAACCAGCAGAGCAAGCAATGACACCCTTCCACCGCTGTTCATTGTTCAAATGAGCCATCTTGTTGTATGCGCCACGGAGCTTGAAGCTGAACACGGGGAGCAGATCCTCCCGCTTGAGAAGGACACGGCTTTCCAGTCGGTTGCTCATGTTGACTGCATGAGTAAGAGGTGTCTCCTCAATAACATCGTAAACTCGTGACGTCAAAATCAACCGGAGATACTAGATCGCGGGGTCAAAAGTTAGGATGCAAAAGCCAAGAAACGACAAAAGACAGCGAGCAAGCTATAGCTTACATCCGGGTAGCCATTGGGCAACAGTAAAGCCTCAGGGATGCCCCAGTTTGGAGGCACACCGGGGACTCTGGGAGAGCGTTCGTTTGGGGGTGTCGGAGCGGCGGTGTATTCAGTCAAGGCCAGTCCACTCATCTTGGGAGTGACCGGAGTCGCACCACTAGCAGGACTGTCGTCAGACATGACGAGACCAGGTGATTCCAGGTATTGAATATGAGAAATCAAAAGGAATTGGAAAGCAGGAAAATTCTCAATATGACTCTTTTTTCTGGGGAGGCGGGACCGTGATCGGAGATGTTATGTAAGCTATGGTGCAAGCCCTAAATATTGGCTATTTCGGATTCATACAGGGGAGATTGGCTGTTTTGTCTGACTGGGATTGTGTGGGTAGCACAATTGTCTCTTGTGATATAATTGCAGCTTCTTTTCATCTTCGATGGCTGCGTAGGTGAAGGACAGGGCTACTGCTGTGTTATATAGTATGGTGGCGGTCAACGCAAGACAACACATAGGGCACAGAAGATTGATGTAGTCTGCTATCGAGCTGGTCTGAGGTTTTTTTTTTGGAAAGCTCCATCTGTTTTTACTAGGATTGAAAAGTAGTCGAACCTTTGTGAGTAGATCGAATATATCCCCGAGTAGCTCATCTGGCCATCAAGTGCAGCAGTGCATAGATAGTTACATAACCCGATACTCGAGATCTTATGTCATTGGAATTATGTCATGACACTCTGCCATCTCCAACCACCTTTCGACTTTATCTCAACCTTGAGTTGTGTAACAAATCACTGAATGCTGTGTTACTGGAGCTAGTTGCCTGAAGCTAGTTGCCCTGCATCAAACCCCGACCGTTCCGACTTGGAAAACTCCGCATCCCGCGAACGCGATTCGACTCCGCACACCTCTCCACCACAAGCCATACACCATGAGTCGTGAACCAGTGCCCTCGTCATTTGACAATGACTTGTATGTCCCATACCGATACGCCACTCTCCACAAGCGGCAACTGCCAATGCCGGAAGGAAATCCGAGGGTAAGGATAATCAGCTAACAGCTTTCCAGCACCCAATTCGAAGAAGAAACCGGCGTCCAAAAATTCACCCGTCGTCTCAAAGAAGAGCCCCTCGTTCCGCTAGGTACAATTCCCTACCGATCTAGATACTGCCCCCGCCAAATCTCCAACAGATCGCTAACCCCTCACTTTAGGATGTGCGGCAACATGCTACGCCCTCTACCGCGCCTACCGCTCCATGAAATCCGGCGACTCAGTCGAAATGAACCGCATGTTCCGCGCCCGTATCTACGCGCAAGCCTTCACACTAGTCGCCCTCGTTGCAGGAGGAATGTACTTCAAAACAGAGCGCCAGCAGCGTCGCGAATTCGACAAGGCCGTGGAAGACCGTAAGAAGCAGGAGAAGCGTGATGCCTGGCTACACGAGCTGGAGGTTCGTGACAAGGAGGATCGCGCGTGGAGGGAGCGCCATGCGGCCATTGAAGCTGCCGCCAAGGATGCTGGTAAGCACACATCGCGTGATGGACCTGATGCGGCGCGGTCGGCGATTGAGCCTGCGGATCAGAAGTCTGTTGGCGTGCTGGATGCTGTCCGGGCTCTTGTTGGAAAATGATGTGTGAGATATTGTATTTCATCTGTATGATAGGCAGGGAGTTGATTGAGGTTTTGTTTTGTTTTGTATATATGCATCGGAATTCTCCCTTCGTGTGAATCTTCCCACTAAATTGCATCAAACGGGTCCCGTCATCTGCGTACCTGAACCCCGTGAACTTGTACCTGGACCAGTGCCTGACCTTGGATGAGAACATTGGTAACCTGTTAGCTACCCTGTCATCTGCACGTCGCTCATAACGGCGAATCCGAGATCGACAAGCCGAGGTTGGAAATTGATACACGCCAAACAAGCTCGAACTAGCACTCGAAAGTAAACCATCACCTTGGCAAAAACCCTTTCAGGCCCCGAAAAGAAGGACTTTTAGTGTGATAAGCGCCAAAGTTTTTTTGTTCGGCCGAGGTCTTCATGTGAGATCGACATTCTAGCGGCAACCCATCTGATTCCGAGTCGGATCAGGTCTGCCGTGTAGCGGAATTCCGCATCGCAGTAACTACGGTATATGGTATGAAAGTTGAGATTGTAGTCCAGTATAGGCCAAAAAAAGAATGCGTGACAAGGAAATGTGGTCAGGTGTATGAGTTCTAAGGCGGGGAAGTTGATCAAGCCCTAACTCGGGCAGCCTCACATTCAGGGTCGACGCAAAGAACCTGCATTAGACTTTGCATCCGCACCGGATTCTAGGCTCCGCTAAGCCGTCTGCTTCTGATGATCCTTTGCACGTTTCTTCCCGACCATGACGTGGAGAGACTGTAAACAGTGGCCTTGTGGGCCGTCTCTGATCAGTATAAAACCACATGTTAATCCCCTAGTAGCCTATTTCTTCCCTTTTAGAATTTTCACACTGGTGAACTAGCAAAAGACCCTCAACATATACAACTCTACTATCAAAAATATATTCAAAGTCGCCAAAATGCTATCCTGGGTTTATCCGCTGCGAGTCATTCAAGCCATCCTATCACTAGCGACAATCGGCCTCAGCGCATACGGTACGTCCTTCTCTATATAATAGCCACCAAAATGCAAGCCCTAACGGAATCAAGTCATCGCCTCCCTCTACGATGAATGGTCCTTCTCAAATGTCGTCTACTACATGCTCTTCAACGGCTGCTGGACAACAGCAATCGCAGTCCCATACCTAGGTCTCGCACCACTCGCCTTTCCCCGTCTCTCACATGAGATTGTCATTCCACTCGTTGAAGTCCTCACTGGTGGTCTTTGGCTCAGTGGCTGGATCGCGTTGGCAGCTATGATCCCGTCGCCCAGTGTCTGCAAGTGGGATAGCTGCCATGCTCTGCAGGCTTTGATTGTCGTTGCTGCTGTTCAATGGTAAGATCTTCGATGTCGTGTTCGAGCTCCTGGGGCATTAAATAACAAGTTATCTGATTGTGTATTCATAGGGCTACATTCGCTGTTACAAACACCTTCGCTATCCTTGATCTGTTCAACTCGCGCCGTAACGCGAAGAACCATCACCAGGAGGGGACCCCAGCACCCGAGACCACTGAAGTCCGTGGTGATGCAGCCGTTTAAGTGCTTTCATGTTCATGATATTGTTACGGTTGTCACTTGTTAATGGGACTGAATGTCGCAGACCTGCGTTTTGAGTCATGAGACCCTGGTTGCTACGAGCTTTTGTCTTCTGGGTTTATCTTCTCGAGTACGACTGGGTTGTTTTGATGAACATAGACCCTGACGTAAATATGAGCTATGATGCTGTTTTGTTTGTTGTTGCTGTCTACTTCCCCTTTATCCAGGGGTTTATAATGCCGGAGATCAGCTGGTCATTTATACACCTAATTTTAATATGATATACTTACCAACTTACTCTGTACATGTTCATATTCCAAGTATAATTAGCCCACGAAAAGCACTCCTTGTATGTTCATCAAATTCAAAACCTAATCTCAACAATCTTCTCTCATAGTACTTGAAACTGAGCTGCCCATCACATGACACAGTTTCCTGGTCTAGCGGTTATGATTTTCCGTTAACAATTGCTTCAAGCATCTGTTCCGGAAAGGTTCTGGGTTCGATTCCCAGGGAAACTATTTTTTTGCATCCACTCCGTAGTGGAGGAGCAGAACACAGTGGATGTCCTGAACCAGACCCACTTTCCCATGCAGGAAGAGTGAATATCAACTACGCTCACCATATGTTAACGTTACAGTATTGAGTATCCCACTATGCAAGCTGTATGACAACTGCTAGGAACATCTCTCACACCGAAAATATAGACTTACTCTTCCAACCTGAAGCCATCGTCGTCGTCCCATGGACGGTCACATGATCAGTTCCATCGTGGCAGAATAGCCAGTCAGCACACCGCCATTCCCATCCCTTCTGCTACTGGAAGATACAACGATCCATCAATTGAAAAAATAACAACCATATCGAATCAAATCTTTTATCCATATTATTCCTCCTCCTGCTTGCCTCAAGACATGATTTGATATCGTCTCAATGCGCCCATCATTGCAGTTCCTGGCGGCTGTTTCGCGCAGCCAGCCTTCGCGGCTGAAGAAGCCTGCTGTTGGTCTAGACCATGTATGTTCAGTATAAGGTGCCACAGGCATGATTGAAAAGTGGATTGGCTATTTGTACTGATCCAGGTTCTAGTTTATTCAAAGAGGGCGAGTTCTTGCATTCTGGAGGGAAGTTGTTCGGGCTTTAAATAGTATGGTTCACTCTTTTGCTTTCTTTCTTTCTTTTTTGCAACTGTTCCTTCCTCGTTTGTTCTTGGAGTTTGTGGTGTTAATCCGGATACTGGATATATAGGAATTCCTCCTTCGTCGACGAGGAATGAGTTGCACAACTATGCTCGTGCTGAATTTGAACGGCATCGCGAGGTCACTGATTTGGTACGTTTGGCGATTGTTCAGTTCTCTGAGATCTATTCTCCACGAGCGGGAATCAAGAGCTGATTTTACTTCTTTGCTTGTTTAGCAACATATCAGATACTTGCTTTCGGTATGTATTGTGCCCTATCTAGGTCTGCTCTGTAGAGAGGTGCTTACGATCCACAGACAGGGAAAGCCGAGTTTGAGACTATGAGGCGGTATATCGATGAACAGATTGCTGGTTGATTTGTGTTCATATGGGCAGCTCATTGTATATTATATCTCTTGAAGATCAAAACGAAGTTTCATACATACGTTGGATTTCTGGGTATAAGGTAAATCTGTTGGGAGGATGCATTGGGATGTGGCACGACTCGAAGGATGTTGCACGCTGATAGGCGGAAAGTCTCGGGTCTCGGTAGATCGCCATCGAGACATGTGGATTGGAAGAGATAGAGTGTCCTGTAGAGGAGCATTCTGCTGTTGGCTGGACCAATGAACAGCTGTTCTTCCAAGGCACGGATCCTATGGTATGCCAACTTTTGTTGAAGAGACGAGCGTTTCGATGACAGTGGCACGGTCCTTAGTATCCAGAGCTCAACCAACACGTACACGAAACGAGCTTCACGAAATCAATATCCTTTCCTTCATTCCTCTTGACTCACTAATAAACTCCATGGACTCCGTATGTGCAGCGACTTACCCGGTCGGCAGTGAGGGGAAACGTCTAGACTCCCGCGCAAAGGTACCAGAATGGAGGGTTGAAACCTTGAGGCGCATCACCAATCGATGGAAAAACATAGCGATTGGTTTCAATTATGTCTGTCTGCAAGGGACCCACCAGTTTACGAGCAAGTATAGGCCGAGGTGTTGTTACCGCAAGGAGTGGGAGCTTGAAACCACCAATATGATGTCAGGACTAGATTCAACTATACTAGATTGAAGAGTTTCAAGTGATCTCGACAGGATAGCAATGAACCCGCCACCTGTCTACTCCACACTCTCTATCCATCTGTGGGACCTGAAGCTCCCTTGTTACGCTCCAGTGATTGGTCGGCATAACCGGAAACAGTCGAACAGGTTGCAGCGGAAGCTGGCTGAGATCCTGGTTTAGTTGGCCTACGTCATTGATTCTGGTCCAGACCATTTGTTATATAGTGTTGGGAGTCCAGAGGGGGAACTTTGAACATTTAATAGCACTCAACACCTCCACTACTCTAATCAAAAGACTACTCAATCTACCCTTGACTATACCTTTTATATACCTTTTCTACAAAACAAACATACCATCTGCAACCCCCTCCAATCTGAACACTCGACCCCCTCCCAACATGAGATCTGCACGAAACAGCGCTGGCCCCGATCGGGCAAAGCACCTGGAGCGCAACCGCATCGCTGCCAACAAGTGCCGCGAAAGGAAGAAGCGCGAACACAAACAAATCGAGCGTCGTCTCAGCGACGAAACAGAAAAGAAAGAACTCCTCCTGGCCCAACTGAACTGTCTCAAAGAAGAAGTGTGGGACCTGAAAAACATCATCTTCCAACACGCCGAGTGCAAAGACCACCAAATCAATCTCCAGCTGGCGCGAATGACACAAACCGTGCTAGACAACCAACCCATGCAAGAATCCAGCATGTCACCAACCTTTTCGAACGGGTCCTACTCAGATGAATCGGTCGCAGTGGATGATGCGACGAATCACAACCACACTATGATCGACCCCGGCGCCTTGCCTGGGGGTGACTGGACTGTGTTACCCAAGGTCGCCGATGACCTCGTCCCGTTCGACAACGGAAACGATTCGATATTCGAGAATTTCATCGATGCCGAGAATCTGTACACTTAGTGGGGAGGGGACCGTGGGGTTGTGGCGTTGGTGATTTTTTAGCGTTGGACTTCTTTTCTGTATACTAATTTCCGAGCTGTGAGAGCTCACAAAAAAAAAACTCAATTACGCCTTTGACGACATAAGCTGCTTGCACGAATATACGAATTGCAACACTGCACTGTTTACGCGGATGATTTCTCCGGGATCATCATGTTAGCCTTCTACATGTAATATTCTGGAGACAGTCCGAGGGGGAGCAGCATTCTGGAGACATTCCGAGAAGGCAGAAGAACGGAGGAATGTTCCCATGACGATGAGAGGTGTCTCCAGGTGTGATGCATGTCACAACATCACACAACACAGCCAGGCGGTTAAGCTGCAGAAGCCATTTGACCAGATGGTCTGAGGTTGGGTCGACAGCCCTGCCCTATGAAGGTATCCAGCCTGCCGCATAAGAAATCCGTCCACTCAGACCAGCCACAATTTGCCGATCCGAGGACGTGGCCTGAACCGCACCAGGGAGTTAGCAGAAGGGAGGGCTTGAGTTAAGGCGTGGAACGTGAAAGAGTATTCGATCGCCAACTCCACGATCCACAGCCGCTGATGTCACCGCATCCGCCAAGATCGTCACGACCTGACTACATCACGCGCGGGCGTTTTTTTTGTTAGGTACAACTACTCCCATTGCTCTGCATTTGACAGTTTGTGGTTTCTTAGGCTCTTTGTTTCTTCGCCTTCAACTCAGTTTTCCCCCTGGGGTGATTATACTCGAGAATATTTCTCATTTCTGTGAAGTGATTCGTTTGTTGTACTATAGGCATCTCTGTCTTTAACTACTTTCCAATACCAATCAGCTCAAATGATGCCTGCAGCTCTCTTGACGCCTCCCTGCGGCGAGGAGATGGCGCAATTCTCCCAGAAAACAGTAATGGGCACTATTTTCGAAACTACTGAACGGTTAGACTTACTACAGCCTGCAAGAGGGCGTCTTTGACTGGGTATACTAAGATTTTACGATCCAGCTATACAGACTGGAGACCTGTTGGCCTTGGAGTCTCTGGGCTTGTCTGGTATTGTCCTCTTCATCTTGCGATGCGAAAATTGGGAAACTGATTTCCCTTCCAATAGTTCCGCAAGGGATCAAATACGTCATCGGACAGTCGCCGTGAAGAAGCTCGCAGAACCATTCAAGACCGAGGGCATTGCAAGACACATGTTTCGAGAAATCAAATTGCTGCGACAATTGCACCATGAAAACGTGAGTGCTCTGACCCTGCTATTGGCCTCCCATCTAATTGATCAGATTATCAACCTTACCGACATCTTCATCTCGCCGTCGGAAGACATGTACGAAGCCCCACCGTACCGGTGCATCGGGACTATACTAACGGTCCCAGTTATCTCGTGACTGAATTGATGGCGACAGACCTCAATACAATCCTCAAGGCCAAAAAGGTCGATGACCAATTCACCCAATACTTCATGTACCAGATCATGGTTCGTCTTCGTCGCACTCAGTCCCACAACTCCCAACTCCCATCACTAATAAGCATTCTCTTAGCGCGGCCTCAAATACCTCCACTCCGCCGGCGTCGTCCACAGAGACTTAAAACCAAGCAACATCCTGATAAATGAAAACTGCGACCTGAAAATATGCGACTTTGGGCTCGCCCGAGTCCAAGAACACCACATGACCGGCTACGTCTCAACGAGATACTATCGCGCCCCGGAAATCATGCTCACATGGCGGAAATACAACGAAAAAGTCGATATCTGGAGCGCCGGCTGCATCTTCGCCGAGTTACTATTAGGCGAGCCATTATTCCCCGGCAAGAACCATATCAACCAGTTCTGTGTCATCGCAGATACGCTTGGGAATCCCCCGGAGTCGCTGATCACCAATATCACAAGTGAAAATGTGAGTTTGATTCAACACCACGGTCTCACCTGCCAGCTTGGAGGCGCGGGCATCTTCGGACATCGTCGCTAATCATATACACACGCACTTTCCCTAGACATTGAATTTCATCAAATCACTACCAAAAAGAGAACGCAAACCCATTTCACAGATCATACCAAAGGCGACCCCAGATGGTACGTGCATCCACAATAACTCAAGCTATCGCCTGCAGGCAACAGTCACAGTTGCTAATAACGTGCACCACTCTAGCCGTCACCTTGATTGACCAAATGCTCCAATTCGACCCAGATACACGCATTACAGCAGCCCAAGCCGTCGAATCTGCATATCTGGCTCCATACCATGATCCAAACGACGAACCGGTCGCGACAGAGGCGTTTGACTGGTCGTTCCTGGAAGCGCATCTTCCTGTTGATATCTGGAAGACTATTATGTGAGTTTGTGATGGGGTTTTGCTTCTGTCTCTTCGTCCGGGCTGCGTATTGATCTATTTGATTTCCTTAGGTACGGCGAGATCCTAGGATTCCATGAAAAAGTTTCTCAAAGTGGAATTACTGGTCCCATGAGGACGGTAAACCAATTGGACGGGATGGATCTTGCATGATAGATCAGTTTTTATATTCTTGGCTGGGTGGTTGTATATTAGATTTTTTTAATCTTCGCTGCTTCTGTTTTGGTTTCCGGTTGTCTTTTCCTGAGCGACGGTTGACGATCTTGGAGTTTGGATACCATTTGGGGTATGACTTTTATAGAGTGCTTTTGGTGGTTTCATTGGCGAGTTGATGCAGCTGGTTCTGTTAGCTTTGGAATGAAACTTTCTCTGTTGAATACTTGGATCTCAATTTATTGAGAATTTGTACGACTTACCTTGTTCTTTGACGTGATGTCACACTGGTACGCATGGAAGGTGAGACGCGAAATTCTGCCCAAGGGCCACATTATCATGCGTGAAATCACGTTCAAAATGTTCAAGACAGCTCAGAAAGACTAGTGATTAAAGCCGGAGAGCATGATTTTCTAGTGGAAAATGTGATTTAAGATTGTATCATGATATTTCATTTCTTGTATAGTTTATTTTTGCGTATATTATTGCTTTCGTTTCATGTTCACTCCTACTCCTGCAGGGGCTCGCCCATACCGCCAAATGTCACACTCTTGATCGTCATGAACTCGTCAATGCCGTACTTGCTGCCCTCACGGCCGAAACCACTCTGCTTGACACCACCGAATCTGTGAAGATGTTAGATACTGAAATCCATATGGGAACAGGGAAAACAAAACTTACGGAGAGGCAACATCACTGATGAGACCTGTGTTGACACCAACCATGCCAACCTCCAGGGCTTCAGCAACACGGAAGATGCGGCGGACATTGCCACTGAAGAAGTAACCAGCCAGGCCGACCTCGGCGCTGTTAGCCAGATCCACAACCTCCTTCTCAGACTCGAAGGGGAAAAGACCAGCAACAGGACCGAAGGTCTCCTCGCTAGCGAGAAGCATATCCTTGCTCATGCCAGTGAGAACGGTTGGCTCGTAGAAGTTGGGGCCGAGGGCGGTAGCCTTCTGGCCACCAACGACAATCTGAGCGCCCTTGGAAATTGCGTCCTGGACATGCTCGTGAGCCTTGTTAGCGGCACGCTCGTGGATAACCGGGCCGTGGGTGATGCCATCTTCGAATCCACCGCCGAGCTTGAACTCCTTGACCTTCTGCACGAAGCGCTTGGAGAATTCCTCATACACGCCCTTTTGCACGTAGATACGGTTGGCGCACACACAGGTCTGGCCTGAGCTGCGGAACTTGGATGCAATGGCACCGGCCACGGCCACATCGAGGTCCTCGACATCATCGAAGACAATGAAGGGAGCGTTACCACCGAGCTCCCAGGAGACCTTCTTGATGGTAGAGGCGGACTGCTTCATCAGGATACGACCAACGTTGGTCGAACCGGTGAATGACACCTTGCGCACCTCGGGGTGGGTAGTGATCAGCTCACCCACAGCGGGGGTATTCTCAGACGAAGTAACAATGTTAACAACGCCCTTGGGGATGCCAGCGCGGTGCGCAAGCTCAGCCAGCGCATTCGCGGTGAAGGGCGTCTCCTGAGGGGACTTGGCCACAACGGTGCAGCCCGCCGCCAGGGCAGGGCCAATTTTGCGGGTGATCATCGCCGCAGGGAAGTTCCATGGCGTAATCAGACCACAGACACCAACAGGCTGCTTCACGGTCATCACGCGGTTTCCGGGCACCGACGCCGGGATGGTGTCTCCGTATAAGCGGGGTGCCTCCTCACTGAACCACTCGAAGAAGCTGGCGGCGTAGTTCACCTCGCCCTTTGCATCTGCGAGAGGCTTTCCGTTCTCCCATGTAATCAACTTGGCCAGATCCTCCGCGTTGTCGATCATCAGCTGGTACCACCGGCGCAGCATGCGCGCGCGCTCGCGGCCGAGTGTTGTGCGGAATTTCGGGAACGCTTCGGAGGCGGCTTGGATTGCCTTTTCGACGTCGGTGGTATCAAGCTCGGGGCATGTTCCGATCAATTTGCCGGTGGCCGGGTCTGGGAAGAGATAGATTTAGCATCCTGGGCATATGCAAGGCCGAGTCGCGTGGAATTTACCGTGGACCTCGAAGGTCTTGCCGGACTGGGCTCCTACCCATTCGCCATTGATGTATGATTTCTGGATGAAGAGCGACTGGTCTTTCAACTGTTCCAAGTCAGTACTGGTCGTTGATCGGATCTGCGCTGCACCTACCTGCGGTGCATTATGTCCCATTGTGTAGAGTCTCTTTGCGTAATTCGGTCCAGGGATAGAAAAGGGATATCTGGGGCGGGGTCTGAGTAGTTGGCGAGTGACGGGACGGATGAGTCGGTCCATTATAAAAGAATTCCCAAGGGAAGAGTAGAAATACAGTGGAGAAAGGGAGTGCGGGGAGTTTGGAGAGTTGGAGATGCCTTTAAATGATGCGGCTGTATCTGGCAGTGGGGAATGTCCGGTGTGTGTCAATCTGCTTGCTCAACGGTGATTGCTCTTTGTGCCCGAGAAACACCGACGGACTTTGTTCCGAGGAAGTTCTTGTACTGGAGCTCAGAAGGGAAGCTCCATGCTAAAGCGGGGGAGGTTGATGTCATTCACTCTTGCTCTGTACAGCTCACCAGCACCAATTGCGACAGGATATCTGCGACAGTTCATATATGCTTCAATTGGACTTGTTGCTCTCTCCGTCTCTCTTTTTCTACGCGATAATGTCTACCATCACATCTTTGCGCTTCGGTGAAAAGAGCGAGTATCATAGATCGTGTAATTGTGTTTGGGAATTACCAAGCCCGGCGACATTCACCAATAAAAGTGCATAAACTGCAGACATACGGTATTTTGAACCAACCGGTAAACAGGATTCTTTCTCGCACCGGAGATAGCGTATTTGTAATACAAGGATCCGCCAATCTTGGAATATCCCCAGATTCCACGTTGGTTAGCAACATTAAAAAAGGGCCGCTCTATAGTTTGAAGCCCGAAGACTTTATTGAAAAAACAATCTAAGAAAATTTTGAAAATGGGCACCTACTCTCAACCTAAGTTGCTAAGGTGCCCAAGTCGAGATGTTTCTTTCAGGAAAGAAGATCCGATGCAAATAATTCTCCAACTCCCGCAAAATATTCCCAAATCGATACTGGACCCTGGAAAAGAGCTGAAATTGGAGAACTAAAATACACAAGCACAGTGAAAGGAGGCGGAGCAAGCAATCATTTTGCGACAAGAGCCATGGTCGGGAGGTGATTCTTACCGTCTATGTTTGGCTGTCCGGATCAGCTACCAAGATATATGCCGTATTCAAGGGAAACGAGAGTTGTGTTCTTCCAGACGCCTTTCCCAGACGACTTTATTGCATTGAACCTCACGGAGAATACAACTTCTATTGCCCTTTGGGGTTAGCGTGAACATGCTTGTATACCAGTCACGTGTCAGCATCGAGGACCCACCAACCTGGAATTTTTGACATCGCCAACACCCAGAAACAACCAAATTGTCGACAAGGGGAGCCATTATTAGCTAAAATCAGCATCTGCAAACAAAAGGGCTGGATTTCAAACATTATCCAGCCGCCTAGTGGAAAGGACCATCCCGGAATCAGCACCTATGTGATATCAACTCCAGCATTCGCGCATAGAACGGCAGCAGCCAACCCGTCTCTGAGGCATGTCCTCCCAACTACTCGGATCTGACTTTGTTCCCCCAATATCTGCACAACCTCGCAGATCATTATTTGGTGGCCCAAGCAGTGATGTCGCCCAACCATCGTCTCCACCAGCGCCAGTGAGACAGTCACTCTTTGGTGGACCAGTCAGCCAAGATGATTTTAAGAACTCCATCAATGCAGACGAGCCTATGGATGAGGAAGATGACGATCCAGAAACTGAGTTCGATATGCCCATGAAAGAACGACCATTGCAGACGCATTATGACTCTGATGGTGACAGTTTCCACGGCAGTGGCGATGACCAGAAAGCACAAATGCGGAGACATTCCAGACCTTCCCCAATGGCAGCTTCAAGTCCACCCCAAAATACAGGGCCGATTGAGCCGGTTTATTATACTGTAGACCGAGGTCTCGACCTTCGGCCTGGTGCTAGGCGTCCCAATATCTTCACTGGGCACTCATCTACGTGGAGGAAGTACAATGCAGATGACATCGGCGCCTATGAAGCTGCTCTTAATATCAGATCAAGAGATTTGGCAGCACATCTGTACAACGCACATGCGATTCGCAGGCGAACGCGAGTCACTTCAAAAAAATCATACGCCGATGATGATTTCAGGTTTTCTGTTCCTCGAAGATGGACGGCATGGCCCTTGCCTGCTGCGGATGTTCCCAGACTCGATGATATCATCAAAGACAAACTTGATTCTGGGAATTTGCGGATGGAATCTGACCTTCGCCCCAGTGCCGACCTGGAAGAATCCATTTTGGCTGTCATGTCGAAGACAGCCAGGGAAAGATACCGAGCCCGGGAATGGGACTATGATGGTGTCAATTCCAAAAAGCTTCTCGATGGGGATGAAATTATGCAGGACCAGATCCTGCAGAAGGAAGAAGAAGACCTCAATGCTGAGCCAATGAATACGATCTCCTTTGAACCAATAATTCAACTGGATGACGACAAATCCGCAGAACAATTACGTCCATTGACACGCAATATCCTGACCCAGTTAGATCGGCTTCTGACGGGGCTTCATTATTCCATGAAAGGCCGCATGCTTGAGGATCTTTCTGAGGATGAGCAGACATCTGATATAGATGACGAAGATCGTCCAAGACAAAGCCGAAGTCGATCCCGGGGACGCAAAATCACCCAAAAATCTCCTGGAAAGCAATCACCTCATCGTTCTCTTAGTGTCCAGATGTCCTCTGTGGCAGACACCGATGACGAGAGCTTACCAGATGCCCCTCGCCCGCGAGATCAGTCCCGTGCGTCCCATGCAAGTCAGGATCAAGAGCAGGGCTCTTTCGTCAAGGGTAGACTCAAATTGCGTGACTGGAGTGAAGTGATGGGTCTAGCATCCATGATGGGATTCCCCTCCGACGTGGTAATGCGCACCTCGAAACGGTGTGCAGATCTCTTCGGAGAAGACCTTGAGTTCCGAACTTTACCGGAAGGCCACATTCGGAAGAAGCAGAAAGCGAATGGCCAGGAGGATTACGTTTATACCGAAAGCGAGAGCGAGTCTGAGAGCGACACTGACCATGATGTGGCACCACCAATCCCGCAGCCCTTGGCCGATTCAACGCCGAAGACCAAGGCCAACACCAAGGCAATTCCCAAGACCAAACCAACGCCAAAACCAAAGTCCAAGCCACAGCCCAAGGCTTCATCCTCACGACGAAAACAGCACAAAACCCCCGCCATGGTCCCCTCTTCCTCGCCATCCGCATCGCCAGAGCCGTCCAATGCCCCTTCAAGAAATTCCTCGAGAGCTCCATCAATATCATTATCAAGAGCCACCTCAGTGAATAGGGAACAAGCGACAGATAGAGAATCAAGGCCAGTCCGACCAGGCGTTGGCAAAGGCCCCCATCGAAAAGCAGATATCCTCTGCCCATACAAAGACTGTCCGCGACGTTCAAACGGATTCTCGCGCAAATGGAACCTCAATCAGCATATGAAGAAGTCACATGGTGTGACTGTAAGGGATACCTCTCATCAGCGTGGAGTTAGTGGGCCGGAGGATGATCTGGCTATTATGATTGATTAGGACATGCTTGAATCTTTTACTAGGTAACATGTATTATGTTCTGGGGACGCCAAGCTGGGACAGTGCGACAGTGATCTAGTACTATTGAATCGAAGAAGAATATCGCATAACTTCCGCTTTCCATTTTTAGCTTTCTGCATATGGAGTCTCATGCATGCAGAGAGGATGAAAACCCGCATGATCCATACTACCTACCTCCTTTATTCTAAATCAACAATGTTCTATATAACCCAGTTCTGTGTAATCTAAATTGTTTTTTGTATTGCCAATGTAGTGGTTTTGAAACCAATATAGTCTCTGTAGTACAGTCTCATAATCAAAGTAATTCTAGAACTACTACCTTAAGTGCATTATCATCAAGAATTGGCAGTCATTCAAGAATAAGTAGTCGTCCACAGTAAGATGTTGCGCAGACAGTATTTGAATTCAAGACAACACTACAGACATCAAAACCTATTGGCCAATCTTCTCAACCCACTGGTCAATCGTCATAGGCTCAACCTGGCTAATGTAGGCGGTTTGACGGAAATCATCCACTAGGTAGAAGTCAGCCATTAAATACCAGATCAAGAGAAACGAAGCCTGCAGACCGGATTTGCCAAACTGATTCCAAACATCGATTGTCTGCAGGATGAAATCCTTGCCAAACTCAACATCAGGGATCGTATCCCCCTTCGCCGCGTCGTGGAGATATTGTAGGTCTGTGCTGATTCTCTCCCAGCCGACTTGGATGGCTTTAATGGCGTCAGTCGTTCCTTGAAGCGGATCGCGGATTGCGTAGTTGTCTTCCTATAAGAATCACGATGGATTAGATACAGCTAGTTCAGCTGGTTAACCGGAAGGGGTAGATGTACCACGGCCTGCTGAGCATCGCTCGCGACGGTGCGCGCAGCTAGGACCTTCTTGTCTTCTGTTTTGATTTCGTTTTGGATTGCTTGGACCACGTTTTTAATTGCGGATGCGCGGGGACCATATGCCGAGGCTGAGGTTTCAGGGAGGACGCCAAACAGTGGGCTGATTGGTTAGTTGATTTTATAACTTATAATGCATGGGTGATGATATTTACCACAGTGCGTATGACCAGTCCTTCCCAGACGCAATCACATCTGTAGATAAAATTAGCTTGGTGGTTAAAGTTGGATTCATTGACATACCGTAGTGATACTCTACGCGCTGATCTAAGGAGGTCTTCTGAAGACCATCGATGATTGAGAGATTTCGGACTTCCACAGGGTCCAGGCGTCTTTTGATATCCTCCAGAGTCGAATTCAATGACGCCCACATACTGTAGATATTGGTGCCAAACCCATCCACGGCCGTGATGAGAGTCTTGCCGCTGGTGACAAGATTGGCGGTTCTTGGGACGAGGTCTTCGGTGAACTCGACAACCGCTTCTGCTGCCTCTTTCATCTTGCCCGTGTCGGGGGGACTCCTCTTTTTGGCCGTGTTGTAGTCGTTCAACGACTGCATGATACCAGCATAGTAGGAAGAGTCTACCGTGCCGCCCGCGATCTTGGTGAAGTTGTATATTTCACCTGAGAGATCGACTAGACTTTTCCACAAGTTGTTAAAGGCAGTGCTGTAGGTCTGGGCTTGTTCGTAGGCCTTGACCAGCTCGCCCACTTGAATTGAAAGGTCTGGGATGGTGGACAGGTCGATATTGAGTTGTCTCGCGTAGTCATCGCGGGTGGTGGGAAGATGGCTGCCCCCTGAGGCATAGACCCAGATGTTTCGAATCGAGGGACTGGAAAAGGTCGAGACCTGCTTCTCGACAGGCTTGCCGTTCCAGCTGCCCTGGACAAGCTGGGTGAAGCCGGCGTCAGGAGACCAAAAGGCCTTGGAATGAGGGTCGCTATTTGGGGGCATGCTGAGATGAGATTAAATGGTTTCTGATATAGGAATAACGAAGATGGTTCTGTGTTGGGAGAGAGGGAGGTGGTGTTTTCTGTCATTTATATAGATGGGGTTTTCAATTTTCTCAGAGACTTTGAGAAGGATCGGAGAGGCTGCATGAACCAGAGCTGAATTTCACGACTGTCCACGAGACACACAAGGGACTGAGCCAGCCACTGCCTCTTCCCCTCACCTTCGACTCGAATACGTTCTGATCGACATTCTCGTGCTGATGATCGGACACCTGAATGCACCGTACTTCTGTTGCAGGCAACTTCTGCACGTACGGGCACACCGAAGACCAGCACAATAGTGTCTTTTAAATTCCCCAGGATACGGGGCAGAACTCTCTCGTCCATCTCACATCTCAATAATCTCATCACCTACATCAGTTCCGAAAAATGACTACAGTCGACCAGAGTTTTCTCTCTATTCGTGACCTCCTCCAGGACGGGCGTATCTGTCTGGACGGGCCGCTCATTTCAGATGCCACCAAGTTTGCCGTCGAGTGTCTTAACCTGCCTCTGTCGACAGACGAAATCTGTCTGCGGGCTGGCATAACCCAAGACATCTACGTTCACTATGCCGATATCTTGAACAATCTCTTCAAAGGCTTCAATGCTATGTTTGTGATTGCCGATGACTTTGGGGTGAGTTTCTTTCCTATCACGATAAGACTTAAGCTGATGAACAGATCATTATCCAAACAGTCGATGCTGTCTGCAAAGAAATGCTAGAGTTTGCAGCCAAAGTCCCTTCGGATTTTCGTATGTATCATCCATCCAGCAATGACAGATACTAATTACGCAGCCTCTCTCTTCAACCTCTTCCGTCAGCTTCGAGATAATCCAACCCCAGAAGTGAAGGAGAAGCTCAATAAGCTCACCATGGAGTTGATTGTCTCGGCCAACACGGTCACTCAGACCTCTGGATCAATCTCCCTCGCAGGGGTCATCAATGCCTGGAACGACAATCGGGAGTATCTCCGCGGCGTGTACGCCGATCTCGTTAAGAGAATGTCGGATCCCAGATTCCAGCAGATCGCGGAGAAACTGCTCAACATCCACGGCGGCATTACCGGGCTGGACAATCTCAAGAAATGGATTGTAAGCCTGGACGCGCAGACCGGCAAGGCGGTCAAGGATCTAGAATATTTACGCGGTCAGTCTCTCCCCCTCTCTGTCCTTAGCCAGCTTGATCTAACATCTCGAAGGCTCTTGGCAGGCGATTGACAAGGACACGACAATTCTGCAAGAGTTCCTGTACGACCCGCAAAGTCCCAAGGTTGAGGCGTTCCTCAAAGTCGAGCTCGCGCATCTACTGTTGGGCTGGCAAGACGTCACAGACGAGAGTGAGTGCTGATCTACATTGTAGCTGGTGGATCCACGGACTGACGATATCCAGTTAACAACCTGATCGAGGAGCATCTGCAGTCGGCAGTCGAGGCGATTGAACGGGCCCCGCATCATCGCCAGTGACTGGCTTGGACTGCAGTATGCAGTTAGTGATAGGTAGCAAGAGTAGCACAGATTGAGTAATACAAATTGGAATCACCGTCATGCATATGGATATGTTCTCCTTGCCCCAAAGTATGCAATGCAAGCAGTAGAGCACAGTAAAAAGAGACCATTTAGACTGTCGATCTTTTACCTCTGAGGTGGTCATGCATTAAAGCGTAGAACACAAACGTTGCTCGGCTCGGCTCGCTCCTGGACCCACGTTATGTGATGTGACTGCAGATGAGCGAATAATAGACCTAGACCCCAGAAATGCACATCTAGCCGATCATAGAAGTGTATGCAGCTAAAAAAAAACTAATCTGTCTCTTGATCTCATATGCAGGCCACTCGATATGTGGCGAGAATTGTTTTTGTTCTGTTATGACTGATCTCAATTAAACCACATGAGTATCAGGGGGAGGTGCATTCGCTAACCATGAGCGCCCGGAATTTGAACCTAGTATGCCGCCACTCCCTCAGTAGAGTACACTACAGAGTAGCCAACAGAGATAGCATGTAGCATTGTATTACTACAAACACGCAAGGTAGCCATGAGTGAGGGCGGTTCGCAGAGAAGATCCTGTTACTTCAATGTTGTGTACCAACCCCGTCTTACTGAGCACGACAGCACAGCGGAAAAGACAAGATCAGGATCCGGTAGAAGAAAATGCCAAAAATGCCATACGGGTGTAACCTTTCAAATGCAGAGTAACGGCATGTCTGGATATGCTTGAATATTCGACTTTTTGATTCCACCGGGTAGTAAACGCATCTTCTTGTAATGATGCATGCCTAGTCTGCAGGTGGTGTCCTCGGTAGTCTCAGTATGAGATATTACTGTATAGGATTCATGACTCTACTTTTACATCGTAGATGCAGGAGATCGGTGGCGTTCCCCGCGGTTATGCATATGGGTTATACTACGTATCATTGGGTATCATTCCGCCCTACTGACAGTTGTCAACAGGTAATAACTCGGAGCAAGAATGGCTGGCTGAGGGATCGACGATACTGAATTCTACACCGTCTTACCTGCAAATGTAACAGTAAATAGTAAAGACCACCTCATTATACAAATCCGGGCCGAGAACAGGTGCATAGCTCATGTTTGGGCCTACAATTGCCTGCGCAGCGAGCTGCTGACTCAACGTGACGGCCTGGAGCTTCACGTTTAAATTAGCGGTGAGAACATGTGCCACGAGAAGGGGATTTTTGACTTGGACAGGTCGATAGCAGTGTTCTAGCAGTACATCACTACCGCATTGAGACGAACCCATCAGTGCCGTATGCAGCAATTATTCCCAGCCCAGCCAATCATTTTAATGCCTCTTCAGCTCTTCGGCTAGGCAAAAAAGAAAAATTTGTAGCATGCCCGCCGTTTCGGAAACGACAAAATGTACATCGGCTAGGTACGGCGCCTCCCGTTCCGCTGTGGGGACTGTTTGTAGCTGGCTGCATCTGCGGATGGTCATCTATTCTTAACATTATGAGCCAAGTAGGTTTGAATACTTCTGCCTTTCGTTTTCTATCTGGGGGTTTAGAAGAACATACAATGGGCCTACGGTAGGTTATCGCAATGTTACCTCGATTACTGCTAAATGTGGTAGAGTATGTGTGCATTATAGCCTTCACATCAGTAGAAATGCCTGTTTCATAGAATTAACACGATAACTATGAGTATATATGGTAGATATACTGTGGTATCATTCATGCTGTATGATAATTGGACTATCGTATTGCCACCCAACTAGGATCTACATACCATGCAGTGCTATGAACTCGGATTTCAAATACTATACTTGCTAATCATACGCCCTGCCTGCGTTTCTTTAGCTACTGGGTCAAGGCATGGTATTTTCACCATATTGCAGTCTATCCAGATGGCCTTCTTACCTACAGATTGTCGTCTATAGTCATCACCTGACGTGTCTCCTGCGGAATATCAGTTGCATGCAGAGCTGAGCTGATGGCTTCTTGCTACATACTTCATCGAGATGAGGGGTAGGATGTGGCTGGCGGTTAGGTCGGCGGCACCGAAGTAAATGAGCTATCTGTCTTCCTCTTGAGTCTGTACCGGTATATAATCATCTAATGTCCCGGCCATGGTCTATCTCAAACAAACCAGCCATCGAACCCCTCAATCAAAAATTTACATCTTCAGTCATTCAATCCTCCAACATGTCTACAGAAATAAAGACCTACTATGCATCCTCTGACCTCAACACGAATGTCACGGGTTATCCAGGAGGACAGGAAACCAAAAAAGATGTGTTCATCCTCTCACATCCGGAGATCATGAACATGATGCGCTACATCTGGGCGGGATGTGATCTACCCACCGAGCACGATGACTATATCCGGCGCATGGGCATCGACGAGTCGGTCAAGGGCGAGGTAACCAAAGAGGTTGACTTGATGGTTGCGGCTTACGCCGAGGTATGAACACCTCTCGACCATCCTCTCAGTTGCTAACGCAGATCAGGTCCAAAAAGTCAACCAGAACTTCCGCGACAACACCTGGAAAGGACTCGTCGATCTGTCAGGCGAGATTGTCAACTACACAAAAGTTGCTGGTGGAACAGTCGACAGTTCGTACTATGTGGGCTTCCTGCAGGCCATCAAGGACTACCACGAAGCGACGGAGCAGAAGAAAAAGGACGATGCCAGAGAGGCGATCAAAGAGTTCACCGATGACCTGATTGGTCGGATCACCACGCTGCAGACGCTGAGTGTCAAGGCCCGTGATGACTTGGAGACGTTCAAAAATTCCACGACCAAACATAGCTCCACGCTGCAGACCAACGAGGAGGAAGTCAAAAAGCTGTTGGATGACACCGAAATCAAGAGGCTTGAGGGCGAGATCAAAAGCCTGCAGAAGGATCTGGATGCCGAGCAGAACGAGCTGAGCTATGGTTTGTCCTTGCTACCTACTGAGGAGCATATGCTAATGATGTATTGTATAGATCTCAAAGTCGCTGCAACGACTCCGGCCTACGCCTGGGTGTAAGTCTTTATATCCTGCTGGATTTTCTCTACTAATTATATAGCACCATCTTTGGCTTCATCGCCGCCATTGCTGTAGCCAGCATTTACGGCCTAAAAATCAAACATATCAAGGAAAACATTGAAAGCACCGAGGGCAAGATCAAGGATGACCAAAAGAAGCTGGAAGCAGCCCGGATCGTGAGCGCAGACGCCCAGCGCATGTCAGTAAGTCACCCTCTTAACGCCTGATACAGAACTGACCACTCTAGAACGGAGCATCAGCCCTGATCGCCCTAATCAACCCAGCCATCAAAACCATCGAGAAACTCGAAACGGTCTGGCAGACCATCGCCGATGATCTCAAGGGTCTTAACGCCGCAGCCAAAGACACCTCCAAGGAAATCCCCCCGGGTCCGGCAATCGAGAAACGAACGCTTACGCTATTGGTTAATAGCTGGAATGAGCTTGGCGACTATGGTAAGTGTCGATTCTTTCGAACGTGATATACATCTAAAAAGTCTGCAGTGACCCAGTATAGGAAGGAGGCGTATACCAGCCAGCCAGAAACGCTCTCGCTCGACCAGTGGGTGAAGGAGTACGGCACCGAAAAATAGTCATGTATCTATTCGGCTGGGATGAAATGCAACATCCGACGGCTGTTCATGAGGACATTTATAAATTATTCTCAATGAATGCCCGTCAATCTATACATTCGGGTACACCAATATGCGCAAATTCCAGTAGATTGAACTTTATAGAGCTACTAAGTCTATGAAATTATATAATAAACTAAGTTCAAAAGGCCTATGAAATTTCGACACAATCCGTAGTAATTCTCGAGGAAAAAGTATCCGTATCGCTGACGAGAAAAAGAGGCTGTGCTTTATCATTAAGACAGACTTGTCATCTTTTCATCCAACAATAACGATGCGTGGGAGAGTAAAATGGGCCTGGACGAAAACAAGTTCGACATCGAGCTGCATTACTATTTCACGAGAAAAAGATGGCCTCTAACGCGTGCAGCACTCCTAGGAGATTGCGTATAGAAGTATGTGTATTTATTCGGGGTATATCAAGTTTTCTCACAGCCAGCGAGCCATAAAACAGGGTATGGTATGCCTGGTTTACTCAGGCAAATCATACTCGATGATCAACTTAGAGTCCTGATCAAACGTAACCATAAAGCTCCGTGCCTTTGCAGGCCCAACGCCCAGCGTCTCATCTCCAGTAACATGTCGTATGAATCCCCCATGCGTAACAACAACGATATCAGGCCGTGCAGTATTCGCCAATTCCTTGAATTTCTCTTGCAGCCGACGCTGAATTCTCCATCCACGCAGCTTCAGGGATTCAGAGTCGGATGCATAAAGTCCTTCCTTTTTCGGGAATGTCGGATCCAAGTCAAGGATATCCCAAGGAAGATCTTGAAACTCGGACTTTAAGATGGAAATGTCCGAGCCAGTGTCACAGGGTCGAGCAGAATGCGCCTGCACATCCGGCTCAAGTACGAGACTTGCACCGTTTTGGACACCTGCTGCGGAGAACTTGGGGTAAAATCTTTGATCAAGTGTTTGTTGAAAGCCGATATGAGCTGTTTGAAGTGTTCGCCGCAGCGGAGATGCCAGCACCAACCCAACGCTATCTTTGAATTGAAAGTCTCTTGATAGCTCCTGGGACTGCTGGATTCCTCTCTCGGTCAATGGAGGGTCCAGGATCGTCGTATCATGGCCAGGATTGTGAGTTCCCTCTGCATGTCGGACGATGTGTAGGCGGAAAAGCATTTTGCCGGGCAGTGGCTCTTGATGTTTGTACGGATATTTCACGTAGAAGAGCGCGGCTGAGCTGAAGATCATGATGATGGATATGGCCCTGATTAATAGTCTCATGTCGGGCTATGAACAGAATTACTTTTCCAGTACGCATCTTAAAGCTTATATCCGAGCTTAATCGGACTACATTTCTGGATTAGGTAGGATCGACCGCGTGTCTCTCCTTTAAGAAAACCGATGGCCCGCGGAGGATCCAGTTCTTAGGTGGTTTTTGGTTGATCTTTGCATTGTGGATATCTCCGATGATAGCTATTCCTATACCGGTAGCCTGCAGCGAGAGCCACATCTATCTCCGGGCCTGTGAGGCTGAACATAAGAACGAGGCGAGAGTACGAACCACGAAGCATTATTGCTATGCTCTTATTTTTTAATTATTATTCGAAGAAGGGCAAATGTTGCAGAAATAAAAAGTAACTTATTGATAAATATTGAACCCGTTGGCCTATATTCTCGCATAACTAGAAACTGTTCCTCCTCCCATTCCCATCCCGACTCTTCACAAACTCGTTCTCAAAATCAAGACCCGCGTCCTGACGAATAATACCATATCCAGATGACGAATCCAAAGGCCGACCCCCATTCGCATCCGAGAATTGCTTAGCCCGAAGCATATGCTCCAGTGCCACTTCAGCAACCTTCAACCTTGTCCCAGCGTCCCGGGCACAACTAATCCCATGCTGTACATCTTTGATACCGAGATTCAAATTCGACCATGGCGATTGACCTAAATTGTAACATGAGCAAAACATGACAATACACAGTATGCCCATGTGAATGTGGGCCCTACCTTCTCCGGGCATGTACACTCCCTGCGTCATCCGCGTTGAATCAGAGTGTGCCAAGCCCCCAAAATTCAACTCGAGTAGCTTTTCTAATGTCTCGCTACCGAGATTGCTCTTCTCGGCGAGGACGTGTGCTTCGCCTACTATTTCCATTGTTCCTGCAACGATGAAATTGCTGTGATGTGTTAGCAATTGAGTCGTAGTGCACACTGAATGCAATGCTGTTTAAAATGTTCGTACCCCAGTGTTTTGAGCACAGTAGCGTTCTCGGGTAGATCTGATACAACCATAACTTCACGTGCGATGACGCCTTTTCCAAATGGTAAGACTTTTTCAATGTCTTCGCTAGTTCCGGCCATTGCCATCAGAACTTGGCCCGCTTGTGCAGCTGGAGTGGCCCCAAATACCGGCGCTAGGGCGTTTTGTTAGCAGATATAATTCATGGAAGAGACCGCACACCAACCAGCAATGAAAGAAGCATTCCGTTGCGTTAGCCTCTCATTTGTCGCCTTTGAAGTCTTCGGATGCACAGTAGTTGTATCGATAAATAGTTTACCAGCAATGTTGTCTACAGCTAGAATTTGGTCGATGATGGAAACTAGCGCCGCATCGTCGCTGGTCTTCCGTTCATGTCAGTAACCAAGTTTCGATCCATGACTGAATAGGCCACTAGCTATCTATCCGCAGAGATAATCTGACTCACAGATATGAAGATAAGATCACAATGCTCGACAAGCACAGAAATACCCAGGCAGCCGACAGCTCCAAGTGCTAGAAGTTCATCGCCGCGACTTAGAGTCCGATTCCAAAATCTCAAGCCGGGCTTCTTTTCGCTTTTGAGAAATTTGTGTACATTCTGGGCCATTGCTAGACCCATGCTTCCCAGGCCTGTGAGGTGTTAGGTGGTCATTGATGATGATTGCTCTATTGTTGTCATACCTATCCACCCAACTCGGGGGTTGTTAGTTGTCATGGTCGGCGTTTGGGTTTTACTTTTGAAGTGATATTGATTGATCAGTTTCGGATTGTTATTGAAGATGGACGGATTGTTTATTGGCAGTTATAATATTTTGGTAAGAGACCATTGGTATTGAATGTTGTAAGAGATGTCTGACAAAACGGGTGACTCACTGCTGTCATCTGCTTAGTCATAGAGCGATTCAACTTACCAACTAGGCTAAAAGAGGCATAGAGACACGCAGAACATATCTCCAATTGCCACTGCAGTAATATATATGCCGGGACCTAAGTTGCGACCTAAGTTGCATTGGGGGTGATGCCTTCAGCTCGAAACGAATTTGCCCATAGTGATACTTGCCGCCTAGCCTACCGCCTACTTTACCGCCTTATACCTGACACTCGACCCCGGACCTTACATCCATTAAATAGTCGTACGCATCCCACAATGAAAAGCCTCATATAGGAAGCCAAGCAGCCAGTACTAGTGGACAAAGCAACTTGTTAGGCAAATAAATAGAATCATTGCATATCGTTACCGCTCTCATCATCTCATAGAAGTAACAGAATCACTGGAGAACCTATACAAGAAAACGTGGCAATATTCATAAGCAATTAGCGGCAGAATTCGTTTTAAGCGTAAGGCCTTACCGTCAATGACTATTACCGACCCTTTTTATCGGGTTCTTTCTATACTCTCTTCATTCTATATCAACCTATCTGTCTTATCAGACTGCTATCGAGCCACTCCTATGTCAACATCTACTTGATTCAAGATTTAAAAATTTCGAAACAAGAATTATTCTGTTTCTTGGCATTCCTGGTCTCTTCTTGATGTGGTGTTACACCCTCGAGAAAGCTTCCTGACAAAGTTTAAGATGAATTCACGTCAATATCCACAAGGTACGTATGGTAGTGGATTCTAGGGCTTTGAAATTCGTGCTGTGATTAACATTTTATCCAGGTTATAAAGATAATGGTGACTCTGCTCAAATTGACGAGACTCTAGTTGCACATGAAGGCAACGAGGATTTGTCCGCTTTTCTTTCATCAATATGCCACCCTGGGCCCTATGTTGCAGAGCAGAATATATCAGACTACGACAAAGTGCCTGATTCCTCTTTTCCTACATCCGCACTCTCGTATGAGCTCGCTGGGTCAGCGGAGGCGGAATCCCTTCCCGTGACTCATGAACAATTCCCTTTTGAGCCCCATGCAAGCTCTTCCTGGTCGTATAATGAAGAGTTTCATACTTCGCAGTTGGCAGGTCCATCTTTCAGTCACGACCCGTCACTCTCTCCGGCCTTTCCATTACCCATTGCTTCGGTGTCCGGTGGAAGTCATGGCAGGGAATTCGAAAACCCAAGACCAAGATCAACTCCAATATGGCCGATGAGCCAATTCATTCCACCTCAAAATCGCCAGCGCCAAGAACTTCCGCGACGCAGAAGCAGGTATCATATTCGTGATACTGACAGAGGGACAAGTCCCGTATTCATACCGCCAAATGCAAATCCGGCCCATCCGCTGGAACGCTGGAAGGAATCGCCACCTGAGGGTGAAGCTGCCAGTCTCTCAGCCATTCGAAATGCGCTTCAGAATCCGTCAATTTATTCAACAGGACACGAGGAACAGCAAGACCATGATAGCTGGTATAGCACATCTAATCCGGGCGTTGCTGAGCAGTTCCGCCATCATCGCGCTACTAATTCTCGACCTGCTTCCATCACAAGCGCAGAAACCCCTGTCAGCGCCTCTTCCAGGAGGTCTGACAAGTCGGGCGTCTCCAACAGCAGTCGATCCCAACACAAGTCGACTGCTGGAGTCAAACGAAATAAGGCAAGCGGAGGGAAGAAGAAGCGGATGACTTCAGCCACTGCTCCTCGAATATTCTGTTGCACTTTCTGCTGTGACAAATTTAAAAGCAAGTATGACTGGGTAAGACATGAGAAATCCCTTCATCTCAACCTAGAGACCTGGGTTTGCGCACCACATGGAGGATGCGTGATACTTCCATCGACCGGCCGTGTCCATTGCGCCTACTGCAATCAGCTCGATCCCTCGGCCAACCACCTTGAACAACATGACTATTCGGCCTGCAAGCGACAGAATCGTATCTTCAAACGCAAGGACCATCTAATCCAACATCTGCGTCTTGCCCACCGCCTGGAAACGATGCCCTTGATCGATGACTGGAAACATGTCGTCACTGACTTCCCTTCTCGTTGTGGCTTTTGTGGCGGCCGAATGTCTACTTGGGATGAGCGAGCCAACCACTTGACACTTCACTTCCGGGAAGGCCGCAATATGGCCAGCTGGAAAGGCGATCATGAGTTTCCCCCGGAGATCGCTGCTCAAGTTACACACAGTGTACCACCATATCTCTTGGACTTTGAATCTCGAACGTTCGTGCCTTTCTCTGCGACCAACCGCGCCGTCAGTGATCATCTTTCTCAGATGATGACTCGCGCCACATTTTCTGGTACTGAGGATGGTCAGCATGTCTCACCCGAGGCTGCGGACGTTGACCCTGAACCTATACCTGAATCGGATTTCCAATTGGATTCCTATACGCAGGTGCTTACTCGTCACTTGAGTCACTATGCACAGCAGAATATGATGCTAGGGGTGATTCCTTCGGATGAGATGTTCCAGCTAGAAGCTAGACGTCTTCTCTTTGATTCGGAAGACTCTTGGAACCAGACTATGGCGGATAACCCCGAGTGGTTGGCTAAATTCCGGAGTGATCGATACAATGATAGCCTGCCTCAGACTCCAGACGAGCTTGTGAACGACATATCTCGTGATCATTGAACTTGAGTGATGTATCATATCAGCAGGGAGTTGCACCCATATTTGTTTATAAATGCTCTTTGTGTATATATCATATTCTTATTATAATTGGATGCCAGCTCAACAAATGGTTTTTTGATTCGACCAGAGCCTAAGCCAAGATGCTTCGCCGTCTCGAATACTCCACTACCTGGCCATAGTCATGTGTGTCCATTGTCGACAAGACAGCCAGGGACACAGGGATTTCAAAATGTTTATTAATCGATGTGATGTGGTTTTCCGCCGTCGGTTCCCACGGCGAGTTGAGAATATTGACTGTTGCTCGCTGTGCAACCAGATCTGCCGGCGTTTCTGATAGTACATGTGAGTATAAAGTCCACTGCAACAGCCCTGACTGGTGATTACCTTTATTGGAAGTCTGGTCAACCACCATGGGTTGACCCTGCCTGTCGCCCTCCTCCCGTTCCTCTCCCTTCCCTCGCATATCCCATCTTCGCTTCGAGCGTGGTGGTATTGATTCCTTCACCGGCTTCTCAGCGCCTGAATATTTCCCCCTTGATGCAATCCCAGCTCCCCACCGCAGTCTGATCTCGTATCCCTCACACGCAATGCCGCGCAGACTGCATCTTTGGCAAGAGGGACGCATTTCATCGCATTGAACCCGCTTCTTCTTACACGTCCAACATCCCTTGAACGAGCGATGCCGAGAGTGGGGGGTATCTTTCTGTTTTTCGACTGGTGACATAGCTATCCTGGCTGGCAAAAGGTGGTCAAGTAGAAAAAAAGAATGAAGGAACAAGATCATGAATTGCTACGTCTTTATGGTCATACAATGGGTGGTCTGAGCCTCTCTGATTGGTCGAACAAAGATCTCAGGGCCAAACAACGCGCTCTAACCCGCTCTAACCCGCTCTAGGGAGTGCTTTCCGGGTCCAAATGCCTCAGAGACAAGCATATATTGGACACGCAAATTCCCTCGCAAGGCAAGTCCAAAATCACAGACAACAGCGTGAGGTTGTTCTTATGATTGATCGCCAAGGCTGTAGCGACTTAACCCCATTCGGGCAGGTCCACGCAGGCCAACGCAGGTCAACGCGAAGTATGCGCTTTCTGCCGCTCTTGTTCTGCTTGTTTTCTACAGATGCAAAGTCAATCATTTCAATTTGTCAAGATCAAAATGCCTATTCCGAGGCGATCGGGGTGACCAGGGCGACCAGGGCCACCAGGGAAGATTGCGCCGTTTGTACCCGCTGCATCTGGGGAGCGAAAGTCGCCACTAGCAAAAGCCGGTTCCGATCGTGATGTGTCAAGATCGCGTTCACCGGTAAATATTCGAGTCCAAGAAGATTTCCAGGTTAATGTCTGCAGTGCAGTCAAGCTATCCGCATCTACCTGCCAGACAGGGAATCTTCAGCCTTTGCAGGTCCGATATGTGGAGTCACCCTACAGAAAACTGGAGCAACGAGAATGCCGTGTCGCGAATCTCTTAAATGCTTCCGAACTCGGGCATATCGGTGGAGTCTCGGTGAGCGTCCCAGGGACGTGCGATTCTGTTTGGTCACAAATGCCGATGCCCATGGGGTTCCCCCAGACAAACGTCAAACCCCGGGTCTTGAAACTGGGGGTGTGGGACTTGGGATTCTTACAATTGTCTCTGGCATCTTCGAACTTGGTTCCAGTATATCCATATTGCCTTACAAAGGAACAATACACAAATCGAACCCCGCTGTCGAGTGCTTCAACGGCAGTATCTCGCAAACTTTTTATTATTGGGAAATGACCCCAGAGCGACCCTTTTAAACCTCACTTCATTCACTGGTCCTTTCCATTGCTCGAAGTATGGACGTGGAAACCGAGAATCCTCTCAAACAAACCGACCAGAGTGCCCAGGATGCCAACGACCTCGCCGAATTCGGTCACGAGCAGACCCTCGCCCGCAAATTCAACATATGGAGCATGCTTGCCCTGGCCTTCTGTGTTCTGGGAACATGGTCGACATTCGCACAGGATCTTTCTGATGGGTTAATCAACGGCGGTCCTGTCTCGATCCTTTGGGGTCTATGTCTGGTTACATTTTGCAACACCTGCGTTGCACTCTCGCTGGGCGAGATCTGTAGCAGCATGCCTACGGCCCTGGGACAGGCATACTGGATTTACCGCTTGTGGGACTCCCGCTTAGGACGTTTCATCTCCTACATGTGTGCTTGGATTAACGTGTTCGGGTGGTGGACTCTTGCTGCTTCCCAGGTGGCATTCATGACCAATTTCCTGCTCGGCATGAAGGTCATGTTCAATCCGAATTGGACCGGTGCCTCTACGGGTTGGCTTGAGTTTATCGTTTATGTGGGATGTGTTTTTGTTTTGACATTAATCAATGTGGTCGGTTGTCGAAGGGAGAAGTTCTTGCCTTGGCTCAATAACTTTGTTGGCGTATGGTTCTTTGGACTTTTCTTCGTCTTCTGCCTTGCCTTGCTTATTTCTGTTGGCACTAAGGACGGTCTCTCGTACCAGCCAGCCAGATTTACCTTTGGCAAGTGGATCAATCAGACCGGGTGGCCAGACGGTGTTGTCTGGTTTATTGGACTCGTTCAAGCCGCCTATGGTCTCACTGCCTTCGATGCCGTGATCCACCTGGTAGAAGAAATTCCCGCACCGCGCAAGAATGCTCCGAAAGTCATCTATTTAGCCGTGATTTCCGGAGCAATCAGCGGTTTTATCTTGATGATGGTCTGCCTCTTCTGCATCCAGAAAGTGAACACTGTCGTCGACTCACCAAGTGGCCTTCCATTCATGGAACTCGTGCAAGAAACAGTAGGCCAAACCGGTGGAGCAGTATTGATCTCGCTCTTCATCATGAACGGCCTCGGTCAAGGAATCAGTATAGTGACCACAGCCTCTCGCCTGACCTGGGGCTTCGCTCGCGACGGCGGACTTCCATTCAGCGCATATCTCTCCGAAGTCAGCCCAACATGGAAAGCGCCCGTCAGGGCGCTCTGGTTCCAAGGCGCGATAATTGCCCTGGTCGGGGTCTTATTCCTCTTCGCCGAAACTGTGTTGAACGCCATTCTTAGCGTCAGCACCATTGCTTTAACAATTTCATATGGTCTGCCCATTATGACCTTACTTTTGATGGGCCGCGACAAACTTCCACACGGTGGTCAGTTCCATCTTGGCAGGTTTGGAGCGCCTGCCAACTGGGTCAGTCTCGTATACTGCTGCGTGACGACCATCTTCTTTTTCTTCCCCAGTGCTCCTAATCCCTCTGGGGATGAAATGAACTACGCTATTGGTGTTTTCGGTGTGATGCTCGTTATTTCGGTCGCTTTTTGGTTTATTTCGGGCAGTCGCACTTATCTTAATACTGAGGAGTCTATTCCTCATGTTATCCAGGCTCGTGCTGTTGCGAATGAGCCTGCCCTGCCCGAGCCTAAGAAGGAGGATCGATGAATGAAATCCCGGAGTCAATCGCTTCATTGGTTTCTTGTGAACCTAGGATCGGGATTTGATGGTTTATTTGACGTGTTATGCTTGACATTCGTCGGGGAGAATTGGTATATAAGCGAGGTGTGCATAGACATCCGTCTAGATGTATATAGAATTGATATATAGATTGATTTCAATCTAACATAGGTGATTGCATTCCACCATGACCGAACGAACATTGTTCTATTGCTTCTCCACCATAGAGCCTGCCCAAATGGCATAAGTCCTCTTATCTGGCAGGGCAACTTCGGCTCCCCGAAGTAACACTCTAGCTCTTGTTTCTTTGGCATGCATAATGCATGCAGATGCCTCCGCAGGAGACACGCTGGAAGCTGCAGTTCTGCCTTGCTTCCCAAGTTCCTGTTGATAATCGGGATGACTATTTCTCGGTGAAGCGGAAATATGCTCCTTTCAAACAGCAATAGCGATTATGCTACGCGCGCAGTCACACCGATTGATTCGAGAGCCCAGTGATAGGCAAAGTCGAGTTCTCGGTTTTCCATTCATCCCCAGGCCCTTTGGCTGCAACAACTTTAATTTAGTACGTTAATAGGTTGACGTATGGGGTCTGACGTTGCCTACGACCTAGGCGCATTTTCGGCTGATTACCGGAGTAATGCAGGAGGTGACGATCTGGAACAAGATTCTCAAACATCAAATCATACTGAAACTCGGTTGATCAAAGCTCAATCCTCAATCGGTTGCTAAGATATCCAAACACACTGGAAATCTGTAGTTTTCAAGCTGAAGGTATACAACGACAGCCCGAGATTCAGTTTCTGGGTAACTATTCCATTAAGCTTCATAGTCGCCTTTCTTAATTTCAGGTGGATCATCGTGCGGGATATGAGGATCATCTTGGCTGTTTCGGCCTTTAACTGAAACACATTTTGTATGAGTCTCAGCTTCCAGAAAGCTCAAGTGGGCCCCCCTGAGCGCAACTTCATCAAAACAACAGAGACACTATTTTTGGGGATGCGATCTAGACCTGGGATACTCCATAGTTGATGAGTGCTCCTGTGTCAAGTAGAGGTTATTCCATGGTCATACGTCTCCGGATCGATGCTTAGCCTTGGCTCCAGAGGTATATATATCAGCTGCTTCGTAGTCGACGGAGAGTAAAAAGCCTCTTTAAACACATCCAATCTCAAAATGCATTTCACCTCCTTTTTCTCTATGCTGGCTATCCCAGCCATGGTCGCTGCCACCCTGGATCCGGCTTCGACTAACAGCAAAGGCTACAAGCCTAGCAGCCTGAACTGCTCTGGTAAATATCAATCATGGATGAGTTTTGATGCAAAGAAAAGTATATACTGAACCGTGAAAACAGCTGCCAAGGTCTCCAAGGCTATTCAAGCCGCTGAGTGCTCCCACAACACCCGGACTTCATCCACCCAAACCTTCGCCGTCTTCGAGACTGACCACCAATACGACTCCAACAACGGTGCTCCCTACGGAACATGCAGCGCATACACTTGCACCGCCCCGACCTCTAGTGAGATCGAAGCGGACTCCGACTACTGGATCTTCTACTGGGGCGATGGTGGAAAGAGCAGTGGATACGGTACCACCTGCATCAAGGATCCCCAGACTGGCGAGTGTGGCTGCGAGAACTCGGATGGTACTTTCGTTGCTGGAAGCTCCAGCTGCACTTAGAAGTTAAAATTAGACTAGAAGGAGTCTTGTCATCTCCTGGTGAGATGCAAGACTCCCAGTCTCAAGTGAGTATTGCCGAATTAAAACATTGGCAATTATTCAGAAAACACAAACTCAATTTTGATATATACAATATAGCATCCAGATTTTATCAAGGATCCTCGAGATAGTAGCTACCTCAAAGCTTGGACTTCATGTTGACATGAATAGCCTTGACACTAGAATAAGCATCAAGACCAGCCTGACCGAGCTCACGCCCAATACCACTCTGCTTAACGCCACCAAACGGAATGCGCCAATCGCTGTCATTACTGGAGTTGATCCAGACCATACCAGCCTCAATCTTCTTAGCAACGCGATGCGCACGAGTCAAGTTAGTAGTGAAAAGTGCACTACCAAGACCATACGTAGTATCATTGGCCATCTGAATAGCATCCTCCTCAGTGCTGAACTTCGCAATAACAACGAAAGGACCGAAAACTTCCTCTTGGTAAATCCGCATCTTAGGAGAAACATTCGTGAACACAGTCGGTTCCACGAAGTATCCCTTGCCATCACCAACGCCCTTGAATGGCTTGCCACCAGAGACAAGAGTCGCCTTCTCGGATTTTCCAATATCAACATAGGACATGATACGGTCATATTGAGCTTGCGTCACCTGGGGACCCTGGAAAGTCGATTCCTCAAATGGATCGCCGACCTTGGACACATTCTTAACTTGAGCCTTGAATGCTTCCAGGAACTTATCGTAGATCTCATCCTGGACCAGGATCCGCGATGTAGCAGTGCAGATCTGGCCCTGGTTATACATGATACCGATATGGGCCCATTCAACGGCCTGTTCGAGATCCGCGTCGTTGAAGACGACCAGGGGACTCTTGCCGCCTGTCTCGAGGGTGATGTTCTTCAGATTCACGCTGGCCATCTTCATGATGTGCTTGGCTGTGGCGGTGCTTCCGGTGAAGGCAATCTTGTCTACATCTGTGTGCGAGGCGAGGGCTGCGCCTGCGACAGAACCGTGGCCGTTCACGATGTTGACAACGCCTGGTGGGAAACCAGCTTCCACGATCAGGTTTGCCAGGAAGAGGATTGAGAGGGGGGTTTGCTCGGCTGGCTTGAGGATCACGGTGTTCCCGCAGGCCAGAGCTGGGCCGAGCTTCCAGGCTGCCATTGCCAGAGGGAAATTCCATCTGTGATAAGTTAGTGGTGGACATGATCGGGCCTTGAAGGATACGTTACGGGATAATTTGTCCGCAGACACCAACCGGTTCCCGGACGGTGTATGCGAATTTGTCAGGGGTGGTATCAATGACCTGACCAAAGATCTTATCGGCGTAGCCGCTGTAATAGCGGATAGTCTCGGCGGTCTCGGTAAGGTCATCATTGAAGGAAACAGAGTATGGCTTTCCGTTGTCAAGTGTTTCAATGGTAGCAAGAGTCTTGCGGTTATCCTCAATGAGCTGAGCGAGACGGTTCATCAGCTTGCCGCGGTCGGTACCGGGAAGGTCGCGCCAGCAAGGGTTATTGAGGGCTGCGCGAGCGGCCTTGACGGCTGTGTCGACATCCTGAGATGAGGCAGCATGGACAGAAGTGATTTCCTTTGCGGTTCTATTGTTTTTTTATCTGGTTAGCAATAGATTGATGTATGCGCAAAGTTGTAAGACGTACGTAGGGTTGATGGTGGCAATCTTCTCGCCATTGGACGACTTGACCCATTGGTTGTTGATGAACAGGCCCGTGGGCTGGGTCCAAGTATGACCGTTGGGCGCTGTGAGTTGAACTGACACGTCGGACATAATGTGTGAATGATCTTGTTGAGAGTATGTAAAGAAATGATCCAGTTACGTGAACGATAGTAGTACTTAACACCAGTGCTAGCTAGGTGATAGCTAGAGATAGCGATAAGTCGGCTGTACATTCCAATTCAGTCTCCATTGTGACTTCAAGCCGATCCATGAGATCCACGAGATCCACCTCCGGATTTCATCAAAGACACAGTGGACTCGGACGTGGGGACCAAATCACGGCGGTTGACGGGAATATGCGCTAATCCTAATTAGGCATGTCCAGCCAACCTCTTTTCAGTGTTAGTGATGAGGATGGTGGATAGATGGACTGTTTGGTCTTGAGAGGTCTAATGTGTGCATGATATTGAATTCTACTCTATTGAGTATTCTACTCCTTTCCATATGACGCTCTCTATCAAAGGGACTTCGCCAATGTAGATATGAAGAGCCGCGCCTTACATAAACACACCACGTGAAAATAAGCTTGTCTCAACCTGCATAAATCACCTGATTCGTCAAGAACAGGCAGGTGGTGCCTACGGTGTGGATGTTCTGCAGATAACACTTGCCTCATTAGGGCGACCAGCAGAGAACGCAGAGGCCAACACATCTCCCGAGCCGCGAGATTCTGATTGGCCGATATTTTCAATGGCAATGGCTTTACGAAACCGATATTATGGCATAGAATGGAGAAATGTCATCTCTGGTGTCAATTTAATAGCTTCTCCAGACATTCGCCCAAACCGAACAATGGCGGTAGAGCCCACTCTCGGGACCTTTCGCCCCCCGGCTTCTATAAGATCCCGATTCCCTTTCTGGGAAGGTACATGCGGGCGACAGCCAATCTGATATCCAAGGTCTGGTATCTATATAAGGTCCATGGCAACTTGGCGATGAAGCGTTTCAGTTCTCTACAACTCTCTAACCTCTTCTCCCATACCCCCCTCACATCTTCATCATGGCGTCTGCCCCGGATACCACATCAATTCCTGGCTACACGATCTTCCGCGAGGGAGATTACGAGAGTGTAGCCGCTGCCGCGATGTTGCCACAGGGAACTCCCCACCCATTAGGTTGGTCAAATACATACTCTTGCAGAAATTAAATACTAACATCAATGGTAGATCAACTTACTATCAAGGAAATCCCAGAGGCTGCCAAGCTCATCCGGGAATATGCCAACCCCAAGACTATCAAGTTCAACTGCCTCACACTCCGGGAACCCCGGAAAGCCGAATATCAGACATTCCGAGCTGGGCAAATTCCTATCCCGGAACGTCGCGCTTTTGCCATTGTGATTGTGCGCGAGACCTCCCAGGTCGTCGAGGTCGTTGCCAACCTCGCCACCGGCAAGGTTGAGGAATGGAAGGAAGTTTCCGAGGTCATGCCTACTCTCACTCTGGAAGATCTCGATGTTATGGAGCGCATTGCCCGCAAGGATGCCCGTGTGATTCGTGCCTGCAAGGAGATCGGCATTACCGACATGGATAAGGTCTTCCTCGATGCATGGGCCATCGGCATTGACGAACGCTGGGGCTACGAGCGCCGTCTCCAGCAGGGTCTGGCTTACTACCGTAACTCCGAGTTCGACAACCAGTACGCCCACCCTCTGGATTTCACCGTTGTTGCGGATACCGAGACCGAAGAGGTTCTCAGCGTTGATGTCCGCTACGTCAACGGTGAACGCACTGCTGTTCCTCTCCAGGAGCACAACTACCTTCCCGAGTTCATTGGTGACAAGTACAACCACGACCGTCTGAAGCCCATCGATATCACCCAGCCTCAGGGTGTCTCCTTCAAGGTTCGGGGTAACGAGCTGACCTGGGCCAACTTCAAGATGCACATTGGTTTCAACTACCGCGAGGGTATTGTCATCTCTGATGTGCGCACTCACGACATGTACGAGGACCGTGAGCGCACTCTCTTCAACCGTATCTCCGTCGTTGAGATGGTTGTTCCCTACGGTTGCCCTGAGAAGCCTCACCACAAGAAGCACGCTTTCGACGTCGGCGAGTACGGCACTGGTCTCATGACCAACTCCCTGAAGCTGGGTTGTGATTGCAAGGGTGCCATTCACTACATGGATGGTGTCATGTCCACTTCCAACGGTGAAGCCGCCGTCATCAAGAACGCCATCTGTATCCACGAAGAGGACAACGGCCTTCTCTACAAGCACACCGACTACCGCGATGGCACAGTCATCTCTGCTCGCGACCGCAAGCTCATCGTCTCTCAAATCATCACCGCCGCCAACTACGAGTACGGCTTCTACCACACCTTCACCCTGGACGGCACCTACAAGCTGGAGATGAAGCTCACCGGCATGCTGAACACCTACTGCATGCACCCAACGGAAACAGCCGCGCCCTACGGCACAGAAGTTGCCCCCTCAATCAACGCCCACAACCACCAGCACCTCTTCTCCCTCCGCATCGACCCCGAAATCGACGGCCACAACAACTCCGTCGTTCAGAACGACGCCGTCTCAGCCGAAGCAGCCGTCGGCTCCCCCGAGAACCCCTACGGCAACGCCTTCTACAGCAAGAAGACTCCCCTCCGCACAGCCCTCGAAGGCGCCGCCGACTACTGCTACGAGACCAACCGCTCGTGGGACATCATCAACCCGAACCGCATGAACACAATCGCCAAAAAGCCCGTCGCCTACAAGATCCTCAACAACAACTGCCCACCCATGCTCGCCAAGCCAGGCAGCACAGTCTGGAAGCGTGCCGCCTTCGCCCGCAAGCCCCTCTGGGTCCTGCCCTACAAGGACTACGAGCTGTTCCCAGCCGGAGACTACGTCTGCCAATCTACTGGTGACGATGGACACCCCCACAACCCCACAATCGCAGACTGGGCTGCTCGCAACGAGAGCATCGAGAACACCGATATCGTCTGCTACCTCCAGTTTGGCTTGACTCATTTCCCGCGCACTGAGGATTTCCCCATCATGCCTGCTGAGCCGGTTAGCATTATGCTTCGTGCTTCTAACTTCTTTGAGAAGAACCCCGGTCTTTGGGTGCCTCCTTCTGCTGTTTGTGTTGATACTCAGTCGAAGAATGCTTTCCCTTCTGCTGCTTCTGCTTCTTGTTGTCAGGGGAATAGTTCCAGACTTTAGGCGTGGAACTTGGATGTGGCATTCCTTTTGGTGTTGATTATGTTTGAAAATATGGGTGGTTTCGATAATTGTATATAGTCATTCTCATTTTATATCATTCTTTTTTTTTTACTTCAACTTCAATCTCTTTGCTGTAGCCACGAGTAACTTACTACAATCAATATTTATCATCGTGATAGAGCTAGGTTACTCCTCAAATAGCTTACAAGTATACGAATATCGTCATCATTCAAGACAAGTATGGTCATCAAGTATAAACATCAATGCATCTATGTACTAATTACAAATCTATCAACAAAGACCCCCTTAAAGCCCTAAATCAAGTTCTTAAGCTCCTGCCCAGCCAAAAGCCTCCGCAAGTTATAAGCAATAAGCGCCTCAGCATCACGCGGCCGCCCACCAGCAGCATGAGGCGACAGCACCAAATTCGGCGCCTTATAAAGCGGTGACGACTCGGGCAAAGGCTCAACAGCAAAGACATCGAGCGCAGCACCACCAATGGCGCCCTTCTCCAGCGCGTCCACAAGCGCAACCTCATCAACCGAAGATCCACGGCCAACATTAACCACCCAAGCATGGTTCGGCAAAAGCGCCAACCGCTCCTTGCCCAGCGCGCCATTGGTACTCTCAGACCCAGGTAGAATCATAACAAGCGCATCGGTCTTCTTCAGCACCTCAGGCAAGACATCCTCCCCAACAACCTCGAAGCCATTCCTCACACCCGCCGACCTCGCCACACCGGTGACATTGGCGCCCAGCGCCGTCAGCACTGGCGCCAGACACTTGGCGATATTGCCGAAGCCCCAGATGGTCACGTTGGCGCCCTTGAGCGTGGTGAACGTGCCGGGGGCGCGGTCAGGCTGCGGCCCGCCCAGGTGGCCCGGCCAGACGCCGCGGTTCTGGTAATCGCGCATCTCGAAGAACTTGCGCGCGCCGTTCAGCAGCAGGCCCAGCGCGTGCTCGGCGACGGTCTCGTCGTGGCAGCCGGAGCCGGTGGTGATGGCGATGCGGGAGGCGTCGAAGCCCGCGGAGAGGACGTCGTTGGGGCCGGCGGCGAGGGACTGGATCCAGCGGAGGTTCTTCATGCGTGATGCTGCGTCACGCAGGTTCGAGGCGGTGTTGGTCCATGTTACTAGGATCTCGGCGTCGATGTGGGTGTCTGGGATTGGGACGGTGACGTCGTAGGGGTGTAGGGCGACGGAGAAGCCTTCTAGGGACTTGGTGTCGAGGGTGAGGGAGGTTGGGTAGAGGAGCTTCATTTTGGGGGATTGTTTGGTGTGTGGTTGGAGGTGGGCTTTGAGAACTGTGAGTCGGTCGGTTGGGGACATTGGGTGTTGGAGGGGTTGTTATATGTGAATGTTCTTGCCCGGCTTTGCGACGTGGGGGTCCCCCGCTCGGCTTTGGCGGAGCTCCGCCGAGGCTCTGTTTGGCTTGACAGTTGGGAATTGTTATAGCTATTTGGATGCTTGGATTTGGGTCTGCTGTGATTAGATGAGTGGATTTATGGTATGTTTTACTTTACAGAATTGTCGCTTTTACAAGTGTTGGTTGTGTATTCCTACGTTCCTGCGTGAGGACTATGGAAGTTCAATAGCCGGGCGGCTATTGACGAGAAATGGAGTTCCCCCCGCGGGGGTGCGTCGGTCTCTGTACGGACACCGGTCTGTTGTTGAATATTAAGTTAACGCTTCACTAGACTGCACTTTGCAGTTGAATTGAACATCGACATACAAGTTTAAAGCATCGGATTCACAACTAGATCTATAAGTTACCCACTATCAATAACTTACCAAGCACATAACAGATGAGGTAAAAAGCAATACCTCAAATGGGTATCAACTAAATAAAATCCACAAAGCTACCTCGATAGCCAATATATACAAAAAAGGAAAAAGAAAAGCTATAAGCAAAACAAAGAGGCATATACGCTACCAACACTACACGCCATTCTTCTCATCAACAATTACCCCCCCTTCGACTGCCTCGGTCCCACTCAAAAAGAAGTCAAGCTCACTGGGCCCACCCTGGGAGTTTTCATTCTCGGCCAGCTGCTCCAGCAAGCTCAGGAATGGGTCTTTCTCCAAGGACCCGCCTTCACTCCCGGTTGTGGTATGCGTGCCGCTGGTGTGAGACTGCGCGCCGGGTGTGAGGACGGTACCGCCAGCGCCGCCGTTCATGCTTGTGTGCGCGGCGTCGAAGGGGAATGTGGCGTATTGGGGGTTGGAGGGGGGTGTTGGGGCTATGTTGAGGGTTTGGTCGGAGAGGAAGGGGGGTGGGGAGAGGCCAAAGACGGTGGGAGAGAAGCCTGGTGGCAGGGATAATTGGTTGGTTTGGTCTTGGTGGTTTGGGTTATGGGTTGGGTTAAGAGTCGTGAGATCTGTTCCTGGGAGGGAGAAGATTGATGGGAGAGAGGGGGATGGTTGGTTGTGAGCTGGGGCGTGGAATTGGAGAGTCGGAGAGAGAGATTGAGGTTGTTGGCCTTTGTGAGAGAAGGATATTGACTGGGAGTGGGAGTGGGAATGGGGGTTTCTGCGGTCTGTTTCTGAGGGTTGGGTTGTCAGGGGCGTCGAAGGCGCGCCTCTGGCATTGGAGTACATAGATGATGGGGTTTGGTAGGATGGTGCTACCATCGATCTTTGGTAGTAGTGGTCTTGTCGATCAATGAAGTTTGGGGTACTACTTCAACTTAGTTGTAGCAATTGATGCATGGTGTGAGAACTTACCTCGATGACAGATCATCCCCTGTGTCTATCAAGCGGACATGAGATCCGTCTAACGATAGACCCGGGTATCGATCCAAAAAGTCCTCAAGATGGAAGACGGGCGAGAAACGCATTGGACTGCTGGCTAGATTACGCACCAACTCCGAGTGGCAGGTATAGATAGTCTGAAGCAGTTCACGCTGGTGCTGGACACCCGTCCAGATATTACGCAGCCAAGAGAGCTGGTGCATTTCCCGAGTCAAGAACTCAGCACTTGAAGAGAAGACCTCACCTTCGCGGCCCTTGTAGTGCACACCGTGTACGTGAACAGTTCCAGCTGTGCAAACGCAGTAACCGACAAAAGCAGGCCATTCAACAAGTGAAGAATTCCGACCCAGTTCAACCAACTCTGCAATAGCATTTGAGTGCGAGAAGCAAAGATTAGTGGCCTCGATTTGCCAGGACTGGTGTTGTCCAGTCCCGCGTAGCTCAACCAAATCTATCGGTAAGAATGGGCGGTAGATCAAACAATGCACGAGATGATAAATCAACTTGCTCAGTAATAATGTTGTGCTCTCGGGGTGACCGAACAATGCGTCAATTGAGGCAAATACGTCCTGCGTACCGGCGGCCCAGATATCCAATTCTTGTCGGATCTTGGAAAGAGTAGAGAGTGCATGCCACGGGAAATGAGAGTCGCCCTTGACGCCACCCGCAGCCAAATACTTGTTGGTGACACCAAGAATACGCGTGATGTCAATCAACAAAGAAGCCGCGCTGGGCGATTTGCGACGAGAGTCTGCCGAATACTGGATATTAGGTCCAACATGGAACAGCTCTCCTTCCATGTTCAGACCAGCTGCATGAGGCGACCAAGAAGGAAGGCGCAGGACAATCGAATGGTCCGAGATGAGACAAGGCCGTCGGGATCCACAGTTAATGAAGCGATCCATTAGGTAGACAGACCAGAACAGGCGACGTCGCGTTTCTCGTTCGGCGGGTGAAACATTCATCTTGGTTGGTGCCTCGCGGTACATGTCCAGCGCAACAATCATTGCCACACAGTTCGCTGTTCCAATCAGAACCAGTAGATGTAAGCGGAAATTGGAGACACAACTTACAAAATGTCATATATGCCTTCTTCCCCAATCCAAAGGCGAAGAAAGCCTGCGATAATAACAAGAGAGTCTGCAACCCCTCCACCGTAGGGTTATCGACATCAATCAAGCGCCTTGCTTGATGCGCCGCATCGAGGCCCGGTCGTAGAGACTGCTCTGCTTGACCGGGAGAAGTGGTATACCTGGAGAAGGTCAACACAGCGAATAAAAGCGACAAACTGACAATCCCACCTCAATGCCATAGCGGAGATCGCCATGGACAGGAATGTCGGCAATTGATTCATCTGATGTCGCTGTCGCGTAGTCGCCTCATCGAGAATATAGAAAGGCTTCCCGTGCAATCGCGCAAAGTAAATATCCAAGATCGCATCCGACAATCCCCCTTGTGTTGGAGACGGCTGCGGAACAAGACTCCCCGGCTGACTGGCCAGCCGAGGAAAGGGATCTACATGCTGCGACAAGGAATTGGCCAACGCAGGTCGTGGTTCATTGGCAGTGTAAAGGCTGAATGAGGCATCGATCGTATTGCGGCGGGACGGAAAGCTTGGTGGATCGTCCGGGGTCTGATCGGGCGACGTGGGCGAAATCGGATTCTTTTCGTCGTGCAGTCGCTTTTCGAGGCCATCGACGCGTTTCAGCAAGGCTTCTAGCACATCGGTCTTGGGGCCGCGCTTTTTGGGAATTGCGTCTGTTGTTTTGCTGGTGTCAAAATGGGTCATATGACGGAATGTGGCTTTGGCTCACCATAGACACACGGGCACTGGAACACCTTGCAGGCTTCGCAGCTTGGTCGCAGGCGATTACATTTGATCTAGATTTGTTTGGATTAGGGATGCGATGGTGGCATTGGGGTTCAAACTCACCTTGCGCTTCCGACAGGATTTGCAGTTCATTGTTTCGCGTGGCTCGACCGTCGCACGGCGAGGCGTGAGACGGTCGATGCTGACCTGAGGGCGAGACATGGCACATTGAGGGAAGAGATGAAGGATGGAATGGGAGAGGAGAAGAGAAGAAAGAGGCCAAGAGGCCAAGAGGCAGAAGAGTGTGGCGTCTTGAGCCTATGCCGTTATGAGTTGCGGAGGGCGAAATGCGGAGAAGATGTGCCGCCGGACTTTGTTCAATTGGATCTGCTCTGTCTGGGACTCTTCGACAGTAACTCTAGTGGAATTATTTCATTCCAGTCTCTCTTTTGACTATTCTTTTTTGACTTTACTCAACTTGAATCGTATTCCTCTCAACAGTCACCAAACTCCCCTTAATATCCCCCCCTTATCCCCATACCCCAGTCCAGAACTCCGGGGAACATCCTCCTTTCACCCCCAACTCCGGTCAATTAGGGCTTCCACGCCAACATCCGACCACCTTTAGTCTAATCGCTTGGACCCTATTGTCAGTCCACTATTAACCGAAACTCGGCGGCCTCAATTCCCGATTCTTCAGCCCCGCTTCTAATTCCCCCGGATTCCCAGATTTCACCTGAAACACCCTGGCAATGCGCCAGCACTGGCCCTGTTCCAGGGCCTATTACCCTTAGACACCTGATCGTCCACATTCGACTGTTTTGGATACGGAACGTGGGCGTTTCCTGCAGATTGTCGAGCCCGGTTTCTTTTTGGTCTTTGACTTTGGGCTTGGAGGGCCTCCCCTGCATGTATTACTTGCATCATCAGAAAAGTTAGCTCAGCGGCCATCTGTACTGCGTGCACCTGCACTGCAGTCTGCATATGTAAACTGTGACCGATCTATACACGACTAAGCATTTATCCAACCGAGGGTATTGCGTACATGGCGCTCTGGGCTCTATGCTCTAAGTTAATTGATACTCATCCCCATACTCTATACTCGACATGCACATACTAGTACACTCCACCTGCATAAACAATCCAACCCCCGGTCAAACTAGTTCACCACCCTCCCCCTCCTCACAAAATCAGCCATATCCCTCGCCCTCACTGACCCCATCCCCTCCAACCCCTCAACAACCCCACCGCGATCATTCACCGGCCGTTCCTGACTGACCTTAAACCGCCCCTCGATGCGCGTGATCTCAACCGAAACGCCGACAATATTCTTCAGCAAAGTGGCAATATATTCTCGTGGCGCATCGGCGATTTTCCACGGCGTCGGGGACGCCGTGACCGAGTCCCTTCCAGCGCTAGCGCCAGACCCCTGGTTCATCTCCTCTTTCGCGGTTGTCACGGGCTCGGTTGTAGTGGATACTCCCGTACTCGTAGCCTTAGTCTGAGTCTTAGCTTCGCCTGGTGCCGCGTCTTCTCTTTCTTGGCGGTTGTCTTGGCTGCCTTGGTCTGTGCCTGGCGCTGACGCTGACGCTGATTCTGATGCTGATGCTGATGCCGATTCTGATTCTGATTCTCGGAACCCCATAACACCAACCTCCCCCAACCTCGCCAAATCCCCCAACTGCGTCCTGAGAAACTCCTCCGTAGACCTGTCCTTGACATCATGATAAACAGTCGCCCGCCCGTAAACCTGCACGGCAGCATAGTTCCACGTAGGCGCAACCTTCCCAGTCTTAGGTTTGGACTCGGTATAGAAATTCGGAGAAATGTAATGGTCCACGGGGCTTGTGAAGACAATCAAGACTTCGCCGGGGAGTATAGATGCACGCCCGGTCAATTCTGGTGCTAATGCTGGCGCAGGCTCGGGCTCAGACTCTGCTTCAGAGGTCGGAAATGCACCCGGGACGATATTTTCCAGGTTTGCAGGGTTGGTTTTACTTGCTTGTTCTTGCACTGCGTCGATAATTGCTTTTGTTTGTGGGTTTGCGCGGGCAATGTGGCCGCGGAGGGTTCCTAGGGATTGGGATTGAGGTTGGGGTTGAGCGTGTGTTTCTGGGTTCTCGGCTTCATTGTCAAGGATCCAGGGGATGTGACTGCTTTGCAGTGTTGGGTGGTTTGTTGAGGGGATTGAGGTTGTTATGAGCCCGAGTGGATGTTGTTTAAGGAAAGCGTGGAGAGTTGGGAGGTCGGTGACTGCATGGTCGGGGCGGAGATGCATTTTTTCGTTCTTTTGGGGGCCTGGTACAAGTGGAACTATTGTCAAAGAACGGTAATGGTAATGGCAATGGCAAAGGATCAAAAAGCTGGAATTGGGGAAGGGGAAGAGAGAAGAAGACCAGGACGAAAATGAGGGGCCAAACCCCGGATTTGATAAGCCCTTATCTGGCCCGAGGGTAAATTTGTTCCTGGCAAATCTGGGGTTTCCATCGGGGCCGATGACGCTCTATGGGTCGAGTATGCAGAGCGCTTAAAACATGACATTTATACACAGGCTACGCACTGGAATCAGATAATATAGAGGAATGCATTTCTAGTGCATATCAAAAGAGGAACGAACCCAACCGAAACACCAAGAAACAAAGGCCACCAAACTAAAAGGCCCCAATCCGATATACCAGTAACAATCTATTGCAAGAACAACAGACAGAGACTGAGCCGCCTGAGCCCTAGAACAAGGGCCGTCCAGATGCCATGCGCACAAAGTCAAATGGAACATTCTGGCCTACAAGCAGCCTAAGTGTTTCGACTGTTGTCCAGGCAGTAACGTCTTCGAATCCGTAGGCCGTCCAGCCGGCGCTCGTTGCTACACCGAGGGGATCGCCCTTTCGTGGTCCATTTGTTAAGTCTAGATAGACCTTTCCACGCGTTGAAGGAGGTGATGAGCGGCCGTTGACGCCATAATGCCGGAGAAGAGGTTGCACAAGGAGGGATTTCTCCGGTGGTAGGGCCGAGACAATCACAAATGGCTGCTCAACAAGTTTGACCGATTGAATGGATGTGAAGGGTTCCAGACCCGCGGCTAGCGGGCCTGAGGCTTTGAAGCCAACTGTGTAAATGGCCCCGACGCCAAGACTGCGCAGTGCAAAGATTGCTGCTGAGGCATCTGCTTCGCTACCTGCTAGGATTATAGCTGCGCGGTTTTGATATGCTGATGGGACGTACTCGCGTGTCAAAGTTGCGCGGATGCCTTTCCAAGCAGCATTTTCACCGATGAAGCGGGATTTCGATTGGGGTTCTGTGGGGCTGGTCATGGCGATTGTGTCGACTAAGCCAATTGCGCGGGCTGCGTCGCTCACCGCTGGAATGTAAGATGTTGTATTTGCCACGGGGGGATTGAGGTAGGCGCCGCCAAACTGTGGTTGCATAAGGACGGATTCTAATGAGCCCTTTGGGCCACGGTCGATAGAGGAGAAGTTGTGTGGGAGGCCCAGCTCGTTCAGGCATTTCTCCATGAACATTGAATGTGGTGTTGAGCGGAAGGAACCAATGGCGTAGAGGTCTCGTTTGGGGAGTTGACCCATGATGTGCAGGGCTTCGTTGATTTCTGCCGCTGTCAACTGACCTGGAGCCGCGATCATTGGAAGAAGTGGGTGGGTGATTGGAGAGAAGACTGTATTCAGCGCTCGTGAGAGCTGGCCCATTTGACCCATATTGACAGCCGACAATAATGGGCCAGGACCACGACTCTTGACGGTCGAGCGGAAATACTCTAGCTCATAATTCTCCTCAATGGTATGCACCATAGCAATCATCTTGACGATATCGGCATACTTGGCGCTCTCCGTGAAAATGCGCTGTGCCTCTTCCGATGTCCACTTCCAAGTCCCAGAGAAGTCATGGAACGCAGACAAAATCACACTATTCCCTTTCTTCTCAGCCAGCTGTCGCCGAATCTCCTCCGGAAGCCAAAGTTCCACATCAATATACTCAACACCCCACTGAATAGCCCGACGCAGGTACTTGTAAAACAGAACGGGGTCATCCATAGGGAATTTTCCATTCTCCCGGGTACACCGGACGGTAAATATAATCGGCAACTCAGTATGCTGCCGCAGCAGCATCAACTGCTGGCCAACATACTTCAAGCTCGGAACCGGTGCAGCAGGACCGGCAGCCGGCTCAACCAGCAAGTCGACACGAATCTCAACAGCATCCGAGCCAACCGACAAAATATCCAGATTCGGCAGCGCAGCATGCACATCAGGGAAAGTGGTCGAAATGAAATTCGTCCGGGTCTTCGTGCGCAGATCATCATGCGGTCTCGTCCGCCCCAGAATCAAAGACAGAAATCTCGTTAGGTCGCGACGCAGATACGGACTGCGGGAATATAAGAACTCATAGTCACACCGCTCTGTTAGCGCATCATCAGGCGCAGACCCGTCTTCCACACAGTACGTGTTAACCAGGATCAGAGAAGACCGCTCTCGTTCCCGCCCCTCTAGACTGCGCGCCAGGTCACGCGCCAGGATTCCAACGACGGCATCGCCACCTTCCGCCAGTGTTTCCTGTGATGTCTCCGTTGTCCATGGTTTGCCCAGTACCTCTGCGACTAGCTGTACGATATGCTCCTGATTGGTGCCATAGACGATCAAGACTCTGCCAGCGGTAGTCTGGGCTGGGGCGGCAAGCGAGGTTACGGATTCTCTCAGCGCGGTTGGGAGGACGGTTGTAGGGGGTAAAGGGGCGGCTTTCGAGACGGGGACGGTGGCGCTGGGATTTTGTGGAGGGTCTTGAGCCTTCAAGGCAGGGACGGAGGGGTCGTCGAGCAGCGGCGTCGCCATGTGCTGCGAAAGGGCTGTCGGAATCATCGCATAGCAGTCCTTGTTTTCATACTTCTCGCGGGTATATGTGTACGGGTGTATGTGGCGTGCAAAGTCCAGAAAAGAAACAAGAACCGAGGTGGGAATACTGTGCAATTGAAGAGGAGAGAGGTAGAAAAGAGTAAAGACGAATCGAAGGCCATGCGCAAGGGCCAAGTATCGACACGCTGATAATGTTACAGGCTGTTATCGAAAAAGGTAGGTGGTATCCGAAGCCGGACAATTCTAGCAGACAACCCCAGAGCCTGAAGGAGTTAGGTCAAGGAGAAGACGCCCACAGTGGACGGCATCTGGGCGGAAGAACTGTCCTGCGAAGTTCCACCGCTGGCGTTGCTTTGCGGCGGAGACGCGGGGGAAAGTGGGAGCGGTGATACATTTCTCCGCCAATCAGATTGTGGGGAAATCCTCGATGTTTAGATGTGCTGCAGTAGTGTACGGCGTTAGTCCGAGGGCTAGTTGACCTGGAGGTGACATTTGGTTTATACTTTGGAGTATAAGTTGGCCTATACATCGATGTCTATGCTGATTGGTGTAGGGAGAGATCCTATAAGCAACATTAACCGTCTCCTGTCAAGTTACTGTAGTATACATACAAGTCACCTCGATCCAACACAGCCCAGCAAAATAAGAATTTCACTATATCATGCAGGGCTTCTGATACGAGGGAAAACCAATAGTCCAAGAAAGAGAGAGAAACAGAAAGCCTTGGCTGGACTATAGCCAATGATCGGCTCCGAGAATACCGCTACCTAGTGCATTGTGGCATAGTGCATGCTCCCCGTCTGGCTGACACAGACCGGCAAGGAACGAATCATATGCCGGATTATGTGACAGTGTATATCTGTATAGATGCATAATATAAAAAGACGGAGGGTTATATGACATGACATGATATGGTCCCATAGCGTGTTCACACTCTTTTCCAGATCCAGATTCAGATTCACATTCATATTCACAATCTACACCACGTAAACACTAACGATCTATGTATGTTCCCCTGAAAGCAAGCCGACTGAGATGACAATATGACAACATGGCAATATGACAGCCGAAACAGATTAGAAGAAAGCGAATAGAACTGGAACCCCGCCAACACCCATGAAACATGGCATGCACAAGGACCAAAGACCAGTGTTTGAAACAAATCGAGAAAAAGAGATGGAATAAAACAACGGAATCAGTCGACTGCCACAGGTGTATTCAAGGCAACCAAGGACAACAAGAGTACGAATACCAGCCAAATCAACGGTAGGGTATTGAGTAGAAGCAAAAAAAAAAAATCAAAAGCCAACAGAAGAAAAGAAAACAAGCTAAAAGACCAGAAAGAGCAGAAAACAGGAAAATGGTAGTATCGATATCACGCAAATTATCGCCACATGGCCATACAGAATCACGCTTTTTGGGGTTGGATCAACGCCAACGTATTCCGTACATCAGGCCGGACGTCGGGTCAACACTATGTACGTAGACAGAGCACCACAATCGAGGAGATGAGTTAATCGACGGGTTGGACTGTCCATGTCTCAAGAGATTTGATTTCATTTACCTGCCAGCGAGGATACGTGGCAAGTTTGATTGGATTTAGGAGGAGAATGGGTTTCAGGGAGATGAATATGACCAAGGGTGTGTATCCGGATGCGGCTAGGGGTTCAATCAATGCAGTGGTCCGATTGTGGATTTCAGCCCTGCAGATAATGAACTCGAACCAGCGAGTGACATTAGCAGTGGGCCGGGTTGGAATGCAGTGCGTTGAAGCGAGAGATGAAGGAGGTGGGAATGGTGAAAAACGAGGTCCAGCCGAGCCAGCGGAGTTGACGTCTTCAGCGCTATTCAGGATGGGATGCTTCAACGTATACCCACAAACGTAGACATGCACGGCACCTGAATCACGCAAGCTTGCTGTGCCCATCGAGGCACTTGATCAATCAACTGTGGCGGTACATGCCACGCTGTGAATGGGCAGATCGAGACCTAGCCAGAGTCGCAGGTGCGTTTCAGGTGGGAGACGTGGTGTTTCGAGACGGGTGCACATGCACACACGGGAGACCAGAGACAGGACCCACGAGGGCAAGATAAGGACGGGGACACTCGTCGTTAGATTCGCACCAATTAACGTTAACTCGGGGGAGATATCGCCAGGCCATTCATCAGTTTGGGCAGGGGCTTTCGGCGGGCAGTATTCGCCGTCTTGGAAACCCGTGGTGCGCCGTGGATCATGCGGGGTTCTGTCATTAGGCTGGTGTCTAATTTCGCCGGAGCTGCAGAAGATCGTCAGAGACGGGACGGGAGGAATGCTCGGGCGTAAACTTACCTCTTGTCACAACTCTACTGTAATCGGCAGAGAGACTTTGCTGGCTACGGCTGGTCGGAGCGAAGAAAGTGGCATTGGCAGTGCGCCATAGATGGTTAGAGGTGTCTGATAAAAAGTCGGTTGTCGAGCGGCCGGAGAAGATAGATGTACGGCCACGGTTGCGCTTGGAAAGAACGATCTCGTCGAACAGTGCCATCCGTGGGTCCTTGGACTTGGGACTAGTTCTTTCTCGATCACTGATGAACTCGTTGAAGCCTATAGAGGTTAGTTTTATTGTGTGGCGTGACATGGCACTAACACTCACCTTGAGTTTGCTGCAAAATAGCAATGTACTCAGCATGCTCACTAGGAAGACTCTTCATGAAAGCCTCCATGTTAAACACATAGTACATTCCAGACTTCTTCTTTTCTCCAGAGGCCGGAACGAGGAACTTCTTGTACGTATAGAACAAACTGGCGAAGCATCTGACAAAGGCAGCACGGACCTGATCAGGATGGAAGGCTGCATCACATGGCAGGCATACCATGGAAGCACAGCGGTTGTGGACGATGAGTTTACAAGCAGAGCACTTGTACATGCCTTCCTCTGCATGGTCATCACAGATGGCACAAGTCAACTTATCATCCCAGGGCTGGACTTGGAAGAAGTGACCTTCGGCCCAGCAAGTACCCTGATTGTTGTCAGGTTGTTGCATGTTGGCTTGAGGAACAATTGTCGATGCAGCGATAGTGGATTGCGCGTAGACGGAGGGAGCATAAGTTGAACCAGAACTGCCATACTCAGTGTTGAGGGTTGTTACTGAGAGATTTGAGGTGTGACCAAGGAACGGTGCACTTGGGCGTCGGCTCACACCGAACGACGAGCTTCGCCTGGAGGCGGTGTCAAAGTGACCGGAACGCTTTTCACGCAAAGAGGCCTGCAAAGCCATACCCGAATCATTGCGCGAGGATGGTGTTGGGGGGAGGGGGAGGGAAATGACCAGATGTGGGCGAGCATTCCCGCGGTGATGGTGGAGAGGCACTGGCTCTAATGGTATTTCCAGTTCCTGGACGCTCGTTCCCGCGAGATGAGTAGCCTCGAGAGGGACCTTGCTCACTGCGGGCATGCAGGAAGACGTTGAAAATGGGAGGCGAGTATGTGCCCGGAACAACAGCTGTCGAGCCGAACGCGCTGGAGTTGAGACCGACATACTTGGCCAAGTTGGTGGCCGGTGCCTTGGATTGATAAGTCGCCTTGCTCTCGGACAGGTACGAGTCCCATGGGTACGTTTCAATTGCATATGCCGGAGGTCCAGTAGGGACGTGGCATCGACTGTGTTGAGGAGCAGCCAATTGTAGCAAGGACAGAAGCTTTCTGCGTTGGTGACGGGGAAGAGCAGTTGGCTGAACGGTGCTCTCAATCATGTCGGAATCAAGATCTACTAAAACGAAGTCGTCCGAAGGCAGCTCCACCTTCTCGTACCGACGTTCGATACCCACAATGTACGGGCAAGGGGCCTCCAGGGCCAGGATCAAACGAGCAGGGAGCACAGGAATTAGAACACCGGTCCAGACGATAGGGAAGAGAAGGTCTACCAAGGCCCTGGTGGCAAGGTAAAGCATGGAAGTGTGGGAGGACAAGAAGATAATGCGAGAATCGGTAAGAGCGTACTACCACTGGTCAGCATTGTCGTTAAAACAGCTGGGATGAAACTTACCTCGAAGAGAACCATGATATTGGGAATGGACAACGTCCGGAACAAGGCATATAGATCAGTCTGGAATAGTTAGCAAAGCCGGAGTGTTCAAATCCGCGGGATACATACGTTGCGGGATCCTGGAATCTCATTGGGCGCCTCTTTGCGGGCAAACAACCTTAACTCCCTAATGGCCAGTTCAACCTGCGTCTTCGAAGAGATTGGACAGAACGCCTCAGTGCAGAGATTCATGACATATCGCTCTAGTGGCTGCCACACACCCATTCGCGGAGAAGGGGGAGGCACACGCTGTACACCTCCCTCGGTCATGGGCACCACAATAGCCTTCAGCCACTCCTTCCAGAAGCTAGTCATGGTGCTCTCCCGGCCCAGAATACCGTATGCGCGGGGAATCCAGAATCCAGTGTCACCGTCGGTAAGACCCTCGATCTTGGAGGCTGCACCGTGACGAACGGGGCGCAAAAGATCGGTCATCAGTCCGATCTTCTCTTCCACGGCACTGATATCGTCCTCTAATTGTTCACGGGATTCAGAACCAGATGGTACTGTCGGTAGCTGTGCTAACAGGCGGGAGAGTTTGGCTCGCTCGGATGCTAATCGCTCGCCCAGACTGGCGGCCAGTTCCCGCTCCTCGTCGGTCATATTATCCTTCCTCCATTCCTCGCAACGCTTCTCGAGCTCTTCTGCTGCGCTCTGGTTCAGCGGAATCCAGATAATTACACAGATAGCATGCAGCCTGGAACCATTATCCGTTGTCATGGCAAATCCGTGCCAAGTAGAACGTGGTCGCTGGTCAGAGGAGACGATATTGATATCATTGGGAAAGGCAAACATGGGAACGTAATCCGGGAAATTGCCGCGCTGCTTCAATTCATCAGGCATTTCACGTGTGGGGTATCGGTCGAGGAGAACGGGCTCGAATCGTCGCTTTAACGGATGCATCGTCGGGGAGATCTCCAGCGGCTGTGGTACTGGAATGACAGAATTGTAGTTACTCAGTCGTCGAGAGGTTCGCACCGAAGCTGAGAAAATGGGTTCAAGTCAGCTCTGTTCACTCTATTGGCAGAAACGATTGCCCGCGAATTTCAAACAGCAAGTCTCACCTTGACGAGCGACAGACGGTTGCCGCTTCATACTGTTCATATCGCGGAAGGACATGTGTCGTCTGACACTTCCAATACCAGATCTCAACAGATTCCCACCCTGCGACGGTGAATCCTCTGCAACAATCTTCTGCGTCCGAACGCGGGATCGCGGGCGTGTTTTCGGCGTAATCGCACCGGCACTCAGACTCAAGTCCGTCAAGAACGACTCCCGCTCATTCGCAAACTTGAACAGCGCCTGGTCGAAATCAAAGTCCTCCATGAACATAGCCGAGCCGCGCAGGGGCGACGAGGCACCCTTGACGGTGACACTGCTGCGGTTGCTGTTGCTGCCGTTCCCTTTGCCATTGGTTCCCTCGGAGGATTTGGAGAGCGTCGACAGGCGCTGGAATGAGCCGCGGCGACTGGCGCCGGTGAAGAGCATCGAGTTGGGTCGCGAGGCGTCCGGATTGAATTCCTCCTCTGCATCGGCGTCCTCTTGAATTGTGTCTGCGACCGCTGGGCCTGGAGAGGCGGCGCCATTGGTGCGGTAGTCTTCTCCCAATCTCTTGAATGTGTCCAGGATCTCGGTGCCGTCTACACCTGCTATCCAGAAGTAATCGGCGAGGGGGGCGCCCTCCGTTGGGGTGCTAGATGACGGCATTCTCTTGTCACCACATGGGTAAAGGGGGGGGAGAGTTGAGCATGGAAGAATTTAGGGAGGGGCGGGGTGGTCGAAGATCAGTTTCGGGGAAAGGTCCCACGTAAAAGGAGTGCAAATCTATTTGGTCCGTTTCTTTTTTTTTTTTTTTTCTTAGACGTTTATAGGGTTGATTTTCTTTAGTATTCTCTTCTTTCTTTTATTTTGTGATTCTATTCTGGATTTCTCCTATTTCATTATTTGCTTTTCTGTCGGGTACTAGCCTTAATGGGACGTCTCTACTCTCACAAGAATCTGACCTGCATTTGGGCTGAGGATGTTCCAGACTCCCGGGGAAGGGGAGGGGGGGAGGAACAGGCTTACGACTAACTATAACTGTATAAACCATATCAGTGAACCCCTCGGAATTATATTGCTGAAGAATTGTACAGTTAGGATTTTACTTTATAGTTACAGCTCCACCCCTCACCTGTTTCCAGTGTGGAGCTTGAAGTCGAAATATCCGACTTTTGCGTTTAGATCCCACGACCCAGGGGGTCAAGCAAAGCCCAGTTCCATGGGTGAACTCGGAGAGTAGAAGCGGGTTCGTGGGTTCGCATCTCTCAACGTCCCGAGGTGTCCGAGCTTCCTATCAAACGGGTATTTTGGGAAGCCTCTATTTCCTCTTGGCTCTTGGACCTTGGACGTGGAAGTGAGACATGGCGTTTAGGGGTCTTTCTATCTTGGGGGGAGGAGGAAGCGCCACAATGTAATTATTTTGTAGACAGAACTCCTGACGCATTTTTCAGGAACTGTTCTCCGTCAGGGGCAGTCGGCAAGTGCCGACTGTCGAGGGCTTTATGTTTCTGTAATAGTACTGCCAGTAAGGGAGCGTACAGTGAGTACAGCATACTGTACACTGCTTGAGATCCTACTTACAGTTATATCCAATGTCTATTGGTCATGCTGAGTGAGATTTCCTGTCCAATGTAGTAGAACTTATCTCTGGCCAAGTGGAGAGACTGTTCCCCCCGGGAGACGATCCATACTCAACTGGGGAGTGGATCAGAGTATCATTTGGGGAGTGTATTTTGGTGAAATCGGGACACTTGCCTGGAATGGAGTCTGTTTCGAACCTTTTCGACTTGCCTTTCAATTCTGTGTGCTCAATATAAATTCATTGATAGTACATAGCTTAGAGTATAACGCCAACTTCAGACTTTCCGCAACTGTACTGATTAACTCCATGGCTTCTTGCATAACCTGACGCGGACCAGGGGGGCACATGCACCGACAGCCCATTTCGTCCGATTGCATTCAAGGGGTATGAGACAAGGTTAATCCAACCCGCATCTGCCCGTGTAAACATGTCGGTCTCGAGAGGAGCGGTGGGGGCCATAGTGGAATTCGCAATGAATCAACGCGGGTCGCTTACTGACATCGTGCCCCCGAGGGATAAAATTGCTCTGTTGATACACGTCCACGAGTCCTATACAATAATTATGAACGCTAGAAGCTGAAAGAACGGAAAAGACACGACTGAGTTTGGTGCTGGTGTCCTGCCGCGTATGGCAGATATCAGCTGCGAGTCTAGACCGTTGGTCAACTGGGTCTCGACTCGAGCAGACTCCTGTATACATGCCCAAAAAGGATCTACCCGGCTCTGTATACGTGGCTCGTTTTGGACCGGACAGAAATTGCCGTTTTCTTTGCCAGTGGGGATTGGGATCGGGTTTGGCATTTGTGCGAAACTTAAGCTTGGGCTGCATGACTGCTTTCCGGGCGCTAGGGCTATCAGCCTCATACTCCATAGGCAGGACCATATCGCTCTAAGGTCTACTGTACTCCGTACATTTACACTGGAATCCAGGCCAAGGTTCATATTGTGGACCACGGGGTCCCGAAAAGGTATAAATCCACGTCCATGCAGTTCGGCAGGCTGCTCCAGACTCGGCATATCGTGGCACGGAATGGGGTCTGGTGTCGTGCACACCGCGTTTCAGCCGCGTTTCCGGCTCATGAGGTTACCCGTGGTGAGGAACCCCTTGTCCCCCATGGCGCCGCGCCATTCGATCGACAGCTGGCCCAGCGTGGCACGACCGTCGCGCTTTAAATCTTTCTGGAGGGCGTCGAGGCCCTCGGTTCGGCCTTCTTCCTGTTCCACAACAAAGGCAACCTGCAGCACGTCGCGCGGATTAAGTGTAGGTGGTGACGCCACTGACATCGTCGGGCTCATCGTGTCCCAGTTCAGGGATTTCGATTGGAATGGTGGCTTGGGGATAAGTTTGGTTTGCTGTCCATCCCCCGTGTCAGTCGAACTCAAATCAAACATTTTCAGCCCGGAATTCAGGTACCGCTCCTCGCTAGTGGGACATTCGGGTACATTGCAAGGGGGGGGGGGGGAGGGGGGCATACCGTAACTACCACTGCGCCATCTCCTACGTTCTCCAGTTGTGCCTCCAGGGCAAATCGAAGTAGCTTCGTCTTCCCATACGGTCCGAGTGATTTGTTGCCCACTTCTAATGGTGGTAGCTCAGAAGCCTTGGTTCGTACACTCAGACAGGGCTGTGCCACAAATTGGTATAATTTGCGAAAGGTCCTGACCCGGCCACTGGCTGCCTGCGAGTCGGACCCAATCTTCGTCTCCGTATAACTGACACTAACAGCCAGGATGTGATTCCCTTCCTCTTTCAAATCGAATCGTACGATCTTCTGTGACGACTCACCGATGTGTAGGCCGTCAGATTGGGCCGAATCGCTGGGTGGTTCTAGTTCGAGGACCGTCACCGAGGACGGTGTTTGCATTTCCGCAACAATGCGTACTGATTTGAGGACTCGTTCGTCATCATGGTCGTCAATTTCGTTATTTGCGCTGAGGGTACACGCGAAGGTTTCGCCGACGTAGACGGAGCCGAAGGAGGGGGGCAATGTAAGCTGCTACCGTTAGCATACTGGGTCTGTGTCAAGCAAAGATGGCTCGTCTCACCAGAGGCGCTAATGTAAACTGATCGTCGGCATCATTGGACGGGTGACTTAGAGAGGCTTTCGTGGAGATCGTGCTGTTGGAGGCTGGGAGGGGGTACTGGTGCGAAAGTGACGGCCGTGACAAGCTGCAAGGAGTCAGAGTAGCCTTATGTACTTGGTGAACTGGGTCTAATCACCGTAAGACTGTCCTAGCTATTAGTACATCAGTTTGACTGCATTTGTACATGTGACGTACCTTTGAGAGACACCGCATGTGGTTCTTTCGGGGCATCAGCGCCTGACAGGGCCCTAGGACGCGACATGGGAAGTGTGGAAGAACCTGAAGAGATCAGACGGTTCAAAAAATAGCTAGACTCCTAGCTTAGCATGTTGCATCGTTGAAGGCGCAGAGTGTAGAGAGTAGAGAGGCAGAGCAGTTCGATAGCGATAAGCTCAACAAACAGTGCAAACATCTATAGACATCGCTCTTTCCTGTTTGTTCGTTCTTTCAGAAGTCAGACTCTGAGGAAGGTAAAATGGAGAAATGTCTTTACTTCGCTCTCATCTCTTTCTCTCTTCAACACGGTGACACCAATAACTATGCCACTCACTCGGAGACAACGAACGTTGTTGGATGCGGCTGATGCTCAGGCAGCAAGTACTGCTCTTACGAACACTACTAAAGCAACCTACCCGCGCAAAAAGAATGGAGTGCAGAAATCATCGGATCATCGACCAATGTCTGGCCTGGTAGCCAATGCTTCTGCGACAAAACAGAAGCCTTTAGCCAAGCGGACCAAGACGGCCAACACGAGTGGTCAGATCAAAGCTGTCTCGAAAGGCCCAAAGACCAACAAAGGTGACCAAGATGATGAGCCCGCCAAAAAGCACCCATTTGTCACAATAATTCAGATTTTTAGTCGTGCTGACATGGTAATGGCAGGCGTCAATGCTGGCAAAGCCAAAAATATCGAGACCGAAACGTCTGACAGGAAATATTACCCGGCCCCTTCTTCTGAGAAGCGTCCTCGCAACTGGCTTGAAGAACCTTCAAAGTCATTTCTGGAGCGATCGTATCGATCACAGACTGAAAAGTAAGTATATTGGCGATTTGACCGGTGATCAAAGATTGACCCTTATGTTAGAATGTTTGTTATCAACCACAATCTTGACCATGTGGGCAAAGTACCAGTCATTACCTTTGACATTGCTGGAACCACGGGCAACCTCTACAAGACCTCCATTGGAAGATTTCCTAGCTGCGACTGCCCGGATTCAAAATTCCGGAGGGGCTTGAGTCAGTGCAAGCATATTATTTACAGTATGTCCGTTTCATTCATTCTTGATCATATGCTAATAGATGATCGACCAAGTCCTCATTCATGTCCTCAAAGCTCCCGAAGAACTTCAATTCCAAACGTCCTTCCTGCCTTTGGTATGACAATGACCATCTAGTACATTGTCGTTCGACATCCTTTCATGTCTCTAATCTATCTCGTTATGATATAGGAACTGTCAAGAATGCTTGCTGCCTCCCCACTACACAAGATTGAGCTTGCTTCTATGGAGGAGAGTCCCCAGAAACCGATTGAAGGCTCTTGTCCCATTTGTTTCATGGACTTTGACTCTACCGAGGAAGTTATATGGTGCAGGAATGGCTGCGGTAACAAGGTCCACAAACTCTGCTTCGATAAGTGGATATCTGCCAACAAAGCATCTGGCTTGGGTGTCCGCTGCGTTTACTGGTACGTGATTGTATCTTTGTTGTCCCGCAGCTGGAATATACAAGGTTTCTAACCGCAATGGTACAGCCGTACCCCGTGGAGATTCAGTGATCCTGGTCAGAACCTTCAAAGTCTTCGAGACATGGGCTTGCGAGGTAAAAATGGCTATGTCAACATCGGCGATAAACTTGGGGTTCGGAATCAGAATACCGGTTCCCCTGGCCTGTCTTAAGAAGATATCGAGTCCTAATGCTGATATTTTACGGCTGTATGTCATTCTTTTCTGCCAAGATGCTCGCTCCTGGTATGATTCGGAACAATGACATGCAAACTGGCCATTCTGAGAGGAAGGTTTGTCGTTAGCAACAGTACTTACAATCCAGGGAGGCGTATCTCTATTGCTAGGGTTGAGAATGGTGTTTACTCGGAAGAGAACCGTATAATATTGGTTATCGGGTTATCTAGCTGGTGTTATGGCTGTTATTCTTCCCTGGAGAACGGATTTAAACTGAAAGACTACCTAGCATTTCTTTGAAGATTATGATAGTCACGAGGAGATCATTTTCTGACCACCTGTTCTATCCCTCAATACATTATTATTCCAACGGTAATTTGAGCAGTAATGATAAATCACCAGTCGTAAACAGTTCAGCTGAGGTTCGCAGTAACGCAGTCCGAATCAGGAAGGCAGGTCTCTGGACATAAATACCCCCAACTTTCCCAACTCTCTCTCTCTTCTTTCTTCCTTCTTCCCATCTCTCTTCTTTTCTCTTTTGCCACCCTCCCATCCCCCATCCCTCATCCATCATCCACCATCCACCATCCACCATCCACCATCGTAGCTTCCCTCTCTCACGGGCTGTCACTGCGGATCTCGAGATCATTCTTGTTGGTTCAGGTGTTGGCCTAGATCAAGCCCGAGGTGTTACTTAGGTGACCTCTCTGGCCACTGTGCGAGTTGCTATTATGCCCCTGGCCTCTGTTAGTGATCCATGGTGAACATTATCATGTTTTATTCCTCGTACTTCCTTCCTCCCTCGTCCTATTCCCCCCTCGTCCTATTCCTCCTCTCACAGGCTGTCACTGCGGATCTCGAGATCATTCTTGTTGGTTCAGGTGTTGGCCTAGATCAAGCCCGAGGCGTTACTTCGGTGACCTCTCTGGCCACTGCGCGAGTTGCCATTATGCCCCTGGCCTTTGTTAGTGATCCATGGTGAACATTTACTATGTCTCCCCCTTTATTTACTCTCTTACAGGCCGTCACTGCGGATCTCGAGATCATTCTTGTTGGTTCAGGTGTTATCCTACATCAAGCTTGAGGCGTTGCTTCGGCGACGTCTCTGGCCACTGTGCGAGTTGCCATTATGCCCCCGGCCTATGTTAGTGATCCATGGTGTACATTTACTACCTCTTGTCCTCTTCACCGTTTTTCCACTCTCTGTGTTGTTAGAGCTGGCTATAGAGAAAGTCAATGTATCCCACCGTAGCCATGTATGCAGCACTGTTAGCATGGTACTGGTAGCCGACTTGACGTGTTCAAGGAAAATGCAATACAGTGTCTCCAGCTTCCTGAAATACCATGCACTCATTTAAAAAATCAGGATACCGTGATATAGCTACAGAAGTAGACAAGCCTACACATGCCAAGTCAACCCACGCCATGCCATTCCATGCAAAACGCCACATCAACGATCAATCCATTCGTTCTTATGAACAATATCAACATCGAAACAAGTCACAGACATGTTCCATTCATTCAAATATGGGTATCACAGTAATTCCCCAATCCCAAAATAAGATGAGACCAAAAACATTAACGCCAGCCCAAAACACCACCAATTATCTCTATTCACTCTTTTGGAGTCGTCGCCCGTTTTTAATAGTCGCTACACTTATCCCCTCTTCACCGGTCATCCACGATGGCATACGCTCCGGGTCGATGATACCTAGCTCCGCGAGCTTACGGATTCCATTGATGACATCCGAGCCGGCGAAATTAAGGGATATTGCTGGGAGAGTTGAAGCAGACGAATCCTCAGCTTCGCCTGAGTCCTCTGAGCCTGGTTTATCGAGGATCCGGATATCAAGTCGATCCAGTGGCGCAGGGGCTAGTGTTGAATTCGACGTCCCGAATCTGGAATGAATGGCCAGGCAGCGCTTTTTTGACATTGGAGACAAGGGGGTTATGTCATTCCCAGTGGACTTGCGTTTTGAGAAGCCTTCTCCAAAATTGCCGGTTTCCTTGTCATTTTCTTCTTCTGTGGTAGATAGGTGACTTGTTTTGAGATGTTCTTCTGGTGTGACTGTATTTGAAGGTCGAGGATCTAAGGGACTTCCCTCAATGACCGCATCGGCAAATACACTAAACGCTCCATTTGCGGATACGGATCGTCCAGGACCACGGAGTGCAAGGAGTGTTGGCAGGTTCTTCGCTGCCAGCGATGTAGCCTTCAAGGTGAACCTCTCTTGCGGTCTGGAGAGAGCCTTCGGGATGGAGTCGCGCACCAGGCGCTGAAGGGTTCGGGTATCAGTTGCAACAGAGCTTGGTGCCGGAGCGGCTTTTGATCCTGTAGATGCCGTAATAGATGTATATACGAAAGGACAGCTGTCTGGGAAAGCGACGTAGATGACACGCGAGGAGTCTGTGAAGATCTCAGCCGCCTGTCGTGGAGACTGGTACGGAGAGTCAACCACGAATATCCGCAAGATTGTCAGAGGGAGTGTTCCTGAGCGGCCGAGGTGGTAATGTGCTTTGACCAGCGGGGAGATTTCTCGCTGGAGACTTTGAACAAAGGTTGCAGCTTGCATTCGAGGTACCGAGCCGGACCAGTCGGCTGATGGAGTATCTTCCGGTTGTTTCTGTTTTGTGCCAATCCGACTGAGCTCTAGTGCTGTCCATCGAAGACTGGCTGGGTGGTCGTCCATGTAGCGTAGGTCTGCCATTGCGAGTTGTCGCAAGGTGATTCCATGTCGCCAATCGCCTTCTAGGATCCGTTCCAGGACCTCCCGCTTGCCACCCTTTCGATCTTCGAGGTCTTCGTATGTCTGGCGAACCTCTTCGACTGTCTCTGCGGCGGGGTAGGGGAGGGCTTCATCATCGTCTGGTCTGTTTTCCTCGTCGTGTTGCAAGTAGGGTGGGAATGCGGCAATGTTGCGTTCGTCGAGCCATAGGAATGCCAGGTCCAAGAGGGCTTGCCTGGATAGTTTGCCGAGGACTTTTGAGAGCGAGGGGGTCGATGAGGGGATGCGGAGATTGTTTGGAAGACTGGCCGTAGTCGGGGCGCGAACTGTTTTTGGGCGCGCCATGGCCAAGATTGCGAGGTGGGTTATATGAGCAGCCGAGCTGGGTTGAGTCGCTTTTAGATCATCAGCAGCCACATATTCTCAGTTAGGCGCATATGGTGTTCCTTTGTTTCGAGCTCTTTCGCGTCCGAAACGGCTGTCAACAAACAGGCACGTGCTGATAAGATTGGCGATAACTGCGCAGACCGAATTACGCCTGGCGACTTCACTTTCTTGGTGGGAGCGTTTGACAATTGCATTGGATACCTCAATTTGTTCTAGCTAAACATATATCCCCGATGTGCTAAGCACTTTTACTTACTACCCAGGTAGATTAGTCTGATTTGTGATAGGGGTAAGTCCGTAGATCAAGTTTCATTTTTTGAATTCAGTAGAGCATCAAGCCATATTTGATACTGAAGTTAGTTTTTGAGATGCTGTATGCATTGAGGGCCATTATATTTTTACCCAGAATGAATCAACTTAAAGATAAGTGGTTCACGATTATATATTTGGTCTAGTTGGCTCACAGGATGGGTTGGACTCCCAGAGGCATACAACGCTCAGTTCAGCTAAGACCAGCAACCTTGCCACTTCTTTCGTAAACTTTTCGTAGCTTGAATACATTTAACCGTGTCAGGTCAATGTACTGAATTTAGCTCGGACCGCATTCTGCATCTTATTGGTGAGTCTTGCAGTAAGCGCCGCTAAACTGAACTAAGATAGATCACTTTTGCTTTTTACTGACAACGCATCAGTTCATTGCTAAATGCCACCTCTACCAAATATTCTACAACTAAGAAGTCTTTCCCACTGTAAGACCTGACTGTGACCAAATCATGGGAATGAAAGACATCAAGACAATTCCGTCAAGAGTGAAGAACCGTCTGCTCGCTCCGAAAGTCTCAACCAAGAGTTCGTATTCAGGATTGGAAAGCAAAAGTAAAGAAACATCATCTGGAACAGCCCTGGACGTCTCCAATAACATTTCGAAACCGAAGCTGGAAGCTGAAGTTAAAGAAGAATGGCTTTCTCCAACCTCCAAAAATCCGGACGGAAGAGATGTGCGGCAAAGATCGCCAACCCATCAGCATGACCTCTGGGTCGAAGCGTTCAACAAATTGCCTCCAAAAATACAAACAAAGCTCAAAACACAGGGAATGAACACAAACAATTCCGAGGATATGACCAACCAGATCCAAGCCTTCCAAGAAGAGGCCAAGAAACAGCGGGAAAGAAGCCTTGCCAGGGAATGGAAAGTCCACATCGGAGAACATGAGATTCCGATACGTAAATTGACAGTCAACATTGCTCAGTGGGCTGAGAAGATTGGAGATGTCGCAATCCAATTTGCACCGAGCCCAGGCGCCGGAGTTTGGGCTGTTGCAAAATCAATCCTTCAGGTTAGTTGTTGGTCGATAAGTGAAGGCTCACCACCATGCTTACCGGGATGAACTTTAGAAAGTTGACACTTTTGACAAAGAGAAAGCTGCTCTTCTTGTCATCCTGGACAAGGTGACAGGAGCAATGTTCTGTGGTCAAATCTACTACGAAATATATACTGAAGATCGCACTGGAAGGAAGGACGTCGTGGATAGACTCCAAGATGCCATTGTGGAGCTGTATACATGCGTTCTGGAGCTTTTGGCAACATCTACGGATCTCGCCTCAAATACCGCAATGCAAATCTGTCACTCAATCTTTGATTCCCAGAAGCCATCCGGGATGTTACTGGGACTGGAAGAGCTGGAAAAAGCACTCGGAACAGCGGCCTCCAAATGCGAGAACACTGCCCATGCTCATCAGGAGGCACAGTTCAAGGAGTATCTTCAAGATGCTCAGAGCTACCTTGAAAAAATATCACAAAATTTGGTCCAAGTATTCCACTTGGTCTCGGAGCAGGAACGGCGGCTCCTTCTTGACCGGATTTCTGATGTTCAGTATGGATACCACTACGATCTGATCGAGCAAAGGCGAAGTCTTGGTACTGGCGATTGGCTTATAAATCACAAACTGTTCATTGAGTGGATTGAAACTTCCTCTTGTAGTACTTTATGGCTTCAAGGATCTCGTAAGTGTGTTCATTTCATTTGAGCTCATGTCTAGCTAACAAATTATAGCTGGTGCGGGAAAAACGTTCTTGACCTCAGCTGTAGTCAAGCACTTCATAGAAAAAAAGGCTTCGCGAATGGAAGGACTCGCCTACTTCTTCTGTAACCGAGATGAACCAAAACGAAGAGAAGGGGCGCCCATTATTCGAAGCCTGGTGCGCCAGCTTGCTGCACCCAAGAATAAGACTGGAGCAGTCCGAGAAAGCCTTCGAAAGGCAGAAGCAAAAGCAACTGATAAAGCATCCCAGCTAAGCTCTTCTGACTGCCATGAACAGCTTTTGGAGTCTTTCAATCTATACTCAACGACAGTCATCATTCTTGACGCCTTGGATGAAGTCCTTGACTTCGAGCTAGATTCATTAATCGAGGAGCTCTATAGTGTGATTGAAAAAGTCCAAGAAGGAAGCAGAGTCAAAATCTTCGTTGCAAGTCGTCCAGAAAAAGGAATTAGGACGCAGTCGAGATCCAATGCCACCATCATCATACAGGCGAACGATAACAAAAGTGATATCGAGAAATATGTGACCGCAGAGATTGAAAAGTTTGGAAAGAAGGATCTGGACCATGCTGTGAATTATATGAAAGACAAAATTGTTGACTGCATTCTGTCCAAGTCCGGGACTATGTGAGACTTCTGTGTTGCAGAGTAACGTCAACGGATTCAAATCTAACAATGATTTAGGTTCCTATGGGCCCACTTGCAACTACGGCAATGCTTCAAATGCGACACGATTGAATCCATTGAACACACTCTGGATATCATGCCAAATACACTGGCCAAAACATATAATCAGATATACCAGGAGATTCAAGATCGACCCCTTCCTGATCGACAGTTAGCTGAACGTGCGCTATATTGGATTCTATCTGCCCCTGGACTCCTCAAAGTTGACGATCTTCTCTCTGCCATTTGTTTAAGCATTGAAAACGAGAACGTCAAGGTCAAAAGTCGTGTCAGACAAGAAGTGTTGATATCTGTGTGCGAGAACTTGCTAATCATTGATAAACATGGATATTGGAGGTTCTTCCACCTCTCAGTCCGGGAATATCTTGAGAAGAAACTTGACCTAGGTCAAAAAGCAAACTCGTACTGTGCAAAAGTCTGCTTTCTCTCTCTGATGCACACTTTTGGCCAAAATGGCCTTGATCTTACCTCAGATGAATTGAAGTTGCCATCACCATCTGCGGATCCTTTGCACATGGAAAGCAACTTCTCTGTCTTTATCCAGGACAGGTGGATCGCTTTTGCCTGTGAGCTACACGAGAGCGATGAAACCGTCCTTCTTTTGCAGAAGTTCCTTGGATCGCCTAATCAAAGTAGTCCTTACTTCATTCGCTGGTGGGAGTCTATGTCTTTCAATAAGGAGGTTTTATGCACCTACACTGACAAAAGTGGAGGACGGAATTTTTTGCACAAAAATCAATTACAACCGGTATCGACACCGATGTTTTTCGTGGCACAGGCAAGGCTTTATGGAATCCTCCGCCGCTGGTGTAACAACAACAATTTTGACATCTTTCAGCGAAACGAAAGGGGATTGACTTTGTTTGAGATGGCTGCTGAGACTAATTGCGTCCAATTATACAAGGATCTTGTCTCAGGAGCAGCCGAGTACGAAATTATATCCCGCAAAGCAGTTCAACATGGAAGCCCGAATCATGGAAGATGCCTTGAGGAAGAGGTCAAGATAGACGCGAGCTCCGCCCATCTCTGCAAAACGCATAGTAGTGCAATTATTATTGCCAGTTACCATCGGAGCTTGGATGTGGTGAGATACATCGTGGAAACGGAGAAGACAAACGTGAACCTACAGGTGGAGGATGAGTATCATGGCAGTGCGCTTGTTGCTGCTGTTACCTGCCCCTACGGGTCACCACTGAATGTCGTGCACTATCTTGTGGAAGAAGCAAAAGCAGACGTGAACCTACAGGTGGAGAATGGAGAATATGGTAGTGCGCTTGTCGCGGCAGCTGTCACTGGAAAGATTGATATTGTGAAATACCTTGTGGAGCAGGGAGATGCCGATGTGAACCTGGAGCTGAATACTGGGCAACATGGCAGTGCGCTTGCCGCGGCAGCTGCCGGATGGAAACTCGAAGTTGTGCAATATCTTGTGGAAGAGGGAGATGCCGATGTGAACCTGGAGCTGAAGGCTGGGAAACATGGCAGTGCACTTGCCGCGGCAGCTGCCGGATGCAACTTCGAAGTCGTGCAATATCTTGTGGAAGAGGCAAAAGCAGACGTGAGCCTACAGCTAGAGGCTGGATATCATCGTCGCGCAATTATCGCGGCGGCTGTTTCAGCTGAAGATATCGATTGGGTGAGATTTCTCATGGATCAGGGAGATCCCGATGTGAACCCGGATATTCTAGTTGGTCCATATAAGAGTGCACTTGAGGCTGCGGAGTATTTTGACGAAAGCTCAGAAGTAGCTGAGTATCTACGGAGGAAGCAATCAGTCTCCTGTTGATATAGGGCTAAGAATAAAAAGAATGTATATCCTGCGTGATCATCAATGTCGGATCTCGCAAAGTCAGAACGACTTGCCCAGTCCAAGTGGAGCGAACAATTCCTGCAGATGAGTCGAAGTTGCGGGGTAGTCAGCTTTGCCCTGCAGGGTCCTGTTAAGCATGGCTGGGCCATGGCTTACTGCACCTAGCGAGACTATTTGATGCACTCGTGAGACACTCGGGCGTCCCTAGCGCCACCTGGATGCATATATATTAACCACTAACATGATAACAAGGACAAAATGTATCCTCAAATAGGGACCGCATAAAAAGTAGATCTAGAAACTATTTGTTCTTGCATGTAAGAAACAAGTGCGTTTTTATCCTTCTAGCCAGAAAATCTCAAAGATGGCATAGTCATGAGCTGCAGAAAATCATGCCAGGTTTGCATGTTGAATGTAACATCGTACTTCTTTCGTTCGGGGCTTGAAAGGGATGTGTATGGTTTCTCTTGTGACATTAAGCTGACTGCAAATGAAACCCCTTTTCAAGCTTTACATGTCCTGCCTTTTAGGCTTCTATATTCAATCACGTTGATGTTGGACCTGATTAGACTATTTTCGTTACGAGTCTCTCGATTCAAGACTTCAATAGTCAGAAGTGATCACTAGGCCTTCGCTGACATTTTTTCCCTCGTCAATTATAGTCTGTTGCTGACCATCTAGCCGACATACAGGGTCGTATCCAAGCAAGAAACAAGCATCCCTTGCATTCTGCACTCCGCCCCATGATTCATAGGAGTCCGTACTAGCAGCTTCATGGCACGAGCAAAATACAGTATGTGCCGAGAGAATAATCTCATACGTCTTTTCAGAAAAACAATTATCTAAGCACTCCCACCAGGCTTCTATAAAAAGAGACCCTCGCGTTCTGTCTTAAATCTTAGCATCCAAAAACAGATATTCAATATCTTTGCAGTAAAACCCCTTCTCAAAAATTGTTCCATTGATTATCCAAAATGCACCTTTCTGTTCCAGTCCTCACCATAGCCTTGATTGCTAGCGGTGCCATCCCCGTTGTCCAGGGAGCTTTGCCCAAAGCTAACGAATACAAGTCATCGGATTGGTAGGTCACCCTCTACTTAGCTTGTACAGCTTTGCCAGAGTAGTTACTCACCACATTCCCCTAGTTCTGGCGCACTCAACTATGGCCACCACTCGGCCCTGCTGAAGGATGTCACCATGGATGACACGACCCACTCTGTCTACCTTGCGGGTGCTAACTGGGTGGGCTTCTCTGACAAAACTGGCAACGGCGGCAGCTGCAGTGGGTCAGCTTTGACTGTGCTGCAGGGGGAATGTAATAATCTCGACACAGCTCACCCAGGGAAGCGAATCAAGTGCGTCAGGAACATTGATTGAACTTCTAGTTAAGAATCGTATATAGTGAGTGATACGATTTTGTCAGATATCTGCCGTAGCTTATTTGTATCTTCGAAACATGCTCTTATTGTCTTGCTATCAGTGCTTTTTTGGGATTCTAACCCCTGTCGTGGTCTGTCATACTTCGGCTAGTCGCAAAACCCTAGTTACGAAACAGTGTTCTATCCATTACGAGATGGTCATATAGTTGATTGAGAAAGGGGGTAACCCAAACTTGCGCTGGAACTTGATTAATCGAGGAAACACGGGTCCATCTCCATATAGCATATATGTGTTTGTTCTAAATTTTGGGCACCCTGGCCAAAAACATTTTATACTATGGTCATTATAAATGAAGCTATTCAAATCATACAAAAACGTAGTTTCTAAGAATCTTAGCTGTTGAGTCTTTCTGGCCAAAGATTTGCTTTCTGTGCCAGGATGTATATATTGCTAATGCTATACTCGTGGATTTTATCATGTACAAGAAGCCATGATTTATCCTAAATTACCAACTTGCATATAAAATTGGCATTTAATTTGAAACACTTAGATTTATCCAAAAGAGATTATAGAAAATAAATTAAGAAATCGAAAGGAAAGAGACAAAGACAGGACCCGAACAATGTATGCTTGCTTCAGTGCTCCCTATGAAGATCAATCCATAACGAAATGGAAAGACTGAAGACACCAGACCCTTCCTGAGCAGTGGTCAGGTACCAATAAACTGCGTTCATTGATGAAGAACCTGATTTAACAAAATCTCAAAAATGGGCTCTTCCATAATTGCGGCAAATCTGCAGGTCATCAGCAAACACAAAAATAAAGCAGTAATCAAAAACCTATTCACATACCCTTGACACTTGATATGAGGTCTCATAGAAATTTCCAACCGGCCCAGCTTGCCGCGCGTCATCCGTTCGAATTTCTCATGATTTTTAATCCGATTCCAAGCCTGCACAGGGGTGATATAACCATCCAAGTCTAAACCACGAGCCATTTCAAGGAGCCTGTGAAAAACTTCCACAGTAGTTTCCCATCGAACGTCGGAATTCAGTGTCGTGGGAACGTTCTGCCGGGCCTTGCTTTCTATTGATGACCGGTAACCAGTCGGCTGATTGTTCTGGTTACGGTATAAGCATGGCTGTTCTAAACTGAACCGGATCTGTAAGCTATGAAATCACAAATTCCAGAGTGGAACACGAAATACTCACGACAACACAAAATCGATGCCAAGTTGGACCCATTCTTTGCCGGAGAGGTTGGATAGCAGTTCGTTGCTCTCTCCGTGGAGGCTTTCTGTATTCCGACTGCTTGTGTCACCTCTGCTGGCTGACTTCTCTGCTAAAGATCGAGACGGGGGGTTGGATACGGAGTATGAGCTTTTCTGTGCCATTATTGAGATGGAGGTGGTTTTGGTATTCGGACGTCGTGTTTTGGAAGACGGTGTTGGTGGTAGGAAGGATATTGTGACGTGGGTTGTTTGATCTGTGAACTTTGTAGGAGCCATGGCCCCCAATCACTGCTACCTGCCGAGGTGGGACTTCGAGTTTGACAGTTCCTGTGGAAGCAAATATCCATCCCGGGCAATGATATTCCGGCAGATGAGACTGTCCCGACAAACCGGTTAAAGCTGGTTCGTCGTAATTATATTTTCGCATACCCGATGGGATGGTTAGCACAATTGGTTTACTCGAGTTGAATTTTATGTATGAACCGCTTTGTACAGTGCTTTAGCGGAGCACAAGCCGGAGAGCTTTCCCTATGTAGTATGTCTTACCTCTGATGCTCTATGCTGCATATTGCCTTCAAATTATTTGATCGATATGACACATGCCAGACTCATAGTTCATATATAGTACACGGTCCACTAGTTTGGTTAAATTAAACCACTTCACATAGACTTTAGTTAGAATTACCAGAAAAACTAAAACGTGCTATTGCCTTCTTTGTCCATTTGCACTGAATGAGATTTACAACCCGGGCATGCGCTTCACACATGTTGCCGTGTGATGTCAGGCGTGATACGAATACTAATTTTATACGGATAAAGGGATAATAGAAACTATATATTCCCCTTGGCCTCTTAGCTGAGCAGGTATCGTCTGAGAAATGTATGAAATAAAGTAGCGATTGGAAATCTAAAAGAACCACTTGATGAATCACTCGAACTATTATTGAAAACCACATCTTATGAATCACCGCGTTAAAAGGAATACGATGGTCGTAGGAAATTTACCAATCGGTGTTATTTGGCGTTCGGGGCCGAAGGGTGGCGGGGTATGTTTGACGACAACCCCCTGCAAGGCTGACCACCACGTATGCCCACTAGTTCCTTAGCTCTTGATTCTCACTGAGAAGAAAATTGAGTCATTCAATTCTTCATTCTTCTTCCTAACCATACTGCAGCTAATCCCAATTACCTTCGCCTATAGCAGACAGCATGGCATCAATTACGCCACCCTTCACATTCGAAACAGCAACAAGCAAAGTCAAAGCTGCTCAAAATTTGTGGAACACTCAGTTAGTACTTTCAAGCACACCAAACGTCATTGATAGTCCTAATCTAATATATCATAGAAACCCAGAGGCAATTGCCAAAGCCTATACAGCTGAGAGCATCTGGCGTAACCGCACCTCATTCCTCAGAGGTACCGATGACATTGTGAAATTCCTCACAGCCAAATGGAAAAAAGAGAAATCCTATAAATTGCGAAAGGAGCTTTTCTCGTTTACCGATAATCGGATTGCAGTGCAATTCTGGTATGAGTACCAGGATTCGGAGAATGGAGACAAGTGGACGCGATGCTACGGGTTGGAGGATTGGACTTTCGACAAGGATGGCAAAATGGAAAAGAGGATGATGTCTGGAAATGACCTTATCCTGGGTCCCAATGGAGATGGGACTGGGCGATGGTTTGTGGATGGTGTTGATGTAAATGACGTTAAGATTGGCCCTGAACATTGGTGATCTTAATATGCTTTTACTTTTTATGGTAGGATGTTGGGCAGTATTTTGCTTTTCGATGACTTGAAACGTTAATTAAAGCAGTTACTCCTTGGTATTTTAGGACCGGAGTAATTGATTTATATCAAAAAAAAAGGCAAAAAGCAGCAACAATACAAATGCAACATTGGGGAAGTGGACGATATTCCGTCAGTATCTGTAGCAGCAAGTACCATCTACTCAGAAATCACGTAGTCGCCAATCGGATTGGGCGAAAACTTACGCCCTATGCCTTTGAAATGCCCCGACGAATTATTCGAGGCTATTAATCACCGATCCCCATCACTATCAAATATGAAGTCCAACCGAATGGCTCATAGTAGAGAAATCCCCGCCATTGAATTTACCTCTTTATCAAATTGTGCAACATCTTAACGGGCGATATAGATCACTACGCTCTTTCTTAGTCCTTATCCCATCCTGGTTTTACAGACCACGGTGCGAAAACCCCCATACTCAGGAACACATTCAGAACATTCTTAGTTAGATATTCAAACATTTGGTTTCAGATTACTACTGGCCAACTTTTATCCAAGCCCATCGCGGCGCTGACGTAAATTTAACGAGCAATCGGGATTTGAACCCGTGACATATCACGGGTTGGAAGGGAAATAAGGCAATGGTCAAGCTGCTAATGACACCAGCCAACAGTATCATTGTAGTAGTTTTTAGCAAACCTCTAAAAGAGAACTCCACAAAACTTGCATCAGATCGGCAGACCGAAGTCGAAGAACTCTTAAGAGAAGTCGGAGAGCCCATTTATCAACCGACATTGGACTTATTGACTGCGGCACAAATTTCTACGGTGGGCCACAAGTTATAGTGAGCTGAAAAATAGCCGCACAGTCAGTCAATCAAAGCACGCGCCGGGTCCGTGATGTATAGCGAGAACCGCGGGGATGATTGGTATACGGTTGGTGATGCGAAGGTCTATCAGCGGATTGGCCTTCAATGAAAGTAGAATGGCTCAATATTGAATCATATAGACTAAGCCTCTACTGTAGAGATATTATGTCTTAAGCTGATTCGGGCTTATTGGCAAAGGTGTGCTTATAGCATGAAGTTATAGTCCAGAGCGACATCGGGATCGTCCTTGTCCAATAAGGACATGCACTAAACCCCTTTAGGATCTCATGTAACGAACGCCGATCGGAGTCCGTGCCTTCGAAGAGTCCAAGCTCTATAGCATATTTAGCAGGGATGTGTATAGATCAGAAATCAGGGACAGTTAGATTTCATGCTCTACCATAATACGTCTACTGTAGAGAGAACTTGGTGTTCGGAAGAAGCTCGGGAGAACGAGGAGTTGCTTACAAACCCCGTGCTTAGAAATGCGGGGCCCTGTGCGCCCGTTGCGGTCCGTTTCGGCCGTTCGTTTTCGGTGGCCGCGCTTGTCGCTGAATATTCCAAGTCATTGAGAATACCGTATAGCAGAGGTCAATAATCCTATAGGAACAGCGTAATTATTGCGGCATCTGAGCTCATCTGGCCATGCATACTGTATTGCTTGGCTCTGCAATTGCCCTGATTTGGGGATTAACCTGTGAACGTGGAACCCTGATTTAAAGTGGGCTCCGATCCTCGGCCACCGGCATGGCATCCGAGACTCGCACAAGAGTACAACCCTTTCACTGGGGATAGGTGAGAGGGATAGAATGGGGTAGTAGATGAACTAAGATGGAAATAGAACAATTTATACGAGTTCCAACCGAATGCTACAATCGACGTGACGACAGTAGAAGGTCATTGTTCGGAGGCAAATCGGGGATTAATCATCACCCACACCCCTCCGGGCCCCCCCACTGATTTCAAAGAAAAAACCCACTTGTGGCCCCAACTGCTAATACTCTCTTCTCTCCATATTCCATCTCCAGTTCATCCATCCCATCGTGCGATTCGTATTCGGAATCGCCTCTACATCTCGCCACCTCGCGACGACCACGACTTTCCTCTCGAGCACACCGAGCCGCATTCGGATTTGAGTCACGGCTCGCCGCCTGCGCAACGCGCATTCCCACATTGTTCATCGATATCTAGAGATCAGTCCCTGGCAGTGGCCATAACTGATAGGACGCTTCAAGCAAAATGGCCAGCTACAATGGGCGTCGCGCGCCCAACTTCTCGCAGTACATCGATGACCTGAACGCGATTCCCTCGCCTTATGACCAGGCCCTGCAGCAGCAACAGCGCCAGCAGAACTCGTTCACTCTCGACGAGGAGCTTGCTCTGTTCACCAACACTGAGTTCTTTGATTTCGACAAGTTCACCGACTTTGGTCTTCCCAACGGCCTGCCCAACTTCGACTCGGTCGACGATGCCAAGCCCCAGGATGTGGTCCCCGACCAAGCGGCGCGAAATGCGGATATGAAGTTCTTGGATTTCTTGAATGGTAAGTGTGGCTGAATTTGGTGCATGTGTTCGCGTTCCTGGTTGGGTAGTTGGAGTGCAAGCTGCATATATTCCTCTGATCACACCATCACCACGAGCCTTATACGGTCAAGTTCACGAGAACTATGCCTAATATTTGGATATGTCATTGGTTGCCTTGATCTCGTCATTCTCATGATTCTGGTCTATGGTTTTGCCTTCTGGATTTTGGGCGCTTCATGCGCTCCGAAGTTCACGATCGCCTTATACGCCATTCAGCTTGGACCCTTCAAATTCGATGCTTTGCATCTCCCTGCAGGGATTTCTTGCCCAGTGAGATTGCCGTGGCTGGTGTGAACAATCCCCGCTATTGCGCCATCTCACGTGATCGGGAGCGACTCCAACCAATTCGGGACGGAACGCGATGTGGAATTTGAATGAATGCTAACGATGTCTCGCAGAAGGTCTGGGTATGCCCGAGTACCAACCCGGGCTCAATGGCCAGAATGTGCAACCCATGCACAATGCGCCTTTCACGGGGGTTCCTTCGGTCCCTAACGCGCCTGCCAACCAAGCCCCCATTCAGCCTGCGCCAATCAGCCCTCCCAAGAAGGTCGTTCCGGCTCCACCATCGAGTGTGATGTCTCCTCCTACTCCGGCTACGCCTAAGCGTAAGAACTCGCAGAAGTCAACCCAAGAGAGTGCCGAGGAGGCATCTCGCAACATGGCCGAGGAGGACAAGCGCCGCCGCAACACCGCTGCTAGTGCCCGTTTCCGTGTGAAGAAGAAGCAGCGTGAGGCCGCTCTTGAGCAGACCGTCAAGGAAACTACCGACAAGAACGACATCCTTGCATCCCGTGTATCCCAGCTCGAGCTGGAGAACCACTGGCTCCGTGGTCTGATCATGGAGAAGAACGGCACGGATGAGCAGACTGAGCAGGATATCTCCGACATGTTCAAGAAGTTCCTTGCGTCACAGAAGCCTGATGCTTCAAGTACTTCCGACCTGAAGCACGGAGTGGGAACCTTTGCTTAAAGCATCTCAACTACTTAAACAAGAAAAAAAGGTCAAAACATAAAAAAAACGAAACCCCTGTCTTCATTGATTGCCCTGGCTACTCTGCTGCTCCTGGTGGTGACTGCAGGGTGATTTGGTTCACCCAGGCCACTGCCTTTGCTTTCTTGTTTATAGTGTTTACAGCCGCTTGGTTCTCTTTTTTTCTTCCAGCAGCCAGAGCTACTTCAGATATCATCTGCAGGTCGAGGGGGGGGTGGACGCGTGATGATACTTAGAAGCAGTTTTCCTGAATAGATCCGGCTATCTGCACCTTTAACCCACATTTTATTCTTTCCCCATACATCTCGACCGACCTAATGATCTTCTAGCATAAATATCTCGTAATAACAAACACAGTCTCCACATTAGCTCTTCTAGATCAGAGACTAACGTTTGTAAACCCACAACATTGGCAGTGTGACTAAATACAAATGCCTAGAACCTTGGAAAGCTTGGCACGGTCAGCCGCAAAGCTCCACTGAACATCAACTTCATTCATATTTCCGCCATAACACCGACACAAGTGCACCTACCCCTTCATATTTTTGGAGAGTTTCTTGAAACAAAACGAGGGATTATGCTAGATTTCCTGAGAAAAGCCTTCCAAAAGGCCCCAGCAAAGCTCTATGGACTCGACCATGCCGTCCTCAACATCCAACTCCCGCCGCAGTCAATGTGGATGAACATAGGGTATTGGGAGGTAGTCTGCACCACCATTCTAGCGACGTCGAAATTGAGCATTAACATATAAATTCTAGCACACAAATGACTTCCCAACAGCATGCGAAGCCCTACTAGAGCAAGTTGTCACAACAGCCCTATCAAAAGAGAAAGCATCATCTATTCAAATCCTCGATGTGGGTTGTGGATGCGGTGATCAATCACTATACCTATTCAAGACTCTCAGGGCTTCTCCCACCCCAGAAAGCTCTCAACCCCCAGATCCACAAACATCAGAACAAAGTCTACGTCGTCGACAATCAGGATCTCGAACAGAGACAGAACACCAACCACCACCACCATTCCCAACCCTAAAATCCTACATCGGAATTACACTCGAACAAACCCAAGCAAGATACGGCTCCAACCGTCTCCACGACCTCCAACACCAAACCCCAGACCGAAACATCCAAGCAGAAATATTCTGCTCCGACGCCGGAACCCCCAATTGCTGGACAGGCGACCTGAAACAATCCATCAACACCCTCGAAACAGCCTTGCCAGCACCCACCTCCTCAACCTGGCTCCTGGCCCTAGACACAATGTATCATTTCCGACCAACCCGCCTCCCACTACTCACATACGCGCGAACAAATCTAAACGCAAACCTAATGGCCTTCGATCTCATCATCGCGGATGATATTCCCTGGCATCAGAAACTGCTATTGAGGGTCCTGTGTTGGTTGACGAATACGCCGTTCGGGAACCTGGTTTCTAGGAGTGATTATGTGGACATGCTTGTTCTGGCTGGGTATGATCGTTCGCAGATTGAGATTAGGGATGTGACGAAGTTTTGTTTTCGGGGGTTGGCGGATTTTATTCAGCGGCGGGTTGAGGAGGGCGTGCCGTTTGGGTTGAAGATGGGGAAGTTTAATGTTGCGAGGAGGATGTTTGCTTGGTGGGCGAGGGGGGATATTGTTAGAGGTGTTATTGTTGTTGCTAGGGGTGGGAAGAGTGAGGAATAGGGGTTTGGATGGGGCATTGTGCATGGTTTCATTGGGGCTTTATGGGGGTGTGTTTATGAATGTTATTTTGGGGTCTGTCTAATTCGGCGTAAGTGGGTTAGTTAGATAATAGGCTAAATGAGATCATCTGGGCATGTGCACTGTAAACATCTAAATTAATCTGGAGTACGTGGGAAATGGTCTTTGCTTTGGGGCATGGGCCATGACAGCACCTAGTGGATGGTGTTCTGGCCCTGACCAGGTACAGGTCGGCTTGCGCAGATTTGGATCGACGACGATAATTAACTGCTTGTCTATGGTAGTCTACTGTCGTGTTCGACCGAGAATCCTTTGCCTAGCCGTCTGATTGCTTTTGCATTCTCGTAATATTTTGAAATCTCACCTCATCAAATTGACCTCTAAGCCTTTATTCATTATTGGCTTCTGATCTATGTATAGTGTCTCGAATTGAGGGACAACCTAGCTGGTAATCTGGCTGTACTCATCAAAACCGAGTCCATCAAAGGTAGCATAGAAAACACTCTCGAGGGAATCAAATTACGGGGCCGTTTCAATATCAGGAGGGCCCTTGAGAAAGTTCCCCACAATTGGGCTCCAACCCGCTCGTTCCAGACAGTACGGAGTAATCGGCAGCTTTATGCATGTACATAGACGTTCGCAACTCAGTCTGGTCACAATGTCTCCTCTTCAGCCAGAGATACTAGAGTTATCCCAGGGTACTTTCATGTTTATTCATCTCACCTCCAAACCCACTATTAGAAAGCCTGTTACAGAATTTATGGCTGCCTATCCTTTCGGCACTATTTAATACATCAGGTGGTCTAAGTGGGCCATGGAATAAATCCTCTTCACGATTGATTGTTCTCCAGGATTCCAAAATGTGCAGTACGGTAAGCCTGATGCAAGACCATCAACTGGTTATGCTATGCAGGACATTCAAGCACATGTCCGACACATGGCTCACGGTGACGTCACCACCTCAGAGCTTATGCCAAGCTTTTGTTGCCTGAGAGCACCAAAAAATCTCGATTTGCCACTATACGAGCATGGCTTGTAAAATATGCAATGTAGCCGATAATAATCAAATGTCATACGCTATAGCATTGCGCCTGGCTCATTACATGCCCCATAAACATTTCTAAGCCACGTTACATTCAGAGCAAAGTACCGGCAGTCGGCCTCCAATATTGAAGCCGGTCATGAGTGGGTCCAAAACGGATATTCGGAACTGATGCTTTCGGCCTTCAATAAATAGATTGGCCCGCGCTCTGTGGGTAAAAAAAACTATTTTCATAATCCCCTGGTACCTTGAAACCTCCTCAGAAAACGTGCAGTCGTATTCCCTCCAGACCTCAAACAGCACCGTCAGATCGGCGAATCTACAACGTGCCACCGGATCGGCAAAGCGGTCAATATAGGCAGTATGGCCGATCATTTGCCTGACTCGAGCGAGAAGCGATCATCGGCAGAAGTCGAGAGGCCTCAAACCTCCAGCTCGACCTCCTCAGGCTCGAGCAGCTCTTTCGAATATGACCCACAGGTGCACAGGCTGCAATCGCGCAATACTGAGCTCGACCTGGAACGCCACCGGACTGGTGTTTCGCGCGCACTGAGCAGGACTGAGACCCAGCGCACTCAGCATGCGCTCACGGTCGGTGAGAGTCTCAAGTCGCGACAGTCGCTTACTCCACTCCCCGCTTTTGGTGCGGGTAAACCGTATCCACCAGCTCTTCCTGACCGTGAAGAGTATGTGGTGGAATTCGATGGGCCCGAGGACCCTATCTATCCTTTGAACTGGCCATTGCGGAGAAAGTAAGTTGATCATCCAAGCTTTTCTTAGCGCATATATGCTATTGCATATGGACAGTGCTGACAATTCGTGATTGATAGAGCCTACATTAGTGCTATGCTCGCCTTCACCAGTATCTGTTCCACATTCGACTCCGCCATCTTCAGTTCGTCCTCTAAAGCCGTTGCCAGCCAATTCGATGTCGGTCTGGTAACAGCTACGCTCTCCAGCTCCCTTTACATTGCCGGTTATGCCTCGGGGCCGTTGATGTGGGCTCCTCTATCCGAATTGAAAGGCCGTCGTCTTCCCATCATTATTGGTATGCTTGGCTTCGGTATCTTCAACACCGCAGTCGCAGTCGCAAAGGATGTCCAAACAATCATGATCTGTCGTTTCTTTGCTGGTATCTTTGGCAGTAGTCCCTTGGCTGTTGTCGCGGCCGTTTTCTCGGATATCTGGAATAACCGTCAACGTGGTGTCGCTATTGCTTTCTTCTCTTCTACCGTCTTCCTCGGACCCCTGGTTGCGAACTTTATCGGAGGATTCATCAACATGTCCTACCTTGGCTGGCGCTGGACCGCCTATATCCCCGCAATTATGGGATACGCTGCCTTCGTTGTCAATCTCTTCTTCCTGCATGAATCATATCCTCCTGTTGTTCTTGTGTCCAAGGCTGCGGAACTGCGTCGCCGAACCAAGAACTGGGGAATTCACGCCAAGCAAGAAGAAATTGAAGTTGATCTTCGAGAACTAATCGTGAACAACTTCTCTCGTCCCCTTCGGCTGCTTCTAGGGGAGCCATTGATTCTGGCTGTTACCATCTATCTCAGTTTCATTTACGGCTTGCTCTACTGTTTCTTGACAGCCTACACCCTTGTTTTCCAGGGTGTATATGGCATGAACCCTGGTGTTGCAGGTTTGCCCCTCTTCGGAATGGTGGTGGGCCTGTTGATCGCGGCTGCCTACGTTATCTGGGCCAGCAGAGGATACAACAGAAAATTGGATTCGAACGGCGGTGTCCCCATTCCCGAGTGGCGTCTTCCACCAGTAATCGCCGGTGGAGCTCTCTTCGCCGCTGGTCTCTTCTGGTTCGGCTGGACTGGCTTCAGCGGTACCATCCACTGGATCGTTCCCACATTGAGTGGTCTATTCACTGGATTCGGTCTCTTGATCATTTTCATCCAACTATTCAACTACCTGATTGACACATACCTCATGTTGTAAGTTCAATTCTTTCATCTTTCCCAGCCTGATATCGAATCCAAGTCTAACAAAAACAAACAGTGCCGCCTCCGCCATCGCAGCAAACACATTCTGTCGTTCCATGGTCGCAGCCGCCTTCCCCCTTTTCTCCCGCCAAATGTTCGAAGGTATGGGCATTCAATACGCATCCACCCTCCTCGGAGCTGTTGCAGCCGTCCTCGTCCCAATCCCAATCGCATTCTTATTCTTCGGCAAGAAACTGAGAATGAAGAGCAAGTTCGCACCCTTCTATGAGGCTGTGCAGGAATCACACGCCGCTGAGGATGAGGGCGAAGCTATTGCCCAAGAAACTGTTCAGCGTTGAACATATCACGTTATTTTGCACGTGTACATGTATATACTTGCATTCCGCATTCCCACTTAGGGAGTCGTAATTTTAATGTCAAAAGTGAAGTTTACAGCGACTTTCAGCATTTTGGACCTATATCATAAAGTTTTTTGCTTGTTTTATTACATACACCCCAGTCCCTACCCTGTATCTCATAGATTATCTGCAGGAACGTAACCCCAGGCCACGTTCTGGCACGAACGGAACGGCTGTAGTGGGGCCGTTTCCCGGACTCCGGGTACGGGAACGGCCTGAAGCTTAGCATTTTCTTCCCTAAAACGTTATGACCCATTCGAAGCCAAAGGCGATGGTCTTTTGCCATTCAATTATTTTGCAAAACTTGACGCTATATCATGCAATGGACATTGTGTTCATTATTTTCTGACTAAAATATGCGTTAGATTCCTGTCGCACGTACTACATGATCGTCGTAGTCAGGAACTGAGTTGAGCTTGGAACAAGGGCGAGTGAAGAATTCAGAAAAATTAATGTTCTAATAAAAAGAAGCAGGAGCGGAGATCGTTCGATTTAAGCAAATTGTATCATTCTTTGAAAAGCATGGTAGACTTGGTAAGATCAATAGGGCATTACGCCAGCCAACTTCAGCAACTGGTCAGTCAACTCAGGCTTGTTCAACGGCTCCTCACGGTTCCTAGGATCCGGAGTACCATCCTCTCTAAAAGCCCTTTTTTCTCTAGGTACAATATTGTCATGCGGCCAGTGAGTGGTCCCACCCCACTGCTTGAAAATCTCCGCCTTCGTGGCCAGGGCTTCCTTGGAAGCAAAGCTAGCCGGCGTATAAGACGCATAGATAACAGTGCGAATCACATCACTCTTCTCCGTCGGTTCGGCTCCATAGTGGATGAGACGACTATCCCACAATATGAGATCGCCCGGCTCAGCGCAGACCTTGTAAGGCTGGATGCCATACCAGTCCAACTGGGCATCATTGAACAAGTATAAATCTTTCTTACTCCAGGTGTCTTTGTCAGTTTGGGTTTCGAAGAATCGTTCAAACAGTTTATGAGATCCAGGGTAAACAATCAATCCCCCGTCTTCAGGGCCGGCGTGAGAGAGATTGATAATCCCCTGGGCACAGTGCAGGCCCTTTCGGAAAGGACTTTGGTCAACATGCTGCCAGGCAGCCGGTGGCGGAATATCTTTGCGGTTGGGGAATGTAATATTCAGACTATCAAAGCTGACCAATAGTTCATCGGTTCCCCAAAGCTTGGAAAATGCCTCGAGCACTCCGGGCTCTTGTCGTGCTTCCCAGAAGAACTTCTCGTGCATCACTGCATAGTTCGGAAAGGAGTTGATCTTCGATTGGATCGGTAGGTTTTCCTTTCTCCATGTGTCGGGATTGTTGATATCAAGCTCTGTGCCAAAGGATTTGAGCCAGCTGAAGGCTTCCTGTTGGTAGGCCTTTGCGCGGTCCTCCGAAATCGCGCCTTTGATTACGACGTAGCCATTCGCGTGGAAATCGTCGCGCCAGTCGTTCGTCTTTTTTTCTGGGAGACTTTGGAATATAAGTATGGACTCATTAATAGATAGTCATTTGGACGTTGGCAGACCTTTCCAACAATGCGGACTGGGCTTGTAAGATAGTCATCTTGACGGCAGTCTCTTGCTAAGCAGCGATGTTTCAGGGTATCTGCCAGCAACAGATGAAAATGTGGCTATATTTTGATTATAGGTACTCGTTCAGATGGCGTTCTTGGTTATGGAAGCATGAATGAACTTGGGGATTACATCTCGTATAGCGAAGCCACACCTCCGCACCTCTGATCCGGAGATTAGCCGATACTTGCGCCTCTTATGTCGTGTCAATTACGCAAAGCACCTCATTAACGCCCCGCCTTTAGCCATTTCCAAATTTAGCTAGGTCGACCAATCAGATTCATCTTATGCAGGAGCTAATTTGCTTTGCTAACTGCATTCATATTTTATTCTGCAATTTTGAGTCTGTAAATCGTGCAAACTTACTTTGCTACCAAAACATATGGTGGATGATATTCTAAACATCTCGTTCCTAGGTCAATTTTCACGGGACGTCCAAGGGAAAACTATGGAAAATGGAATGAGTTGGTTGATAAGAACAATTACACGCTGTGGAAGCATAGTGTATAGTTAATGCCAGTCCGGGCTCTATATTCTTTTAAAAGTATACTTTCCTATCTTGGGTATACTGATGGGCCAGTATATAGTGTCGCGTGGTCCCCAAGATGTATATTTATTTCAAGGGCGAGGTGATCATATAGATCTCTCGCTTCTGAATTTATTCAAAAAGCAAGTACAACTTATTTCCGAAAACTCTTTGCAGTGGCATCAAGTACTCCCTAGAGATCAGCCACGGACAGAACAAAGCCAACGCAGTAACTTTTGCGCGGTCTAGTGTTGACTTCAACACGCCTTTATCCGTATGACCTATGAGGCTATTAGGACTACTGGGGATTTTGGTTCTATGCTGCCTCTGCAAGGAGCTTGCTGCAGTGTAACCTATATTCCAAGAATCTGATAACCTGGTGGCTGGCTAGTGCTGATCTATCCATACTTATCGTCAACATCATGAAGTGAGTGCATTTGGGAACCTTTGATAATATAAATACTCTAGATTCGAACTGGGAATTTACAAACAGCCTTTTCGTATATTCCTTACTTATCCCACTGCTTCTGGTTATTTCCAAATTACAAATGACTGGTCTCAGCTTGACATCCAGCCCAGCGTGGCTTCCCTCCCCAAGCTCTCTTGGAATAGTTGTCGCTCGATATAATGAGCCCCTCGATCCTTGGGCGGAAGTGGCATCAAACTCATACCTATATGTCAAATCCAACATAACCCAATCCGAAGACAACGTCCCGCACGATTCATTCCGCCTCTACGAACAACTGCCTAACTCCGGCCGCGAGGGGCAAACCTACTGCCACCATATTTACTCCCACTACGATACGTTGGAGCCAATCATCATTTTCTCCCAAGCAGCGCCATTTGATATGATCGGACCAGTAACAAATTCCATGCAAGAGCTCGTGGAACAGGCTCTGCAGACCCCAGAGCCGGAGTACGATCCAGTCACGATATATAACCATGACCTCCTTCATGACCTTGCTGAATGGAACAAGATCAATTGGTCTTCTCCCGACGAGTCGTATTGGGTTACGCCAGCTCAGCTCAAATCATTGACCTATGCTCCTTATGACATGGCGACTTTTTGGAAAATTATGTTCGGCGTGGATCATCCGGCTGCGGTTAGGGTTTTACATGGTGCTGTTTTTGCTGTGAGACGAGAGGCAATCAGGCAGTATCCTAAAGATTTCTTTAAGAAGTGCTTGGACCAGTTTTCCACCGCTGGGAAGGGGGCTGTTAATCCGGAAGTCGGTTTCTTCATGGAGCGAATCTGGATGGCGTTGTGGAGCAGGAAATTTTGGCTGTCGGGATAGTTGATTGTGAGTAATTTGTGCTAGAAAGGCAAAGACCACATTTCTTCGTCAAGGTGAGTAAGACTTTCAATTCAATCCTGTTGTTGTTTAGCCTGCGTGGGTCCAGTCAATATCGCATCACTTAGTCCAATATCTTAAAGGATAATAACAGTAAGAAGACAGTGAATATTTTCAGCAACTGCCAAGGTCTGTCTCATAGAGCTCGCTACGAAAAATGAACTCAGCCGGGTTTCGCGGGTTGCACAACGGCCTTTTGGGTTAAGGTTCGGTCTCCAAATCGGGTCACACATTCATAACTCAGCTGTTACTGTCACATTTGTCTTGGTATAATGAATGTGGAATAGATGCTTCGCGGTGTTTGAGCTGGATTGATCGGGGATTTAGCTTGCTTGTCAAATATTTATTGTGACATATACGAGATGGCCTGTTGACTACAAGAGTATATGAAATAATGGTCAATAGCGCTGTTTCTGACACTAACGCTGTGAATTCGCCTGTCATTGCAAAGTAATCATGTTCCGGCTTGCTTCAATGCCAAATATACCGTGCTTTTATGAACTTCAATATGAAAGTGGGTAGCACAACCGCAATGAAAGAGGCCCAGATCTATAGGCTTCGCTCTCGCACACACCACTTCCAGCTTATATGAGGCATGATCTCGTGTCAATTGCGCGATATAAGCCTGTTGAATTCATGAAACATACTTTTGAATATACTGTTCACAGAGCGTTTAAACACCACTATCTCGATTTGCTTACAAGATAGCCATCATTCATTCCAAGGTTGTTGGATGTCGCCATCTGTAACAATGTTTCCAGTTCTCTTTCCATTTGTCCTTCTGCTTTTAGGTCAGAGCTCATTCTGATATTTGTTGCACGGGATATTTGTCTGACTTTCTCAGGGACGTCACTCACTTTTCACGATTGTGCTAATGCTGGTCCCGTGAACGCAACCAACATCACTTCCCTTGAAGCTCCCAACCCACAACACAATGCCACATACTGTGTTCCTTGGATACCACAGGTAGGCTGGAGGGATTGCTGTGACATAGTTGAGCGGGAACTTAACTCATATTACTTCCTTAGTGCGCACCTGGATTGGCATGTTGCTTCTTTCTGTGCACAGATACAACCTCAAACACAGGTAATTGTGGATCATGCGGTGCCGCTGTGAGTGACGATCTTTCCAAAAAGATTCGGATTGAAGCCTTACAATAATCCAATTCCTTTAGTGCATTTTAGGCTCAGCGCCAGCCTGCTGTAACGGAGCTTGTGCAGATCTGAGCTCGGATGTTAATGCTTGTGGATCTTGCTCAGCCCCATCTGTAAGCTTCGACCTTCATTTTATATTCATTCTTCTACTTCAAGGTCATTGACGAGCCAAACATCCAACCAGTGCACCGGAATACAACCAGCCTGCTGCGCTGGGAAGTGTACTGATCTCAACGTCAATCCTTCCAGCTGCGGTGCATGTAGCAAGACTGTAAGTAAATAAGTCCAGGCTTCTCAGGTGTCAATTACGTTGCTAAATCACATTTATTCGATTTCATAGTGCACAGGTCAAGTCCCAGCTTGCTGCGCTGGGGCTTGCTCCGATCTTATGAGTGATCCTGCCCACTGTGGTAGCTGTAATAACCCGCGCTGTGTTGGCCAACAACCCGGCTGCTGCTCTGGAGCATGTACTGATTTAGCGATCTCACCATTGAACTGTGGATCATGCAGTAACCTAGTGAGTTTATTGAACATTCAGTAGGACTTTCCATGCTAAGATAAACCTCAGTGCAATGGAGTACAGCCCGCCTGTTGCTCCGGTTCCTGTAAAGACCTCAGCAACGATATTCTTAACTGTGGTGCTTGTGGAGCCCTGCCTTGTCTTGGGCTCCGACCAACTTGCTGCTCGGGAGCATGTGCTGACCTTGCCACCAATCCTAATAACTGCGGATCTTGCAACCATGGTGTAAGTCTATTGCTATATTCACGGACCGGAGTCACCATTTTAACATGTACCTTTCGTCGGATAGTGCTCAGGGGCACTCCGAGCATGCTGTGCCGGTCAGTGTGCGGATCTGCTCAACGACCCGCTTCACTGCGGCTCTTGTCTAGCCCTACCATGTCTAGGGCAACGCCCAGGTTGCTGTGGCGGTCAATGTACAGACCTCGCTATCAGCACTCTCAACTGTGGAACTTGTGGCGTGGCCGTAAGTAAATCTGCGAGTTGATCGTATCGCAAGGATCTAATGACTGTCTTCCAGTGTCAAGCAAACCAACCAACCTGCTGCAGCGGTAATTGCGCCAACACCGCTACCGACCCAAACAATTGTGGACTATGTGGAAGTAAATGCGCAGGTAACACCCCAGCCTGTTGTTCGAGCATCTGCACAGATCTCAGCACAGATATTCTGCATTGCGGATCCTGCAACGCACCTCCATGCATCGGGGTAGGATCCGTCTGCTGCTCTGGCACATGTGCGAATCTACTCTCAGACCCCAACCACTGCGGCACCTGCTCAGGAAATTGTCAAGGCGTTCAGCCCGCCTGTTGCGGTGGAACATGTACAGATCTCAGCTTAGATATAGCGCACTGTGGTTCCTGTCTGTCTCTGCCATGTTTGGGTATCCGGCCAGCATGCTGTGGTGGATCCTGTACGGATCTAGCGACCAGCGTCAACCATTGCGGCTCATGCTCGGCGAGTCCTTGTATTGGGGTCAAGCCTTCTTGCTGTTCGGGTACATGTGTTGATCTTAACTCCGATGCCAATCATTGTGGTTCCTGTTTGGCGCTTCCATGTGGTGGTACTACGCCTGGCTGTTGTGATGGTGTCTGTACGGATTTGGCTACTAGTACGCAGCATTGTGGTTCTTGCGGTGCTGCTCCGTGTACTGGGTTATTGTCTTCTTGTTGTGATGGAAAGTGCACTGATCTACTCTCTGATCCGAATCATTGTGGATCATGTTCCAAGAGTGTAAGCTGCGAAACCCTTGTCTTTGTTGCTGTATCCCGTTTAGCGCAGCATGGGAATACTTACTTGACTTTCTCTATAGTGCAGCTCTGGTCCTGGGGGTGGAGGTTGTGTCGCTGGCAGCTGTATCAGATGTCCTCCGAGCCAACCCTTCTGTGCTCAGTCAAACATATGCGTGAGTTCTTACCATCCGCGCCACAGGGGGTAGCACATACTAATAGTGGAACTCAGTGTCCCGCTGGCTTCACCTGTGTTTCCAGTGGTCCTCTGCCAGGCTGTTGTGGACCGCTTAATACCTGCCCGCCGATATCCAATCATCTCGGTGATCCGATTTGCGTAAGTTGTCGACGGGGTCATAGTAGCTTCAGTTTTCTGACTTGATAAAATAGTGCCCGCTACCATGCAGCCTCGTAATCATCCACCTTGTTTGCTTAGGATTCTAGGTCTGAAGCTGTAGTACTTTACAAAGGAAACAAAAAGCGGTTGACCAAAGCAGCTCAGGGTTAGTTGGCCACTACTGAGTCCGTAGCCGATGAAATGCGTATATGATTGAAAATTTGTGTTATAGTGAAGTGTGACTGTTCTCGTTGTAAATGAAATGTATATCAATAATTATGTGATCCCGGAATCCGAAATATGTACTCATAGAATCTCGTAAATGTAAAAGATGCTTTCAAATGAGCTATTGCATCCATGGCACTTGAACACCAAGTGCATTTGCCACCCTTATAGCGGAGCCAACACAGCCCTCGAGGAGGACCATACCATCCCAGCACCAGCTGCCAACCAGCCAGACATTTCCATCCCCGTTTTGCCACAGCTGGCTCTTTTCCTGGCCCACGACCCTTTTCCCAAAGATGTTATTGACAATCTGTCTGCTGGTGGGTGATCGCAGAACGCGAGTGAGGGTGGCGGTATGTACAACCTTCTCAGGGTCGATTGGGGCAATAGGGTAGTTGGTAATAAGATAAGCTGATGGGTGTTCGTGTGTTGCTTCAGTTGCTTCGGCGCTCGAGCAGATATGGAATGGCTGAGGTGCTGAGTCAGATCTATTCGATGCAATCTGCCTCCACAGAGACTTGCTGCAATCAATGATCTTAGAAAAGTCGCGGTGGATAACGATCTGCACCGTGGTTGTAGGAACAGCTGCCACCGCACTCCGGAGGGGTTCGAAGATTGCGCCAATGACATCCGGTGTCACGGCAAGAATCACATGGTCAAACAATTTCGAATCATTTTGGCCGTCGAGGGTGTTTGTCCAAGAGACTTTCACTTCTGTGCCGATATTCTCGACAGACGTGACCTTGGTAGCAAGCCGATTCCTCATACCCCGAGAAAGCTCTTTTTCGACACGCTGGACGCCACCGGTAACAGTGTAGTGTGTTTTGCGGAACGTCTTCCTCTCGTAGTCGACCACATCAATAGCAGGGAATTCCAATAACGCATCGTGGGAGCAGGTCGTAACACTTGACATCATCGGCAGTAAATAGTGCTTGACATAATACCATGGCAAATAAATCCTCTCGACGTATTGACGCAGAGATTCCTCCGCGCCAAACGACTCAACTGTCCTAGGTGTGACGAAGAAACAGCAAGCAGTGAACCAATAATAGCAAACAGCCAAATAGCATGTCTCCACCAGCCATCTAGTCCATGACAGGCCTTCGGGACGCAGAGGAGGTATTTGGTGGTTGTTCGAGGAATGGACGTAGTACGGGTTGACTTGTTCGTGCAAGTCCTTGGGTAACGTCGACAGGGAGTAAATAAACCGACGCGAACCGTATGTGATGCCGAAGTAATCGTACATTCGTTTTAAATTTTCGTAGTAGCCGTCGGCAATAGCGCGCATGGGAAGATCAAGACGTTCCTGGTTTTCGCCGTCGCCACCCTGGGTTGAGATGGTGTGTGAAGCTGAATCAAGGGAAAGTTTGTCTTGCTGTTGATATGGTCAAGTTAGCTATTGTTCGCGCTAGGCGCTGCCCATGTCCCACAAAGATGGTGTCACCTTTTCGAACACCTCCACTTCAAATCTCTGACGATGATCATTTTTGAGGATATAGGCAATTATGAGCCCTGCCATTCCCGTGCCAACGACGGCGACCTTTTTGCGGGGTGGGTTGTTTTCCATGCTTGACAGTATTATGATCAAGATAAAAGATGGGTTATAGAACTCATGTCAGATCGAGAGTCGGTCTACTCATGGGACTGAAGAATCAAGTGATGTTCGTTAGAAACCAAGGTTCTGCAGCTTTCACCCTAGCAGACGATCGCGAGGATATGGCAGCCGATTGCGGCCACTAGTTCAAAACTCATTCTGCTCGTACCGGGTCAAGGTTCCAGCTTGTCAAAAAAGCGGTGGGGAGGGGGGCGAATAAGTTTTGAGCTGACGGCCGTAATAGCCTACCGTGGGAAATCTGTAAACCTGGACCCCCTTTCTTTGTCAGCTGCCTCGGTCCAGCAACGTGCACACTTTATACAATTTATGCTTTTTTATGCTTATATCCTAGTTTCACCTTATCCTTGCAGTCGATCAAATATACTTCATCTTGCTGATGGCAGGGAAAACCGATTTTCAAAGAGACCACCTATACGAAATTCTGAGATTCTACTTATTGACAGACACTATACCCCAAATCGCGTGAGACACAGGTGCAATCCGATACAACGAGTACTTTGGTATACATTTCTGCCATCCCCTGCCCCGCGCCTCACTTGAGCATACAGGAATTCTGTTATCATATCCATGAATGAACAAACAAAGAAACACGATCACATACTTGGTTAATTGAAAGAACCAATTACCACTTCACATATTGTGGCTTTGAGCACAGATACTAGACAAAGAATCTGTCGTGTACCAGACAGAGAAAAGTCAGTTACGCTTTGCTTGCTCTGGAAGTTGTTGCTCCCAGAAACCTGAGAATTGAGCTCCGAGAAAAATATCTCACCCATCCACTTACCCTCATTGCAGCAACTTCCCACATTCAGAATCATAATTTCAGTAAATTCTGCAGAATTCAACATGGACGGACGACTACAGGTTGATCCACAGATTAGGAGGGACATTGAAACTGCGAGAGCTGAGAAGGCTCAACTTCAAGCGAATACAACTCATAGTTGGAACGTTTATCGACGTCTTGAATGCCTTGGACTAGTTCAACAATACCTTCAACAGACCAAGGAGAATCCAGGACAATTGATGAATGTCGACGCAATTATTGCGGGCTATAGAGCGTCTCAGGCTCAGGCGCAGTTGGATTGGAAGTCATGGGCTGTTTCATACTGGGTCCAAGGTGTCAAAGATACCGAGAGACACTTTGAATGGGAAGACTGCATCGACCGAGGAGCTAGGGCCAATACATTTCAACAATCCATGTGGACAGAAGGTGTACGTTTTCCCCCTCCGAATGGCTTCCTATCTCAAAATTTTCTAGGCAGACCTAGCTGGTCCGATTCCTTTTCGTGCATTCTACGCAAGTCCTCCACCTGTTGCCGAGTCCACATTGGCCCTGACTGTGTGTTCAAAATGGCCTTTTTGTTGTTTATGATCTCACTAACAATGAGATTAGCTCAAACTCATTGCTCGGGTACCAGGTGCTAGAGGAAACCATCTCCCAATAATCTTGGGGGATGATGCCCCTGTAGATCTCTCCGGACTCAACCCGCCTGCAGGGGCTGAACCTGGAGCTTTCCTTCTCAGTCAATTGACCATTATGGTCAATCCTGAGTTCGCATACAGAACTGGAAGAACGACTATATTGATTTCTTCAGCGTTACTAGGACAAATTGAGGCCTCTGCTGGCTCTCTTGCGCCCGAGCTGGGCTATAGTGTCTTCCATTGTGGAAATGGAACGCTCAGAGTATATCGCGCTGTGGCCCTCGATGTTAACTTTTCCAAGATCGAACCCGAGCTTATGGAGCATACCTGGATCACTTGTCGCTGTGCTGTATCATCTGACCTTGAACAAGATGGGCTTCGTGTTTTGTACAGCACCAACAGCCTAGAAGCTTGTCGTGGCATGATAGCATTAGAAGTTGAAGATGGGGAGGAATAGGTCTTTGATGAAAGAGAATAGGGTGAAATTGTAATGCTCGTCTGATTTGTTAATAGAATTTTTACAGTATATTTCTTTGTTTTTATCCTCGTCTGGCTGCCATTTGTTTAACCGTAGTCGTGGTCTCTTTCATTGAAAGAGAGTTTCTTTCATTTGAAATCTCTAGCTCATTTCATTTTCTGTGTATTCCGAATACTTCCTACGAGGTCTAGTGTCTTTGATTTTACCTGTTCTGTTTTTTTTTTTGAAAGTAAAATCATTTTATAACGAAAAATTTCCCATGTAATATCCCATTAAAACAAAATTTCATCTTTTCATTTGTCATTCTATCTTTACTACCGTGATTCAATTTCATATATCGATATACGCTGCGATGCCACCACCGGCCTACACTCCCTCGGACTTGAATGCTCTGAACAGTGGGAGCATTGCCTCGATCTTACGAGGCCTGGATGAAAGATTCTTTCTGGACGAATTATTCTATGGCACAGATATTGATCATCATCAATTTCACCGTTTCAGGGCAAAATTGCTCGAAAATCCTGCGAATACTCGTCGTCTCTATCCAAGAATTTATGCCGCACTCCCTCGATTTTTGGGACATACCGTGTTTAAAAACAACAAGGTCTACAAAGCCTTGCAGTTATTCCCAAATTTTGATACAGCAGACCGTGTTTCCCGCGTCTTGCCAATTGTTGCAGGAACTCTAGGAGAGGCAGTATCACCAACGGCTTTTGAGCCTGCCAATACTGTAGCAGGACTTTTTCAAGACAATGATCTGATCTCAGCAACTATTCAAGACCGCTGTTTTGATTGTTTAACCGCCATCCGTCATTATAATTTCTTTCCCATTGACAACGCGGCATCGTTGGGTGTATGCCACAATACTACTGGATGTTCCCTTTTCCTCATTGCTATTCAACAGCGCAGCGCCTAAGTCATGTCCCCGGAGGATTTTGCAATTCTCATAAAATGGCTGATAAGTGTCTCTGGTCCATCGGATGGCGTGTGGGATGATTTATATGTTCACCCTCCAGCCAACATAGTAAATTTCCCTGCAGGACCTGCAATATCGATCTTCCGACACGTTTTCAGTGAGTGGTGTATGTCTGCCCCTGTGATAGAGGACTTCGTTTTGTGGCATGCGCGCTCTTCTCCAATTCCAGACCCCAGAGTATTGAGTATGCTCGACCCAAAGATACGATCGGACGCCTTGCCGCGAATATCGGTAAACATCGCTATTTGAGCCACACGGCACAATGCGTCTATTTAGTCAAGCCGAGGAGAACGCTGCTCAGCTCTATGATTCCTGCTGGCATAGGCTCTGCTATGCCTTCGATGGAGATAAACTATTCGATTGCTTCCGAACCCTAGACGGGGGGCCGCATGCAGCTGCCCGTCGGCCATCAGATTTCAATCGACTAACATGGGACACACCGCTGCGTCTGGCCATTCAGTCGAATCGCCCAGATCTGGTCGAGAGGTTCTGTCATTACTATCCACCTCCTGGATATGTCCTATATACGCCCGGTGGTGAGACCGATCTGGATTTTGCTGTTCGCTGTCAAAAGCCAAACTCTCCCGAATGTCTCTACCATATGTTGTCCATGCCTACACTGCGTGTCTGGATGGCGTCTACGTATGGAAACCCTGATTATGCTATTATGAAGATTGCCGAACTGGTCTTTTCTTGGTATACGGTATTGGAAGACGCTTTGAACAACGTACCCCAGACCCCGCATAATATGGTACGGTTTGCACCTGCCATGGCCGAGCTTCGTCAATTGGCAAATCGCAAGATGTGTGCGGTCTTGAGCCATTCTCGGCCTCAATCGTTCCAGGACCAAGTGACAGCGCGCAGTTGGCGTAGAGTTCGCCGCTTGGGGGGAAGTACCAACCGCAGGTTCCTACAACAACTCATTAGGCCCGGTGTTGCATTTCATGCGACCAGGACTGTAGGAAGATGAACAAGCCATAATACTTCTATATATCATTCTGTGTTTGTGTTCTATTTCACCCAATTAAAGGGCCTGGTCGAGATCTGCTCAAGATATTTTGGTTTATAACTGTTATGTTGATTATGTGTGCCACCTATATCCCGATCTGAGAGCCTGTATAGTTTATTGAGACCTTTTTCATTTCTCCCATCTAGATTTTACATGGCTGAGCTTCGATAAAGTTTAGCTTGTCGAGAACCACTTTTCTCATGACCAACTAGGCGTTATGAGTTTGAGCATACTCGGGAGCCGGAGCGGCTCCGGATACTATAAAATCCTGGATACCGCCGCTGGAATATATGGACAGCGGGCGTCCCAGAGCTGCACCTTACCTTTGTGGAAATTTTAGTCTTTCATACTGAGGATGAAAGCCTTTTCCATGAAAAACTTCAGTTGCCCAAGATTAATATGCAATTAGCTAATAAATGATAGAAATGCTTCTTTTGAGATAGACTTATTATACAAGACCCAAGCATTATTTATGCTGAGGGCTGTCATTGTTATATGTCACCAGAACCTCGGTGGTCATATTGATAGTTTCAAGCTTTGGAGAAGCCGGCATCATCATCTCTGGGTCCAATATCGCAGTTTCACTGCCTGAATCATGGATTGTCGTATGTCCGATGTCCGTCTGTGTCTCGCCTTCAGTGTTGTCGAAAACCCTCTGCACTGGCTTCTTTTGTGGATAGGCGGCCATATTATAGGGCTCTGACGTAGAGCTGGGGAATATGCTAGCGAGGAGAGGCTTGAGGGCAGGAATGGATGCTGCAGTGATCGTCAGACCGTCTTCGACTGCTGCCCAGATAAGAAGTGGAGCCAGTTCCCCTAGATATACTGATTAGTCTTGGTTGACATAGAGGGTAACATCAGTAGCCCATGGAAATGAAGAGTGGTTCTTACAAGTGAAGTCTGCCTTGGCTGAAAGAGCCACCAAGTAGCTTGTTTTTACAATAGACGCCGCACCGGCGCTATAGAACGGTTAGGTCTAGGAAATTCCAACAGTTCTTCTTCAGCTCAGGACTCACAAGATTCCAAGGCTCATTGCGAACGCCACACCAAACTTTTCCTTCTTCTTCATTTGCAGATTCCAGACAATTGTCCAGGGAAGCAATGCCAAAATAAAGTCCTGAGCTCCAGAATATGCTGTCAATGGAAGGAATGAGTTAGTGTTGATCATAAGAAGAACATATGGACAAAAACAAGGAAACTTACCGCCAACAAAGAGAGAAAAGTTAGTGAAGACGTGTGAGGGCCAACATTCCGATGGAATCGTTGGATTCCATAGATGCCGAGGATCCTTGCATTGTAAAAACACGAAGAGCGCAGTCAAAGTGTTGACAACATTCATCGTAATAATCACAAACCAGAGCAAGACAACCATCCACCTATGAACCACAATGCGCAGCAACGTGACAGCAAAGGAAGTTTTTCCAAGTGCGCAGGCCATAATCGCCAGTGTTTCGCCAATGTTGCACAGCAACCCGACTTCGATGAGATTATTAGGGTTTTCTTTGACGAGGAGCAGATGCTGACCCAAGCCAAGATTGGCAGCGACATGGCAAACAGCCGCGTAGGCAATCAGACAGCACTATGTTGCAAGTAAAGTTAGTTCCACTCATCTAATCTAACCAGGAAGCAATCCTTGAAAGTAGTTGTCTTACAATTGCAACAATCGCAATTCCGTCATCCCAACCAAATACTTTCCGCAAGTATATCCTCACATACAAGCGCATGGCAACGAATAGTAGAGGTATAAGCGACATCACCCACATCACACCCTTCACCGTGGGAGCCCGCGTCTCCGATAGGAAGTCGTCATTCAATGTAGATGCCATGCTGAATGTCGATCCACAGAAACAAAATCAAAAGTGTATGCTTGAACTGTGTATTCAACGCCCCAAGCCTTAAAACGCCGTAGATTTAGGTTATTATCACCCCACTCTTGTGGGAATTCAATGGGATTTAAACGTCCACAAACACAGGATTCCATTTTGGAGTAATAACCTTATGGGTCTCAAAATATGACACGGGGATTTGCGCGCTTCGGACAAGTCGATTTTCATAAGGCCAATTCGTATCCCCAGGATCGGGCTGCAATCAGCGCTAGCAGGTATCCATCCAACCTCGAAAAGCGTGGATATACTCGCTTACCATAGCGATGGATCTATCAAGATTATAAGTACTGTAGGTCTTGTAACGGGTAGTGGTCCGGTGGCTTGCCCAATGACCTTGGTGAAATTTCAACCCGGCTAGTCAACGCACGGTCATCGGCCATACATTGTAATGTGCGGCATCGGGAGGCAAACTGGCACTTGGAGTCTTGTTCGGGCGCTAGGGCTGCGCCGCTGTCATATTGGAGGGTTTTTCTGGCCAGTGCTGAAGTGTCGGTGTTTCCAAGCAGCCATTCATCGCTGTCGTAAAACAAAGGGTTCCACATCCCGTTCACCCCCGTCTGCAGGACACTAATGCGGCTAGGACATAGTATCCAGAAGGCCGGCGACAAGGCAAAATCACTGTCTAGAACGCCTTTGTGCGATTCGCCTTTCTTTCGTACCCCGCTCGCACCTCGTGGTGAGAATGGTCAAACTGTAACTCCCGTAAACGAAGCCCTAGTGCTCGGAGCTCTGGGGAATTCTTAAAAAGCTACTGTGAACCGTGTTTCACGTCTGCCATATTGTACGTTACTGCCTGCACCCTGAAATCAGAAAATTGAAACAGTAACGCCTCCTGCACGTACTTTGGAAGCAATTCGTGACCAACCGACCATGTCGGAACTGGTCTCAAATCCTTCCCTGTGGGCCCAAAGTCTTGCATTTCTAGGCTTGCTTTGTATGACAGGCCTGATTTGGAATATACTGTTTTCGCGACTGAGGTCCGTCCCCGGTCCAGCACTGGCCAAGCTAACGGACTTTTGGCGTGCATTTCATACCTACCGTGGACGTGTCGATCAGAAACACGTCGAGCTGCACCGCAAGTATGGAGTAGCTGTGCAGATTGGCCCGAACTGCGTGAGCCTTTCGGACCCTGGTCTTATTCGGACGATTTATTCGACCCGCAATCCGTGGAAGAAGGTTCGATACTGGGACCCCTTACGTATAGCTTATTGTTCATGGCTTAATGTGGCGCTTGCTAACCTGCTGCAACTACTGTATAGAGCGACATGTATCGCCCTAACGATGTTTTGATTCAAGGACACCGACTTTCGAATCTCTTCAATACGCAAGATGAGGAATGGCACAATCAGAATATTCGCCCGATTCGGAGTCTTTGGACTATGACCAAGGTCTTGGAATATGAGCCCCTTATCGATGAGACCCTGAACAAGTTTGTCGACAAGCTCGCTTTGAGGTTTGTGGATGGCGATAGCGCGGGAAAGATTTGTCCTGTTGATGCATGGATTGGTTTCTGTGAGTATGCCGGGAGGCGCCCCCTGAATTAGGGGGTTATGTAGAGGCTAACACCTGTCAAGTTGCATGGGATGTCACCGCCAATTTCAGTTTCGGTCGCCATTATGGTTTCATAGATCAGGAGAAGGATGTTAATGATCTTATCACCGACTCAACTGCTGGCCTGGAATATTTCGCACCGGTAAGACGGTCCTCTCATCATCAGATCGACCTTGACACGGAAATGAATCTTACTGCTAAATAGGTCTCTCAAATCCCATGGATTGACAATTTGCTCGACAAAAACCCGATCAAGCGCATCGGCCCAAAGCCCACATTAACTGGGGTGCTATATGCCTTCAAAGTTGTCGCTGAATATCAAGCCCAACTAGCCGAAAAGCACATGTCCACTGGCACCGTTGACCACACTCTCGATAAATATGTCCAACTCAAGAAAACATGGCCAGACATGGTGGACGACAATCAAATCGTCAACTGGCTAATGCTAAGCATCCTAGCCGGAGGCGACACAAGCTCAGCCACCATGAGGGCAACAGTGTACTACCTATCCAAGAACCTATCAGCAACAGCCAAACTCGTCGCGGAATTGAACAATGCAGGTATATCTGCCCCTGCGCCTTGGAAGGAGATCCGTGACTTGGCCTATCTTGACGCCGTCATCCGCGAATCCATGCGCATGAACCCCGGCATTGCAATGATATTCGAACGGGTTGTTCCAGAAGATGGATTTACACTCCCAGATGGACGACATCTGCCTGCAGGAACGAAAGCAGGCATCAATCCCTTTGTGACGAACCGCGACTATGATGTTTTCGGCCAGGATGCTGATACCTTCAATCCTGATCGCTGGCTGCAGGACAAGGATGAGAGTGCTGAACACTTCGAGGAGCGGCAGAGACGCATGAAGGATACAGTTGACTTTGTCTTTGGTGGCGGTGGTCGTGTCTGTATGGGTCGTTATTTGGCTATGCTGGAGATCAAAAAGTTGATTGCGACGCTTTATAGCTTGTTCGATGTGAGTTGTCTATTATATCTGATTGGTGTTCTTGGTACTGATTTGAGGACAGATTCAACTTGTTGACCCTAAGCATGAGTGGAAGTATCGCAATGCTTGGTTTGTGTATCAGTATGATATGCCTATGCTCATTCGGCGTCGGTAAATTGGTATCTCTCGAGGGATAGGAAGATTGTTTGCTCACTCATATATCAAATTTTGCCTATATTGGCTTGTCATTTTGGCCTCTCATTTCCTCGTGTTATGTAGACTTGGCCGATTATTCACAAGGGGAGGTTGCAAGAACATACCTTGATATTGGGAATTAATCTAGACTATAACGAAGTACGAGATACAAGTTTGCATGCAATAAAAAAAGTAGTAATAATCAATTTGTCCATACCGCATAGGGTATCAAAGTTCCCAACCTAGAAACGCCGAGCCATTAAAACTAACCGAACCCGCAAGCCCCATGCATCAAGTCATTATGTAGTAAAGAATCGCTGTTCGCTCAAATTCCGAATGTCTTCCGTAACGTCATTCAAGCTTTAAGCGTCAAGCTTCGCCAGTCAATGATGATCAGCAGAAACACGGCGATCGTGCCATGTGGGAATCATTTCTTCTGTTGCTCATCAGCGCCATTCTCATCTTCGGTTGATGGTTCATCTTCCTCCTTCATCTCGGTCCGCCTATCTTCGTTGTTATCCTCTTCGCCAGTGATTTCTCCCCAGCCGGAGCTTCGGCGGCTCATGCGACCATTGAGGGCTAATGGAGAGCTAACACCACCGATAATGCTGGCAGCAGTACTGTCATTTCGACTGTGCGATTGCACACCACTGCGTATACTGGCCCCGTCACCACTGGCTGTCTGCTTGGTAGTGTAGAAGCCGGTGCGCTCGGTGCTGGTGGCTAGTGGGGTAGCGCCAGAGGCTGAATAAACGCTAATGCGCTCTGCACTGGCAAGTCCAACAATGCTTGGCCGACTCAGAACACCCGATGCATTGAATATAGATGCGTTGGATGCGTCATTCGTGTTTCCGCTCAAAACACTCAGTGGAAGACTTTCGCGACTCCCGCCAAATACCGAGGACGGGGCCAACCCCCGAACAGATGCATTGGTATCGAGGGAGTTGCGGCGACGTCTCTTGGAAGAACTTGCGAGAGTAAGGAGGGAAGCATTATCAGTCAAGACATTGTTTGCGGTTGCGGTGCTGTAAGTCATTGAATGGCTGGGTACCAGATGCGAAGGTACTGCCGTGGCGGGCGACGAAGTTGAGGGAAATTGGTGTGAGAATTGAACTTGCTGGCTCGTAGATCCATTTGTCGAGCTGCCATTTTGGTGTCCATGGTGATTGGGGTACGTGTTGTACAACTGAGTTGAAGGTGCAGCCGAGTGTACCGTGGTCAAGGTCGTTGTCAACGATCGAACCGAGGGTGCGGGCGATGAGAAAGTGCTACCTTCTCCCCCACCCTGACCTTCAGTGCCAGTTGCCAAAGTGCCAGCCTTGGAGTAGGCGGCTTCGGAAAAGGTGGTGTCACCGTTGGTCGAAATCGTTGGCGCATTCGATTTCGCACTGGTCATAGGAGCCGGATTGTCATAATTCGATAAGACCATGGAGGATCCACCTTGTGAGCGACATTCTGAGCCATAGTTTTGATCTGTGTACGAGTCGGTGGGTGTTTGGTTGCCTGTGTGACGATTGATCGTTCCGGAGAGGGGGTAAGGATTGTTGCCTTGATCGCTCTTCTTGCTTTTATTATTCAAGTGACGCTTGTTAGACCAGCGGTTTGACGTTGAATCAGAGGAGCTTTTGAGATTCGCCAGGCGCTTCATCCAGCTGGAGAACGGGCGACGGCGTCCATTTCGATCTATTGGGCATCCGGGGTCAGCCAGGCTTTGATGGTGAAGAGGACTTGAACTTACCATGCACCCTTGCAGGAACTTCAGCAGTAGCCATGATGGGCTGTACAGGCTTCAGAACCCTTGTGGGCAGACAAGGGATCAGGGAGAGGATTGGACGCCGAGGCAAGTGGAGGCGGGAGGACTGTTTATCCGCGGACGTCATGTGCCCTTGCCTCTCACATACTTGCAGCATCTTCACTTTGGCTTCATTCAGAAGTGTTCGCAATTCTTCGAAGAGAGTTGAAATGAGAAAGGCATGTGACACCATGATTCCATCATCTAGTCGTGCTCCCAACTTCTTTACCTGCGGGGAAATGCCACAGTGAATCACAAACTATCAAACACCTGCGTCGATGTCTTCTTCTCAACCAATACAAGCGCTGCCCCCTGATGTGATAGCAAAGATTAACTCATCAACTTCAATTTCTGACCTGAATGGCGTTATTGTGGATTTGGTCAAGAATTCCTTGGATGCAAATGCACAAACAATATCCGTGACAGTCGACTTCAAACGCGGTGGTTGTATAGTTGAAGACGATGGAGATGGAATCCCTCCAGCTGAGTTTGAAGAGACAGGAGGGCTCGGTAAAGCTCACCGTATGTATGCAGGTCTTTGCGCTATTTCCTTTCTGCTAACACCTGCGTTAGATACGTCTAAATTCAATTTGAGCGGCTCGTTTGGCCAGCGTGGGCTGTTCCTAGCCTCACTGGCCTCATTGTCTTTGTTGAGTGTCACCTCTCATCATATGCAATACAAGAGCACCAACTCAGTCATATTGCATCACTCGACACCTGTTGCGCGGTTGATTCCTGTGCCGCCGTGTCAAGAGCTCCGCTCTAGCAGCCATGGCACGTCTGTCAAAGTCAATGACCTTTTCGGGAACATGCCAGTTCGTGTCAAGAGTCGAGCACTTGCTCTTCAGAAGTCTGATGAGATGGAGCGAGAGTGGAATAACCTGAGATACTCATTGGTGTCTCTCTTGTTGGCGAATCCCCAGCTCTCGAAAGTGGTTGTCTCCGATGCCGAGAAAAATAGACGGATGTCCATTCGTCTTGGCGCTAGATCTGTGTCCGATTTACACGTCTCACACAGGGATCATGACTTCAACCTCAAGCGTATTGGCTCAATACTCGCACAGTCGGGGCTAATCTCTTCTCGACACGTGGAATCTTGGCATGAACTGTCTGCTTCGGTTCCTGATCTCACCATTAGAGCAGCAATTTCTCTATCACCCAGCCCAACTCGAAAATTTCAATTCATCTCGTTAGGAAAAGAGCCTTTGCTGTCACGCAGCAGCTCGAACCTATTGTACGGAGAGGTCAACAGGCTGTTCGCGTTGTCCGATTTTGGGAACCTTGAAGTTTTCTCCGACGCTATTTTGGAGAGTCGAAAAGATTCTTTCGGCAATGCGAGTACCAGAAGCTGGGCAAAGCCCATCAACAAGTGGCCAATGTTTTATATATGCGTCGACACGAAAATTGCTCTCAGACGGGACAATAATACACGTGAGCCTCTTCCGGAATCCGAGAAGTCAATTCAACGCATTGTTGATGTGCTCGGAGCCATGGTTTATGAGTTTTTGAGACAGCACAACATGCGACCCCGTAAAACCAAGCGGCAGACACTGTCATCGGATCGAACTCGGAGCATTGGCTCTACAGGATCCAAAGGGTCCGAAGTAGCCCATGACTCTATGCGCCAGGACAAGGCTGCATCAACCACTGAGGAAGCGTTGAGCGACCGCGTGAAATTTCCGTCGTTTCCAAGACCTCAATCCATCAATTCGGGACCAAGCTTCACCAATTGGTCAAGGGTCAAAGCAGCCAAAGACCAAAGGGTACATTCTCAACCTCTGCCAGCTCAGCATTTGGACGCCGAGCTGAGAACGTGTGAGGGTGAGAGACCATTGGATACCTCAACTGGGTCAAGAATAGATCGAGACAGAGATTGCACAAATTTCACAGTTTCGTCCGGTCTGCCTATGTCAAAGTCTGCGGAACAAGATATAACGAGACGGCAGGATGATTTTGATGGCCCATCTGCAGACAAAATGATCACTTGGCTTGATCCGCATTCGAAATTGGCCTATCTCATAAATCCTCGCACGGGTCAAACAAAACGTCCTCGACAATCAACACTTCAGACATCTCGCTCCACGGACTCTCTTGGTACCTCATCGAAACTTCCAACACAGAGCTTTTGGATGGAAAGCTTAATGAAAGCATGGGAGAATCCTGCTTTTATTCGAACGGAAATTCCTATACCAAATCTGGGTCTAGATTCAACCAGTGAACAGAATCGGCCTACTTCACACGATTGTTTCAAAGGTATTGAGTCTCTGGAGATGGCACAGGTTGCAAAATACCGAGGTAAGCTTCGACGTCGCGGCCTCCAAACCGCAGAGGTCATTGCCCAGGTGGACAAAAAGTTCATTCTTGCGAAAGTAAATACTGCTGGCGAGAAGCCTGGGGAGGATCAGAGTTCAACCGATGCTCTGCTCTTAATAGATCAGCATGCAGCGGATGAGCGATGCCGAGTTGAACAGTTGTTTGGCGACATGTTCGTCTCTTCTGGTACAACAGTGACTCCGGATCAAGGAACCAAAGTCCGAACTGTTCAGATGGCTTCTGTGGCATTCGAAGTTTCATCCTCAGAGAGTCATCTTTTCCGAAAGTACAACAGTTTCTTCTCGGGCTGGGGTATCCTATATACGACCGAATTGAAGACCAAATCTGCTGCCGAAGTCACCATCCACACTCTCCCTGCACTCATAGCTGAGCGCTGTCGCCTTGAACCTCATGTACTGCTTGACTTGATGAGACGTGAGATTTGGTCAAGCGAGGAGAATGACAAGAAGCCATTCCGGTTCAAAAGTACCTTTGCCACTGAAGAGCTGGGATTGGACTCGGATCTGTCTGACTGCGAAATCACGACGCTCACACCCAAAACAACATCCTTCACTTCTCATGCATGGGTTCAGCAGATGAACGGATGCCCAGACGGTATAGTTGAACTTCTACATTCTCGCGCCTGTCGCACTGCTATCATGTTCAATGATCATCTGAGCATCGAGGAGTGCCAAGCTTTGGTCGCTCGGCTGGCTCATTGCGCCTTTCCATTCCAGTGTGCGCATGGGCGCCCTTCGATGGTCCCAATACTCGATCTTCGTTCCTTTTCCAAAACTGCCGCATCCCTGCCATTGCATTTGGATACCAGGGCAACGGCTTCTCGCGACGAAGAACAGGATATGGATTTCATGCAGGCTTTTCGGTCTCAGTACAGTATTTAACATAGTTCTCTTGGTCATTGGCTCTATACAGGCATATCCTTCCGGGCAGCTTGGACTTTAGAACTCCCGATATTATATCATTGGATGCCACGTCTACAGGGCTAAGTCTGGCAAATTCTGAGGCTCGCCATATTTGCACGGTTCATCGTAATAGTAAATTGCGGCCTCTTCGTCGCCAGCGTCCTACAATACCGTAACCGCACACAGACTTCGTCTTTTCGTGGATGATCTATCGCTTCCCCTCTCCCAAGGCCGCAGCTCGGAATGTGTTGTTGCCCAGCTGCCTAACCTAACCCTCATAGAAAATCCCTCATGGAACCCTGGACATGATTTTCTTAGTACATATGACTGATCACCTCCCTTCGCCTTGGGTCACATGGAAGAAAACGAAATAAATCTTCCATTTCCAATACACATTGAAACACAGAGATACATGAACGCACCTTGTGCATTCAACACTGCATTCTCAGTCGCTTTACTTCAAAACAATTGGACAACTTGCAGGCAAGGTGCATCCTATTTGCCAAGTTTGCATCTACTAGAGTTTGCATGACTGCATGAACCAGCATGAACAAGATACATCGTGCATAAACCATGCATGACATGAAGAAAATTTCGTTCCGTCCTGGGCTTGCAAGGCTTTGACGCCTTCTCTGTATTGACCACTGCGGTCACTGGCTCTAATACATCACATGTCTGACAAGCAGATCGTCCACTCATATCTGGGATTCCCGAAATAATCTTGCTTTAGTTCGACCTTGGGATCTGTCGGATGCATCCCTTGTATCCCGATCTGGGGTTTACAATACTGTACTTACGACTCTGTTGTAAGTTGACCGTACACACACACACAGTACTTGTACCGAGGGCTTGGAAATGTGGCGTAGAGTTTATGCAAGGATCAGCCACTAATAGAAATAGAATCTGATGGAATGCACTGACAGCTGGACTGGGCTTTTGATCTTCAATTATTTGCGTCATGGTTCAATCTGACTTTTGGCTGGATCGGACACTATACAAAGCTTGTTGGGTTTATGTGACGTGGTGAGTTAGTTGACCGGAATTACTTTCGAGGCTCGAGATATGCTTGGCACTTTACAGATACTAGTACATAGTTAAGTTACTGTACAGACAATTAATGTTAGGTAATTTCAATGGCCATGTTCACATACAGTCTCCACTGTGTTTGGGAACCTCTCGTAGTAAGTGGGTTCATAGATACAATACGAACCACACATAGCCAAATCCGAACATTTCGGGATTGTTTCAAAATCAGAAAAAAGAGCCATTTCGATTCTTCAGAACACCATCTGTCCTCTGCTCTAGCTCTAAGCGAAAGCCTGAGTTTCAATTATTAGTTGTACATAGAAACCCACGGAAGAAGAGGACATGCGTACTCCGCCAGTATCCGATGAAACCAGCACCCCAAAACAGACACATAGCCAGGTCCGAGTTCACTAGTACAACAAATTGAAATCATTACGAGATCATCCATCATGCATAGTAACATGTTCGGCACGCAAAGATGGGCACAGCAACCAGAGTCAACGACCCAAGATCAAGAGTCACTAACAAGCCTTAGCGTAGTTGCTAGCGAAGTTTGATCACGATAGTTGATCCGATATTGATTATTGTCAGGTGATGGCGTCGAGCGATGATCATGTTTATTCGTTTTTCCGAGACTTCGCCTGTTTCTTCTATAGAGTTTGAGGACGTGATTGTTTCATGCCAGTCACTCACTCGACTTAGTACATCCATGGACGTACGTAGTAGTTGAATTCCTCGCTTAGTTGCCCAGGGACCCAATTGTAAACGTGACATGAATGGTAATTTCCTCACTTTACGAACCATAGCGGCTGAACTGGATTTCTTCTTAGATGAAATCACTCAATGGTATGGCCATTGGACAGGTGATCAAGATTAACTTTGACTTATCTCTAGCTAGAGTCGATCATTACTTATTGGTGCTTCCTGAGACGTACGAGACTCTTGATTTAGCGTTAAGTTACTGTCTAGATGATCAATAGTCCAAATGGTGGTGTTTCACCAAGCAAACAAGCTCTCAATGCTTAAAAATTAGTAACTTGCTCCCAACTAAAGCTCTGCGGGTCATGTATACGCAAATCCAACCCCAGCCCAGGATTCGGGGCGTACAGTACAAGATCAAGACTTTTTTCAAAACTAACTAAACTAAGCGTGATTTGTTTCACGGGACATCGAAAAATCACTCTATGGAGCGAGCCAAACCTCACAGTATCAATCATTGATTCCATTCCAGTTCCACACTTAACCACAATCCCAACGACAGTAACCAGGTATCCCAGAACCTCTCATTGAATCAACCTTTACATTATCATGAATCGAATGGAGATATGGGAATGCCGAACGGAATTCAGTTCCTACTGCATTTCTTATTTCTGATACTTGTAGACGGATTACGAAGTCCTATAGCTGGTTCCCGAGCACGACAATGGGCAAGGCCTTATGTGAGATAGAAGTACAGTAAGTGATGGGTCATTGAGACATGCCCTGCAGGGTCTTTATTGTCGATGTTCTGTACAATGATTTGGACTTTTCTTCGACTTGATGTGTCGTCGGGTTCCTATGTGAATGTGCTGCCATGGCGATGATTTGGAATAAAGTCTTCAATGTGGCTTGTTTCCGGGCACGCCTTCCGTCGTATGCCGCTTTGTGGCGTCTCCGCCGGTGAGCAGAGTACGGAGGAGGACTGGACATGGCTGTTGTATTGACTGGAGTGTAATCTTACTGTACATTGTACGGTGGAGGGTTTGGGAGGTGAGGTGTCAGGTTGCTGTAGGACTTCTACGGCTACAGGCAGTCTACAGAACCGTACTGGTGGAAATAGATGATTGAATCAGTAAGCGTATTGCATTGCAGATGGCTTAAAACGAGCTCCTGTACAGAAGCCGCGAGGCTAACAAAAGTCCTGTGTAGAGGGAATAATCCGAACCAGAGAGAGAAAGAAAACCCCTTTTTCCAGCCCCCCAGGGTCCGCCTTTTTCCCCCGTTTTCCAGTTCCCCGACCGAAAAAGAATACAGATATAACAGAAATTAAGATCTCACAGTAGAAAGAAACACAAAACAAGTAAAGGCGCTTGGTAAAACTCCATGTCGAATGCCAGATCCCGTTCCATAGCCGCTTTTCGAAGGCTAGATTCTCGTTGAGAATAGCGAAAACAAAGGATATCAAAGGCGCCGCCCAGAAATAAAAAAAATTGTAAGCTGAAGAAGATGGTTGGATATTCACAGATCGCAGGTATGATGTGGCGTTGGGGTGAATGGAATGATGCAAGCGAGCATAGTAGAGCAGTGGGTTGGAAGGGTATGGAATAGAGCACCACTGAAGCAGGTAGGAGGAATAAGATAGGTAGTTGGGTCATCAGTCATGAGTTGGTGAGGTAAAAGATAGGTTTAGAGATTGATCAGCCATGGGTTGGAACGGACTTTGCCTTGGACTGGTTGGTCCAGGAGAGGAAGTCGAACTTGTCCTTGGCGTTGTCGAGAAGGGAGTTGTTGTAGTCGGATGACTGCGACTGGAGAGTGTTTGCGCTACGAGATGCTTCTCTGGGTTCGAGAACCAGAGAGCGGCGGTAGTAGTTTTGGGCGGTGATTTCACCGTTGGAACGCACGCGCACAAGCTCGTTCTGTAACCAAGCCTGGAGTTCGGGAACTTCGGTCAGGCGGTAAGGGATCTGGAAGCGCTGTAGCTCGCTGATGATGCGGGCGGTCTTCATGTGCTTGTCAAAGTTGATCACTGCCATCTCGCTCTCGTCGGTGAGTAGTGTACGGAGCGACTGGTTGCCGTGGTCGACGAATGTGAGGTCGGTCAGGTAAGTACCAACGAAGGGCAGGCAGGGAGGAACATGGTTCTGGAGGCGTTGACGAAGTACCGCGTAGTTGCGAGAGACATCGACGATGCTGCGAAGGTTTTCGAGGGTCGTCTTGGTCTTCTGGGAAACAATGTCCCATGTCTTTTTGAGACGGGAGATCATTGACAAGTTCAATGAGCAGATGATGGCCATGAGTGAGTCGTAGTTGTTCAACTCGAGACACTTGTTGGCAGTCTTGACCCAGTGCTTGATGGTAGTGGCACGCTTCTTGGGCTCTTCGAGGTACAAGATCGAATCAGCAACCAGATGAGCGAGATCTGTCGACAAAGTGGACATGGCGCGAACATTGACAGCCAGGGAGCCGGACTTCTTAGTCCATTCCGTGTCGAGGAGTTCCTCGGGGAGAATGGAACAGAAGATGCGGGACTCCTTGATGGTCAACTGCCGAGCAAGCTCAAGAGGATCAAAGTCAAGAATGCTGATCGAGGCTTCATTGTTCTTCCACGACTTGAGAAGGTTGGTCTCCTTCTTTCCAAGAATGGGGGAGGGCAGGGGAGTGTCTGGGTGGATGTATGAGGCAATAGAGGTGTTGGTCTTGCCAATGGATGAGACCAGGCGGGGCACAACGGGTCCATGAACTGCAGATACCTTCTCGCCCAAGTCAATGAGACGTCTGCCAGCAGTGGGCAAATCAGAAACAAGTCTCGTCCGAGCAAAGTGAAGGATAAAATCAAGGGCGATGTTGTCACGGTCGTGGCGCCAGTGAGACTCCAGCCAGCCTTTGAAGATGTTATAGACACGCAGGCGGACGGGTCCAGCGGCGTGGGGAGTATCCCCGATGTACTCGAAGCGTTCAGCGAGAGCCTCGGCGAACTCGAGCGGTGTAGCGAAGAGACGGAAAGTAAGGTAGAAGGTTGACACAAACATGGCATCGGGAGTGGACTGGTGAGCAGTGAGCTTTTCGATGAGAGCCCGAAGACTGCCACCCATCACTGAGCCCTCCTTATAGATCAGCTCGTGGGCGTAGGTCTTTTCCAAAAGGTGGGCCTCAGTCTCCTCGTTCTCCTCAGCAAGGGTCGAGTAGCTGATACTCTCCTTCAGCGAAGGTCCATGGAAACTTCCTTGGAAGCTGCCACCGATATCAGGTGAGGTAGCCCGGGTGGAGGTCTGCGAAACACCACTCATCTCGGAGTCACGTGCATGACTGTTGTAGGTGAAGCTGCTGCCATTGCTTGTCACATTGCGGCCGAATGATTCCATCAGGTCGGACTTGGCATGGCTTTCAGGGTATCCACTATCAGTGGATGAGAACGAAGCCAGGTTCTCAAGGTGGGTAGGGAGGATGGCTGAGTTGGGAAGAGAAGACAAGGCGGAGAGGTTGGCAGGACTGTTGGTGATGTGAGATTGTAAGGAGGATGGAGTGGTGGCGTCGGTCAGAGCAGGAGTGGGAGGAGAGTAGGTGGTGCTGGGGATCTGAAGAGGAGGAGGGGGAAGACGAAGCGAGATTTCCTGTCGCTCTTCTGGCTTTTGTTCCGACTGAATCTCAGTGTTTTCGGGGTCAAGCTCAATGTCTCCAATTTGCTCAAGCACCAGGCGAGCCTTTGCCACACAGTTGCCAGCAGCTCGCACACAATCTGTGGCAGCCTCAACAAGGCGCTTGCCTTCGTCTGGCATGAAGACCAAATCGTCGTCAGAGGAATGAGCTGGGCGGAAAGCATCGTGTGCAGCATGGACAAGCTCAGACAGCTTGTCGCACATGGACTCACGAGCCTGGTCTAGAAGCACACTGCGCTGGGTATCATGCTCGCAAACTGACTTGACTACATCAAGTAAAGCCTGACATGACTGCACTGCCTGCTGGGTGGTGACAACCAGCTCAGTTGATGAACGAGACTGCATGTGAAGTCCAAGGAACGACCCAAGCACTCCAAGGAACGCATCATAAGTGGTACCAAGTCGCTCTGATGCCAGATTCTGAGCACAGATCGATGCAGAGGGTCCCGAGAACGACATGCGATGAGAAACAGAAACTCGCTTCGTGGCAACCGATACTGATCGAGGTGGGTGGTCAAGTGAATCGGTCCTCGTTGAGGCTCTGCTCATGTCCATCCGGCTGCGGCTCATCTGTGGCGACTCCATCATTCGTGACTCCATGCGTGACTCCATGCGAGACTCCATTCGTGATTCCAGCATTCGTGACTCATTGCGTTCAGGGTGTTCAGTTTCGCAAGAGAAGCTCTCGGAAGCAGGCGTGGGCGGCATATCGTATTGGGCTCGGGGGTCGTTTGATTCCAATTCAGCGATAGTCCTGCTCAACCCAACCTCTTCATTCCAGACGTCGAGGAATCGAACTCCGCGGGTGACAATCTTGAAAGCCTTCAAAAGCATCTCATCGAGGATTCCCTCGACTTCGTCCTCTGATGGTGTTCCGTTGGCGACTTCCTGGAACTTCTTTGCAGTCTTCACCAGCGAAGACAGATCAGAGAGCAATGCCTTTCGGATCCTCCGCAGTCCATCGAATCTCCTTACTAAAGGTGAGTCTCTCGTGAGACATTCGGACTTTTCCTGTGGAATTATAAGCCCTGTGGTATGAAGACCGCTATCCCAAGGGTACTTACCAGAAGAAACCGAACGCCAGCGATAGGGCCCCTCATCAAATCTTGGTTTCCAAAGTCTTTCAATGATGACCCGCATCCTCCTCGAATGATGTCCCAGAAATCAGTCAAGGCCTTGAGCAAAGGGCGCATGGGTAATTGGTCGTATGCTTCGCAATAGTTCGTCGGTAGCCAGCCTCGATTCCCGGAATCTAATAGAGTACCATCGGCCCAGCCATTGGTGTGAACAGAGTGAACCAAGATAATGTCTCCCTGATCCAGAGGAAGCGTTACAGTCGACGGCGAAACGTTTCCGGCCGGGTGAAAAGGGTAAAAGGCGCGTAAGTAGTTGTGAAAGACAGGCCTCGGGGGCTCCGATTGATCCATGTTTGTTTGTGTTCCTTGTGGTGTTAACGGGGGAGTCATCTCCGACTGGCTCCAGGCGGAATAGAAACGACTCGGCGTTTGTCTGTCGCTTGGTTCAGATAAATTCGAATTGGATTTCGAGATCTTTAACGGGGGGATGTGTGGCTTCATTGATTCCATTTCTCGTCCGGATCGGTAGATAGAAGTCGTTCCAATGCGCTGGAGGTCACTGACCAAAGGCGTTTATTCGATAGATGCAATTGACATTTTTTGGGAGAAACCAAAGGACGAAGGACTGGCAGACAAGAGAATCAAGGATTGAGGGGAGCAATCGGATCGCCGAAGGCTGGGGGAAGATCCTATTCAATCTAGGTCAATTGACTGAGGCGAAGGGCTGAAATGACAGTATAGAGGGAGTATAGGGAGCGAATGTTTGGAATGTGCAAATTCCAAGGAAAGGAGGGGAGGCTTGGAATGCCAGGGAGGGGAGGACAGAAAGGATAAAAGGATAGAAAAGGAAACTTTGAGCTGCACGACACACACACACCCTCAATAATCAAAGTAATGAAATTATAAACAGTAAACAGACTTCCTATCGGGAGTCCGGTGCATCCACCTGCCAGAGGGATGACGAGTCGCAATAAGGTCAACCCTATACCAAGGGATGAGTGGTTGGGGCAATGCCAAACAGCCTATGAAGGGAGATTTGAGGAGGTAAGTGCACCCTTTCTATGGAAGATCACTGCAAGGAAAAAAGGCCGAAGTGGAAGTAGTGGGGAGAGAGTCCCAATTAAGCAAGGGTCGAAGGGATAAATGCTAAGTATAGCTTTGCAATTGCCACCGGCAGCAATGAAGCAAACAGCAGATTGCAAAGCTTTCAAAAAAGAGTGAAGTCAAAAACGAAAAAAAAAAAGCAGTTCAAGAGGAAAAGAGGAACTATGAAGAAGAAAGAGAGAGAGGGAAATCAGTGGAATAATAGTTCTGGAGTGAATCTTCTGGGACTCGATCGGGACGATCCATGCTCCACCGGTAATGGGGGTGTATGGGTACTTATGATCTAATGTGACGGGTATCGTACAGACCATACGCATTTATTTGGCTTTTATTTAGGGATTTAATCCAGAATTTCGGTGCCTCTGGTGCTTTGGCGGCTTCGGATGCGTTCGGTGCTATGGGGTTTGGCTCATTTCGGCCCTTATACTTTTATCGGCCAATAGTGTCGACTCGACTTTGTACATGCAAGTCTGTTGCTGTGCTCATTTTTGTATTCACCTGCTGCTCTTTCCTTTGCCCAACTGGTTCTCCATAATGCCAATACATCATCCACCAACCGAGGCTCCTCGTCCACTAGGCGGACTAATAGATGCTGGGCCCCCCAAGGTAACCCCTAAAGCACGTCCTTACATCTGCCGAACACAAATCCAGACCTTTCAAAAAAGTTATCCACCAAAAAACCTGCCCCAAACCGAATTCTTCATTGTAATTTGTTCAAAAATTGAAAACCGCCCACTCCGAGACCAATCATATTGCCACCCCGAAATAAATCCTGTGGGGTTAAATCAGACCAATGCATTGACCGTGTGCTGGAGCCTGCAGTAGGACGTGATCCATCATAATGTCTGGGCGAAAAAGAACGAAAAGGGCTCACGTTGCCTGTCAAGTATCTTCCGGGGATCGACGCCGCAGCGACCGGCCCCCAAAGTGACAGCAGCCATAAAACTCTTTTTTGTTTACTTGGGGGCATGGGCGTTTTCAACGTGATTCTAGATGAGTGCAACTAGCACAGTGGCTCTCTCAAGTATGGAGTACAGTAATATACTCTTAAGGGAAGTTTGTGTACTGTTTATCCACTTCCAGTAGGTCCCATAGCGACTGTAAACCCGTTAACAGTTTCCACTGCATTGACAACCAGAAGCTACTGAGATCTCCCCCTCCATTCTCTTCGCTTCCCCTCCCGCGTGGGGCAAGGACCAGAGAACAGGTTCGCGTTGGCAAATAGGATCCACAAACGTGAAGGAGAGCTTGCTTCCACGGTTGAAAAGGTCCAAACACGTAGGGCTACCCGAGGCTTGCATAGTGAGGCATAGTTACTAATGTCTAGATGCAAGTTCAGACCCGCCCCTGTCTAAGACCCCAGTGGAAATGTAATAATAGCCAGGGCTCGGAGGAAAAATGAAATTTGCGGTACTTTTGAACCACCGAAGAAAGTACGAATTATTTGGAGGGTTGAAGACTCAAAAACAGGTGGAACACACGTACAGTACACGACCTGATCAATGCGTTCTTTGAGAACGACCGGGGAAAAGAAGCTGATCCAAACCAAATGTGAAAAGAAAAAAAAGAGAGAGAGAAAGAATGAGGATATATCATAGGACAATTCCGTCCACAACTGGGTCCAGAACTGACCAGAACTAGGCAAATGTATTCAGAAACCCCCGTAGTAACTTACCCAGTAACGATCCACATGGCATGACAATGACAATATAATATGCCAGGTTCTCAAGTTCCATCACTCGCACGTCCTCCCCGCGACCAACTGTCTCGCCGAGCTGCATGGACTCGGTGATTCTGCAGTTTCCAGCCTCAATTGCAATGCGCAAATGCAGACCGAATTCTCCTACACGCGTGCATCAGCATCATTCAGTCGTCACATGCTCATTGCGATGTATGACTCGTGGAAGAAGAACACTAGCACGATAAGACTGCTATAGTTGGTGATAAACCCGTCGCTAGGGAAGCACTAATGTAGGTCAGCCAGCTGCCAGCCAACGACCGCGTAGGGGCCCTCCCGGCTGTCAGCCTACAGTAGTAAGCAAACGAAAAGAAAATACTCCGACACGCCACGCGCCTCGCCCTGGGTTGGGGGGACCGATCCAATGGCCGATGCCGTCAAGCTCCAATGCAAGCCCCCTCCACATTATCACATCATTTACATATTACATACAGTAGGGAGGAGAGAGAAGGAATAAAATGCGATCTGCAGACCAAATCTTGAATTAGGGGGTTTTTCCCGTGCTGGAGTCGGGCTCGAACCGTGGGAGAGAGAGCTTGGGTACTCTATCTGATACAATTTGGTGAGGCTTTTCACGGTCGCGTCAATACAGTACAATAGTGGACTTGCTCGAATTCAAGCCATAGCTAATCTGTTTGCAGGTTTACTTGTAGATCGCCTTTTTTTTGTTCAACCCCCTTTATTTGGGTCTTTTACGATAGTCGCACAATGCTACTCATCGCCTACTGTACCTGGACGGGTCCGCCCGCATCTACAGAACTCGGCTGCTGTCTGGGACTGTTTGCTTGTCTCATCTTGCGCAGTTTGCGCCCTTATTGTCTGTTGAATTTCGTACAGTACGGGAAGGCAGTACTTTAGCTCGACTCACTATTTGCTTGGCTTGCCGTGTAGGCTGCATCGCAGATGCGTACATCACTACTGGAGACAGACTTGTGCCCAAGCAGTGGGGCCTGCACGGCCTTTCTCCCAAAGGATGGAGTGTTATAGCCATTGTGATGCAGGCCCCGTCAGTTTTTGACAGGCGATCGACGGGGAAAGGTGGAATTGTCACATCTGCTTCGTCGAGTTCAGACCTTGGCTCCATACAGTATGTCCTATTTCGGTAGGAGTCTTCACGGCCCCGGGGGCCAGTCTGGATCACTAATGGTAAGTTGGACGGGATTCACTCCCTAGGTTATGTCTCTGTTAGTTGCCCCCGGTGTTTCATTTAGTCGGTTGTTATCTGTCGGTCTACTGTAATACGTTAGCTTTTGTCGTCGGCTTTCGTCCGGTACCATCTAGACCGGTGTGTCTTGGAGGTAGGAGATCAACAGGTGATTCGCAGAGTAGCGTGCCGAAGATACCAGCTTGGGAAGCTCTCGTATAGCGCTGCAGTATTTTCAGCCTCGTGTGCACTCAATTGCCGAAACAAGACAGTGGAAGCGAACTGGGGATTTGAGTCGATGTCTCGCATTTCACGTTGCGGACACGATCAAGGCTGGTAGCTGGAGTCAACAAAACATTTCAAATAAAACGGCTATGTTGTGTGAAGAGAGACGATAAGGGGAAATTATAGGGGCTCTTTCATTGGAAGGGACTTTCCATCGGGTGTAGAAGGTACGGAGAGGTGGCCTGCTCGTCTGATATTCCATGTTCAACGGATATCTCGGTAAAGTAATTGTGCATAAGATGATATCTCAACGTTTAGCCAGGTGATTATCATAATATGCCATTGCCAATAGGATAGACATATTTATGAAACTCTTTATTAACGCTCATGTACAAATTCTGCAGCACTAGGTCCCATGCACACAATCGGGTTGAATCAACCTCGTATGGGTTCTGGCAGGTATTCTAGCATACTCAATGTTTATTTGGCCTTTTCAACCGAGGCTGTTCATGCCGTGCAACCTCGTGGGCATGATAGTCGAAACAGATGCAGTGAGTGGCTGAGGCTGAGATATACGTAGCACCGCAGGCCTAGCTGCATATCAGACCCGGTAACAGAACAGGTACCTGCATTCGGCTGCAAGATCCTACTTCGAAATTGGAGAATCGGGTTTGATCGCAATAAGAGCGGTCTGGTGTCGCCTGTGATTAACATGCAGACCTCGGGCCAGTTTGCCTTGGAACTATCCTTGCTGAAATCGGGTGTCGCATAGAGCGAAGCTGTGGCTTTACCCCGCGAAGCCGATCGTGGATCTATTCTTTTACAAGGCATTCATAGTCTGATTTAGTTGGGGTTTTCAGCCCGCCATGGGGTAAGCCCAATATTCAGATCAAAAGACATGTTATGTGTCGTGTTCAATCTAAGTATGTAGTTACCGTATTTGATACCGTAGATTTGAGGCTTTAAAACTAATATCAAAATGACATCATTTGCATTTGACGAGTCGTAACTTAAATCAAAGCATTCGTGAGGCAATACGACCTATGTATCTGCCTTGCGGCATACCGAAGGTAAACATATGCGCCCTGAAAATTGGACATGGAATCTAACGCAGTTTGACCCATGGAACCCACGAGATAGTTGGAAGACAGGGGTCACCCATTCATGTGGCTATAGACAAGGATCTTGGTAAGCAATTAAAAAACCACCATGCATAACATCCTGGAAATCTAGATCCATCCAACAATTAGAGTGCCTCTGAATCGAACTAGTCGCACCAGGGTCCAAAAAATATAGTAG